CATTCAGTCGTAGACGAACGTACAGTCACGAAATTTTCAGGGCGGTGTACTCCGCTCAAGCTGGAATCCGAGTCGGCGGCGTGCTGCGACGGATAACCTGACGAAGCATACGGACCGCTGGTCAGTCGCCCACTTAGTCAGACGCAAGGGAGGGTGGGGATGACGTACCGAGCGGTGTATGTCTGGGGAGGAGGAAGGACGCGAGCCGCGTTTGGCAGAGCTCGCCTCGGACGTCCTGGCGTCGCCCACCCTCCTTCTGCCTGATAAGGTGCAAGCGAAGATCAGTAGTACGCGGAGGTGGCAGTACCACGGCGAGCGCAAAGGTTGAAAGCGCACCTACGTCACGGCCCTCCACAGTACCCGAGCGCACCTACCAGCCGTCTCCATTGCAGCCCCTAGAAAATTTCGTCAAGCTTGCTGACGAACGGCCGTACTCACGATAGACACGGATCCGTCATCGACCAGAGCAAGGGCGGTGTACGAGCATCCAGGGATGTCACGGCCACTCCTCCAGGCCGACCGTCCTCAACGCCCGCAAGCACCCAATTTCGCGTACCGCATCGGCCGTTTTGCGGAATCCACGCGCCGCGTGCACGCCCACTCCAGAGGCGGTGACTCTACGCACACAGAGCGCGAATGCGTCCGCTCCGCGAGCGGTGGCGGTGAGTAGCGGTAGTGCACAGCCACCGCGCCTCCACGCGCCGCGCCTCAGGCTATGCTGCCGTCCCCGAGCGTATGCTGCCCGTTTTGGCTGGCGCGCCGCGTTATACAACAGCGCGCCCGCTTGTGATTAACGGGCAGACGGTGCCCGAGCTGCGGCTGTGCGGTGAGCATTGTACTAAGCTGCTCCCTCATCGGTACAACTTACACTACACCACATGCCATCAATCACCGCCACCTGCGCGTTGTTGACGGGAATGTACACCATTCCTTTTGATTCGGACTACGTCACGGATGCTCGTCCTGTCCGACCGCTTCTCTTGCAACTGTCCGCCGACGAATATGTCCAGTATACTGAACAGCTGAACAAATGACAGAATAAAAATAGCGTTGTGAATAATCGCGCGAGCGCCTCGCCCGCCGCGTCGCCGACACTGTGCGCGCTCAGTAGATGCATGCAACCCAACGTCATAGTAGACTTCGTGAATTTTGCTGGTACGCGAAGAAAGATACCGACGATATTGTGAACGCGCTTCGTCGTTCGCTGCCAGCTGCCTGGCTGAACGCGACGACAGCGAAGGAAAGATGTGCGCGGGGTCATTCAGTGGCGTTCTCAACCCAACCTGACCCGCGGCCGCCGCTGCCTCACTCGTCCGCGGCATGCTGACGCCAAGATACGTACACACGAGGCTCGCAGCCCGAGCGGGAGCGAGCGCCAGAAAAGGAACCGACAGCGAGGATCCCGCGTCCGAATTAGGCTTTGAACGGCTCTGCGGCTGGATCTCGCGTGATTGGTTTGCGCAGCGGCGGATGGCTGGCGAGCGTGGACGGCGACGGCAGGCGGGGAGCCTGACGGGGCCGCATCCCATCAGCCCTCGAAGCTCGGGGTTCGAGCAGCCAGCGGACGACGTCGACGCGCCTTCGTCTTCGTCTTCGTCTTCGTCTTCGAGGCGGAATTCGCGGGCTGGCAGCGGCCCAGCCCTTCTCCCGCGCCCTGTTCGGCTTCGCGTTCCCCGCGTGCGTCGCGATCGCCTCGCCGCTGCACCCATACCTGGCCGGCTCTGGCGCAGAGACAGCCTGCAGCGAAGCAAGAAGCACGATCACGGCGTCGCCCGCGCCCGCTCTCCCCGTGCCAGCTGGAATGGACGCCCCACAGCACGCGGCTCTCGCGTTGCTCGCGGGACGGCCCCGCACCCGCTGGGCAGGACGTCAGCGCGATGATTGCGGCGGGTGATGTGCCCGTGGCCTCGGGCAGCGCTCGGCCGTGGGACTCGTCGATCGCGCTTGTGGCGCGGACTGCACCCGCGCCAGAGATGGGAGGCGCACTGCCCGTTCCGGCCAACGGGAGGGCCCCGCCCATCGATCAGCGCGGCACCGTCCCCTGCGCAGGCGCCCGCCCTCCCCACTGCGTATTGGCCCCGCGCCCCGCCCGACAATCCTCCGCGCGATGCGGCGTCCGTGAATTTCACCTGCACTGGACGGGCGGTTGCGTCATCCCAGCGGATTGGCTCGCGCCACGAATCCTGTGATTGGCCTGCCGGGTGCAGACCAATGGGCGGGCACGTCGTAGCACAGAACGAGGGAGGGCGCGTCCCTGCTAAGAACAGTAAGCGTAGGTTCGAAACAGCTCTTCCCCGGCCCAGCTGCGTCTAGCACGGATTCGTCTGGCGGGTCGGTTTCTTCGTGATGATGCATGAGCAGCTCGAAACGCGAAGCGAAGCAAGAGTGGCCTCTGCTGCCCTGTGTCGCGATGGAACGACAGTGCGTCCTGCAATTAATCAAGACGCGAACGCGACGGAATTAGTTACGGGGGCGTTATGTGGGATTTTCGTCCTGCATATGCGCGCACTGTAATTGCAAATTGGGGTATTTGTTTGTTGGCGAAGAGCGTCCCTCGGGCTGTATGTCGTGCCCGATAGGCCAGCATCCCGTGTCAGTTTAGCCTTTGACAACGACTGGCGTGAACAGACGTGACACGCACCGATTGCGGCGAGTAGTGGACGGAATCACTACTAGCCCATCACGCGCCCCTGCGCGATGACATCCAGTGCTATCAACACGGATGATTCTATGGGATCTCGGTCTCGTATGCAGCAGCCGTGGAGCTTCTGCGCAAGGACGAACTCCGCCTGGCATTGGCCAAGGCGCGATATAGTTCACTCACCGCAAGACTAATAACAGCTTATCACTGATTTGCTGGGAGGACGAGGGCGCGAGCAGTATCAGAGGACCTCTAGGCTGGGCACGAGCAAACGGTGCGCGAGCTCGAAGCGACGTCGAGGACGTCCAGTGTAGGCGCTGCTCTTTCCCCTTCCGTCGACGCCGACGTCGCGCTTCGCGGGCGCCTGCGCGTGCATCACGGCCAGGCTCGAGTTGGATGTGTGACTGCAGTACGACGTCGATGTGCCCATCCACGATAACGTTATGCGCGGACGCGATCGCCTTCCGCGTGCAGCTGCGGCCCATTCAGTCGTCCCAGATCGCGGTTGCGTCGGGATCGCCCTCGTGCGCGGCCGCCGGGTTGCCTGAGTCTGGTAGCACGTCGGACGCCGGCCGTCGCCCGTCGTCCGTCCGCCCTGGCCCGCCACGCCGCACGTGCCCGCGAGTGATCTACGCCTCCCCGCGGTCGTCTGTCCGGAACAGGCAGGCCCGCGCACACGAGGGCGGACGTTGTGCGCACGCATTAGCAGAGTAGACCAGGGACGCTTGAACGGCTCGCGCAATCTATCAGCTCGTCATGGGGGAGGTGATATCACTGTGGCCCAAGCCAATTTGTGGCTTCGCGCCGCGACGCGCCCGGTCGCCGAGAGAGGCAGGCGGGCGGGGCGCCGCGCGCTGCGATTGGCGGGGGGCATTCAATTTCGGGTGGGGCGCGTTCGCGGGACGGCCAGATGGTGGGCGAGATTTACTATATCGGAGGCGCAGACCGAGATGCGCGGAGCTGCCGGATTTGGACGCGTCGTCGAGATCGTATCGCCGGGGATGGCGTGCGCTGATTGGCTCGTAGTGCGGTACGCTGCCTGGAGTGGTCGGTGCGCGTAGAAGCTAGAGCGGCGACTACGCTGCGGCGACGGCGGGAGGGTACAGTAAGGAATTTGTCGTGCTGACTGAGGCGGCAGACGGTGCGGTGCACGGCAGTCGTCGTTGTCGTTTGTTGTTGTCCTGTGGGCCCTGGACACGGGGGGCGAGGGCGGTACTGCTAGAACCGGCGAGCCTGGTGAGTTCTGTGGGCCATACGTCGTCGGAGTGGTATGCACAACGCGCTACGAGTGCAGCTGTGCTTTCCGAATGAAAAGAACAACAAGGACACAGAATGGGAGCACTGCAACGGATGTGTAGTACGCCCGTGCGCACTGCTCTTTACTGCATGCCGCGCGCGGCGCTGGTGTAGTGGATACCAGGCTGTAGCGTCGCGGGTTGCTTGGAGCTGCGCACAGTTGGATACTGTATGATGTCCGCGTCGAGAGTGGGAGAGCCCGCGGTGCGGCAGCCTGATTGGGGAATTGGAGGTGCAAAGAAGCCGAAGCGTTGTGCGTTGGACGGCGTGGGTGGGCATTCCCTCGCGCGGATGGGCTGCGCGGCCGTGACAGGCTGGTGCAGCACGCCGGTGGCTCACTGTGCAGGGCCAGAGGAGGCTGCCGCCCTCGGACACCGAACGAGGTGCCGGGCGCGGGCCGGACCGAGTGCGAGGCAATGGGGCGGCCGCGCCCGGGTCGGTTGGTGGGAAGCGCAATAAACGCAGGCGTGGGAACTATGTAATAATGACAGCTCGGCTGGAGCGCGGCGAACCCCGCGAGCGCTAGCAGCAGATACACGCACCGATCTCGCGCTACGGCGGGTGCAATAGACTAAATCGCCTCTCTCCGTCACGGTGTGCCGCTCGCAGCGCACCTGGGGCTGCCGGTGTCTGCGTGGGCGCGTGGCAGTCGCTGGTGGCCCAGGCAGCGACGACGACGGGCAACGCAGTGAGATCGTGCGCGCAGCGAGGAGGATAGTCGCGTGTGTGGCTCGGGGTGGCTGGCGGGATGCCAGTGGGCTGGAAGAGGCGAGATGAAACGCCCCCAGATCGGGAGAGATGGGATCGTGCATCCTCTGTTGTGCTTCTGGAGTGGCCACCCATGCGAGTGGACTGGATCAGATCACGCCTTTATTTAATCCTCCTCCCGGAGATCCTTCCTTCCCGTCCTCGCGTCTATCGCGATCTCCCTCCGCCTCTCTTCCAGTCTTCGCGCGCATCCCCACCACCGTCCGGCCTCGACGCCCCCGCACTATATATACGCGCCCCGACACATCCTCTCTCTCGCCCTTCCCCGCCTCCCCGCCCCCCGAGCTCGCCCACCATGTCCTCCTCGAGCTCCCGCACCTTCGCCCAGCATGTCCGCGTCTCGTCCACCGACGAGCTCTCCTACGACGCCTCCTCCCGCGGCGAAATCAACGAGACCATTCACACCATCGTCACCGGCCGCAAGTGCTGGAAGACCATGAAAGGCAAGGGCGAGGTTGTATGGCCGCCCTTTCTTGAGCTGGCCCTCGTCGAAGGTGCGCAGCTGTTCCCCGGTACATCGGGATATGCGTGTATGCGTCGTATTGACCGCGTATCATCTGCTGGGACAGGTCTCGAGAAGTACCAGCCCGTCGAGAGCCGGACAACGCGCGCGTTTGGCCGCTTCCCGATGCGCAACAAGTTCATCTCGGACTACATCTTCAACAAGACCGGCAAGCGGCGCACGCCAAAACAGGTCGGCAGCCGTCTCCAGCAGCTGCGCGACACCACCGAGGGCAAGCGAAGTGCGTCCTCTCATCACCGTTTCACCACAACATCACTGACACCGACACCGATCCGCAGTATTGCAGCAGCTGTCGAGCAGGCACATCGCAATGATGCAGCCAAAGTCCGAGCCCGTCCCTGACCCCTCGAATCCCACCGACGCCGCCGCACCGGCAGGCCCGCCCGTCAGCTACCTCACCATCGACATCCTCCCCGACACGCCCGGCAGCGGCTACCCGTCGCCCGCACTGTCGCCCCTCGCTGGCCCGTCGACGACAGGCCCCCAGGCGCCCCGCCCGATGCGCGCCATCGACCCGACGGTGACGTTCATCTCGCGCTCAGCTCTGCAGGCGTACGCGAGCGTGCGCGTCGTTCGCGACGGCCGGACGGTCTGGCTCGAGAAGACCGCGCTCAGCTTCCGCGACTCGAACGTCCTCCCGGCGCGCGTGTACCCCGCCCAGATGGAGTGCCAGCTCCTGTACAGCACCGAGGTCGTCCCTGGGTTCTGGGGCCAGCTCTGCGAGTACGGCGGTGAGTCTTGTTCCCCATTGAGGCCGACTTTGGTGTGCCTTGTGTGCGAGCGTCGGCGTCTGATCGAAATTTCTGCCCCTCGTTGTTTCAGATCCTACCCCGTTTGCCATCTACCAGGACATCGTCAGGCTCAATGGTACTGACGCTGCGACGGCCATCGCACAACCCGGCACGCCCCCGCCTGAGGACGTCCTGTTGTCGATTGTGTATCGATTCAAAATGCATTCATCCTCCTCCCCTCCCCTCTCGCCGTCGACTTCGAGCGTCGATGCGCTGAGCTACTCGCACGAGTCTAGCGTGAGTCATCTGCCTCCATATATCCCGGAGGTGATGCTGACAGACATGCTTTGATTTTTGGATGGATTTTCTGATTGGTATCATCTGGTCCTGCCGCGCTGTCGTACGCCGCACCACAGCCCGAAATTGGCTCTGACTACGGCGAGCTCCTCCCCTCCCTTCCCATGATCTACACTCCCTCCTCGCACTCCTCCCAGCTGCACTCTCACTCCCCACATCACCTCTCGGCGCACACGCCCTCGCCGCGCCACCCACAGACGCACTCCCTCCCTCCGCTCCACCACCTCCCACACATCCCCTCCCCTCCCGCGAGTGTCCACGCACACTCGCCGTCGCAGATGTCCCTCCACCACTCCGGCTCCCTCCCGCAGATCCGCGCGCCGACGGGCTCGCCCGCGACGCCCGGCCTGATCCACCGCCACGAGGAGGGCTACGCGAGCCTCCCGCCGAGCCCGCTCGACCTGACGTTCCCTGCGGGCGTCCAGCACCATCCGGCGCACACGACGACGCTGCCGAGCCTTGCGTCCCTGCAAAGTGTCCCGCCGATGGGCGGCGGGATGTGCGGAGGGGCCGGGTATGCGGCTGGCTACGGCCAGGCGACGGTGTACGATGGGATGGCTTACGTGAGTCGTCGGTACGGGTGATTGCGGTAGAACGGGTCGCTGATGAGTGTTTGTTGCGTGGCAGACGTTTGACCCGTCGAACACCTACGCCGGCCTCTAGGCTGCCCGGGCACATTGGCTACGAGCGTCCTACGTCGTCGATCATCACCTCGCATCACCACCTCGCCACTACTCTCCTCCACCGCCTCGACGTCGGCGCCCTCTTGAACAATCTACGCTACTAATTAATCGCCAACATGGATCATCGCATCTCTCCGCCCGGCCCCTCATCTCGCCTGCGCCTCTGTAACAAAAGCCTGTACTGGATACTTCCCCGACAGTGTAATCTCCGCCCCGCGCGGCCGCCGCCGCCGCCGGCAGCCCCAGTGCCCGCCTGCCCAACGTTATTTGTGTTCTGTACCCATTGTCAGCGCCCATTGCCCCATCTGTTGCCAGTGTCTCGCATCGCCGCCATTGTTCAAGTTCTCTGTTATAGACCGCCGGACTGCACTGTTGTTTGGAGTTCATTGTTACCCTTTACAGTGTGCATAGTCTTTATTCCCAGTTTCGTTCCCCGTTAAGCTTGCATCGTTGACGTTGATGTCCTCTGCCTCGTCGTGTACACCCTTGCTTCGCATGCAACTCGTGTCTATACCTCGCACCCTCTGCTTACCTACTTTCACGTTAATCTCATTGCCCGCGGCACGCTAGGTGCCGCCGCGCTGTAGTACCACCGCCCTCGCCCCCACGCAGACACGGCGTTCCGCTGAAAGTTAATTATCACGTTCATTATTGCAGTCGTTCTGTTCGTTTCGTTGTTGTCATTGTTGTGGTCTGCGGCCTGGAGGTCCGTGCCGTGTCCACCCATTTGTTCGATATGAAATAGCGTACTGCTTGTACTATCATACCAAATGCATCGAGGTTAATCGGATCATGTATCGCCATCCCGCGTTCGTGTGCACGCTCCTCCTCCAGCTCCACCGCCGAGTATTGTCTCCCCCTGTACAGCCCTGCAAAGCTTCATCTCCACATTATTCAGAGCTTAGTACTGTGCCTCTGAGCGTCATGCGCCGCGGCGTTCCATCCTCCTTAATTCAGCGAGAACGTGGAGCCAAACGCCCATGCAACTTGGTCCGAGATTGCCAGTATCCTCGTAGGTACCAGGACCGCGGCACACTCGCCACTCCCGGGCACGTCACCTGCACGTCCGCGTCCGCGTTCCCCCATTCGAATATGGAGCTAGCCTCTTCAAGCTCAAGAGTCCTATCCCCACTGGCGTTCTGGCCTTCTAGCCCGCAACTTGAAGTGCGGTTCTCTCTCTAGCTGGCAGACGGCAGACGGCAGCCTGAGACGATAGTATGCGCGCGCAGTGCACTGACAGCCTGAGTGGGATTGACGTGACTGCCTCTGGAGTACGGCCCGCGCGGCCGGTCGCTGTAGTATACATACATGGTACCGTTGACTTTGGCAGGACGAACGCAGGCGCGGGGACTCGGGGGCTTTGGAGCTGGATCTTCCTCCAGGTGCTGGCTGGCGACATGTGTATGTCTGCCGCAGTGAGTCGGCTGAATAGCAATCAGCCCGGGGTTGGTTGACTGTTGCAATCGATTCCAGCGCGACACACCCGACGCTACTAGTACTAGTGAGTTACACTGACATTCAAGTCGACAGTGCGCCCGATGTCGGTCCGCCGGGGCCTCGACCCCCGGGCCAATGTGCAGATGAATCTCGCACGCAGTGAATCCAACAGAGTTGCCGCGCCTGGGAGCCCGGATGCGGAAAGAACATGACATTGATGACGGCCAGGACTCATTCGGAGGATCGTTCAAGGTCGGAAGTGCAGATGGAGTATTGGTGCTCAGCTTAGATCCTGGACCCAGGTCGGTCGTGGTTTCTGTGCGTATCTTCAAGTTGGCTCGACTGCTGCGCTGACGCATCTGAGGTGCAACCCTGCTAACGATGTCCCGGATCTGATGAATCCACGGTCGCGGTATGGGCGTGCAGTAGTACGACCCACCATAGGATCGACGGCAGCCTGTGGCAAAGCGACTTGGTCAACACCATCCTTCAAGTTGGTGGCGTCACTCACATCTAGACAAACAACGATTCCCCCGGATCGCCAGCCCCCTCCCTCCTTTCACGTTCTACTACTAGCGTCGAGCGTACCCAAGCAGCGAAACCCGTCCAGGCTCCAGCGTGCGCGTGGGAGTCCACTGCCAACTTCCTCGCCCTCGCCATCAGATCCAACCCACCCAACAGACTGGCGCGTCCCGTCACGGCCGGGTCACGCCCCGCCGCCCGTGCTTCTGACTTCTCCCTGGCCATAGAGTACCGCGTACGTACTAGCACTTACGCGTACGCCGTCACCATCCCAGGCTCCCGGCAACTCGGAGTCCGGGGATCTCGATTCCATTATCCTACCGCACGCCCCGCCGGGCCATCGCGCCCCATCGCGGACGCGGACGCGGAGCGCATCTCACTCGCATCGGGGTGCGCAGCCTGATCAAGCTTGGATCAAGCGTACTGTCGTGTCGCAGAACTCGAACTCGAATCCTGGACCGGTGTTGTTCTGCGACCCTGAGTGCTGGGGGCGAGGGCGGTAGTGGTCAGAATCAGTAGGTGCCCGGATTCCAGGGCCGACGTCATCCGGTGAGTCGGGCATATGCATGACCATGCGTGGTGGGTCACGGCTCCGTCGAAACTCGAGAGCGTGAGCAGCTCACCCGCTCTGCGCTCGCCCCTCGACCCTCGAGCCCGCGCACGATCCCCGAAACCCACGTCCGCGCCAACTCGAACTCGAACTTGACGCGACTCTCGTAACGCACGCTAGTGGCAGCCTCCGCCCCCGCATCGAGGCGACCCTGCTGGACCCTGCACGCTCGCCGACTGGACGACGTGCTAGTACGCAGGCGACTCCCGGCGGCACGTCACCCAGCCTGCCGCCAGTGTGTCTCGCAAGAAGCAAGAAGCCGCAAGTCAAGTCTTGGCTTTGAGTTCGGTCGTTCGTCCGGGGCGGACCATCACTGCCAGCCTGGGTGGGCTCGAATACTAATACTAATAGACTTCCGTGTACGTGTACCTCTTGCCACCAATGATGTAATGCCGCGAGGTGCGTGGTTCTCGAGTAGGAAGGGGCTCGAGGAGGACTCCGGCGGGGCCGGGCCGTCTACTACTCAATACGGGCGACGCGGCATACGTATGCCATCTTGAACAGAACCAGGAGAAGACCATTGACACGCCGCGGCACCCAGGAACTTGACTGGAATGCCGGCGGAGTGCGCGCAGGGCTCCTCCGCTGAGCAGGCCCTGCCGGGAGAAGCCGCGAGAAAACAGCGCGAGATCCAAGGCGGGCAGCTCGTACTAAGTATGACGCAAATCAATGCCCGTGCGTCCAACGACGAGCGGTGGCCACCGGTGCTGGCAACGGCGAGGCTGGTGCTACTCGTTCGTACTACCAGGGAGCTTCAAGAGACACGCGCGGCAATCCCGTAGATGTAGAGCACCAGCGCGAGCGAGCGTGGACACAGACGCATCAGGCACCAGGAGGAAGACCGTCCGAACAGGCTTGATTGCGCGCGCGGAAGAAGCCTGGATCTTGGGTGGGCGAAGCCCGGGTGCGATGGGCGAGGACAAGAAGACACAGTGGCAAAAGACGGTGAAGGTGAGAAGGCGAACGAGAAGCGAGTGATAGGGTCCCCGAACCCGAACCCGCATCCGGAAGGCGCGAAGACGCAGATAGCACGAATGCACCCAGAACAAATGCGGCCTATTACCTCCAGGTCGGGCTGCCAGTGCACCCGGAGACGCTCGGGCGTGCGGGGTGGTCGTCCTGCTGGATCTGGCGAGGAGCATCCGGAAGGAGGGCGATCGGCGTGTATCACTGTCAGTGCAGGCCCCAGGGCCAGGGCCGGCGACGCTGCGAAACATCGAGCGGCGAGCGGGTTTGGGGTGTCGCTGTGCATATATGCACAGTGGCGGAGCGCCGAGGGGGACGGCGCGTCGCGATCGTGGCTGGCGATATCAGTTTCTCTGTCAGGTCGCATGTGGGTTCTGTTCGACGGCGTGGAGTTGGCGGGCAAGTCGAATCCTGGGGTGGCATGGGAGCGCGAGGACATCATCCAGGGAACGATGCGCGAACTTGAACAATAGCTTGTCGGCAGGACATCGTAGAGGACTGACAACTTGCATGTGGCCCGTACGCGTTGGGATTGCACGGTAGTGGGGTAGCCGGATGTGGCGCATCGAAAACAAGGTGGGCGCGCCCGGCCGGGGTGATGATCACTCGGCAGCCCGATTCAAGCATCTCTGGATTCTCAACAAAGAAGTCAGTAGAACAACAGCTGGTGAAGGCGCTCTCTGTACCCGCCGGCCGGGTGCTGCATCTGCGGGGGGAGCAGCCGATGCCATCCTGTGGCTCGCGCAGGCATGGGTGGACAAAGGTGATAGCAAGTGCTTATGTCGACTTTTAATGTGACCGCGATCGATGCGAGACGCAGCCGCGAGGTGAGGCCTAGGAGAGGTCACCCTGCAGGCAGGAGAAAGCCTGGCTTCATCAGCGCGCATATCACCATAATGAAGGGCGCACGGGGGGTCTGCGAGCAGTGCATACCGGCACACGCGAGATGAAAACTCCTATGCGAGTCGACAGCGAGACGAGCGTGCTGCGTAATGCGAAGACAGAGCTTGTCGAATGGATGGAGGACGATCATCTGCCCGTTGTGCACTCCCGACTGCGACGAGGACGCACTGCGTCGTCCGCAAATTCGCAATTCCGGCCTTCTGACTCTGGCTCTGAGCGCTGCGCCTCCAATACGGACGCGGCAGAAGGGCCCATCCTGGGCCTGCCCATCCTTCGTAAAACAGCAGAAACATAGGAACACAGCACCACAGAGCCGGAGGAAGGCGGCGGACGTACCGAACAGAAGTGTGCGCCTCGCTCGGAGTGGATACATTGCGCGAGAAGCACGCGCACCTTCACCGCGAATGGCGCAGGCGAAGTCGAAGTCGAACCCACTTTGCTGGTGGTGGTTGGCCCGCACGCGCAGGGGCGGCCCCGGGCGAGGAGGACGCGCCGTGACGAGGGCGTCGGGCGACGGTGGACGCGTGCGCGGGGACACACGGGCGCCTCCCGAAGACATGGTGGGATCGGCTGGGCGCCTGCACGGACCCGTCCGCGCTTCTCACTCAATGAAAGAACCCCGCGGGTCTGCGTCCGCTTATGGGTCGCCTTCTCCGGAGATCCCATCGCCCACCCGTGCGTCCTCGACCGATGGGGAAAACGCGGTTTGATGGCCGTCACTTCCAAAGGCACATGACCGCGACACGTACTTGGACAACCGCGGCGACGCGTGCTCGGCGGGGCGTGGTTCTCATTTGCGCGACATTTGCAACGCGAGGGGATGTGCGAGGAGCCGTTTCTTCTTGGCCCAGGAACGGCCCACAGAACGAGCAATATCGCCGGATACGGTCTCATTGCTCGCATGCCCCCGATAGACCTGCTGTAATGCCGCAATGTTACTACGTAGCTCCGCAACAGATAGCGCGTACTTCAATCAACGCGCCGCGCAATTTGTGGCTGGCTATACGTACTGGGGTGCCGTCAGTATAAGCGAGGAGATCGAGTCCACTAGCATGCGAGATCTCACCGGGATACAGTGCTAGGTGGCCGGCGAGCGCGTCCGTGTAACTCGGAGTACTTGGGCGAACCGTTCATGCAATGGTTCGCTGGGAACGTCAGTGGTGAATGGAACGGACATAACGGCCACCGATATGCATCTTGTCAAGTAGGTGACGCGGGACGCCGTCCCGTCGGATGACGTTTGTGATGATGGAGTACGACGATGCGCCGATGCGCATTTGCGATGTTGGAAGTAATGACACTTATATCATTGGCTGTACAGTTCACATCAAATCTGAACAGTACTTTCATTCGTCAGAAACTACCTTCCAAAGCCGAAGAGCAAAGGGCACTCACCGCACTCTGTCAATGTAGTGCATTAGTACACAACCCCATGGTATGGTGAGGGATATTCGCATTCGCACACAAACCCGACAGTGATATGTAGGGGATCGACTCAGACTCGGACATTCCCCTGTACCCGCCGCCTCTCCAGCTCGGGTCGCATACACGAGTCGTCTTCGTCTTGCATCACAACCTCGCTCCAGTCACGAGAGCCTACCTACCTCTTGAAGCCACCTGTTCCAGGCTTCGCACGGGCATACCGAGCACTGCCCAGTCCGCTCCGTCAATCGACTGTCGAGGGTCGCATCCCCATGTGAGCCCACATGCGTGATACGCTCAACCTCAGGAGAAGCCCCGTTTCTGGCCCCAAGCATGCGTCGGACGCCGCCACGCGTAGAGCAGGGCGATTCCGATGCGCCAGGGAACGACTACGCGATTCCGGCGTCGGGGCTGCAAGATCACACGCTGGACATGGCATGTCGTATCCCTGCGCTGGGCACCGTTTGGAGACTGTCGTGCACCATGTGCGTGGCGCGAATGCCAACGCGACGACCTTTGGGCAAGCACGGCGGCGCCAGTAAGTGTGGATCTGGGAAGGAGGATCGGCGAGTACTGGCATGCTCACCTGCGGGTCCGAGTCGCGCGCCGCAGCGGGAGGCGTCCCGAATGTCAGTCCGACAGGCCACGAAGTGATGGGTCGCCCGTCGACTCGGACCGACCTGTTGAACGGAAGCATAGGGAGACGCCGGTCAGGGGAGCCTGAGCTAAGTACCAAATCGTGTCCTTCGGCGGGACTCCCGTCGCGGAGTTCGGCAATGCAGTGTCATGATTGAGAGCATGGGTCGCGAGAATCGTGTGGTCGATTGAGTAGGATCGCGTGTGCACTTGCATCCGAGTCCCATCACCGCCCTGGTATGCACGAAGCGTCTACCGTGAGGTGGATGTTGGGTATCGAGCCCCGGCGCAGGTCCGGGGAGCCAAACGCGCTCAACGAGTTGCGGTGATGTGGATTGGTAGCGGAGGGACTTGGACAGTGGGGCCGTCATGGCGTGGCTGAGGCGCGGGAGGTGACTTACGTTTCGCAAGATTCACTGTTCTTCTGAGTCGTGGGCGGGAACCTTCGCGCATCTCATCAGATCCGAAGACGCGTCGTTTCGGGCACACCCATGCGCTGGCTTTTGCGAATACGTCTGAGAAGTCCAAAGAGGTCGAGTACCTCCTGCGTCCCGCTTTCGATTCCTTGCCCATGCCGAGCGTGGGTGTACCGAGTGGTTGACAGGAAGAACAAGCTTCAAGTAAGAACTTCCAGCCTGTGAACGTCGCAGGACGGTCGCGTGAGAGAGAGAATATCGCTTGCGTTGGTGGACACAGCGTTCTCAGTGAAGAAATGAAGAGGACTTACCAAGGACTTACCGAACCATGTCACGGTCTCCGGGCTCGCAACGATGCTTGGTCGGAAGGTGCGAGGAATCTTGCTAGCGTTCTCTGCGAGTCAGCTCTCCATCGCACCTCTAGCATGTGAACCATGGACGTGCCTGCACCCCGTCATCCATCCTAGTCCGCAGACCACTGCTACGGGGTTCGACGACCTCGTAGGCGTAAACGGTGGGGCAACCAAGCGACATACGGAGACGTAGTTCGCGATTAATCATTGCAGGCTGTCATTCTGGGCAGACGATGCGCAAACTGTTGTCGTCAGGCTTCGGGCACCCTCCATTCAGAGGTTGCATGGATTCAGAGACACCTGTAATTGCGTGATAGATGACCTGACTAGAGCGCCGAGGCGAATTATATGAACATGTGCTTGAGTACGTCGAGGAACCAGTTGCAAGCAGCGCGGTGAGTTGCTCACCGCAGCTCAAGTCGCCAATGTCTTGGCGGTACCTATTGCGTGCCTGGGCCGCTGGGCGTGAAGGCGTGAGCAGTAGGAAGCGCAGCATCTTAGGTGCGCATTGGGACGGCGGTTTAGATGCGTCAACTGCCTGCCGCTCAGCCGGATGTTCGCTGCTACTGCTGCCAATCTACCGGATGTTGGCGTCGCCGGCGACCCTGGTGAACCTCATCTCTGCATGGCATGCAGACCACTTACACAGCGGTGCATGTAGAAGTTATGAACTATCCATGGTTCAACTCCCAGACGCAGGTGGATCTTGCTAAGATGTATGCCTGTTCTGAAGTTCTTGCCGGGCTAAGAATGGATGTCAATCACTTATCATAGCGTCACAGCGAATGCGAGGACATAGTACGTGCGACAGGCCGACAGCATTCCCGTGACTTTCCGGTGTCATGGTCTTGCAGGGACCTAGAGAACATAGTGAGTCTAGTACATCATCATCCAAGATGTGTAATTGACTAAGAGAACGCACACAGTACAGGGAGAGCTCTCTCACGCGTATGACATGCAGAGTCATACTGCACGAACGATGTACGCCATTCGAAATGCAAGTTTCGCTGCTTCCATTCAGCTCGCTGGTCCTCACGAACTCTCGATCGATCCAACTCAAGAATGCACGAGAGGCGTAAATCGAGTCCACCACACCTGACCAGAGTGGAGACATCGTCGATGAGTTTCGGGCGCAACTATGCAGAGGGCGTGCGCAGCAAAGTTGCCCATGTATCAAGCAGGTCGCCGATGTCGTGACGCAGTCCGGAGGGCGTGATTTCCACTTTGTGGCGGTGACTTTTCTAGGCAACACCGTGCCCTCTCCCATTATGGCTCGTCACCCCTTGCCCCTGCAAGCCCGACAAACCTCCCCGCCGCCTCAGCGGGCATGTTGTAGCTCTCGCTGGGCGATGGGAAGCTGCGGTCTCGCACCGCCTGCACGTACGCGTGGACCCCTCGCTCGACCTCGCCGCGCACGTCGCCAAACCGCCGCACGTACTTGGCCATGTGCCCAGACCAGGTGCCCACCAAGTCGTCCCACACGAGGGCCTGCCCGTCCGTCTCCCAACCTGCGCCGATGCCAATCGTAGCCGCATGGTGCAGGCGTCTCGTAATGTGCGCCCCGACGGCGTGTGGGATAGCCTCGAGCACGATCGCAAACGCCCCAGCCGCCTCCAGAGCCAGCGCGCTATCCACCAAACTCACCGCGCCCTCCGCACTCTTGCCTTGTACCCGGAAACCAGACAGGATGGCCTGCCGCTGGGGCGTCAACCCGATGTGGCCCATGACTGGGATCCCGACGGTCGTCAGCCGCTTCACCAAGTCAACGTACTCCACGCCGCCCTCGATCTTCACCGCATCGACGCCGCCCTCGCGCACGAGCCTGACCGCGTTGCGCACAGCGTCGTCCACGCCGGCCTGGTACGTCCCGAACGGCATGTCTCCGACGAGGAACGGCGCCTTGCTCCCCCGCGCGACCGCACGGCAGTGGTGGACCATCTCGTCGAGCGTGAGCCGCGTCGTCGCGTCGTAGCCGAGGCAGACTTGCGCCAGGGAGTCGCCGACCAAGGTCATGTCGACCCCATGCGCCTCACAGGCGCGACCGGTCGGGAAGTCGTAGGCGGTCAGCATTGTGATGGGGGTGTGCTTTCTCTTCATGTTGAGGAGATGCTGGATTGTGATCTTCTTTCGTGCTGCATCAACTTTCGTGAGCCGAACAGACACGAGGCTGCGAGCTTCGACTTACTTACTTTCAGGAGCCCTCTCTTCGGGCCGCACGCTCATCCACCGACGTCCACTCCCTGCTGTCTGGTGCAGTCGAGTGTGTCGGATTTGCTGCCTAAGGAGCATCATGAGCCAGATCGAGTTGTCGAGCAAATGCTGGGGAGACCATATTTGAGTGATATGCCCACTGGCAGATCTAGAGGTCGCTCGAGAGTCACGATCGAACGAGCCAACGACGGAGGCTAATTATGGGCGAATCTTAAGTTCGCCCGAAGTCCGCCCGTCGGGTTTTCACATGCATGTGCGCGTGTCCTCCGCTCTGAGGACATATCGAAAATGGAAAGTACGCCCCTACGGGTCCGGACCGTACTACGGACCGTACGCGCACGTGACCATCCTGTCACACACATCCCACGAGTACATTCCGCCAGGCATTTTGCACCGCCGCACGTATCACACTTGAAGAGGATTTGTGCGAGCATATACCACCACTAACACGTGTGCCTCGGTAGGTGAAACGGCGACTCAGAGAGACGGTGTGCGTAACGGGTAGGCCCGCCACGCGCTTACGTAACTGTACTTACCGTATACACTCGCGCTGCCCTAAGTATACCACTGTACTCAAGTCTGTATTCATTCTTGGTTGAATTTACCTGTTATCTGCGACTACCCCTCGGAAGAGGTCGTTCGAGCGCGCAACGGACAGACCAATCACAATTGAATGTTTGAACTGTGACTGTCCGCATTGGGACATGTCATGGCAGCCGTCACGTTTGTGACGCGGGCGCTCTGCGCGTAACAGCCTGTGACGGCATGCACTCAGTGTTGTGCTGGACCCATACAGTCTCCTACGCTGATTGGATGATTTTCAGCCACTCTTTAGAAAGGCCAAGGTCTATATACATCAGAATACAGTGCACAGGTGTCGTACTTTGCCACGAAACGGCGGGCAAGAGTGCACTTGCCATATTGGGCAGGCGCGGACTACGGCCGGCGGCTATTTCCGTAGGGGCGTAGTTTCCAATTTACCGACCTTCTGTCCGCTCTTGTCTCCGCGGGCAAACCAGCGTTTTCGGATTCCAAAATGCTAATAACATCGGTCCCCCATGGGAACCTTTTCGGAGAGCTTGACTCAGACTGACTCCGAAAATGCTTCCCCATTATTCATGTTCGTAAGCTAGCATGTTCTGACAAGGAGTCCGTAAAGCTTCCCAGGCGGGACCAACTTGAACGTTCGCGGCGCGGTCTGTGGCGGCGTTCCGTCTCCGACAGATGTCCGAGTCCGGCTAGTGCGGAGTGGCAGGACCTTGCCAACTTGACAGAATAATATCATTCACGAACCAGCCTATGCATGTAGCGGCGCAAGCGCCAATCCCCGACTCCTCGGTGGGACACTGCTGCTTCAGCAGCACCATATATCATCGTAAGTTAGAATGGTCTAGCTCAATCCGCACCATTAGATCTGGGCATTGGACTGGGCATAACTAGCTACCTCTAGTTACTCAATATTAATCTAGGCTCTCCTCGGGAGGAGTCGGGAATTATTAGCTTACTAATATTGCCACATATGGTCATAAAGTGTCTAAATCAGGATGCAATTCCCACCGCTCGCAGAAGATTTGACACAGATCATGTCGACAGAGCCCTCCCTCCCTTCGGGAGGAGTCGGGGAATAGAAAGTCGCACGAGCTCATATGCATACGAGCCAGCGGATCTGCTCACTGCAGTGAAACTATGTAGTCAAATCGCAAAGTTGCGCCAGCCTAACGCAACAAACTTGTCGTCTGAGCATATTATGATCCAGCGTTGTGAAGTCAGTCCGAATGACATTACTCACCAGAAGTGGGTCCACCACCATTGACATGTGTCAGATAGCCGTGGTACAATAGCTCCGAGTCCGTTTGTAAAACATATGTGGCACAACTCCGGTACAAGTAAGAGCACAAAGAGATCCGATGCGCAAGGATACAGTAGGGAATGATCTATACGAGTGTCCATAAGAAGTGAGCAAGAAATCGTGATGAGTCATGATGCATGATGAGTCGTCAGGCGAAGGTGAAGTCGGAGGATCGTCCGATGAAGGGGGTTATGGGCCCAAGGATGTGCTTAGCGTCGCCGTAGTACGTGATTCGATATGTGCCAGCTGCGAATGGTCGTGTCAACACGGCCGTACATCACGAGCACGCGAGGGCAGGGCTTACCAGGCGTATCTGGCTCGATCGTCCTAGACAGAAATCAGCGTTCAGTCAGCCGACGACGACGACGGGAACTTACCAAGTGAGATTGACGGTACTGATACCAAAAGGCTAACGATTCGATGTGAGGACACGAGCAGTCCAAGAGAGACGACCAAGGAGACTGACCACGTTCGTCCGCTCCCAACGATACGTTGTGGAGGGATGCGAGTCCGATCTTACCGGGACCCACTGCTCGTCCAGCCACCTGTCAACTGTCAAGAAAGTCTGCTCCAGGCGTAGGTTGTTCTGGTCACGGCGTTAGCTTCAGTAACAGCGCAGTCAAAGCACTACAGAGCATTCTTACTCGTGGATTAGCCCTGGACAGTCCAAATTGTGTCGTGAGTCTCGACTGCAAGCATCATCTATACGGGAAATCCCTCAACGAACCCGACGAACTGAGCGACTACGGTGTCTCCAGCATGATACGGTGAGTTCGTTTCGACATCGACGAGCACGTCGCCGAAGTTCTTGCCGAGTGGCGCAGTGTCTTGTACCACAGGAAGCTACAGAGTTCGTAAGCATCGTGTTGATCATAGCACATCCCCGACCAAAGTGCCCACCTGCAACGAGATGACCTTGCTGGTAAGGTCAATAGGCGCAGGGTCCGACGGCGGCTTCTCCGCGACACCGGGTGTGAGGTAGTCTATGAGCTTGCCGTATTCGTGGATATACGCATCCAGCGTCCCTGGGGAAGATAACAACACTCAATACAGGCTTTGAACGGGCGGAGGTGCACACCTACACGGCCCGAAGATCGTCGACGCCCCCTCATACCGCTGCACCGCGTACTCCTCCGGCGTCGTGACGTAGTGCGCGTACGTGTTCGCAGGGCCCGCCACCACGACGTACGCGTCGTCGCCGATGATCCCGGATGCGATGAGCTTCGCGCGGACGGCTTCGCTGTAAGTGCGGCGCCCCGTCAGTGAGCGGCGAGAGGTATGCAGACGGACTGACCGGATGCGCCGCCCGGCCATGGTGGTCATTTCACCGGGGATGATGAGCATGACGAGGTTGCCTACGCGGAGGATCTGGATGTCGACGGTGCTTGGGGACCATGCGTATGGCTTCTCCGCGTAGCCCTGCGTGATCCGATTATATTCTGATGCATGCTGAACGGCAGAGGGAAAGACATACGGTGTCGAGGAGGATCGGTTTCGGGTAGTGACATGAGACTTGCTCGGGCGGGGGGCGTGGAGTCACAGCCCCCTTGACGAACTCCCAGAATGGATTTCTGAACAGCCCGCATCAGACTCATGCTAGGGGATACAGTTCAGGTACATACTGCGAAGTCGAGTTGTCGCCCTGGGTGAAGTCGAATGCGCCGGGGCCGTCCCTGGATCAATGCGATGAGTCGCTTGTGAGCTGAAAGAGACAAAAGGCGTACGTCGTTCCTCCCGCGAAGGAGTAACCTAGTCCAACATAATCTCAGCCCACTGCACGCGCAAAGACGTAGTACACGCACCCAACGCTGGCGGGCACGTCTGTACCGTCCTTCCGTCAGGCAACTCGAACGACCTGAAGGTCCTACACACAACCCAAACCATCTCAGCAACGCCGTTACAAGACTCGGACTCAATTCACTGCCTGGACTCACATATCTGCATATGTATGCACCGCATTGACCGGCCCACTGACAGGCATCATCTCTTCAGGGTGGTCCATGACCCGCTTCGCGCCGTCGACCTGGAGCTGCGCGATGATCCTGTTGGACTCGAAGTCCGAGATTCGGAAGCCTGGGCCGCTGCCAGCCATTACTCTGTCAGAAGAGCGGACTAGTAGTGAAGGCCGGCGGATGGTCGACTGACCGACCGCGACAGTCCTGCGTCCGGTTCCCGCACGTAGAATGCTCGAAATTGCAGGCCTGGCCGTCCCAGGGTTCGCCGGGGCTCTGGCAGACTGCTCCGAGACTGTGGTGCTCGTTAGCTGATAACGAGGCGCGAATTTGGAGGCTGCGTGGACGTACGTGTTTGGACTTGTGTCGCCGACGTTGGCTGAGCAAACGGTGAGACGGTGCCGCAGTTATCAGATAGGAACACCTACATTGGGTGAAGCCTGCGACGAAGGTCGTCTGTCCGGGCATTGAGTTTGGGTCGACCAAGGCTGCATGAGGTCTCTGTCAGTCCCGGGCTGCCGCGGATGTCAGCTGAGCTCGGAAGTCATCTACCTTCGTAGATATAGGCAGCCATCCCTTTGTTGTCGCCGCTGACAAGCGTGTTGTTCTGGTGGATCTCAGTCAGGCTGTGACATCGTTCCGCAATCGAACAACTCCACCCTACCTGATACAGACTCGTGCCATGAACCGGGAAGAAGCTCAAGAACCCCCTCGCGTCGCCCTCCCCATCCTCGAACCTCAGCACCGTCATCTCCTGATCCACATCCGCCTCATACCTCCTCCTCTCCTCCTCCGGATTCGCCAAATACGCACTCGGCGACCGGTTGATATTCGCACCCACGACCGTCGTGTTCCCGAGCCTGAGCCTGCCGGGCGCGAGGCTCGCGTGCGCGCGCCGCACGGCGAGGACGGTGCCCTCGACGATGGCGTCCGCGGTCTGCTGGACGTAGCCGAGCGAGGTGATGTGCGGAAGGAGGTTCTCGAGGTAGCCGCCGACGCCTGCGTGCGAGTGCGTCGCGACGAGGGCGATGTTCGTGCCCGTGTAGAGGCCGGGGAATTCGTGCGAGAGGCGGTGAATAATCGAACGACGGACGCCTGTGTCGCCCATACCGATGTCTGTGGGTGGGTGAGTATGCGATGCGCGGGGCGAGGCGGAAGGATCGCTGACCGGCGTTGATGAAGACGACCCGGCTGGAGGGTTCGGCTGGATCTGCGACTATCCAGGCGCGGCTTCGCTGGCGCATGTGCAGACCTGTGTCCGTCTGCTGTCTATCTGCATAACCCTGGCGACCTCTGTCAGTGCGTGGTGCGATGACATGGGCATGGCCAAAGAAACAGTCCCTCACCATCATGTTCGTTTCCACCACCGGACTGCATAGCTCGTGTCAGCCATGACCTCTACGGAAGAGCGAGGCGAGCCACATACCCAGTGATATCTCCAATGCCTGCATAATCTGTTGAGCTTGTCATCCAGCTGGTAGATTTCACAGACGCACCTAGTCCCAACAAATACCCCCCGTCAGAGACTCCCATACTCGCATTGAAGCTCTGCTGCACCCTCGCTCCTGGGGCATGCACGGATGTGAGCGCACTTATCCACCACAGGCCCCTGGTAAGCAGGTCGGCCGACGAGCGCATAAGACTCCATACATCGAGCGTGAGGTCGGATGTGTCGACGATGTACATGGTGACGAATTGGGAGGCTGTTACACTTTCGAGGAGCTATGATTGAGAGGTGGACGCGCTCGGGCTGTCCGGCAGACGAGCTGCAAGGAGACGATGAGGGTGATCGAAGATGGAAGAAAGGCAGCGGGCGTACCGTATCCGAAGGCTCTGTAGCACGGTCCCTGTCGGTGTTGTGCGATAGCGAGTCGGCGGGTTCTGCGAGTCTACCAGAGGTAGCAAGGACGTGATATCGGTGCGGGAACCACAGTCCAGATGTTTTCTGGCAGCTGTATGTAGCGACCACGATCTGTGAGCAGCGTGCACGCGTGTAAGTCTCGGAGTACGAAAGGCGCGCGTTCAGTAGCCATGCAGGCTATTTTTGGCATCCCCGAGTTCCTCGGGCATGGGACAAGGTATGATACTTACCTCCGAAGAACATATGCGTAGGCAGAGGCAAACAGTCACTGCGAACTGACTACGATGTACATGCACTCAGTGTATGTACTCGTGAATCCCGGCCCTAGCTAATTAGTCATGGTCCTTTTTCGCAAGTCAGTACGGCTACGCACGCAGGCATAAGTCAATCGCAATAGTGCCAGTGGCCACAGACCATGGCATGCGCAATTCGGAGGTGAAGTCACGTCCTGGTTCAAGAATCTATACATCCTCATGAAACAGTGACACATCGTCGGGCGCGGCTACAGTCACTAGGTGACGTCCTACCATGGCGCCGACGTATGCATCCAGCATACGCGTGCGTGTAGACAACTCAGATTAGACGTGTGCATTTGCCACCTCGATCAGGTTCATGGTCGTCCGGGAATGAACATTGAAAATGCTTGCGAGCTCGTGGCGAACATAGCACTGGTGTTCGTGCTGAGGAGGGAGCCGGTTAGGACGTCGTGTATGTCAGTGACGCAGATTTGAGCGTACCAGAGCAATCACACAGCTACATGTACATTGATTGACGCGACCGTCTTTCAGAGTCACCTGTGTAGCCTGCACCATCTTTATTTGCCTATGTAGTCAGCGGCGTAAGTATTGCCAAGCATCGAGATAGTACGGGCCGACTGTGCCTCCCGCTGTTCAAGTTGGCCCGCGGCTGACTGCGCCTTGCGGTGCGCGAAACTGCTGAATCTGCTTACTGTAGCCGCACGCTCGCGGGAAGTGTACGTCCGTTACCAGCGTGTCTCAGCCGCGAGCGCACAACACGATGGATCTTCCGACAGGATCTCGTAAATTGAGAGCAACAAGCGCGGAGATCAAAGTCTGAGTCGCAAGATTCGTCCGCTGCGATCGATCGACCGCCAATCCCAGATTGAGTGTGACGCACGGTGGTAGCAAGGTTGGCGGGGAAGAGGATAGCCCATTGGCGCGTTTGGTTGTTGCCGAACGGGCGTTGTAGCATCGACGGATGGGGGAGTGAGTTTGCTAAACGTCGACTGCGAGTTCTCGGCTTTTGCGCACTGTATGTCCGGGCGTCAAAGTTGTTGCGGAAGAGTGTCTTCGAGGAGGCGCGGAGACCTTGACACAAACGGCAGAGTGTCTTGACACCAAATAACAGCAAAAGAACGAGTTGTTGTCTGCGAACGTTTCCTCCAGTGCAGCGGTGACGCGACGCGACGCGGGCGCGTCGCGTCACGGGACTGCCCGATTTGGGAACAATGGAGGTTGGTGGTCCGTGCGTGGGAAGGGAGCGTCCATGGTTGGGAGAGGAGACTGGCCGTGACACGCCCTCAGTCGCGATCTGTCACCACCCATACCGCCGTGACGGACGCCATCCTGGTCGAGTACGCGATGCCCGTCCGCATCCTCTCCATCGCCAATGCCGACGACGAGCGCAAGCGCATCGTCTTCAAGGGCAAGTCCGCCCTCTTCTGGCCCCATCTACCCCCAGAGGTCGTGCGGTGAGTCCTCCGTGCTCGCTGCGCCACTCCACGCTCAACGCCAGTGTACGCAGCCTCATCGCCACATTCCATCTGCTCAATGTCGCGCCCGAGGCACAAGGCCCCGAGACATGGCAGCACCCACAGCTGTGGCCTTCTCGTTTTGTATGGTCACTGATCCGCGACACCTACGAGGTGGAAAAGCTCATGCGCGTATATCCGTCGTGGGGCGTAGCTCGTGAGTGTGCTCTTCATATCTCGTCGTTGCCACGCGGGCGTACGTCGCCCATACGTTCCCTCTTCTCCTTGCCTTTGTCGGTGTCCACCATCCTTCCTGTTCTCGACGTCGGCGCCGACGATGTCGTCTTTCACTCGCGTCCTCGACCGTGACCGCGTCGCGCCTGGCGGAGCTTGATAGCTCCGCTCGGTGCGATGTTCCCACTGCGGCCTTATCGCCTGGTTCTTTACGTCGCACTCGTCGCATTGACTCTGCTGTCCGTGAGACAAGTCGTCCACATAGCATCCCGCATGACATTGTGGCGCAACCTATGCTGGCCTAGTCCTTTGTCTCTGCCGCTCGGGCAGGACTTGTCGACCGTGCATTCAGCGCACCGCACTGGCGCTGATCACCGCGGGCGACGATTCATCTCCGCGCACGCTCTTGTTTCATTTCGTGAATCCGCGCCTTTCATTCCGCGTCATACACAAAGGCGCTCGGTGTGTTTCACGGCATGGCAATCCTTGCTGCTAGGAGACGGCGAATGGTGCCTTTCAATGTCTCTAGGCGTCCCCGTGTAGCTCTTCCGAATCGTTCAGCGACATGGCCGCTCTGTGCAGACGCCACAGACAATGTAGCGACGTATGCAATGGTGCCCAATTTGACGATGCTCATACAAATTCATGTTCAGTTGAATATCATCCCTTCTGGCGACAAGCATGCGTCATGATCGACCCGCAGGACTTGCTCATCCACCACGCTGTCATCCACCCAACGTCAAAAGGCGGCTCCGCCAACGCAAAGCCTATCAGGCTTTCCCCATTTCAACACTTCCGCAACATCTTCAATTGTTCTTGCATCGTCTGCCGCATCAACTACCCGTTCTCGCCAAATGGGCTCGCCGTCGCGAAGCGTGCGATTACCAATCCTTGGCTAGGGCAGCTCATGACATGCAAGGATCATCGAAAATCAACCTTCTGTGGCGTGTGCCTCCGCGAGGCACCCACTATGGAAGGCGAGACCGAATATACGCAGGGCCTGTCGGTCTGCGCTGTGGAGAACGAGGACGACCAGACGTGGCCTGGCGTCGAGACGACATGCCGTACGTGCCGGAAGCAGTGGATCTGGCTTGCGGCGAAGCACGACCCGTTGGATCGTGAGGCTGTTGGCGGCAGTGCGCAGCTCGCAACGGACGACTGGGAGGTGCGCCAGGCGATCGAGGCGTTCGTGGACCTTGGCGAGGGCATGATCAAGGACGTGCTGGAGCTCGCGAAGGAGAAACACTGGTATAAGGTGAACACGAAGCTGGCCGACATGCTCTCACAAGCGCTCGCAGCGTCGAGGTACGCCGGGCGCGCGGAGGGTGCGGATGGTTACGCAAGCGAAGACGAGCTGAGCGAGGAGGAGGAGGACGCGGAGCTGGTGAGCATCACGGAGGACGCGGCGGGCATCCGCGAGCTCGCGATGACGGACTTCGCGCGGAACCGCATCCTGGACGGTCACTGGGTGAACCCCACGGACGAGTTCAACATGCGCTGGGTGAGCATCTCGGCGAATACGCCTCGTGCCCGGCACCCGTGCCCCTGGAATCCGGGCTCAGTGTTCGACGGTGCGCTGGAAGAAGGGGAGGCGGGCGTGGACGCGGACGGCGGGGAGCTTGCGCACCCGCGGCCGAAGACGATTACGGCGCTGCGCCCGCCGACCTATAACATCTCGAGCATGGCGTATCAGGCGTACGTGAAGCAATTCCGGGACATCGTCTTCCCCGCGATGCAAAATGTCGTGCGGCGGCTCGCCGCGGAATGTGAAGCTGACGGGAAGGACGCGGTGGAGATTGCGCGGTCGATGTCGATGGACGACGTTGCGGCGGCGCTCAGGGAGGAAGCGGTATGGCGCACGGGTGTAGACTGGCTTGGTTGGCGCGCCAACCAACAAGAGCGCGAGCGCAGGCGACGGAGGGACAAGGACGACGATGCGGAGTCGACGTCGTCGCGGTCGAGCGGGAGCCATGTGACAAGCCCAGGGCTCTCGACGACGACGCTGCAGACGACACCGTCCCCCCCGCCTAGCAGCGTGAAGGACGACGAGGCGATGTCATCGTCACCCGTGTCAGCGCTCCCGCCTCCCCTGGAATCGAGCCCGATCCACGAGTCCCCCAAGCTTATGCACCCGATTCCGTATATTCCCTTGAAGGTGTCGCACCTCCCTGAGTATAGCCTTGGCACATTCCGATCGGTATGTCTGCTTGTCCATTGATGTAAGGGTCTGGCTGATGGCTCGTTATAGGCGTGGATGAGTGCTTGCGCCCCGCTGTACCAATGTTACTGCTCCATCTGCCAAAGACGCATCATGCAAATGAACGCGGCGAACAGTGCCGCCGCAGCCCAGGACCAGGCCCCAGCCAAGGATCTTGCACCGCCTACACCGATACCACAGGTCCAAGTGGAGATCGTGCGCGCAGAGGAAGAAGAGTCAGAAGACGACGACGATGACGAAGAGGAGGAGGATGGCGAGTCAGAGCTCGAGATGTCGGAATATGAGGTCGTCCTTGGCGGTGTAACCCCTCGCAAGCGTCCCTCGCAAGACCTCGACGTCGAGGCGTACTCAGACGCGAAGACGGATGCTGGCTTGAGAGGCGGCTCGCCGCCGAAGCGTGCACGGACAGACGGATCGTACTCACCATCGATGGTACCGATGTCACCCTCACCAGGTCGATTACGCAAGCGGCCGTCGGAAGAGCTCGAGGAGGACGAAGCATCGCAGGGCAACGGTGAGCACAAGAGGTCGCGGACGGGGTCGCACCCGCGGAGTATGAGTGCGAGTGCAGAGGTGGTCGCGTAGAGGCCCCTGCTGCGTTATCCGATCGCTCGTGCGCGCTGCGATGAAAGGTTGCGAGGCGGACCTTGACTGCAAGCACCCTGCCGCGTGGGTCCCGCACGGTGTCCTGGGTTGTTCGGGCTCGCAGGCTAGCTGGAGGTGGTACCGTGTTGTTCCCCGGCGTGTTCGGCTGGGCATCGAGCCGCTCCGTCGTCATCGATCAGGACGCTTCGCGTGCGTCGACGTATCGTGGAGGGTGTCGCGCGTGGTCGCCTGGGTCGTTGTTACTTCGGGCGAGTCTCACTTCGTTCTTCTCCTGAACCTATATTTGTTTCCGCTTCGCTTCATTGTACAGTAGTTGTATGCATCCCATATCGTCTTTGTCGCTGCATCTCCTCCCCCCTACCCCTACCCCTACCCTTCCCCAGTCCCCTCTCGCATCGCAGCAACACTCATCTTCTCTGATCTGTACGTACGTTTGTGTGGAGGTCGCTTGTGTCGTCATCAGGTCTTGGCGTCGTTGTCGCGTGTGCTGCGTTGATGTTCAGGAGGAACTCCCCGAAATTGTAGTATAGAACGCAAAGGACTGTTGTACCAGTAGCTAGCTACACGCATTGAATAATATTATTCGCTGATGCACGTTGCGTGAGCTGCTCTTGCTGAGAAACTACTTTGGTGGAACTATGAATCTCTCCACCACGGTGGGCTGCATGCACATACGAGTAATTTGCGATCGGTCCTCGGAGCCCAGAGGCAATCATGACAGCGGACTGTCCGGTCCCGTGTTAGGGAACAGTAGCAAGTGGAATCAGTGTTGTACTGCAGTCTGACAATTTCAAAGTAACAGATGAATCGACGAAAGCAGGGTCTTATGTCAGTAGCACGCTGTGTCTGTCATGTATACGCGTATACGACCGTCTGTACTGGGCACAGCTGGCATCGCGCGCTGTTGATATGGATATGTCGCATCTGCGTGAGTGAGCGACCTACAGCAATACGCAACGCGCCGTCCGAATGTCTGCGACGGCAGCTTTGTAGTAAACACACGCGCTGAAATGTTGTCTCGCAGTGCGGTGGTGGGGTGCGACTGTAAGAACCGGATGGGTACGAGACAACTGAAATGTTGGTGCCAGTGGTTGGACATGAGAAGCAGATGATCGCTGAAAAAGGCAAGTCTTGCTGTGTTTGCCGAGAACAGTCCAAGGAGAGTGCTTCTGCGGAGACGTCCTGCTTATACTTACTCCAACGCCGGTCTCCTCTCACCGTCTCCTCTCCTTCATCTCCCCGCAAGCCCGAACCGGCGCAGCCATGTTCTCGACCCTTCCGTCGTCGCTGTTGCTCGCTGTCTCCGCCGCGCTCTCCTTTGTTCAAGTGGGCGCCCAGTCGACATCTGGGTCTACAACCGTCCAGGTCACGATCTCTGGGTCCTCAAGCTTTGGCACGACCGTGCCGCCTTCTAGTAGCGCGAGCGCGAACGGGAGCGGCTCGCTGAGCGGGTCCGCGACCAGCACAGCGTCCTTGCCGAGTTTCAGCGGGTACTCAGCCTGCGGTGAGTTGCGGACGTGCTGAGGGTGTTATTGTTCTCATGGTCTTCACTGGAAGTCGACAATTGCATCGACTCCGCCGTCGCATTCACGGGCTGCTCGAGCGTCGCTGACGTCGACTGCTTCTGCGGGGGCACCAAGTGCGTCCTCCGCTACTCTTCGCATCCGTTCCCGATTGACGAGCTTGGCAGCTCTACCGCGTTCGCCCAGAACCTGACATCCTGCATGGCGAATTACTGCCCAAGCAGCATCGGCTCCGCAGAGTCGCTCGCGAACCAGTTCTGCGCAGTCGCTTCGCCCAGCACGTCCATCAGCTTCGCGACCACGTCCCTCCCATCGACGACCAGCGCCTCCGCTACCAACACGTCGAGCTCTGCGTCCCGCTCTGCGTCTCGCTCTGCCACCTCTAGCTCGACATCCGCCTCCGCCACTACCAGCACGAGCGCGGGGATGCGGCTAGGCGCAGATAGCAAGGTGGTTGTCACCATGGCAGCTGGGCTGGTCATGGCGGCGCTGGGCGTGCTCAGCGCATTATGAGACTGCATATCGGACAGATTCTGGGGCTTGGACATGGACAGTAACATTTGTACGCTCGTGTACGATGGCACTCATCGCCGCTCAGCATTCTGACTCAGGCTTCTTGTGGAATCGGTTCTGGATATACGACCATGCGTAGTACATATAGCTTTATTTAATGGAACGTCCCTTCGGTCGAGACACACGTCGCTGCAGAAGAGCGGATACCCCTGTAATACTATACCTGCGGATCGGGACTGTAGGGTCGCAGATCACAGTGACATGCCTGAAGATGCAGCAGAGAGTAAGCATTTGTTAACGTTACAAGGACTACGGAGTCGTACCGTACAACGCCAGATCCAACGCCACCGGCTAAAACTAAAATGAGAGTTCGAACGGGGGACTCGGAGATACTATAGAAAGCAAAGACAACCGCAACAGCACTGGGAGCAGAAAAGATAGCAGCACAAACCGTCGAAGCCGCCTCTCTCACCTCACCTGGGAGAGAAGGCGACTAATACTCAACCGCGTCGTCCTCGTCCGCCGGGGGCGGCGGCGCCGGCTTCTCCCTCCTCTCGCCCTCTTTCGCGGCCTCGTCGTCCACCTCCATCTTCGCGTCCTCCGCGTCCTCCTTGACAGGACTTGCCCCGTCCTGCGCTGCGGACCCCGCCGACGCTCCCTTCAACGCTTCTGTCTCGGGCTTGGACTCCTCCGCCGGCTTCTCTGGGCTGGACGGGGCAGCGGTAGCGTCAGACAGTTCAACGTCTTCTTGCGGCTTGGACCCCTTGCTCCGCGAGGCTTCTTCCACGACGCGTTCTCGGAGGCGGGCGATCTCAGTGATGCCTGCTGAGCGTTCCGCAGCGAAGGCGGACCACTCTGCTTCGGCGGCGGCTTTCACCTGCGTCCTAGTCAGTCTGGTACTATCGCACGAGGTCTGATTGAGGACGAACGCACCTCTTCTTTTCTCTGCTTGAGGAACGCCTCTTGCGCAGGAGTGAGGATGACTGGGAGGTAGTACAGTGGTGGAGGATGTGAGCGGGGCGGGCCCGCCAGTGCGGGCGCTTTGGACGCCCGGGCGGTGGCTGCTGCTAGGTTCGTGTTGTCGGGATCTTGCGGGGGCTCGGGGAGAGAGGGCGGGTCGGTTAATGGGATGTCGGGGATGTTGTCGGAGGTCAGCAGGAAGTTGGCGAGGAGCGGCAGACGTGTCCGGCGTAGTTTGTACTAGAGTGAGGGTCAGCATGTACGGAGGACCAGAGCCACAGAAGGCGGGCAGCCGTATGTGGAGGTGGAGAGGACGTACAATGGAGTCCTTGAGCTGCAACTCCTCCTCCTTGCGGTTCGAGGCGGTCTTGTCCTTCTTCGCCTCCTCCGCGCGCCGTACGCTGTCCGTCTCTTTGCGCAACTTGTCTTGCAGCCGCTGTTCGATCTCTTGCCGCTTTTTTGCCTGCCAGCACCGCGCGCATCAGCCATACCGACAGACTAGAAGAAAAGCAGGGTATCGCACCGCATCGCTTTGGCCCCGCTGCCGGTCCTCGTTCTTCGCCTTCGTAAGCGTACCTAGAGCGAGCGCGAACATCGACTTGCCGCGTTTGCGTTGACCTGCTTCCGTCGCCATGTCAATACGCGGCCGCTTCCGCCCTGTCTTCGTCGACTCCTCTCCGCCCTGCGTGTTCGCGCTGTCGACCATCTGCGTGTCCGCGTCCGGCGCTGGGGATGGTGAGCTGAGCAGATACGATCCGTGTCAGTGTTTGTGAGGGAACGCTGTGCGGTGTGGGGTGCATACGTTTCTGTCGCCATCATGCCTTTGTTTTTGTTTGAGCAAGCCGGGTCTGTTGAGGGAGGGGAGGTCGCACCGTTGGCGGATCGTGATGGAGGGACGCAAGATGTACGGTCACAATAAGCGTACACTAGTCATTGTTGTGATCGCGTTACAACTCATGAATGGGCCAATAGTAATGTTTCTATGCCTTTGTAAGGTACATTACAATACAGTAACACGACCATACACAGCCGTAGCCGCCCGCTGTACACCGTGACTGCGACCACCACCGCGACATTCAACCACTGACGAGGTCTGATTCACCATGGCTTCAAAGCCATCCAGCCGTCAGAAAGTGGTTAAGCCATCCTCTACTCCTGCGCGCAAGCAGCAGAAGCCAGCGCCAGCGAAGAAACAACCCCTCTCCAACGAAGATCGCTTGAAGCGACTATTCACATCTCTGTGCGCGCAGATAGACGGCGGGTATTTCGTGAATGCAATCAAGACATGCGACAAGAGTGCGTGCCGGTGCCATGCTAGACTATGTATATCTGTGTCGCTGACTGCGGGTACGCACACAGTACTACGCGTCGATCCGCGAGACCAAGACGCGCTGCAGACGAAACTCTTCCTGCTCCTACAGACGGAGCGATATGTTGCAGCCCTTTCGTTGATTAGCGGTGTCAATGAGAATGGCGGACAGAGTCAAGATGACGCGTTCGCGTTCGAGAAAGCATACACACTGCACCGTTTGCATCGGGAGGATGAGGTTACGGACGTGTTGAAGTCACTCAAGGAGAAAGGTGTCGAGGAGAACCGAGGAGTTTCCCACATGGAGGCACAGCTCGTGCGTGCTTCTTGGCCACAGTGACTCACACCTCTAAACACTGTCTCTTCAGGCGTATCGAGAAGGCGAGTACCAGACAGCCTACGACCTCTACAACACTCTTCTCGACACCGCTGAGCCAGTGCGTATTATACGTTGATGTCCACACGGACGAACCTCACGCGTTCTTCACAACATCAGCACTCCGACGAGCAAGCCGATATTCTGACCAACCTCTCCGCCGCCCAGGCGCACCTCGACTTCCTCACTTCTGACTATCTTACCTCCCTCTCCGCGCTCCCCCAGTCTATCACGGACTCCCTCGAGTCTGCGCCTCCTCCTGCAGTGCTCGCGCCTTCGATCCCGACTGCGGCGGCACAAAGCAGGGACGCCCCACAGCCCCAAGCCCCGCAGAAGAAGCCTCGGACACGCAGGATACCGAAAGGCGTCGTGCCCGGGGTAACCCCGCTGCCCGACCCAGAGAGATGGCTGAAGAAGAGTGAGCGATCGAGCTTCCTGCAAGCGCATGCTAGGCGGAGAGGAAGAGGTGGCGGGGGAGCGACGCAGGGTGTGGTGGAGACCCCTGGTGCTACCGCCGGCGGAGGCGGTGGAGGTGGAGGTGGAGGCGCGAGTAAAGGAAAGAAGAAGGGAAAGAAGTAGAGCTGAGGCACGTATGTCCGATTTGGTGTCGTGATACCCACTCACGCGTAGTGTGTTGCGACAGGAGCATGCTGAATGTATATCATTATAGTCAGGAAGCCCTCCTAACTTGACAGCGCCGTCTCATTACTGTGCCATAACGAAGGCTCCGCATGCAGGAACGTGGATGTACGTCTTGTAGCTTGCTGGAGCTGGCCCCATCTCTGTGTATCTTGTCCACCGGCGATCAAAGCAGTCCCGCAATTACCGTGTGCTACGTAGCACAAAGTTGCACTCTAGCAACAAACCTCAGCCCTGCGGTAGCAATTGATCCATCGTTTCTTTCGATCCATGGCTCGCGGGAGCAAGGTCGCTGTGCGGGATTTTACGACGATCATTGCGTCCCTTCGAGATCAGTAGGCGGATCAGACTAGCTGAGTGCTCTGCCTAGTAGCTTCTCAGATCATTTCCGTCGTCGCTCACAAGGCGTACTGACCTTGGGCCTTATGCCATGCAGGAGCCACGAGCCACCAGAACCTACTAGCCTCATTCCGCAAGTGCGGCGTCGGACCAAGTGGTGTCTGGAATTAATCTATGTCGATCGAAGCCCCGTACACTGCACGCTGGGGGAGTATTGGAGGTGAGCACGAGGGCTAGGTACAGTACGTTCAGTCTGTCAGTTGACATGCCTCGCGACCTCCAGCTGCAGGCATGGCACCATTCTGTACCTTATACTGGAAGTCGCTTTCATACGTTCGGAAGCCGCGAAGGTGGGCAGGAAACTACGTGCTATATGCATTGCACATACTCAGCACGTGCACTTTCTGACTCTCACATTATTCAGGGCCGTAGTTGTATCCGCAAACTTCATCTAAGTCACATTATAAGTGTGTGTCCCACTCGACATGTTTAGCTGGACGTCCAAAGCTCAAAACAACAAACGTTCAACGGTTGAACCAACTTGTTCAAAGCCACGGGCGCTTGGCTCTGTACCCAAGCGTCATTACTCCGCGTGTTGGCCGCGCGATGTCGGGGATGAGAGAAGTACATTATGCGACATTTGTCCCGGTCAGGTCAGAGAGAAGCAGTTCGTAGCGGCTTATGATGACCATCCTGCGATTGCCTAGACCGTCATCACACAACCTTTTAGCTACAGGGTCGAAACCGGGCGCTCCCGGACGGCAAGCCACCGCTTCGCTAACGGTGGAAGGCAAGGTACCCGGCCCCATCTGGCCACCGTCGTCGCCGCGGATGGATCCCATTTCAGTCACCCCAGTGGTGCGTCCAATGGGTCGATTACACGCTTCATTCCAAGGCAGAATCTCGATCGCATAATTCTCCAATGCACCATGTTGTGGTGGCGACCTTGCGGGGACCACCTGGAACGTGTCTGCCTGCTGCGGCGGGGGCCCATCCAGGGCGTGGACAAAGCACCTTCGGTGTGAAAGTTCCATTCGTGTTTCATCGAAGTCAGCGCCGACGCGCGTAACACGCCGGCTTTTGCATTGTCCAGTTCGCCACTGCCGCCACTGCCGGGTAGGTATAAGAGCTTGGCTGCAGCGGCGACGAACCTCAGCACTCCCTGTGCCCTTGACTCAGTTGCCTACCCGGATACCTGACCAGTCCTCGCAATGTCTCACCCCGAAGTCCTTGGTGTCGTTGTTCTCGCCCGCAATGGCGACCGTACGGAAGCGTACCAGGATCCCATCACGTACCAGCCGGGCCCGACGCTGAGCACGCCGCTTGGCGAGGTATGTTATCTAGTGTGTCCTTGTGGCACTTGCTGACGCCTGTTGTAGGTTCAATCACATCAGCTGGGCGTGTACCTGCGTAACCTTTACCTCAACGCGGAGAACCCTTCGCACATCCGGGGCATTAGGACCGACCTGATCGACCTCGCTCAGGTGCACGTCCGTGTCAAGGTAGGCGCAGAGGGCCCCTCGGTCTTCGACTCCGCGACGGCGCTTCTTCAAGGGCTGTTTCCGCCTACTCTTGCGAACAAGGAGTTCCTTGCGAACGAGACGGAGGTGATCGCTCCTCTCGGTGGTTACCAATATGTTCCAGGTCAGGACATCTACGCCGGTCTTATTTTGCCTGCTTTTTGGATAGCTGACTGTGTTTCTAGTTGAAACCGTGGAGCCTAGTAATGACCGCTCTCTAGAAAGCTGGACTGACTGCCCAGTATGTACTTTCAATACCAATTTCATAGGGTAATCCGCTGATGAAAATTTACCGTAGGCTTTTGAAGAGCACGTCAAAAAGGTGCATGGCTCCTCTGAGTTCAAGGAGATGGCAAAGGGCGCGTCTCGCTACTTCAGCGACGTCCGCGATTTCATCTTCGGCAGGCCGGCCACCATGGAGAATGCGGTCAGTAGTATCCACCTGTCACTTTAGTGACGCGTACTGATTCGTTGTCGCGCTCTGCAGTACAACGTGAGTTCGTGCATCGTGTGTGAGATGTCTGGCACTGACCTGGGTATTGTTAGATGTGGGACTACATCTCTACTGAGCTCGTCCACAACCGCACGTATGCCCACCGTCTGCCCCCGACCTTCGTTGAACAGGCCCGTGGTCTGGCTGACTTCCGCGAGAACCTGGTCTTCTCTGACGCCGACATGGCTGGCATTGGAAACAGTTAGTGTCCATTTCGCTTCTACGCGTCTACTCTCTCACACGTTCATACAGTTGCTGGCCGCGCCGCTCTGAGCAGCATTGTCGATGCCCTACAGCGCGTCGCCTTCAATGGCGACCCGCTGCAGTTCATGCTCATTCAGACCACTTACCAGCCGTTCCTCTCGATCTTCCATATGACCGACATCGTGAAATCGCACCCCGAGCTGGCCGCCATCCGTACGTTATCGAATGCTCTTTGGTCACTTAGTGCTAATCAATGCCACTACGATCAGCGGACTTCGCATCTGCCTTCGCCATTGAGTTGCGCCGTGCTCGTGCGCCTGATGTCCGAGACTTCCTCCGCTTCAAGTTCAAGAACGGCACGTCGGAGGACTTCGAGACTGTCCGCGTCTTCGGTCACGAGGAGGACATCCCTCTCACCGAGTTCATCTACCGTCTCGAGGTGCGTAGTTTCGATTTGAGACTAAAATGCAGCGGCGCTCATGTTGCTTCAGAACTCTTTGATCAGCAGCAACCGCGAGTGGGCTAGGGCATGCAGCACCGGCTCGACGTGGGCTACTCTGCCTGGCGTGAACGCCCAGAGCAGCCCTGTCCTCGATGTGTGCTGGGGTGTCATCATGGCGTTCATCATGATGCTCGGCTTCTGGTTGGTGTCGAAGGGCGTGAAGAACATGAGGCGTCGCGGTTACGTGCGCCTTCAAGGAGAGGAGGTAAGCTTCACATTTCGTAACAATGTAGTTATCTGAAGCCTTTTGGTCAGGAATTGCATGGCGCGCAAGTGAGCGAGAAGAGCCACATGATTCACAGGGGGGCTTGAATGGTAGTCGGGTGACTTCGCCGTCTTTCTGCTGTCTTCGCTCCAAGGACTCGAGCACATTTCACTTGTTATCAACGGCTCTATGTACGAGGCGCGGACCGTGTCCCGCTGCTCATTGACTACACATGATTCTCGCTATCCACGTTCAAACAATTTTCTCTGATGCATCTACTACCCCATCCATACAGCAATACATGTGATTCCTTATTCTTCATGAGTTGTGGGTGTAAGAGGATGTTTGTTTGCTCGCATTGACCGTTGTGTGCATGGTGACCGATATCGGTTACCTTAGAAATATAGATCAGCGCAGCGTCGTCGTAGAAGCTCTTGTTGCTAGGTGCCCTATATCTGCGCATTGTACTCCGGGCATCCTGTTTAGTATTACTACGTCTCCATCACAGCGTTGATGTAAGCTCACTGTCTTCATAGTACAGCTCATGTATTCAAATTCTCTATCACATTGGTTTATCTCCACGTCAACACGAGATGCGAACATCAATACAGGACAAGAAAGTGATCCTAAGGCAGCATTTTGCGTTTCCGACGTTCACATCCAAATGTCCATGAGTTCCTTCTTCGCCGTGTCCAATCGCTCCCACCTCTTCTGCAACTCCTGTCGGCGAGTGACGACATTAGGAGGTTCTTGGAGGAAGTCCTTGCAGCGCCGCTGGCCATCTGGCCCCGTTATACCCAAGCCCTTCAGCAAGACGCTTTCCAATGCACCGTCTTTGTCGAGACCGAGCACGAGCTCGTGATCGACTGCCATAGGCACGTAGTCAACATATCGCTTGTACGCCACTGTGGGTTATGGTCAATGGGGAAACCCGCACCGCAAATAATCCCAACGGTCCTACCTTGGAAATACGCACGAACACAAGCCATGATGTTCAGTGCGGGCTCGTACGGATCAGTGGGTAAGAGCTTGGGGAGATCTGTTGCTTTGGTACCAGAAATGCCTATCGCGCTCAGCCCAGAGAGCACTGTCGTGACTTCCAATTGGAAATCCGTCGTCATCTTGACCGAGCGCAAGGCTGATGGATACCGCTCCAACTTGGACATCAAGTCGCTGGAACTGCTGTTGGTCCTGTATGCACGGTAACGCGACATGAACGTATCCCGATAGTTAGAGTAGTAGTGTCCATTGAGCGTGCATGGACGCTGCTCCAGGGCGAGGATCCAGGAGACTCGAGCTATGGTTTGAGTGCAACACTCTTTGATGTGTTCATTCATAATATTCCTGGGACGAACGCCAATTCAGCCGGACATGTGGCGGAAAACTGATTCTGTCTTACACTACGCTTTGTTGCAGTCCACCGTGCGCGAACTTTGCGAAGTGCTGCGTGACGATCTGCCTTACGTATGTCGTCAATATTCTCTCTATGGCGTCGAAGAGGTTCTTCGTCGGGACATCCCATTTGACGGTGATTGCGCTGATATATTGTTGGACAACCATATAAGGGTAGTAGTCAGGCAGCTCGCGTGTCGTAGCCCTTCAGTGTGCGTAAGCATAAGTATAGGTCAATGACAGGGATGCTCCACGTACCCTCTAGCACGTTGCATCACTTCATCAACGTAAATGGCGTGATTATCGTTGACGGTTTTCCATGCATGAGGTTCCTCGGCCTGCAGGAACTCGGCCTGCTGGAGCTGCGCTGCTTCCGAACTATCGGTTTGGCATCTGGAACCCTTCGTACGCCGCTGGTAAGGTCGGAAGTCAGGAGCGGTCTCTCTGATCGCCTCTCTGAATCGCTCTTGCACCGGCCTCAGGGTCTGCAGGAGACCGTTCCCTTCCGGAGTCCCCTCCAAGTGCTTGGACATGTCCCGGGCGAAGTTGGATAGGAGGTGGAGGATCTCCGCGAAGGCATCATTCGAGGGCGGTTTCGGAAGCTGACGGAGGGCCTCCTCGGTGGTCTGCAGAAGATTCTGCAGTTCGTCCTGCAACTCCGGCAGCCTGCGCGGGGAGCACAGTAGTGAGCACCACATCACTCGGGATACTCGACTGGAATGCAACACTCACCGCTTCGCGATCAGCTCAGACAGTATCTGGCTGAGTCGTTCGGTCAAGTTGGCCGTACCGAGGTATCGCTGATATTCAGGATCGAGTTCCGACCAGATAGATGCCGACGAGAAGTACTCGCGCTCATGCAGGCGCGCGTCCGCCCAAGTGATGCCGGAGGCGAGAGCGCGCGAGTCGGGCTGCTTGACGCTGAACCATCCATTGTCGAGCGGCTCATACTCGTTCTTGATGAAACGAGTCCACTGGGCTTCTTCGCCCGAAGGGATGCGATCCGGTTTGGTCAACACACCTGTGGAAAGATGATCAGCGATACTGGGTGGCACGTGGGATTCAAAGGTGTACCTATGGTGCGCTTGCCTTCAGGATCGTACTGCTTGGCAAGGTGGTGCGCGCCCTGATTCTCGAAGTCAGCTGAAGGATGGTGTAACCGTCAACCATGTTCAACACTTGTAAGGTAGTAGATGTCGCACTTTCGCAAGCTACAGTGAGGAGCACGATGCAGCTTGGCTTCGAGATGTAAAACGTGACAAGACTGGTGATAAGCCCAATGTCAGACTCCTTCCCGCCCTTGCCTACACTACTGATGAGACCTGCCAAACATCCTCAGTACGATACAACATGATCACACCCCATCATATACAAGACATACCTGGAAGGTCGCAGAAAGACAGATCGGCGACGTCGCTGCCGCGGATCTGAAGGCACACGCAGTTGGTTGTGAACGACAGTTCGGGGCATGCCGGATCTTCGTCGGCTCCCTGTAGGAACTGAGATGCCTTGGTTCCAGGGTTCAGGGCAGCGCGTTGAGCACGTCTAATCCGCTCCTCGACCTGAGCCTTGTCGTATATGGTGTCGCCGAAGATCTCATTGCGCGCATGGCCGAGCGCTTGGCCATGTTGGTCGGTGACGAACCGGAGCGAGACAATGCATTGCCACGGCTGCGCATCAGAACATGTAAGGCGGCACTCTGTCGGACATCTATGATGTTGTTCTTAGCAGGAACAAACAAACATAGTCGGATCCATACTTGCCTCGTACAGGTACCGCTAGCCCTCGGAAGGGTGATGCCGGAAATGGACTCGATGAGGGACGACTTCCCCGCACTCTGGTTGCCGATGACAGCAATCACCGGTAAATCAACGTCTCGCTGAACACTAAGCCACGGCATGAAAAGACGATTTCAGAGTGTGTAATGTCCACGTACCCTGTGTTATGCAGACGATTGATTAGATCAAGCAGCTTTCGCCGAACCGTCGAGTACTTCGGGTCTGACAAGCCGACCCCACCAGCTCCAGGCTCTATCCCAGAGCTGTCGGTCGTCTGGTCAACTCCGGTCGATGGTAACATAACTGTCGCAAGGGACGTTGGGAGAGCTATGGAGGTTGCTGTCCTGCTGTAAAGGAGGAAAGCGTGCAGAGCGACAAGCCCCAGAAGGGGCCTTTATACTACGAGCTGACGGCAATGTCAAGAATTCTCACAACTCTGCGGCCTTGCCGTTCGTGACGTGCTTGGAGCGCGCATAGCGCGCGGCGACGATCTTCAAGGTATCCGCAACGATTTTGGGCGGTGATACACGCCCTTCTTCGTTGAAGAGGTGAGACAGATACTGTGTCGTGTCTCTTCTGCAACAGAATCACATAATCTATGCGTCAGCGGCGGCGACCATGGTGCTCGATGACGCTGTACGTCTATATGAGAACCGATTATCAGCCTGGGGACGCGAGCCAACGGAGTGTGGCGTATCAGAAATTGTACACACCGTGGACCGTTGGTGAACCGTACTCGATGGATCGAAACCATGAAGGCGCACGCCGGCGAAGAGCTGGTGGTGATCCGCGTCAGAACGTAAAATGCACCATACCTCGTGTGCTAGATATCGGTAGGTCATACTCAGGCTTGCTGCATATCATACATTGAACGTCGATACGGATGACTACGTATGCAGGCTCACCAGGCTCATGCATATGCACCTAGCGGTCAGCGCAAGTGCAAGGCGGGTTAAAACTCCGATATCCACTCTCCCACTGACAACTGAATCCGGGTAAGTAATACGTAAGCGACATCGCCGCATCATAAGTTAAGGAAGTTAGATCATGTAAGGAACTTGAATACGCAAACCCAACACTACTAGGCCCGCTCAGACTGAACGGGTAAGGGTACGGGTACGGGCAAGGGCAACGTCACGGGACGTACCCGGGCGGCTCAGCCACGGCTGCCACGCAGCCACCGCGCTAGGGTTAGCGGCGGGTGGCTGCTAACCCTAGCCTTTTTCTCGCGGGCTTCTAACCATGGCAATAATTGTGGTCTCGAGTCTCAGAATAATTTACTTACATCACGGCCTTTCGGTGGCACTAATACGAGTCCGGTCGCACACTTGTACATGATTTTGACTTCTATCTTACTGTAGTGATTACCCTACAGACCAATGTCAGCCTGCCGAAACACTGCCAAAATAACACTTGCCTAAATCGGGTAAATGTAACCGTAAAAAGGAACCACTCCCCTCGCAGAGACTGAGATAATTACTGGGTATGTTATTGTGATTGCAGACGCTCTGACTCGCTATCCACACCGTCTGTATTCTCTGGTTTGTACGTATGCCTCAAATGAAAGGGATAACTGAGAGGTAGGTTACAGGCGCTGGAGAGAAAGGCTAGGGTTAGCAGCCACCCGCCGCTAACCCTAGCGCGGTGGCTGCGTGGCAGCCGTGGCTGAGCCGCCCGGGTACGTCCCGTGACGTTGCCCTTGCCCGTACCCGTACCCTTACCCGTTCAGTCTGAGCGGGCCTACTGTCAAATGCACGCAGCCCCAGTCGCTATTAATCGGAGACTCTATTGTGCCGCCTACGTCTACGGTTTGAGAGAATGTGTACATCGGTATATGACAAGAAAGGGGTAGTAACACAGCGTGTCCTTTCCAACGTTCACAGCCAAATGTCCATTAGTTCCTGCTTAGCCGTTTCCAACCTCTCCCACCTCTTCTGCAACTCCTGACGGCGAGTGACGACATTCGAAGGCTCCTGCAAGAAGTCCTTGCAGCGCCGCGGGCCATCCGACCCAGTGATGCCTAAACCCTTCAACAGCACACTTTCCAGCGCACCGTCCGAGTCGATCCCGAGGATGAGTTCACGATCCACCGCCATAGGTACGTAGTCTACATATCGCTTGTAGGCCACTGAGACGCGCCAATCAGTCATGACCCTGCTGACTGGAGATGGACGAACCTTGGAAGTACGCGCGCACGCAAGCCATGATGTTCAATGCGGGCTCGTATGGGTCCGGAGGCAACAGCTTGGGGAGGTCTGTTGCCTGCACACCAGCGATACCGATCGCGCTTAGTCCGGACAACACTTGCGCCGTGTTCCTCTGAAACTCCGTTTGATTTCTCCCATTGGAGCCAGAGTACTTTAGCTTTCCCAGCTCCGTCAACAGGGAATCAGAGCCACTGCTGGATCGGTACGCGCGGTAGTGCGATACGAACTTGTCCCTGTAGTCGGAGTAGTAGTGGCCGTTCAGCGTGCACGGCCGCTGCTCCAGCTCCAGCAACCACAGGACTTTCGTGATCGTTTCTTCGCAACGTTCCTTGATATGCTCGTTGACCACAGTTCTGGTGGACCGAGGTTTCAGTGCACAGACGGTCACAGAGAAGAGCATAGCTTACATGACATGCTGGTGTAGTCCGCCGTGGGTGAACCTCGAGAAGTGCCGCGAGACGACCTGCTTGACGTAGGTCGTCAGGATCTTTTGCACCGAGTCAAACAGATTTCTCGTCGGGACATCCCACTTGGAGGTGACGGCATTGATATACTCCTGTATGACAACAAATGGGTAATAGTCGGGTAACTCGCGTGTCGTAGCCCTAAGGCACTCTTAGCATCGGATTGATACCGTATAGAAGGTGAACATACTCTCGAGCTCGCGCCATTACTTCATCCACGTACACAGCGCGATCATCATTGCCTACTTCCCAAGTGTCAGGCTCTTCAGCACGCAAGAACTCAGGTTGTTGAAACTGTGTCCCATCGGCATCAACGAGGTCTTGCTTCGCCATATCAGTCTCTCGATCCTTGGCACGTTGTGGCTTCGGGAATGGTCGGAAGTCAGGCGCCGTGTCTCGGATCGCCTTCTTGAACCGCTCCTGCACAGGCCTCAGGGTCTGTAGGAGACCGTGTCCCTCCGGTGTCCCTTCCAGATGCTTGGACATCTCTCGAGCGAAGTCGGACAACAGGTGAAGAATCTCTGCGAAGGCGTCATTCGATGGCGGTTTCGGGAGCTGGCGCAAAGCATCTTCAGTTTTCTGCAAGAGATTTTGAAGTTCGTCTTGCAGCTCCGGAAGCCTACACGCCAAGCACATAGACATCAGCATGATATGGCTGCGCATTCTAACAAATGTGCAGTGCTCACCGCTTCGCTATCAGTTCAGACAGAATCTGACTGAGTCGTTCGGTCAGGTTCGTCGTCCCGAGGTATCGCTGGTATTCTGGATCGAGCTCAGACCACACAGACGTGGACGAAAAGTACTCGCGCTCCTTTCGGCGCGCGTCTGCCCAAGTTATGCCGGAGGCGAGAGCGAGCGAGTCGGGTTGCTTAACGCTGAACCATCCATTGTCCAGCGGCTCGTACTCATTCTTGATGAAACGAGTCCAGCGAGCTTCTTCGCCGGAAGGGATACGGTCTGGCTTGGTCAGTACGCCTGTGTAATGGTGATAAGGAACGTAGGATAGTACACAGGACCAACGGGTGTGCCATACCTATGGTGCGCTTGCCTTCAGGGTCGTGCTGCTTGGCGAGATGGTGCGCGCCCTGATTCTCGAAGTCCGCTAAAGGACGATGTGACCATCAGGCACTGTCGATACTCAAAATCTCAGACAACTCACTTTCACATGCTACAGTGAGGAGTACGATGCAGCTTGGCTTCGATATGTACGAAGTGACGAGGCTAGTGATGAGCCCGATGTCGGACTCCTTTCCACCCTTGCCTACGCTGCTGATAAGACCTGAGGTTCGACATCAGTTCAAATCAACATTCTGGCGCGTCGAACAAAATACATACCGGGAAGGTCACAGAAGGACAGATCAGCAACGTCACCACCGCGGATCTGGAGACAGACACAGTTCATCGTGAACGAGAGCTCTGGGTGCGCCGGGTCCACATCAGCTCCCTGGAGGAACTGGGAAGGCTTGACACTGGGGTTCAAGGCAGCACGCTGTGCACGCCTGATGCGCTCCTCGACTTCAGCCTTGTTGTGGATGACTTCCCCGAAAGGCTCGTTGCGCGCATGGCCGAGCGCCTGACCGTGCTGGTCGGTGACAAAGCGAAGCGAGACGATGCACTGCCAGGGCGCCGTGTCAGACCATGTTAGACGACACTCCGTCGGACACCTGCGGATGGGGCGTGAACAGAGTAAGGTACATCTAATTGAGACTGAACTTGCCTTGTACAGGTACCGGTGGCCCTCGGCAACGTGATACCCGAGATGGACTCTATGAGCGACGATTTGCCTGCGCTCTGGCTCCCAATGACTGCTATCACGGGTAAATCGACGTCCCGTTGCACGCTGGAATGGATACAAAATGAGAATTAGCACTGGCATACGTGACTGATATGTACCCTGTGTTGTGCAATCGGTTGATGAGATCAAGAAGCTTGCGCCGCACAGTCAAGAATTGTGGATCTGACAAGCCGATGCCACCAGCTCCGGGCTCGATTCCGGAGCTGTCGCTCGCCTGGTCAGGTCCATTCGAGGGCGAGGCAGTCGCAGCAGGGGATGTGGGAGTCATTGTGGGTCGCCGTTCTACTACTTGGCGAGAGGGAAGTGCGTGGTACGATAACCGCAGAGTGCCTTGTATAAAAGCGGACCGTCATGACAGAATTCCTCACAAGTCACAACGAGGCAGCCTTGCATTCCTACGCGCGCACGGAGCATGCATAGCTCGCGGCGATTTGCGAAGACCTTCACGCTATCCGCAGCATGTGGCAAGCATACATGTGCTTGAGTTCGCCACGAACGGAGACGACAGGATAGCCGCACCCATGCGCAAGTGGCGATGAGCATGGTGTTCGGTACTACTAGATTTCTATACGAGACCCGATCATCAGCCTGAGACTGTGAGCCAACAGATGGTGGCGTATCAAAGTTCAAACGTACCAGAAAACATATGTGACGGAAGTTCAGAAGCACAAAACGCGGTCGAGGGCTGCTTGAGATCCGCGTCGAAAGTATGTAAGGGCTTAGGGCAGCGGGCTCCACCCCTCTTCGTCGTGCGATGCCAGAAGGCTACTACGTGCTCTGGAATTTACCCGCATGTACTTGTTGAAGAGGGAGGCGACGAGGGTTGGCGTCAACTTGTTTCGAATCTGCTAAGTAGCCTAGCCTGAGAGCAATTCGCCACCCGACCGCCACCACCAGTGGCCCACCGTGACAGGAATCGGGGTTGGATCTCTCGGAGGGTTCGTGGTGGCGCTTCTTCTCGACGCGACGTCGACGCCACAGTGCGACCACGACCGCTATCGCCCCTCCTCCTTCTTGCCATCGACCTGATCAATGTAACTGCACGTCGACGTCTAGATCTTCTACATATACTGGACCGAGTTAAGCGCAAATTCACGTGGAGGGGGTCTGGAGTACTGGTCGGTACGCTGTTGCAGGCTCATGGCGAGTCGGGGCGACCTCGCGGCCTCAGCTTCCACACTCCATGAATAGCTTGGGGAACCGACGTTCACAACGTGGAATGACAAGAGCATCTGCGTAACCGTGTTCTGCACTACCAGATCCTCTTGACTTGTGAGTCTTCAGTGTTGATACCGGTTGAAAGCCATTAATTGCTGAGCCACGGTAACGGCCTCGTCTTCACTGCAGCTCGGTACGTATTCATTCGGGTTCCTGTTCTCCGAATCGACTCTTGGTAACTTACAGCTGTCGGCAGTGCACTTACGTCAATCTTTACCTGTGCATTTGTCATTCAGAAACGCCTGAACGCGCAAGTCGACTCAGACGGCTGTGTATGCGTCTAAGATTGGCATCGACTTCGTGACGTCGGTGAACCTTGTTCTTGAAATGTACGTTTCTCAGCGCACAGGGCCGATTCTTCGATGCTGTCTAAAGGGGACATCGGCCACTACTGACAAAACGTGTCCCTCCCTCCATTGCAACAAAGTATACATACTAGTCCGCTACTATCGGAGGTATTGTCGGCGTTCATCGCTGATATCACAGCGCCGCGCCTCTCGCTGTCAGAGTCATGATGATGATGACCCATGCATTAGCTCCGCCATCGCAGCTCGTGCTTCAAAGCATGATGCTGCGGATATTCGAGACTTATAAACTGCCCGTTGCGAGCGCCGTGTATACCTCTGCCTACGCAGAGGATCCCAGTTGAGTTGTCATGTTCGTGCTACTTGCCGGCGTACTTGGACTCGCTGCCTTCGCGCAGCTCGTTGCGGCTTCACCAGACTCTGTCGATTCGACCAACGGATCCACGCCCGTGATCGATCTAGGCTATGCCCAGTACCAGGGCACATTCGAATCCGATACTAACACTTCCTACTTCCTCGGTATTCGCTATGCACAGGCTCCAGTAGGCGAGTCCCATGTCATTTACGGTGTCTAACCTATCCAACTGACGTTTGTGCCAGGGCACCTCCGCTGGCGGGCACCACAGACGCCGACCGCTACGACAGGTGTGCAGCCGGCGACAGAGCAACCGAATGAATGCTACCAGAGCGCACTGAACGGGCAGTCGAGCACGAACCCGTACAGAACAGCGACCCTCCAGAAACGAGCGGGGGTTACTCAGGATGAAGATTGTCTCTTCCTGAAGTAGGTTTCTTCGTATTTGTGCTTATATATCACAAGCTCAAATGGCCGCGGCCAGTGTATATACTCCGGGAGAGTTGCAGCCTAATGCCAGCCTACCTGTTGTTGTCTGGATACACGGTGGAGGGTACGTAAATGTCAGTGTCTGTAACTTTGCAAACTAACGAATGTCCAACGCACAGATATATTTCCGGGGCTGCAAGTGATTTCACTGGCCAAGATCTGATCAAGGAGTCGGACTATGGCGTTGTCGTTGTCATCATTCAATACCGTTTGGGTGTCTTCGGCTTTCTTCCGGGCTCCGAGGTGAAGGCGAATGGTGTGCTAAACGCGGGACTACGTACGTACCCCCTCCAACCGGCAAATACGTGCTGTTTCTCTAAGCCATAGGCAATAGTCGACCAACATTTTGCTCTACAATGGGTCCAAGAGCACGTCAGCATAATCCCGTACACTCGTGTTTATGACATCGTTATTGACTGGTGTTTAAGATTGCTACGTTCGGCGGCGATCCGACGAAGGTTACCATTTGGGGTGAATCTGCGGGTCAGTAGTGTATTTTAAAGCATGAGGCTGTCGGCGACTCATTGGTCTACAATTGCAGGTGCCGGTTCAGTGTTACAACACATCGTCGCAAATGGTGGGAAGACAGATCCCCCGCTGTTCCGTGCTGCCATGACAAGCTCGACGTTCTTGCCTTTCCAATACCATTACAACGATACTATCCCAGAGGTACATTGCTGTCCAAGCACCGGTCTAGTATTTTGCTCAAGATCACGGATAACAGACGTTGTTCCGAGAGACTGTCAACCAGACGAAGTGAGTGATTATTTTCAACTGCTTGTCAACGTGCTTATCCGTACATGTTACTAGCTGTTCCAATGCCTCAGACAAGCTCGAATGCTTGCGCAGCGCGAACGCAACTACATTGCAGACAGCGAACGTAAACATCAACGAAGCGGGGTTCTACGGAACGTTTGTCTTTGTTCCGGTAGTCGACGGCTCCTTCATCGTCGAGCGCCCGACCGTGACGTTGCAGCGAAAGGACTTCAATGGCGTAAGTCCCTTGCTTCCCATGTACGCATGGTGCACTCATTGTGGGACTTGACAGGAAATGTTGCTCTCCGTCACGAACTCGCTTGAAGGATATGTCTTCGTGGATACCAGCTCGCCACCGACTAACCTCACAGCATATGTCACGGAACTATTCCCGCTGCTGAACGAGACGACAGTACAAAGCATCGTCCAAACTTATGCTGATGACCAGGCACTGTCTACGACCTTGTCGCAAATCGTCGCTGTGATGGGAGAATGCGAGTACCTACGTGCCACTCCTCACGCCTGTATCGCTGACTCGCGAACACAGCAATATTCGTCTGCCCTACATATCTGCTGCTGCAGGCGTTTGGTAACCGTGCCTACAAGGTTTGCTCACAATCTGATGTGTTCCGCACCACCGATTGACGACCCGCATGCCTAGGGCGAATTTGCTATACCGCCCGGATATCACGGTCAAGATGTTCAATACTACTTCCCAACGTACGTTTCCCCTCCTTCCAAGTTAAAGTAGGCCTGAACAAATGTGTGGTGAAGCGCGTTACCACCAGCCTACAACAACTCCGAGTTCATCACTTCGTTCTCGCAGTCGTTCTTGTCCGTTGTGCGCTCGTTGAACCCGAACGACAAGTTCATCCCCGACTTGACGCCTGCTTGGTCGATATGGGCAAATGACGCCACAGAGATGCAGTTTAATGTGACTGCCTCCGGAGATCCAGTCATAGAGACGATCACGACAGATCCGGCTCTGCTAGAGCGGTGCGCGTAAGTGCTCCTTTACTAGTCATGCGTGCTGAGGCTCACCTTCTCGGACGTGAATCTTTAGGCTATGGCAGAATCTCAGCAGCTTGACAAATCAGTAATAGCATGACGGCGAGGTGTCCGATTTCCCTATTGTCACGAGGACCGTAGTGAAGACATCGTCGGCCATAGTATATTTCATTAGGATATTGAGCCTCATTTGCGACTAGCACATATCAGTGCTTCGACGTTTATGCAGCCAAGTCAGTGTCAAGAACGTGTTTACGCAAAGTACATGTTACATCTTTGTTACCGAGACAGGCCTCTGCAGCTTCGCGCTCCAACTATTACTGGCGCAATCTCATCAATTCCTTCCTCGCCTTGTTCAGCCGATCGCGTTTGTTCCTTAACTCCTCACGACGAGCCGCGACGTTGCCATCCTCGCGCAGGTATTCGGCGCACAAGCGGAACCCGTCCGGGCCGCTCACCCCAAGCTCCTTCCTCAAGACGGCGTCGAGTGCCTGCCCGCGGTTCAGGCCCAGCACGAGTTCGTGGTCGATCGCATTCGGGACGTTGTCGGCGAACCTTTTGTAGGCGACTGAAGGTCGAATGAGCCGCGCTGGCACCCAGAGCCTCTGGACGGAACACCTACCTTGGAAATATGCGCGTACGCTCGCCATGATGCTGATCGCGGCCTCGTAGGGATCAGCAGGGAGCACCTTCGCAAGATCGGTCGGCTCGATGTCGTGAATGTCCAGCGCGCTGAAGGCTGCCATGATTGCTCTAACGTTTTCATGGAACTCGGAGGACCCCTGCGACGCGTTATGCTTCTTCAGCTTTTGGAGGAAGGGAACGTTATTATACTGGGAGCGCTGTCCTCTGTACCAAGCGAGGAATTTGTCGCGGTAGTCGCGGAAGTAATGGTCATTGAGTGTGCGAGGTCGCTCTTCGAGAGCGCGCAGCCACTTCAGACGCTCTCTCGTCGCCTGCGCGCGTTCAGCAATATAATCTGCCACGACGGTCCTAGACAGACATGAGTCAAGAGCTATCAATGCGCAGATGCAAGTACTTACGAGACAGAGAAGTCTAGATGAGGATACTGACTACATTCAGCATGTACGAACTCCGCGATCTTTGCGTTCAGGATTTCCTCGACGTAGTCGAATAGCTGCATAGCTGGGGCCTCCCAGCGAGTGATGACTTCGCGGATGAGCGACTCCGTGACAACAAATGGTATGTTGTCTGGCAGTTCACGCGTGATAGCCCTGGAAGCACGGGTGTAAAAAAACCCCCATGACCATGAGCGAACAAGGTGACAATACTGACTGCAGAGCGAAATCCATGACCTCGTTGATGTAGATCGCATGGGTATTCTCCTCCGGAAGGCATGGTTCTTCTTCATTTGACAGAAACTCCGGCAAGGTGAGACCAGTCCCGTTCCCGTAGTTGAATGGTAGATCGTCGTCGACGTCAGGCTGCTCAAAAGGCCTGAAGTCGGGAGCTGTCTTCCGTATCGCATCTTTAAACTCCTGCTCTTTAGGGCGGATGGTCTGTAACAGACCGTCGCCATTCGGGGTGCCCTCAACGTACTGCGTCATGGCGCTAGAAAACTTGCTGATGAGACCATACACTTCACCCACAGGATCCTTGGACGGTTCTTTGGGGAGTTCGCCCAACTGGCTCTCTGTCATCCTCAACATGTCTTGGATTGTCCTCTGTATGTCGGGGAGCCTGAAGCATGTTGATCAGTATTTGAGGTGCAGTCGACAAGAGTTGCATACGCACCTCTTCGCGATCAGGCCAGACAATACATCACTGCAGCGCTCCGCTAAGTTGAGTGTTCCAAGACGTTGCTGAAACCTGAGTGGCAATGAAGCCCAAGGCATCGCAGAGGCGAAGAAGTCCTTTTCCTCCTGTCGAGCCTGGGTACGCGTGATACCTTCTGCTAACTGGACCGAATCGGGCTGTTTCACGCTGAACCAACCGTTGTCTAGAGCGAGCTCCGAGTACTCGTTCTTGAGCAGGGTGATCCACCGCTCTTCGTCGCCCCTCGGAGCGCGGTCGGGTTTGGTCAGAACGCCTTGAACAGAAGTCAGAGGGGTAGCGACGAAGTCGTGGTAGTCCGTATTCACCTATGGTACGCTTTCCTGCTGGGTCAAAGGTGCGCGCAAGCTGGTAGGCACCTTGGTTCTCGAACTCGGCTGTATCATCGAATGAGGTTAGCTGACAAAGATAATCGTCGAATCAAGGGGGAACTCACTCTCGCATGTCACTGTCAGAAGGATTATACAGCTCTCATTCTTGGCATACTCGGTGACGAGGGCTCTGACGAGTTCTATATCCGCAGTGGTCGTACCGCTACCTGCACTGGCAATTATTCCTGTGGGACAACGTTGAGAACAAGCATAAACATCCGAAGCATGTGCGTTTATACCAGGTAGGTCCACGAAGGAGAGGTCAACAACGTCGGGGCCACTGATCTCCAAGGAAACACAATTCCTCGAGAATGTGGTCTCGGGCGTGGTCTCTTCGCCTCCAGTGAGGAAGAAACTAGCCTCGGTGCTCGGGTTCAGGATCGCGCGCTGGGCGCGGCTGATCCTGTCGGCAACCTCCGTCGCGTCAAGGATCGCGTCACCAAATGGGACGGTGCGGATTTGTACAGCCTGGCCGTGGCGATCGGTTATGAGGCGCAAGGTGACGGTACATTTCCACGGGCTGGATGAGTGCGATAGACGGCACTCGGTAGGGCATCTACATGTACCACGTCGGATCGTCAACTCGTCAACCAACCTTGCCGAGTAGGACAGACCTAGTGCATGTGCCACTCGCCCTCGGTAAGGTGATCCCGCAAATATTCTCGAGAAGCGAGGACTTTCCCGTGCTCTGGGAACCGATGACTGCGATCATAGGTATCTCGATATCCATCGAGACGCTGTATAAACGACGGTCAGTCTGATGTTTCCCTTGATCTCACAGATACAGTGAAGGCTCACCCTGTGCCGTACAGACCATTGGCGACGTCGAGCATGTTACGCCTGGTCGTGGAATAACCCCCGGCCTCGCCGACGTCGGCGGGCTTCACGTCGTTACAGTTAGTGCTGTCGCTGCCGAGCATCTTCATTTTGGGCTGCTGCGCTGAGGACATGCCTGTACGTCGTGCGGTAAAATGGGGAGTCGGACGTTGGCTTATAAATGGCGCAGGAAGACTCCTCGCAACTTCATCACAGTCACTTTCCAATGCGCACTCCGCAAATCCTACGTGTGAGCATGGGAGTCTCAAAAAGCAGACGTACGTCCTGACCCGGTTGTCGCTGCCTTGTGGCGGTTACCATTGAGAGCTTGTCCACTTTGCCATATGACAGCTGTCGGGAAGGAAGAGGGAAAGCCACGACTTTGGTACTCGGACTCTCCTCCAACCCTGGAAAGAAACACATATGCTCTGTACTCTACTTCTCCCTGCGATCTTCGTGCAACGTTTCGTGTGGTGCTAAACAACACGTTGCGCATGTGAACTTCTGACGCAGATCGGTGAGGCTCGAAGGGGAAATGAGCTTACAAATGCATCACCGAAGGCCGTGCTTTGAAACGTCGACATTGTCTTGTTTCTCTGAAGCGACAGATCCTCTTGTCTGTCGTCTGGTAAACGAATAATAAGCACATGTCTCCGCCACCCACCGGCTTTCTAGGACTTGTCCCATATGTAGCACACGTTGCGTTCCTCAAAATCAGCTAACTAGCATACATAGTCAACCAACGCACCACATCATCGTGTGCGGAATCTGTGAACGGCATTTCAGTACCTTCGTAAAGGCGAAGTTGAGGCAACTGGGCACCAACGCTTCCGCGGAGAAGGCACTACCGACAGTAACCGCATGGCATATGGCCTACTACCACGACGACGTTGGTCATGACGCAGAAGCCGACGTTGCGAGGATACGCCTGCTAAGTTCTTGTCCTGAAACACGCTTCTGTCTGAGCCAGGTTCCAGCACTGAGATACATACTTAGGACATCTTACGGAAGTTCTCGTAGGGTGCCTTTCTTGAGACTTGCGCGAGTGTCTCTATGATGTCCTCACGTAATCACGTGTTGCCACTAAGTTAGCTACAGATATGTCGCCAAAACGAACCTTGTCCTTGTCTACCTTCGCTGAACCATGTCTTGTACATGTCTGTCTTCGAAATGTTGCTGAAGCAGCCTCGTCCGGCAATACGACGGCCTACGACGCGTCGTGCCACACGATGGGTGGCAGACTGTTCAAGAAACACGAACCATCACACGGTCACGCGTCGTGCAGACTGTGTATGTCACGCGTTGGTCACGATTACTGAACGTTGAACTGGAAAGTAGACTCTCGAGACTGCCAGTGAGCACTGAGTACTGAGCACTTAGCAAGACATCAACCTCACATTAGTTGAAGGCCCTAGGGACATATTTTGAGATCCGCGGGAACATCCTGTCGACAAGAAATACTTATTGATCATGATGGGGTAAGTAGTAACAAAATGCTAGCCGCTGTACATATTTCAACTAATTGTTTTCCAACAAATCTGCGGGAACATACGTGACAAACTTCAAGAGGCCTCAAGCCCCAAGCTCAAGCTCTACTCGCAATCAAGGCGGACTCAAGGCCGCCACAGCCTTCACATGCGCACCCTCGTTAACTCGCCCTTTGCCCGCTTGAGTCGTTCAATGCTGTTCATCGAGTCCGCACGGCGAACCGCAGTGTCCTCGTCCTCCCGCAGATAGTCAGCACACAAGTGCTCCACATTAGGCCCACTGAGGCCGAGCTCCTTCCTGAGGACCATCTCGAGTGCATGCCCGCGATTCAGCCCCAACACGAGCTCATGGTCGATGGCGTTCGGGACATTATCGACGAAGCGCTTGTAAGCGACTAACGGAAGCTCGTGAGTATTATCTTCGGTAGCTGTGAAGTCTATGTGGTAACTCACTTTGGAAGTATGCGCGGACGCTTGCCATGATATCGAGCGCAGAGTCGTAAGGATCCGTCCGAAGCACCTTGACGAGATTGACTGGACTGAACTCCCGGAGGCTATCGTCTAGTGCGCCGAACGCTTCTGCAACTATCCTAAGCTTCTCGTCCAATCCCGAGGCGGCGTCGGGGATGTGCTGCTGTAGCTTGTGAAGCAGCGGGATGTTGTGGAACTGCGAACGATGACTCTTGTACCATCTCAGGAACTTCGTGCGATAGTCGCGGTACTGGTAGTCGTTGACTATGCGGGGACGTTCCTCGAGGTCGAGCAGCCATCTAATGCGCTCTTTCGTTGCCTCGGAGCGACAATTCATGAAGTCGCTGACCACAGTCCTGAGCATATGTCAGTAAAGAGCCATTGTAATGCAGATGCAGGAGAGCTCACGAGACTTGGTAATCCAGCTCAGGATAATCCTTGCACTGAGCGTGTATGAACTCCGCGATCCTCGTGTTCATAACGTTCTCAACATAGTCAAACAAGTGCATGGCTGGCGTCCTCCAAAGAGAAACCGCCCGACGGATGAACAGCTCGGTAGCGATGAAAGGTATGTGGTCGGGGAGCTCGCGCGTCACTGACCTAGCCAGCCCCTGAGCATCAGATCCAACGCACAAATGGCTTAGTACAAAGCGACTTACGTGTCAGCGACCTCCTTAACTTCGTCAATATAGATAGCAAAGCTGTCGTTCTGTGGAAGACTCGGTTCTTCCTCGTTCACCAGGAAATTCGGCAGACTAAGCGGGCCGGATAGCAGGCCGTCTCCGCCTGACTTCTCGTACGGTCTGAAGTCAGGCGCAGTCGTTCGTATCGCGTACATGAAATCCGTCTTCTTTGGCCGAATCATCTGCAGCAGTCCGTCCGCACCGGGAGTGCCTTCGACATACCGCGACAAAGTGCTGCAGAGCTCGCTGATCAGCCGATTCACTTCGCTGACAGGATCCGCCGGCTCCTGCGGGAGTTCTTCGAGTTGATTCTCAGCTGTTCGCAGTTTCTCTTGGATCATCGCTTGGATTTCCGGGAGCCTTTGGGCATAACATTCAGCCCCAGTCATTCTCGAACTGTACAAGCGATTTGACATACCTTTTGGCGATGAGACGACACAAAACATCGCTGCACCGTTCCATCAAGTTAGGCGTCCCCAAGCGCTGCCGGAAGTCAGGTGGTAACTGGTTCCAAGGCCTCGTATTCGCGAAGAAATCCTTCTCCTGCTGTTGCGCCTGCTGACGCGTGATCCCCTTCTTCAGCTCGACGTTGTCTGGCTGTTTCACACTGAACCAGCCGTTCGCAAGGGCAAGGCTGGGGAGCTCGTTCTTGAGCAAGTGGATCCATCGCTCCTCCTCACCACGCCCAATGCGGTCAGGTTTGGTGAGGACACCTGGCGCCGGCTCAGAAAGACGACCGACGTCGTTCTGGAACAGTGAACGCACCGATGGTTCGCCTGCCAGTAGGGTCAAAGGTGCGCGCCAGCTGATAAGCACCTTGATTCTCGAATTCCGCTGAGACGAGAGAGAAATGAATAACCCGCTACGTGTCTTGAGCCAAAGACACTTACTCTCGCATGTTACAGTCACTAGCATGATACAGTCTTCCTTCTCCGCGTACTCGGTGACGAGTTGCCTGACCAACTCTATGTCGGTAGAGGTACTGCCGCTGCCCGCGCTGACAATCAGTCCTGGCAAAATGACACGTCAGTATCAATGAAATGCGAAACGAAACGATCATGCTCATGTACCAGGTAAGTCAACGAAGTATAGGTCGACGATGTCCGGGCCGCTGATCTCCAAGGACACACAGTTACTAGAGAACGTGGTCTCGGGCGTGCTCGGCTCGCCGCCACTCAGGAAGAAGCTAGCTTGAGTGCTTGGGTTCAGGATGGCATGCTGAGCGCGGTGGATCCTCTCGGCGACCTCCTCTGAGTTCGTGATTGGGTTGCCGAATGGGACTGTGCGGAAATCGGGGTTCCCGCGTCGGTCCTTCATAAACCGCAAACTGACGGTGCATCGCCAGGGGTCGGAAGAGCGCGAAAGGCGGCATTCGGTCGGGCACCTGTATTCACACTATTGCGTCAGTAGCGCACAGGCGGCGGGGGATAGACAAACCTCGTGCAGGTCCCGCTCGCTCTCGGCAGCGTGATCTTACATATGCTCTCGAGTAGGGTTGACTTCCCCGTACTTTGCGATCCGATTACCGCAATTATAGGCACCTCTATATCCATGGATACACTGTATGCCGTTCATGAGCTTCTGGAATCCACGAACAGAACGAGTCAATTATTGCCCACCCGGTCCCGCGCAGACTGTTGGCGATATCCAACAATTGCCGTCTAGTCGCAGAGTAGCCTGAGGTATCGACGTCGCCGAGGTCGCCAGACCTCGCTTCTTCATAAACACTGCTTCTTTCGAACATCGTGTCGAGTGTAGTGCTCTGCAGGATCGTAGAGTGAGGGGGTCACAGGCCGAGAGGCTCTGAGGGCCTATATAGCTGTAGAGGAAAGCAGTCGCAAGGCAACAAATAGCCATATCATAAACGTGTCTGCCTTGTGCACTCTCCGAATTCTCTCTGAATGTCGAGTGCAGCGCGGTGTACGGGCGTAGGGTGAAGAACCGCCGCCATGCAGCAAAGACGGTGTACGGCACGTCCTGAGTGTGTCTTCCCAAGTTCGCAGCAGTGACCCATCAAACCTTCTCGCTATGCCCAAGCTGCGCAACTTTGTCTTATAGCTTCGCGTACCCTGCTCGGCTGATACCAACGTACAGGCGTTGATGTCCGTCGGGCCATTTATTAGGCCATACTGAGGTCGTTGTCCTGATGGATAAGACCGCAGCTGGAACGCTTCGAGGCATAGGAGCTCAAGAGATCAGCTACTCATTCAGACGAACATGACTAGTTAGAGGACGCTCACGTTGGATAAGCTCGGGAAATCAAAGTGTGTGCTCGCATGGTCAGATTCCAGAAACGGATTCAGTGACGCTGCATTTGGGGCTCACAGCTTCCGATACAGTAGTCGGCACGGTGTCTATTGTGAATTGCTGATAAAACGTGTTGAACCACCCCGAGGTAAGTACGACCTGCCCAACTCTCAGACAGGCGACGGACATTGCGCTCTGGGAAAAAGGAACTCCATTCTGCATCGCCATCTAGAATCGACGGCGGGGCTGCGAAGCACCGTCACAACCGCAGAGTAGTTTCCGGCATTGCAATGGTCGTTGGACCTGCATAGGATGGTCCACAAAAGAAGGCTTGCATGCAGGTTGCGGGCATCTCCCGCTTCGAGAGCTTCGAGAGCTGCATTACCTATCATATGCGAAGGTCGAGCGCATCGTTTGAGGATATGAGGCTGCCAATTTGGCAAGGCTCCCAGGTCCCGCCGGTCTTGCATTCTGATCGGCTGTACATCAAGACATGCTTCATCTATCACACAGCCCTGTCATTCGGAATATGAGCAGCAGAGCAACGCAAAGCGTCTGGTGTGGGTACTGACCTCCATTGATTGAACAGCTATATGGTCGGAGCGCGCAGTTGAGCAGTTCCGCGATTCAAACCCTTACCGCCATGCAAGAGATAGCAAAGGGAGCTGTCCATCGGACCTTTCAGACGTGCATGGGAATGCGTGTCTGCAGAATATCAGCTAGCATCGCGACCGAGACAAGGAAACTGCAGATTCCAGAAGCATCTCCCTGACAGATACACGCCTGGAGAATATATGCGTGGAGACGCCCGTGGTTCTTCGAGGGGCGCACTTATTGAGGCCAGCCGGATAACACGGTAGAAAGCAGTACATCATCGCATGTGTGATACAACCCGCAAATCAACCCAAAGGAAGCAGCAAGGGAAAAAGCAATAGAGAGCATAGAGCAAGGTACACATGAATGAGCGCTCGGCGAACATCAGAAATGTATGCGCCCTTGGATCAAAAGTCAAGCCAGCGCAGGTGAGAAATGACCTCGGATGCGGGCGCAGGCTCAGGGCTCGACGATGGAGTCTCGATGGGCATGCGAATACGCGGGTGGAGGGTTGCCCTCAATGTCGACGTCCATGTCGCGTTCCAGGTACCCACGGGTGGTGAGCTCGCCCGGGAGGAGCTTCGCCTTCTTATCCGAGCCCATGTGTAGCGTCGACGCGAAACTCAATGTTGAACGGCCGGAGAGCGAGTTCCGGGGCTGCACGACGCCCGTCAGGTCGAACGTGGAGAGGTCGTTCGGCGACATGTCTGTGAACTCCCAGCCACCGTCTTCGCGCTGATGTGCGGTGCGCATGTTCGCGCCCGGTTCTTGCACTTCGGAGAGAAACGGTGAGCGTCGCGTTGAACCCCCGCAGGCCTGTTATGGCTACGCACCGAAACGGACTGCCTCTCCTGGCGACCCGAATGGGGTTACATGACATGCGGGATGACTGGGATCGAGCAGTGTACTCCGCTTGACCGGTTTCGCAGGTTGGCTTTGTGCGACGTGTACATGACGCCTGTGGAGATACCAGAAGAGAAAGACGGCGATGGCGAGGACCGCGACGAGAGAGACGCTAACGCCTGCAGCAATAGCACTGTCGGAGACCATCTGAACCGGAAAGTCAACTCAGTGTTCGTACAGCAAGCTTTGTCCTCACAGTAGTGGTTAGTGAGAGTCTGAGAAAGATAGTGTTGACGAAGTGAATGTACGTGTTGTCGTTGAAGTTGGCTGTTTCCGAGCATCAGGCTCTGTCGTTGCACAACCTGCCTGATCGCCCTACCTTCTGTGTGTTATCGCGCGTTGTCGTGTTGGAGGTTCGTGCGTATAGGTGGAGAACAGCTAGAGCATGGGGGTCGGAGGAGAGATGCCAGTCCGGGTTGCTAGCTGCAGGAGGCAGTCGAAAGGCACGCCGCCACAGACTGAACCTTGTTCAACTCACGATCACGTGGGTGCAGTCTCCGCGAACATCGGACTCGAGTACTTCAGTACTCGCGACGTGCCTACACCCCTCTCAGCCGTGTCGAAAAGCCGACGACGTGCTAAGCTTGTATAACAGACAATTAACCTTGTACGCAAACAATTGGCAAGTGGTGGTTCTCCGCTGCCGCAGGCGTCCATTGACTATTGTGATGAAGCTCAAAAGCGACCCGAGACAAGGTGTGGTCGTGAGGACCAATTATTCGCAGGCGCGATGATGTCTCGGGAGGTTCAAGTCGCGATCCATTGACCCATGCATCTCGACAAAAGGAAGGGCCCTGATGACTTGACTGTAAGGTGGCAGCCTGTAGGTATGTTCAAGTTGTTTGCTACCCAGCTCGTTTTCACCTTCTGAGCTCACCTGTAAGTGGAGTACCGGCTAGTGCGTGCCCTCTTGCTGTTGCACGCTTGTTGACCCCATCGCCCGACTCTTCGATTCAGCTCTGCTTCTTTTCAACGACTCACGTTCTTGTGCTACACCTCACAGACGAAAGACTGCCGTTCTCTCGATAGCATTGGCCGCCATCGCCGCTGCTCCAGCCATAGATGACCATGAGATTGTACGCACTAGATTTCACCATTCCGTTGGCACCCACCTAAAAAGGCCTTCTCTAGCTCCCCTCGTGCAGTCGGCGAAAACGAACCTCTGATACACGACTTGATGCGACGAGTGAGAACGTCAGCCAATACCTGCGGTCGTACGTAGCCCGATTGGCGAGGGCAGTGCGGCTCGTGAACATAAATCCATACTGCAGATGTGAGCTCATATACAAGAATGCGTTGTATCATAGCGATAATTTACTTGCGACGAGGAAGGAATGCCTGCGTGATAGGTTCGAACAATGGACAGCTTGACGACCGCTCAGTCCTCCCTGAACCGTTTCAGTCTTCCCTTGCCATCACTGAGCAGACATCAGCAAGTGAAGTATGAGCTACATGGCTTCGACACTCACGCATACGTCTGGGCCTTCCGCTTACGGCTCTCCTTCTTGAGCGCGTTACGGTGAATTTTCTTTTTTGCAGCAGCCTCGGGATTGGTCGAAACCTGAAGCGAGGTCAGAAACGTAGCACAGACTGCCGTGACGGCATCTCACCTGCATGACTCGTGCGTTCCGACGTTCCCTCCGCACTCCGACGACATGCTGCCTTATCTCATTATAAACCGCTGCGAACTTGGTGGTGCCGACCTTCGCCTGTACTAGATCTTGCAACTCGGCTGCCAACGTCTTCAGCTCACCTGCAGCAAGTTGCATTCGTCAGTGGTCGTCTATACAGCGCACTTCCCTGTCCACGCACCAATCTGGAGATCGCGAATTGTATCGTCCTCTGCGATGCGGTACAGAGGAGATAAAATATGCATGAGGAAGTGCTCGACATGAGTGCTATCCATGTGCGATACCATCGCGGCAAACCACTTGAAGATGGAAGACGGCTGGTGGATCCAATTCGCCTGAAAGTGTGTGGGATAAGCTACTAGGAAGAATGCGACAATGAATGACATACCGGGCTCGAAGACTTATTTCTCCGCATAATATGAGCATGGCGCGCCTGATGCGAGAGCTTCGAGAACAGCCAGGGCAAAGGATTTTTGCTAACGTCCTGCTCGGCTTGAGCCTCTTCGTCCTCGTCGTCCTGTACCGTTTCCGCTGTTTCTGGCACGACATCATCGCTTGGTGGGTGGCCCGAAGACAGCGGTATGTCCAACGCGTAGAAACACTTCCCGATATAGAACAGATTCTTCACGATCTGAACGCTAAGGCCTTCGTCGAGGTTAGGACTGCGCAGTTGGAGACACAGTTTCTTCGCGACATCTTCCATGCCTTTGCGAGAGAAGGGAGAGTCGTCTGGTGTCTGGCCCTTAGGAGCGGCTATAGGAGTTCCAGCGAACAACTGCCCCAGAAGGCGACACGCTGCAGACCGCACCCACGCATGCGGGAAGAGCAGATGCTCGGCAACCTGTCGCCATACAATGGTTTCTGACGAGAGAGGGGATACGTTCATAACCTTTGTCATGACAAGAAGGACATGGTACGGGGCTTGCCAGTCGAGGTCCTCTGTTGGCTGGGTAGAATCTGGTGATGTCGATTCGTGCGATTGCTGACTGTACTGCAGAGCAGCATTCATGTCGTCCAGCATGGTCGGGAGATACGGAGAGACGTCGTTCCCCAGAAGGTCAATGATGATGCCAGATACTTGATACGAGACCCGTACAAGCTGCGCACGTTCGTGCTGGGATGCCCAAGTACGCAAATGAGACATAATCACGTTCCTCTGGGCATCCGCCAGCCGGGCAAAGAGATTCTTGATGAGTTCGGACGCCATTTCACGGCACTTCGCTGAATCGTCGTTGGCGATGACCATGACCAAAGCGACGAAAATCATGTCCGCATACTCGCGAAGTAGGCCGACCTCGAACTTGATGATGAGAGCGCTGAGCAGCTCCATAACAGACTTTCTGCCGCTCTCGTGTACGTAGGAGAGGTTCCTCGCTAGCATGGTCATCTGGTTGCGTAGTCGACCTTTGCCTTGGGGATAGTCGAGAAGGAACTGAAGGAGAACGCCGCGGCAGAGTTCCTGGACTTGGGGAGACTGGCTTGTCACCATGACTTCCGACACCTTGTCCATAACGTCGTAGATTTCTGGCACGACGAATTTCCTTGCGACGATCGCCCTGAGCGTAGCGAACACGGCCGCTTGCCGGTTCGGGTCCTCGATGTCGGGGGATATGAGCTCCAACAGGTAGATGAGGTCTTGCTCCTTGACTTGAGCCGTTGACTGGCTGCGCAGAACTGTGGATAATGACTTCAACGCAGTCTGTACCACCTCGGCCTCTGTGGACCCCGCTTGCCTGATGATGTCTATCATCTGTTGTATGAACACCGGTAGTGTCTTCCCGATGGACGCTAAGGGACACTTGACGACGGCAGCTGCAGCCCTCAAGGCGGGGAGAACAACCTCCATGCGATCGGAGTATAACGTATTCCCGATGACGGGTACCATGGATTCTAAGCGAGAAATGATCGCTCGATCTTCGAAATCGAAACGGCTTCGACGATGTGCAGTGATGAACAACTCGAGTCCGAAGGCGACAAATCTACGATACAAGATGAGTGTCAAAGATAAAGTGGATCACTAGCAGGGACGTACCTGAAGGAATTGTTGGCATAGTGATCGACGATCTCGTGAGCTTTTCGTTTCGTCTGCACGATAGCATCGGCTCGCTTCCCTGCTTTCTTGCGAGAAATCGGGGCTGATTTGAGGAAACGAGCGTTTTGACTGATCAGGGTGTGACACAGAACAAGGAGATCGGCAGGTTGCAGGTGCTGATTTGCATTGAGGCCACCTGCCACCCGACGTAGCAGATCATCGACTTGCTGGAGAACTTTCAACGACTCAGTCTCCTTCATAATGCTACGCACGGGCAGCAGGAGAGCACTGATCTTGGAAGGCGAGATGAACTTCGCGATGATGGAGAAGGTGTCAAGCGCCTTCGACGTGGACGAGCGAACCTCTCGCATCTTGGTCTTGAAGTTCTCCGACTGCACGTCCTTCCCAGACTCTCCGAATATAACCTCTGCGGAGACATGCGCTGCGTCACTGACGCAATCGTCCAAGGTAGCGAAGCGATCGGCGTGGTCTCCATTTGTAACATGCACGATCAATGCATGCGTGACAAACGCCAAAACGTGCAGTTGCGGTCCTCGAGGGAGAGCTGCGCGCAGTTCCCGTAGCGCGAGAGGGAGATACGACGGGCCGAGGTTGACAATGATGCGGCAGAGCGTCTCGCGAGTGAGATCACGGGTGTCCTGAGACTTGCTGCGAAGGATCTGGATGAGGACAGTCAACAGCCTGCCGATCTGCACCTCCCGCGTGCTCTCCGGTAGATGTTTCGCGATTTGCGCAACACCTACGGCTACGGGAATCCTGAGGCTTTCCTCAGTCTCGTCACGACTCTCAAGGTGCTGGAGCAGCTTCGGGAGTAGGCGGTTGTTGACTGAGTCCGCGATTCGAGAGGACTGGACGGCCGTCGCGACAGCGGCAGGCTCGACTGACGCTTGCTCGTCCTCGTCGAGGTCATGCTCTCCTTCCTGCTCGGCTTCATCACGGGTGGTTTGTTCTTCGACGCGGTCCGTCATATCGAAGTGGAAGTTGTCCAATACAGAGACCAGTGCGCGGATGTAGACACGCTCGGAGGCATTCTTCAGCTTAGACAACTTGAGATAATGCTGCGTGACGGCGTAGTAAGCGCCCCAGTTCAGCTGCCGTGCCATTCGACCGGTGACGGATATGGCCTCGTTCACGAGAGTGTGGTCGATGTTGGCGCTGGACTGATTGTAATTGGCTATCAATGGAACGAAGATCTCCGACAAGGTAGTACTGCGCAGGTTCCCTGCGTCGCAATACTCCCCGAGGCGACGCATCGCGCGTGTACGACGGTGCAACTGGACGTGGTGGATGTTGTTGAAGAAATTCGCCTCTTCATCACCGTTAGCGAGGAGGGGGCGCATCTCTTGGAGCGAGGTGATGCTATCGCATTGCAAGACAGCGTACGACAGAACACCCAGGATCTCCGCTCGAACAAGTTCGTTCTTGGACCGCAGACCATTCTTCAAGCCAGGGTACAGGACCTTGGACCACGTGCCCTCGTATGTAGGCGTCTCGCCGGCAAGGACATCGACGAACCGCTTCATAGCCATTGCAGCGTTATTCCTGATGGTCAATTCATCCGGATCTTGAATGAAGCTGAGCATGTTGTACAGGACAGGGAGCCAATGTTGCGCAGACAGGGTCTTGTACATCTTCTCGTTGAGCGACGCGAAGGCCTCGAGACGGACGTCGAAGTCGGGTTCATCTATTCTCTTCTTGGAGAAGGCATTCAACGACTGCATCAGTTCGGCTAGGTCTGAAAGCGATGGCTGCACGTCTGCTAGAGTACTGAAAGCGGCCGCGAGCGCTATCCGTGCCTGTCTTGACCGGAGAGCCTGGAAGAGCTGAGAAATAGCCATGAAAGTCTTCGTGAATACATCACTCTGCTCATCGGATAGCTCGGGGACAAGGGGGAAAAGGCAGCACATGATGGTTGCGAGATCGGCCTTCACCTTCTCCGGGATAAGCTTCGACGGCTTGCGCAAGAGGGGGAAGAACAGGGTCAGGAGGATAGACGCTTGCTTGGCGTCGGTTAGGTAGGGTGCGATCTGCGACAGAATGGCGATTTGACGGCGACCGAGGTTGTCTGCCACCGAGGCAATACCTCTCGTGCGCTCGACAAGCACGGAGAGATCCGTCAACAAGACGGAGACGTGAGGCTTGAGCAACTCGTCACGAAGCGCTTCGTCTTCGGCGCTGAGCGATACGACATGTTCGACGATATCCAGCACCTTGGCGATGACCGAAGGCTTGACGTTGGTCGCTACGAGGCAGTCGTAAATCTTGGGGAGAGTGAGTTGATCGTACTTCACGAGCAACGTCACGTATTCTTCGCGCAGCGTCCAGACGTAGAAGAGATCCAAGAGGGCGGAAGGAGCCTGAGTATTCTCTTGATCGAGCTTCGCGAGGCGCGGAGAGATGATGTCCTTGAAAACCTCCGGCATGTAAGGCACGAAGTCGAACGAGACAGGGCATCGGAAAAAGTCGGCAAACCGCTTCAATCCCAGCGAACGTATTGTCTTCGTGTTCCTCGAGGTCCCCTCTCCCTCGTTTCCGTCCTCGCTGTCCGACTCCGCCTCAGCTTCTTCATCATCGTCCTGAACGTCCTCAGCTTGGCGTGCACCCATACGACGCTGAGCACTCCCCAGTATGTCCAGGAGACCCTGCAATAACGCAGGCCAACGCGAGACCAATCGCGACCCAAGCTGCTTGACAACGTCGCCCAACAGCGTCAAGTATCCAATCTGCTGCTTCTCCGACACCTCCGAGGGTACAGGCTGAATAGCAAAGGGGTCTGTCTGTCGCGCGGTATTCGGCATGATAGGCTGGAGCATGAGCTCGACGAGGAGGTGCAGTTCCTCATCACGACAGCCGCCGAACGCAGACAGCACAGCAGCGCGCCGGTCCGCTCCGCGGGCTCGTCCTCGCCGCTCGAGCATCAACCCGAACAGCAGGCGGACAATAACAGGGACGACCTCGGCCCTGTCACCCTCGGAGATCTCGCTGATCTCGAGTTGTGTGAGGGCGTCGCGCAATCGCGTGTCGTCCAGGAGCTCCCTGAGATTATCATCCCTCGCCAGTAGATGCGGGCTCTTATACGTCAGGATACACGACAGTGCGAGGCGTTGCAGGGAGCGTTCGGGGTGCGAGAGGAGGGACGTGTACAAAGCATGCAGGATGTCTGTGGAACGAAGTGCCTTCGGGTTCACGAACTTCGAGAAGAGCGTGAGCCATGCGGAGAGCTTGTGTCGGGGGAGCCTGGACGGGGAGGTGGATGTCGGACTGGAGAGAGCGAGGAAATGGGGAATGAGGTCTCGGCTGTGCTTCTCTGCGAGGGACGAACATTCGCCCAGCGCAGACAGGAGGTGGAGCTCGTAGGACATTGGATCAAAGCGGTCCCCGGTATCTTGGTCCTACGAATCATCGTCAACACTGCTCCGCTCCATTTCACGAGGGGAGATAACCTCTAGGACTCACCTGTATGACGGCCCGCTTGGTCGCATCACCGAAAGACCACTTCCGCGTGGCAATACGCATCTTATGCGCACTTGGATCCCTCCACGAGCGTTCCTCTTCCGAGATATCGTCATCAATTGCTTCTCCCTCATGTACCCAGCCCGGTGCAATGTCCATCAATTGATCTCCAGTAGCAACTTGCACCTCGGCGAACAGCAAGCCCCACACTAGGTCGCCAAAGCGCTCAGCCAGAATTGACAGGGCCTGCGCCGCAGGCGTCCACAGCGGGCGGAGATTCACCTTCATTTGCGCTGTAGAACGTGGTCAGGGCTACGCAAAACACACTGGCCGTATGCAGACTTACCAATTAGCCATCTCGCAGCAATGTTAGCTCCTGGCTCGTCGCCATTCCTCACGGAGACAGGCAACCTGTTGATCCGGAGAACGCGTTCACGGGATCCTTGTACGTCCAATGAGATCTCTTCCGCCTGCAGACAGCGCTGGACGACGTCGGACGTCCCATCGTCTGCCTTCACCAAAGGCGAGGAGAGCAGGCGGAGGGATGCGAGTCGAAGCGAACGGGAGTGGGATAGTATTGATGACTGCAGAGATAGATAGAGTTCCTCAAAGGGAACTGTCTTTGTGGTGATACCGCTTGCAGAGCACGATTCAGTTCATGTGAAACAGAAGGCGGACGGGGCAACGTACCTAGCTTGAACTAGGGAGACGAGGCCGCCTAACGCGGTGCTCGACCACCCCCATCTCTCGACGATCGCTCTCGCCCAGGCTAACACATTGACAGTCTTGCCCCACTCCTCTGCAGGCCGTGTCGCAAGACATTCCAAGCAAGTACCGATGACCCAAGCAGAGTTCACGTACGACTCGGCATGCTCCGTTCGTAGGTCCGTATCCATTTGTCCAAGACACGTATCGACAATCCGGACGAGCATAGGTGCGATCGCCGGCAGGTGGTTCGAGAGTGCGAGGACATCATGCAGTAGTAAGACCTGCAAACACTCGCTTGAGAACTGTCCATGCATTCGTCTCAGGTATGTGAATCACTCACGTTCTCCTCGTTGAACACCCACTTCCCGAACCTCTCCTCCACCCACTCCGTCAGCCTCTTCCTCCACACCACATCCACGACGCCCCTCTCCAACCTTCCACCTCGATCAAGCGCCGCCAACAGCTCTACCGTCTTCCGCGGCATGCTCTTCAACAGCTCTCCAGTGTGCTTGAGCACGAGCGGCAAAGCGAGGAGCTTCCAGCCACCCCAGCCGAGCTCCGCGAGCGCGCCGCAGAGCTCGAGCGCGAGCGCGGGGCGCTGCTCGAACGTGCGCGCGAGCACGGCGCGCCCGGGCCCCGTCCAGAGCGCCATGTCGCCTGCGGTGAGCGTGGAGAGTGCAAACTTCAGGAGTGAGGGATGCAGAATGGACGTGAGCGGCAGGGCGGTGAAGTGCGAGAGCAACGTTGAAAGGTGTTTTGCTAGGCGGAGAACATCAGTTGTGCGGAGAGGGGTGGAGATGGGGAGGGGACTTACGACTCATGCGCGAGCCTTGTCTGACGGAACACGCGACGAAGGCAACTTCGAGCATGCGGCGGAGGCGCTCCTCCTCGCCGGGCTCCTGCACGCATTCTTCGAACTTCGCGACCAGTACATCGGCGATCCCGGAGAACTGTTCCTTGTCTTTGCAGTGGTGAATCAAAGCTGTGAGCACCCGGCGGACAAGTGTATATGATGCTTCCTCGTCTTCTGCCCCGAGGTAGTAGTCGATGAGAGGCCGGATGACGGAGGTCGTCGCGGTGTGCAGTGTTTGCGAGACGCTCTGTCACAATGTCATCAGATATATCGCGGCAACAGCTGGGGGGTCCGACATACCTTGCACGCAGAGACAAACACCCACGCGCACGTATCGGCCAGCCCGCTTCCCGCGCAACCAGCGATCAGGCGCACACACAACTCCCGGTCAGCCACCTTCAACCGTCTGAGCGTCGCGCCCCACACTTCCGCCGTCGCCCTCTGGACCTCGGGGTTGCAGCGGGTGAGTGTGTCGCGGAAAATCCCCCACGCTTGTTCGAGCAACTCAGCATCGATTGCTGGGACGAGGACGTAGCGGAAGAGGGAGGAGAAGGTCGCTAAAAGTGCTGTCAATGCGGGCGCAGAGAGAGAGCGGGGAAGGAGATGGGTGAGGCGGCGGAGGACTTGCGGGTAGCTAGGAGCGAGAGTTGTCCGGAGATCGTGTGCAAGCCTCTGGAACAGACTGCGCTAGTTCAGTACAGGAACGAAGAACATTCCTATTGTTTGGGAGAAAGGCCTGAATCTAACCCTGGCCATTTAGAGGGCTACGTGTGATGCCATCCGGACGAGATCGCAGATGCATAGTCAGGATAGCACTGGGCAGAACTCCGTGAGACCTGACTTATCCGGGCAAAGCTAAGTGCCTACGTCTGGATAAAAAAGCCCAAATCTCGGGTCGTCGGTTCAGGCCTCTCCACCAACAAGTAGGTTTCATAATATGAGGTGCTGTAATCTTACTCACTCTAGCAGAGCCTTCAATCCCTCGTCATCCGCCGAGACTAGCGCATCTAGCCAGAGATCCACCACCGCCTGCCAGTTGTGCAAAAGCAGAGGCATAGATGCCGACAGGCCATCTGACGCATGTGCAAACTTGACGAAAGAGGGTGATAAGTTGAGCTCGCGCCAATGGTTCAAGGCTTCGTAAAAGTGCGAGTCAGTATCCTATGCGGTAAGTCAGTGCCCTGAGTCTCTGAAAGTTAATGTCTAGATAACTCACGGCGATGTCATGCTCGAACTTGCTTTGCACTAGTGCAGAAGGAAGGTGCACTTCCTTCAAAGTATCCTTATGCGACTGGTGCTGCAGAGACATGAGTACCATGCGGCGTAGGATGGTGGTACCGCAGATCTCACCTTGAACCGTTTGGCAGGCCGGACATCCTCCGTCATGTTCCGAGTTGAATGAGCTTCGTATGCGAGCTGGCTGGTGAGTTGATTTTACAGCAGATGGATGCAGAGGATTCCGGAAAACGGAAAGCAGGCCGTTCGTAAGATGGTGAATGGCAGGCTCGCCCTGGAGTGGTCGCCGGCGCTTCCCAAAATTCTGTCTCGGCACGTGGTCGGGATGGATGCAGATCTCAGATTCATTCTGTACGGAACGCCCAAGCAACCTTCGCACGCAGCCGTCCACGTCGTCGCCTCGCAAGTCTACTACTCGGACGGCTCCTCTATATACTGCGATAGTCAAACCTGGATTCTAGCTGGCGGCCTTCTTACATGAAATACACCTAGTGGGATACTTGAGCTCCACCGAGACATGCGGTTCTAGCAAGGCTCAGGCTTTATCCTGCAATCTGAGCTTCACACTCATACCGGGACGAGAGCACAACATCCACGGATGACCCGTAAGAATTAGAAACGGTGGAATTGGTCTGTATGCACACTTGGGGTGCTTGTAAGTGGTGAGTGCTACGTCAGGTTACGCACACTCTGCCCAGGCCTTACCAATTCATTGTTGACATGCGCTTGCCATTTACGACGATCCGATCCCAGAGGTAAACGTCCATTCGGGTAACAATCTGTACTCAGGTACTGATGACCTTGGATGACGCAGGTGATGTTCTCTGAGACTGTCAAGCAGACACAGTGAGTACCTCGAACATGTCGTATGAGCTACTGCCTTCCAGATACTCATCGACGTGGCGTTACAAGGCGTTCCGACACCTCAGACAAGCTCGAGTGTCTCCGCAAAGTCGATGTCTCTGTCCTGGAAGCAGCCAACTCGCGAATAAGACTTTCCGCTTTCTTCGCAACCTTCGTCTTCGTTCCCGTCGTCGACGGCTCCTTCATCGTCGAGCGCCCCACCGTGACGCTGGAACGAAAGCGCGTCAATGGGCTGAGCGATCCGCATTCATGCGCGATCGCACAACTGACGGTTTGCTAGGAGGTACTGCTCTCCGTCACGAATTCGCTCGAGGGCTAGATATTCGTGGACAGCGCCTCGCCTCCGCCTAGCCTTACGGAGTATGTTACGGAGCTGTTCCCGCTGCTCGACCAGACGAGCGTGCAGAGCATTGTTCAAATGTACACCGACGACAAGGTGCTTACTACTACGCTGTCGCAGGCGGTCGCCGTGATGGGAGAATGTACGTGCCTGTATACCCCTTTGAGGCTATCTTCTTACTCTCAGCCCCAGCGATCTTCATTTGTCCAACGTACCTCCTCATGTCCGCATTTGGCGATAGGGCATACAAGGTTAGTTTATAGCCCCTTTGGCTCATCCGACTGACCGACGAACTGTACACTCCACTACAGGGCGAATTCGCGATCCCACCCGGATGGCACGCCGAAGATCTTGAGTATCACTTCCCCACGTAAGCTACACCTTCTTCCGACAGTACAGGCTAGCATCTGATATTCTGCGTCGCAGCGGGTTCCAGCCAACATACAACAACTCGGCGCTGATCAAGTCTTTCCTGTCCGTCGTGCGCGCGCTGAACACAACGGATAAGTTTGTCCTAGACTTGAAGCCAGCGTGGTCGGTATGGCAACTTTGGTTTACCTGTGCATCCATGACGTCTTAGAGGACCGGGTCTGACATCATGTATCTCACAGTGAGTCATACCCAAAGGCGACCGGCACACGAAACCCATCGGATGACCTCTTTTCTAGCGCATCAACACGCATACTCTACTTATTCTTCGTCGCTTTCGCCTCGAAATTGTAAAGGCTCATAAGAGTGCCCCGGTGCGGATGTAAATTTCACCAGCACAGAGAGGGATGTTTCGTCTCTTCTGCTGCCCACGACCAATGTTCGAGGCCTTAGACTTACCAATCCGCAGCCGCCACTGGGAAGGGCTTCGGCAAAGACGACCGCACACATCACTTGCTCAACTACGTCAGCTTCATGCTCCTAGCCAAGTCATTGGATTGAATGTGGTTATACCCCTGGATGAGCCGCGATGCAGCCGTATTTACAGGAGCAACTACCAGCACCAGGCGGTGGCCAATGTGACGCTGGTGCCCGAGCAACGGCCAAACATTGGAACAGCCTGGTGCTTTGGCAAATGGTATGTGTCTGTGCTTGTGACCGAGGATGCGGTCTTGTGAATACGACACATGTGCCGCCCCTGATGTACATAGGCCGATCCGTCGCGGGGAAATATCGAGTTGCGATATTTCTGAGCTTTGCTTCTCAAGACGGTGTTCGTCAGCCTTTGACGGTTCGGAGGCAGTACGAGGCCCAAGCATTCTGTCGCGGACAAGGTTGTTGATTCTACACCATCAGCGCAGTGGGCGCCTCTAGAATACACATGTGCATCGCTTCAACAGATGCGGTCTAGCAGAGATTATGTTTTGACCTCCAAGATCGAGTTGACCCAATTCAATTGAGTCTCGACGTGGCCTACGGGCGGCCCGTTATATCCGGGATTGCCGTTGGTGCAGGCCTTCGATGTGCGGTGAGTCTCATGCTCCCAGACATGGTCTGCCCACCTGACGGTCGTCTCCTTTCCGACGGCGTGTGTCCCCGTTCGCTCAGTCACGACGTGCGGGGTGTGATCAACCTGTGAACACCACGTCGGGGACGTATTTAAATCTCGCGCGATGAACCAACCCTCCTCCCCTTTGCTTTCGCAGGAAGGGACTCCGGACCACCGCCTTCTATGCTCGCGATGCTTGCAAACGTGATACAGGTTCTTGTGCTCGCGAAACTCATCTCGGCTTTTCCAAGTGCATCACTGGAGGGTCGATGGGCCAACGTCTCGACCCCTGTGGTGGACCTCGGATATGCTCAGTACCAGGGCACGTTTGATTACGATGCGAACATCTCATACTTCTATGGCGTTCGTTATGCGCAAGCCCCGACTGGTGAGTACAGCTGCTTAGGTACACTGTCGGTGCTTACCAGTACGTTTGTCAGGGGATCTCCGTTTCCAGGCACCGCAGACGCCGACGACCACTACGGGCGTACAACAAGCGACAGCTCTGCCGAACCAGTGCTACCAGGCAACGTCAGGGAACTCGAGCACGAATCCATACAGGGCGACGTCGACCTTGGAAAAGAGGGCCGTGACACTGACTCAAGACGAAGACTGTTTGTTCCTGAAGTGCGAGCGTTATCTTCATTGCATCGCGTTCAAATGACTTCACATTCGTGATTTACAGCATCTACACCCCGGGACAGCTGCAGCCGGGCGCAGGCCTTCCCGTCCTCGTCTGGATACACGGTGGAGGGTAAGCCACAACTCCCACTCTACCTCCAGCTCAGAGGACTAACAACATCTCACGCAGATACCTCGCTGGATCAGCAAGCATCTACACCGGCCAAGACCTTGTCAAAGAGTCTGACTACGGCGTCATCACCGTGACAATTCAATACAGACTGGGTATCCTCGGTTTCCTCCCAGGCTCCGAGGTAAAGGCGAACGGCTCACTGAACGCGGGTCTCCGTGAGTGCGATGTGGAGTCGAGCGCCTGTTGAATGTATTTCTGACTTCGTTGATGACAGTCGACCAGAACTTCGCCTTGCAGTGGGTGCAGGAGAATGTGAGTCGTGTTTCCACGCATGGTTAGCGAACGTGGTGCTGATTGATACGTCAGATCGCGTCCTTCGGCGGTGACCCAGCACAGGTCACCATATGGGGCGAATCAGCTGGTCGGTGTTGCTTTGCAGTGGTTTGAACAGCGACTGAATAGCTCGCGCAGGTGCTGGATCTGTCCTGCAGCACATCGTGGCGCATGGAGGAGAGACAGAGCCTCCGCTCTTCCGCGCTGCGTTGACCAGCTCGACGTTCTTGCCCTTCCAGTATTACTATAACGACACCATCCCCGAGGTATGTTTCTTACACTCGACTTGACAAACCTCACCTCGCTGACTACCCCACGCCTCAGGCACTCTTCTCCGAGACAATCGCACAAACCAAGTGAGTTACAGAGCAGATGCACGTAACACAGGGCTGTTAGCTGAACTTGGATATCTTAGCTGTACCAACGCAACCGACGCCCTCGCATGCCTGCGCGCCGCCGATGCTTCCACCCTGCAGGCCGCGAACTATGCGATCAACCTCGCGGGTTTCTTCGGCACGTTCGTCTTCGTCCCCGTTATTGACGGTACCTTCATCGTCGAGCGGCCCACCGTCACCCTCGAGCGGCGGCGCGTCAACGGCGTACGCCCCCTTACTCATACCCCTAACCCGTGAAGGTGCTGATTCTGTGCATAGGAGATGCTCCTGGCCGTTACGAACTCGTACGAGGGCTGGAACTTCGTCAACTCGGTGACGCCCCCGACGAACCTTACGAACTACGTCACGGAGTTGTTCCCGTTGATCAACGAGACGACCGTGCAGGCGATTGTGCAGGCGTACGAGAGCGCTCCGGAGTTGACGAATGCGTCGGCGCAGGCTATTGCGGTTCAGGGAGAATGTGAGCGGTCATCCTGTAGATGTCGAAGGGACTGTCTGACGGGAAGCGCCAGCGATCTTCATATGCCCAACCTACCTGCTGATGGAGGCCTTCGGGGACAACGCCTACAAGGTTTGTGACAGCCTGTATCACAACGCGAACAATACTCACGAACCGGTCTCGACAGGGCGAGTTCGCAGTCCCGCCGGCTCACCACGGCCAGGATATCCAATACTACTTTCCAACGTACGCTCAAACCTCCCCTTCGCCCTCACATCGTCGCTGACTGACCACTCACCCAGCTCGAACCCGCCCGTTTACAATAACTCAGATCTCATAACCTCCTTCTCGCAGTCCTTCCTCTCCGTTGCGCGCTCTCTGAACCCGAACGACAAGTTTTTCACGGACCTCAAGCCGGAGTGGGACGTCTGGCAGAACGGCACGACGGAGATGTTGTTCAACGTCACCGCCGCGGGCGAGCCCGTCGTGAACACGACGACGACGGACCCGGCGCTCCTGGAGCGATGCGCGTAAGTACTACTTCATGTTCATAGACGTGAGTCGAGAGGCTGATTGGTGTTGGCTGTGTAGGCTTTGGCAAAGTCTGAGCAGCTTGACGTACCAGTGATTCGGGGACCGGTTTTGTTGAGATCTTGACAGTGTACTAGTACTTGTACTTGAACTCCCTGACAGGGCTTGCACGTTGTTAGCATTTGGCGACCAAGATGACATGTATTGTTAGTGAGCGGCATGTTTACAAGTTCCAAACATACGCGTCGTTCCGGCGTTGTACATATCGGGTCTTCTTTCATGTTCGCTTTGTTCACTCAATATATCACGTATGTCACCACTTGGGACTGCGGGTACTACGAGCGTCACGGTCGCGAACGCTGCTACAACTTCCGCCCGGCCATGTCTCGGAGTGTCTCGGATTCGTTGTCGCAGATCCGGGAAGCATGGAGATGGAGGAGGAGGAGGGGGGTCCACGTCGAGCATCAGACCGTAAATCGCATCCCATCGCATGGACCTCTAAAACTGAAACAGTTCGGTGACGTCCACTCCAAACGACTGTATGATCGCCCAGTGATCGCCCATCCAGCGCGACAAGCCAAGTCTTGGTTGTACAGACTACCACATGCACTATGTCAATACAGACATTTAGCACGTCGTCCGCGATCCACGGAACATGACAGGGCATCAATATACTGCATACTACGAGCTTACAAACCTGCCGCCCTATGATATATTGCCATATATTGCGATCGTTACACTCGGAGGCGCACAGCCTGCACAGCCGCTGTCAGGATGTCCCGCTGAAAGGCGTTCGACACGCCGGCGACACGGTCTTCAAAGTCCTTGCCGTGGCCAGTATGTACATATTGCAGTCGGGATGTTACTAATGCGTCGTCGGGGTACGTGTAACGTCCTGAGGCCTTAGGGCCGCCCGGGCGCTGGTATTCCGCGCATAAAAGCGGCTCGGTGGTACGGTGTTTGCCCAGCTTCCTCCCCTCCCATGAGCTCACCCAAACCGGAGACCGGTGAGTCTGCCAAAGCGCGGACTTGCTTGACGAGTCGTCCGAGCTGATTATTCTTCCCCCAGCCTCGACTAGAGTCTGAGGACGATGGCCCACTGCCACTTCTCTACGGGAGCACGTCCGAGTCCGAAGTGACGCGCCGGACCTCCTGTACGACGTCCAGTACACAGGCCCCGCTCCCTCTGGCAGTCTCCGTCCACCGTACATCCAATGCAGATAATAATGAACCGGAAGGGGTGTGCCGTACACGCAACTTGCATGCTGGCTGCGCGCGACGCCAGTAGGGCACTGTACGTGTTCCGTATTTGACCTATTCGCATGGATGCCGAGCTCACCGTACTGTATGTTTAGTTGCGCGGCGCATGTGCATGCGGTCTTGACTGGCGGCCATCGCCACAGGCGCGCGCTGCCAGGAGCGCGCATGGTGCCCAAGCTTGGACTTCTTCAAGTTCTTGCCGACCGCAGCTCCCGTGCCGCCCCCACCCCCACCTCCCACACCCACCCGAGTCGCTCGCGGAGCCAAACTCACCTACGTTCGGATCGCATGCCAGCGCACGATGCCGCATGCGAGTCATCCCACACGACCGATCTTCGACTTCAGTACAGGCCGCGGAGCGGAGTTGGCTTGCGCGATAGCTAAGGAACGAGTCACCTACAATCGAAATAACAGCGCTTTACGTCTGACGTCTCCGTGTGTCCACTAAGGAGGCAGAACGCCCGTGCTGTTGGGCGACGACGGGGCCGTCAGTGTGTGCAATGTCAGATCGTCGGCGGTGGCATCGTCAGCCTCACGAGGCATCGCGTGCATTTCTGGCCGAAGGTGACAGGTAGAATGTCGGCGAATGTCGTGTTGAGACGGGTTGATGGTGACCGTGCGCCAGGAGTCCTCCGCGAAGGGAACACCAGCGCCTTTGACGATCACATTATCCGCTCTGAACCTGACCGTCGACCTCAGAGTCAGTCACTCCGCACACGACATCACACAGCACAGAACACGCACCGGCTGATAAATACAGAGCTCTTCGCCCACCGTTCACCGTCGCCAGCATTTCCTGGGTTCGATGTCGCTCGCGCGACGGAATGGCGCTGGACTTGGACACTCACCGTCCTCGACCTACCGTCATCTCATACTGGTATTGATAGCCAGCTTCCCGGGCGCTCAGGCGACTCTCCCGAAATCGCCAGAGAACAAGCGTTTACATTCCGGTATGTCTTCACCTTCAGCGGTTCCTACATTCCAGCATTCGTTCTTTCGTCCGTCCGTGGACCGTCCGTCCATAATCCTACACCGACCAGCAGTCCGAGTCCAATCTTCTCTCGGCGCTCGCAACCCTCTACAGGTTCACCTTCGCAACGGACTGCCCAACCTACATCCACCACGCAAATCAGCACCGCATTGAACCCCCGCCATACGCTCACGCGCCCCGTCTGCGAACGCACCTTCACATACGTCTCCACCAGCTCCTCCCCGCTCGAGTTCCTCACGAGGTCCTCGTCGAACGCGACGAGGCCCGCGGGGAAGAGACACACGACGGTGCTCCCGCCGTACGCGAAGTGCCCGAGCTCGTCGCCCCGCGCGACGGCGCCCCCCTTCCGCGCGCCGCCCGTCCACCTGATCGAGCCGACCTGCCCGTGCGCGGCGTGCGTCAGCGTGCGGAGCTACGACATGAGGGGAGGGAGGGGACGCACGAGCATGGCGCCGATGGCGACGAACGCGACCTGCTTCCCAGACGCGGCGTGCGTGAGGTAGAGCACGGCGCGCTTGTTCGCCGTGAACACGTCGAACCCGGGCTCGTTCACCGCCTGCGGGTTCACTGCGCCCACCCAGTCAGTCTCAGTCTCCGAGTCGCTCCCAGCGCGGAACGGTAGGGGTACTGCGGCGCGCACCGGTGTAGTACTGCCCGGGGATGTCGGTGATCTCGCCGACGGTGCCGTCGAGCGGGCTGTGGAAGCGGTGGTAGTCCGCGGGGGCGAGCCGGAAGGCCGCGACGGCCGCGCCCTCGAATGCGCGCGCCTGCGCGGAGTCGGGCGGGACCCCGAGGAGGTGCGGGATCGTGAACTCGTTGCCCTTGATCCTGTCCAAGGTACGCGACAATTAGTGGGACGATGGGGATGAGGGGAACGTGCGGACGCACCAGAACTTCTTCGCGAGGTCGACCGAGGGGTAGACGACGAGCCGGCAGTCCGCCGCGCTGCATATCGCGCCGGGGATGTCTGCGTTCTCGACCGGGCGCGCGGCGGGCTTGAGCCGGCGGTAGAAGAACTCGTTCATGGTGGGGTACTTTGTTGGGTCGGGCTCGAGGAGCTCGTCGAGTGCGATGGTGTACGTCTCGATGAACGAGGGGATGCTCTTGACGGACTCGGGCGAGTCGTAGATGCGGCCTTGCTGCGGGTGCGGGGTCAGTCAAAGGCGGGGAAGGATGGTGGTGTGGGACGTGAATACGCACCCGGACGGACAGCTCTTCGAGGATGGACTCGATGCTTTTGTTATGAAGGATCTTGCGCTGCTCGCCGCCGTAGAACAGCAAGTGCATGCCGAGTCTATGTCGCGCGCGACTCAGCACACCAGACGACTCGACGACGACGCGACGCACCTCGGGTAGATGGGCATGCTCTCCCAGAACCGCTGGCCGGTCTTGCGATCGATGACATAGTTGCCGACATGGGCCTCCGTGGCGAGCCTCTCGAGGCCGGGGATGAGCTTGTGGACGAAGGGGAGCTCGGCGAGCCTGTGCATGGGCGCGTGGATGCCGTGGCGGACGTCGGCGTGCTGCGCGGACTGGTCGACGAGCTTGTTGAGCGAGGCGGCGACGACGGCGGGGTCCTGGGTGTGGGCGGGGAGGTTTGTGGCGGTGATGGACTGCTTGGGCTTCATGTCTGCTTCGTGGAGGGGGAGCGAGGTCATGGTGGGCGTCGAGGAGAAAGAGCGGGCGGAGGTATAAATAGACCAGGTGCGTGCCTTTGAGGTCATGGGCCCGACCCTAACCCCAGCCTATGCTCTCTCCATGTCTCCATGTCCGCAGCGTCCAGGGGTACGTGCTGGGATAGATAAGACAACGAACCCGCAAGGACTGATGTACTCACGGTGTCTTCGGAATCGCAGAGCCTCGGTGCACACCGATGCGACACCACGCTCGGCCTCGAACCACAAACAACGCTGCCACCACGGATCGTCTGTGTGGTCGCAGCCCCACGCCAATCCACCGCGCTCCGGCGTGGTTGCAGATACCGCCTCGTTGGCGGTTGCGCTGAATGGCATGACGAAACGGCGCACGCTGTATAGGCGTTCACAGACCATGCGTGGATCTGGTATCGCGGACGTGTTGAACCTTACTAACCTCCTAGAATGTCACGGTCACTTGTAGGAGGCGAGCAGTAAGTATGGAGGTCGAGTAGAGTAGTCTCAGATCTGCATACCGAGCACCTCACCCCATCCCACTCAAGTCGGGCTCAGCCGCACCGAGCAGTCTCCAGCAACGAGTTGGCCGCATCTATGCGCGTAGCTCGTGGCGCAAGTACGCTGTGAGAGCTTGTGCGATAGCTTGTAGAGGAGATGGGGGCTGGATGTCGAGCGAGAGGGCCTCGTCGTGGTCAAAGTGTATCAAGCGCACGTGCGGGCAGGAAGCAAGTCGAGCGTCGAGCGCCCACGTATGTTCTTGACTTCCAACTCGCGCGGATGTGGTTGCAGTACAACCTCACGCACACAACACGGGTGGGTACGGCTCATTGGCACTATGGTACAGGTCGACGGATACGCTTAGCCGGCGACCGGTGGCCAATGAACATCCACGCGAAGTACAAGCTCGATGCCGTCTCAACTTGAAGCATCAAGCCCTTCAAATCTCACCAAGCCCAGGTCGCCGCCGCATTTGCTCAAGGAACGCTACATCTTCCCATTCGAACACGATCGATTTTACAACAAATGCGGATTCCCCTGCGCGGCGTCGCGCCCATCGCGGCCAAACCGTTACACGCTGCTACTAGACAGCCGGACTCCCGTCCCTCTCCTCGCCGCAGAAGGGAAGCGGCCCGTGCAAGGCTGGCTGGCGCAACAGGACCGACGGCGTTCAGCACTTGCACTCGGTGGGCTTGCACTGGCAGCTGTCAACGACCCGGGTCAGCGTAAGGCGGTGCGACGTGGAGCGAGAGTGCGACGTACGCCTCGCCGCAGCTGCAGCTGGTCACGCCGCAGTTGGCGTTGTTGACGGGGACGGCGACGTTCTGCGGACCCTGGTGAGCACGTCTCTCGCTGGAGAGGTACGGCTTGCTTACGGTGAACATTGTGAGGGGTGTGTTGAGGCGGGTGCTTGTGAGGTGCGGTGGGTAGTCTGGGACTGGGGAGACACGGTCTGCGGACGTCTCTCTTATACGTCTGTGGGTCGTCGGGACACGTGTGGTACCGGTTCAAGTCGTAGCGTCCCCTTGCGGTCTAGCTGCCTGACGGCGAGCAAGGAACATATCGCCCGATCCATCTGTTTTGCGAGCCAGCCTGGTTGCTGCGATTACCTGTTTCTATCGCAGTGGCTCGCAGTGGACGCTCCCAGGCCGCGTGTGCGGATGTTGCTCCACACGTACTGACGCCGTTCTACCTCCGCGATTCCCTGTCCGGCTTCTCGTGAGGCATTTGTGCTGGCAGCTGGTCCTCGAGATGAGCGAAGCAGGACTGGCTGGAGGCGCTCGGGAACGTTGGCGGGACGGTTGCGTCGCGACGAGGACTAGCGGGCGAATGGGAGGACGGAGAGGGACCGTCGATAATGCGTGAGTCTGCGTGGATATTAGGGTATAGAGGACACAGAGGTGCGTTTATGTTAGGGTAGAGGACATGGAGGCGCGTGCATTGTGTAAGGGACGCAAGATATGGACTCCGCAGACGCAACAAAGGGGTATTTCGAGGGAAACAGAGCACATCGTACTCTAACGCTACTCTGCGCACTAATGGCCCTTCGCCCCTCTCTCAGACGCGATCCTGCACAGTATCCGCAACGCAAACGCTCGCCCGAATGCCTCCTGAACCCGCCGCACTTCCTCGCCCCGGTTCGAGCTCACGGCTCAACCTATGCTGTCAGTTCTCGAGAACGCCCCGTAGTGACGTTCCGCGCCGCGAAGACCTCGCACGCAGTTGTCCTCGCAAGTACAGACCGGACGAGTGCGGCCTCTATTCCGGGCCTCTGAGAAGGTCAGCGTCCTTCTCTACGGGTTTGCGCGAGTGCAGTCACTCACTGCTACGCACACCGCGCTCGCTACGCACCGCTCGCTGATGCATCCACTTGCAGTGCGTAGCACAGAATCCGGCCAGTCTTCGTCCCACCGGGCCGACTTCGCGATTTCCAATATACCCTCGCGCCGTCAACACCCGGAACAAGTCCGGACGAAGTTGCGTATGGAGAGGCAAGCATCGCACACGGTCGCCCTAGCACCGAATGAGGAAAACCCAACACGAATCAGCAAGATGACTCACCGCCAGAATCACCCTCCACAATCACTACAGGTCGCCGGTCGATTAGCAAGCAGCTCAGTGGCGCGAATGCACTTGCCCGCGAACACCACCTCGACATGTAGCTCACGGAATTCGCGTCCGTTCGCAGCGCGGGCCTCCAGCCGTCACCCGAACCAAGTTCGTAGATCCAAACACCTTCGTCTTGCCTTCGTGTACCGAGACGCAGCACGCGCAGCACTATCGCCCTAGGTACTGAATGAGAGCAAACATTCGCGAATCAGCATAATGACTTACCAGCACTCCCACGAACAGGTACTTACTCTTTTGCGTGTGTGCGAAGGTCGCTCGCTTCCCGCTGTACTGCGAACACCGCGCTCGAGCATGTCCCGCTCACCAGATGTCCGCTTGCAGCGCGAGGCGTCACGTAGAATTTGACCGGTCTTCGCTACAATCACGCCCCGAGCTATGCCCATCTGCTTGTAGCCACACTCGCAAGCCAGATGCGCAGGCTTGCAGCTTTCTGTTCCCGGACGTATCCCCCGACGTGCTGTTGCCCTAGCGAGCATACACCGGGTGAGCAGATATCAGCACGAGTCAGCTCACAGGCAGCACGACTGTCAGATGACAGTACCGTACCGCCTATGGGCATTGACGACATATGAGCATCTTTAGCACGTCTGTAAGTAGCTTCCTTCACCGTGTTTGCAAGAAACGTACTCACTCGCTTTTGCGGCGCGAACGTGCGGTGCCGCACTTCGACGTCTCGTGCTCGCCCTGATGTCTCGCGCCCGCTCGCAAAGCAGGTCCTTACACAAGATCCAGCCGGTGTCCGTCACATTCCGCGTCGTACCGGACCGGCTTCTCGCCTCAATCAGGTTTGTCAAGACTTTGCATACCGAGACACCGCGATTCTGGCGATAAAATATCAGCAAATGTCGAAACCAGTCGGTGAGAGGTCGGTAGACTGCCCCATCGCATTCTTGCGAGTGTACTCACCTGCTCTTGCGATACGAGCTAGTACGTGACTGCCACTCGCGAGAGTAATCGCGCTCGCTTGCAGTGCATGCCCTCATGCACGGTCCAGATGGTTTGTGCTGGAACATTCGTGCACCCTCACCGTCCCGCAACGAGCTCGCAACCACCAGGCGGCCTCTGGAGGCCCAATACTCAACTCGTCCGCCTGACGGCCTCGTGACGACCTCCCGTACCGGTGTCAACCATCGCACTTGAGCTCGTCTGGCACGCTAGTCGGCGTGCTGCACATTCATTGAGCAGGAATCAACAGCCGTCAGCAGAGCAGTGACTCACCGACTCCGACAACTCGACACACCTGTCCCTTCGCTCGGCAGGTTGCCCGGTCTGTTGAAAGTGCGGCCATTGGTGCTGTACAACAATACGCCCGGTCTGAGGTGTGTCCCAGCCCCGCGTCCCGGATCCTCTGGTCGTATCCGTGGTCACCTGATTGTGAATGTACGACGCACTGGACGGGCTACAGGTCAGTAGAGATCGAAGTGCAGTGCGTGCGGTCTGACTTACCTACCATGCTATTCGTCTGTACTAGTCCCGCAATTCCTCCAGTGCCATGCGGAACCAGACTATCTTGGGACTGCGGTGTATCCAGTACGGTCATGCCCGGGCGTCCAGGTAGAAGCTTTACGTCGCGGGCCGAGGCTGTGGATCGGTGTTCTTTGAACGTCGACCGCACTGTTCAGCGTGCTGACCGGGCGCAGATTGTCCGTCAATACAAAGACATCCTAATCCTTACTCGCCCGCGCTGTGCTTGCCAGTGCTGAGTGGAATCTTGCGACATGTTTGCTCGTCCACCGAGAGCTGCGAGGGTCACCGGTCATCATTCAAACTGCGTGTAGATTACTTAAGAAAGCAATGCTGCTTACCGGTTCAATGCCTCTCAAGCATCATCGTTGCGGTGGCTCGACAGCCTCCGCAGCAGTCACATACATCTGGTAAGTTCATGATATCACCTCAAAGGTTGAATACTACTCACCCGTACCATTTGGCATGCTGTATGTGTTGAACTTGCACGACAGAGCCATGTCCCTAGTGAGCTGTAGTGTTTGTTGGTGTTGTCGAGATCCAGACATCATCAGACTTCGCTTACCTACTAGCGCTCACCTATCACCGTTGCCACTTTGCAAAGTGCGGCTGTGACAGTTGCAACAGTCTCATAGGTGTCGCTGGCTTCGCGAAGCGGCTGATCGGTGGTGTGACTCATTGTTGTAGGCTCACGGATTCTCTAAGGTAGTGGAATGCCTCAAGGTTCCATCTCTCTAAGACCACTCTTACAGTGAATATCAGCCCTACGTTGGGCATTGCAGACCCTCGAATTGCTGATAAAATTGGGTGGCACCCAATTCTGTCAGAGATTCGAGGGTCCGATAACCCTCCGGTTGCTGATCAGGGTAGTCATGGTGAGTACAAATTTGGCGGATTCTCCGGGGCCCGGGAGCGAAGCACTGTCATCAGCCTCCACTAATGACAGTGCTTTGCCCAACGCGAGGCATGGCAACTGGGCTTATGTGAACGCCGGTGGCTGCGAGACACCATACTAGGAATCAGTGAACTGAGAACTCAAATCCGTCAGCCAGCTTGAAGGCCGTCTTGAGCTCACTATATGGATGCTAACAAGATATTCTGCAAGGTCAGCTGGGTCCGCGGCATTCACCCGCTTCATACACAGTCCGAGTGAGCGGCGGAGAGAGTGGTCGTGGCTGGACACTGGCTGGACGTGGAGGTAGGTAGAGAGGAAGCGCGGGACCGCGGGACCAGAGATCGTGTGCGCGATCTGTGAACACGAGGCTCTCGACCGCTGTGGCTACCGGCGTCTACGCGCTCTTGCTCGGTTTGCCCGTTTTCCTGCTCTGCTTCCGTGGCTGGCTCCCAGCCAGTCTCAGTGGGACTTGATGGGGTTTTCGACCCAATACAGGACCCTTGTGCTGAAACATATGCCTCATTCCCAGCCGCTCTGCTCGCGGACAGCCGTCTATTGCGAGAGCTCGTGTTTGCCGTTCAGAATAAGTCCTATAGGTAAGAGCAGCTGGCGAACATCCTGTCGCCCTTCCCCCGCACACGCGCCAATCAAGGCGCTCATGTCTGATGTATTTTCCTTGCAACCTGCGAAGATGTGTTATTGTTCGGCGATTGCAAAGTCGCCTGACAACTTCCGGGAGAGTGCAGCCCGCTTTTGCCGTCATTGGACACCGCCAGTGGGAAGCCAGACGTGCAAGCGGTTGCATTTTGATGGTAGTCAGAGACGCGTGTCGGCGCTGTAGTTTCGGCGTGTGCGCACGGACCATCGCACACGTAAGTGCAGGCCGCTCTGGCGTATATAAATAATGCCTGGGGAGCATCACCACTCGCAGCCTCTTGATTGAACTCGACTCCGGATCCCATCCTACCTGGAAGGCAGTTCGTTGTAACGCGACGCTACGGCAACCGTCTGCAACCTGTTCGGTACGAACTTTGATCGTGCTGCTACCGTTGCATTGATGCTCTGTACTAGACCCTTTGGACGTCAATAATGGGTGATTATTTGACCCTAGTGAGCAATATGATCATTCAGTATCATGTGCTAATGAGACGATTTACTAATGACTATGTGCTGCAGCGCGATATCGGGCCGTGTGCATAACATCGCTCCGAGAACGTAGCTACTAAAGGGCCCGGTAGTAGTAAGTACGGTACTCTGTATACATGATTGACATGCTGACCCGATTTTACTCACACGACACAGTGACATCTAGTCGTGAACTCGCTCGTATATTCAAACCGAGCAGGGTATGCGCGATCTCGGCGCTGCGTACCGAAATGGTGCTGTAGAGCAGTGGCGAACGCTAACGCTCCCAGTCGCGTTTTGTCTTTATGACATACGGGCAAGGTATGCCTCTACCAGTGCTGTCGTCACTGTACACTGATGCTACAGTATACGAGGGAGTTCACACGTCTTGCTATGTTTGTGAGCTTGTCAAGCAGGGTATGCGCGATCCCGGCGCTACATGTTATCGCAGGCTTTCCGCGCGGATTGCAATCCTGGACACTGTCAACTATCCACCACGTACCCGATTATGAATTAATATCCAACGTGTATGGTGAGCCCCTCTCAGTATCATATAGCTCATGGTGTGAATGTAACTCTGCGGAACAGATCACAATGAGCCTCGTGAACTCGCTCGTATATCCTCGTCAAGCAGGGTACTAGTATGCACGAATCTGTATGTATCATTGACGTGGTTTGCAGGTTGTACAACCGGCGACTGAACACGTCGCACGCCCGGCAGCGCATCAGTCGCCCATGGTTACGATTCGTATCCCTCGTATCGTGCGAATTGTTATTACCGTGAGTCTTCGAAACACCGTGACATCGTGAACTCCCTCGTATATCCCAGCAAAGCAGGGTATGCGCGATCCCGGCGCTACGTTTCACAGCAGTAGCCGGTAGCGCAGATGGCACTACCGAATACTAAAAGCTGTTGGACGCCCTCCCGGTCACATAATCATGACCCATGTCTAGGTAAGCACTGTCTAGCGATGCAAGGTCGGGTACTGACATCGTATTATCCAGACCCTTGGATGACTTCCGGTAACAAGTAACCGCCTTCAAGTTCGAGCGCGGTTCTTGCTCTCTATTCCCGGTATGTATTGGTTACCACTGGCACCCCTTGTCCAATGACCGAACACTAACGTCGCCCGTTTCCGCGTAGCCTACAGTACGGTCGCGCGACGCGCGTTGCATATCAAGCAGGGTATGCGCGATCCCGGCGGACAACTCACGTCCGCCTCATAGGGACAATACACGACCAGTTAGTAGTGATACATCGCCGATTCTTACAGTGCGCCCCCAAACGGCGTTACCAGTGCGTCCATCTCATTGAGCTACTCTAACCAACACTCATACTCCGCTCTCAACAGATATATTGGCGGCATCTGTACCCGACTACATTGAGGCTCGTTTAGGTAGTATTAGCAGTACCTACCGTAGACAGACCGCGCGCCCCATCGACCGCGTGCAGAGGCATGCCGTCGACGACCAGCGCCGGCTCGTCGTCCATGCAGACAGCGAGTCGGGTTTCCGCGCACTTCGTGTCGACGCTCCGCGCACGAGCAGGTTGTGCACGCCTCGCGCGGGATCGTCGCGCCCTCCGAAATGGACACAACGGCTGCGCGTTGCGATCGACCCAGACATTCCTTGCCGGATCTGCGAGCAGTCCTCGTTCGTCCGGCTTGACGAAAGCGGTCGTTTCCAGTAGTGACCAGCCGGCTGACCGTTTCTCTGCCCGGCATGCTGCAGCCTGCATCGCCCAGGAGGCTTCGCAGACCATCACGCGACGAGGTCCCCGAGACCCAAGGATATCCGCGAAATCCACCGCTCTCCGCCCCGAGTCGCCAACGTTGTCGTCGTTGTAACCTGAGCATCGCCCTTGCATTTTTGCCCAGTAGCTCTTGCACGGCCTGCTCCGACTCCAGACTTCCAAGTGCAGCCTTGATCCTCGCTACTTCTTCGGCAGATGCACTCACTCTAGCATGTGCCACGTTTGCTCTGCACCGATGAGTCGGCGTCGATGTGAACGGGCGACGACGGTCAGGCCATGGCCCGTGCTCGCGTGCCTTCGTCGAGTGCGCAGGTTGTTGATGAGTGCGCCGTCTTCCGCGAACTGCGCCCTGCAAGATTCGTCAGCGCGTACCTCCTTCTCTCGTGTCCGTCCTCTGTGCATCGCCGCGCCACCCGTCCGCATCGCCGCGCGCCGTCCAATGCCTATGGCGGCATGCACCCTGTCCACTCCTCGCCCTGGTCTGTCTCCGTGCTCGTCCTGCGCCAACCGCGCGTCACCGGTTGACTGGATCCTCTCGATGTTCGTCAGCGCGCCCGCGTCTCCGCGCGCATCTCTTCCTTTCCTCGTCGCGCCACACCGTCCCCAACGCAACGTCCGTCCGATGTCCAGCAGCCCTCCGCTCCTCACAGTGATTCTCCTCTCGCCCTCGCCTCCTCTCCACGCCCGTCGCTCGCCACCCGGGGTCTGTGCCTTCATGGTCCTGCGTTGCGATGCTGTCCGGGTCTTGTGTAGCATGCCGGTGTGTCTTGCGTTGACGTTTCCATACTACACGGAACTGACGTCCATCCCCACTGACTAGACATCGGGCGCTGCGTGCGAGGTAGCATAGCGACGCGACACCGGTACGTCCGCGACCTAGCTCGTGACGTCCACCTGACCGAACCCGCCTTCATTCCCCTGTGGGTCGTGCACACTCCGCCGTGTCGGCGCCGCGCAGCAAGAGGGTGCTGTCGTCGTGACGACGCTGGTATGGTGCCCCGTCTTTGTTCTTCTCGAGCGGCGCGCAGGTCGACAAGTGCACTGCACAGGGAGTGGGTCCGTGACCCGGCTGGACAACGCTTGGGGACGCGACCGCGCCTCGCCGCACGTTCCGCGTGCGGTCGTTCCGTCGATGGTGTGCGTGGCCGGCGAGTGGGATGGCGAGACCACCGGTGAGTGACGTTTGCCTTGCGCGCGGTGCCGTGTTCGTCGCTGATGTTTCGACCTCTGGCTGTCGTCGTGGTGCGGCGTGGCGGTGAGGCCTCGGCGGGTGAAGAGCTGACTTGACGCAGGTCAGAGCAGCGCGCGGTGTTGCTCCTCAACGGGGCGACGTCGTGGATCGCCGTCTTGCGCGGGTCGTCGGCGCGATGCGAGACGTGGCAGTGGTCGTCCGGTCAGTTGGTCCAGCTCATTGTGTCAGACCTTCTCTGACCGCGGCCTGTTCAGGACGGGCTGTGGTCCGACGGTGTCGGGGTGGTAGATAGATGGGAACGAGTTGCCGAGCACGACCATGCCGGGTGGGCCAGAGCTGAGCACCGGAGAGCTTGAGGAGCCGCTTCTCGTTGTTCGCCTCCCTCTCCTCGCTCAGCCGGTTCAGCTTCACCCTATGCACCGTCTTTGCCTCGCCCCACTTCCGCTCTTCCTCCTTCCTCCACTCGCCCGCACAGCTGGAGCACGGCGCCATGAGTACACAAGGGGAAAACGAAGGGAACGCACCGCAAGGGGATGTACAAGGGAGCACAAGGGTGCTCGTGGTGGAAAGAGGCCGCACAAGGAGAGCTCCAAGGGAGAGCAAGCGGCCGTGGGCGACGTCGAGCGACGCGCAAAACGGCGCAAACGCAGGGTCAGCGAGCGCTTGGGCCGGTCGTGAGATCTGCGATCGACCAATGGGATGCGTTGAGCGCGGCGGGGCCGGCGCGCGATTGGGCGCAGGCGACTCGGAGGGAGGTAGAGATATGGTTCCAAGTCCAATCTTCTCTCGCAACCCTACAGGTTCACCTTCGCAACGGACTGCCCAACCTAGATCACGCACCATCAGCACCGCATTGAACCCGCGCGTCTCGTCTGCGATCCGCAGCGCACGCACCTTCACATACGTCTCCACCGGCTCCTCCCCGCTCGAGTTCCTCACGAGGTCCTCGTCGAACGCGACGAGGCCCGCGGGGAAGAGACACACGACGGTGCTCCCGCCGTACGCGAAGTGCCCGAGCTCGTCGCCCCGCGCGACGGCGCCCCCCTTCCGCGCGCCGCCCGTCCACCTGATCGAGCCGACCTGCCCGTGCGCGGCGTGCGTCAGCGTGCGGAGCTACGACATGAGGGGAGGGAGGGGACGCACGAGCATGGCGCCGATGGCGACGAACGCGACCTGCTTCCCAGACGCGGCGTGCGTGAGGTAGAGCACGGCGCGCTTGTTCGCCGTGAACACGTCGAACCCGGGCTCGTTCACCGCCTGCGGGTTCACTGCGCCCACCCAGTCAGTCTCAGTCTCCGAGTCGCTCCCAGCGCGGAACGGTAGGGGTACTGCGGCGCGCACCGGTGTAGTACTGCCCGGGGATGTCGGTGATCTCGCCGACGGTGCCGTCGAGCGGGCTGTGGAAGCGGTGGTAGTCCGCGGGGGCGAGCCGGAAGGCCGCGACGGCCGCGCCCTCGAATGCGCGCGCCTGCGCGGAGTCGGGCGGGACCCCGAGGAGGTGCGGGATCGTGAACTCGTTGCCCTTGATCCTGTCCAAGGTACGCGACAATTAGTGGGACGATGGGGATGAGGGGAACGTGCGGACGCACCAGAACTTCTTCGCGAGGTCGACCGAGGGGTAGACGACGAGCCGGCAGTCCGCCGCGCTGCATATCGCGCCGGGGATGTCTGCGTTCTCGACCGGGCGCGCGGCGGGCTTGAGCCGGCGGTAGAAGAACTCGTTCATGGTGGGGTACTTTGTTGGGTCGGGCTCGAGGAGCTCGTCGAGTGCGATGGTGTACGTCTCGATGAACGAGGGGATGCTCTTGACGGACTCGGGCGAGTCGTAGATGCGGCCTTGCTGCGGGTGCGGGGTCAGTCAAAGGCGGGGAAGGATGGTGGTGTGGGACGTGAATACGCACCCGGACGGACAGCTCTTCGAGGATGGACTCGATGCTTTTGTTATGAAGGATCTTGCGCTGCTCGCCGCCGTAGAACAGCAAGTGCATGCCGAGTCTATGTCGCGCGCGACTCAGCACACCAGACGACTCGACGACGACGCGACGCACCTCGGGTAGATGGGCATGCTCTCCCAGAACCGCTGGCCGGTCTTGCGATCGATGACATAGTTGCCGACATGGGCCTCCGTGGCGAGCCTCTCGAGGCCGGGGATGAGCTTGTGGACGAAGGGGAGCTCGGCGAGCCTGTGCATGGGCGCGTGGATGCCGTGGCGGACGTCGGCGTGCTGCGCGGACTGGTCGACGAGCTTGTTGAGCGAGGCGGCGACGACGGCGGGGTCCTGGGTGTGGGCGGGGAGGTTTGTGGCGGTGATGGACTGCTTGGGCTTCATGTCTGCTTCGTGGAGGGGGAGCGAGGTCATGGTGGGCGTCGAGGAGAAAGAGCGGGCGGAGGTATAAATAGACCAGGTGCGTGCCTTTGAGGTCATGGGCCCGACCCTAACCCCAGCCTATGCTCTCTCCATGTCTCCATGTCCGCAGCGTCCAGGGGTACGTGCTGGGATAGATAAGACAACGAACCCGCAAGGACTGATGTACTCACGGTGTCTTCGGAATCGCAGAGCCTCGGTGCACACCGATGCGACACCACGCTCGGCCTCGAACCACAAACAACGCTGCCACCACGGATCGTCTGTGTGGTCGCAGCCCCACGCCAATCCACCGCGCTCCGGCGTGGTTGCAGATACCGCCTCGTTGGCGGTTGCGCTGAATGGCATGACGAAACGGCGCACGCTGTATAGGCGTTCACAGACCATGCGTGGATCTGGTATCGCGGACGTGTTGAACCTTACTAACCTCCTAGAATGTCACGGTCACTTGTAGGAGGCGAGCAGTAAGTATGGAGGTCGAGTAGAGTAGTCTCAGATCTGCATACCGAGCACCTCACCCCATCCCACTCAAGTCGGGCTCAGCCGCACCGAGCAGTCTCCAGCAACGAGTTGGCCGCATCTATGCGCGTAGCTCGTGGCGCAAGTACGCTGTGAGAGCTTGTGCGATAGCTTGTAGAGGAGATGGGGGCTGGATGTCGAGCGAGAGGGCCTCGTCGTGGTCAAAGTGTATCAAGCGCACGTGCGGGCAGGAAGCAAGTCGAGCGTCGAGCGCCCACGTATGTTCTTGACTTCCAACTCGCGCGGATGTGGTTGCAGTACAACCTCACGCACACAACACGGGTGGGTACGGCTCATTGGCACTATGGTACAGGTCGACGGATACGCTTAGCCGGCGACCGGTGGCCAATGAACATCCACGCGAAGTACAAGCTCGATGCCGTCTCAACTTGAAGCATCAAGCCCTTCAAATCTCACCAAGCCCAGGTCGCCGCCGCATTTGCTCAAGGAACGCTACATCTTCCCATTCGAACACGATCGATTTTACAACAAATGCGGATTCCCCTGCGCGGCGTCGCGCCCATCGCGGCCAAACCGTTACACGCTGCTACTAGACAGCCGGACTCCCGTCCCTCTCCTCGCCGCAGAAGGGAAGCGGCCCGTGCAAGGCTGGCTGGCGCAACAGGACCGACGGCGTTCAGCACTTGCACTCGGTGGGCTTGCACTGGCAGCTGTCAACGACCCGGGTCAGCGTAAGGCGGTGCGACGTGGAGCGAGAGTGCGACGTACGCCTCGCCGCAGCTGCAGCTGCTCACGCCGCAGTTGGCGTTGTTGACGGGGACGGCGACGTTCTGCGGACCCTGGTGAGCACATCTCTCGATGGAGAGGTACCGTTTGCTTACGGTGAACATTGTGAGGGGTGTGTTGAGGCGGGGTGCTTGTGAGGTGCGGTGGGTAGTCTGGGACTGGGGAGACACGGTCTGCGGACGTCTCTCTTATACGTCTGTGGGTCGTCGGGACACGTGTGGTACCGGTTCAAGTCGTAGCATCCCCTTGCGGTCTAGCTGCCTGACGGCGAGCAAGGAACATATCGCCCGATCCATCTGTATTGCGAGCCAGCCTGGTTGCTGCGATTACCTGTTTCTATCGCAGTGGCTCGCAGTGGACGCTCCCAGGCCGCGTGTGCGGATGTTGCTCCACACGTACTGACCCCGTTCTACCTCCGCGAAGCTGCTCCCCGGCTTCTCCTGAGGCATTTGTGCTGGCAGCTGGGGGCGCCACGAGCGCAGGCCTCTCGTCCTCGAGATGGGCTGTACGCACACCGGTCCCGTCCTCAGACAGTTGCCATTATTGGCCTAGGCGAGGGGGTCCGAGTCGTGACTGGGCTCGAATTGTGCGGACAATGTGTGCGTCTTTGATTATGGTGCTACAGGAAACGTACACCCAGTTCTGGCGCGCCCCTCTCGACGCCCAGCCCGCGCCTTGTGGGATACCACGCACCCTGTCACTGACTCACTGCACAGTGTAATTCGCAAGCGTTGATGGGTTCGAAGGGTCATCTAATCTTATCGGCCTCCCGTCGGTGGCATATGGCCCCCCGGTGATTCCATCGAGCCTCTGGCTCTGGGCTTCTCGAGATCTCTGTCGTGTCAGTGCCTCGTTGTCCAGGAAATGCCTCAGTGGATGACCGTCACTACTCAGCGCAAATGCCTCAGACCCTAGGCGCCGCTCGGAGGCACAAAGGACTCTCCCTGGCGGGCGGCACCGCCTCGTCTCGAATTGCATAGGTTCCTTTGTTGTGGACGATTGGCGTAGACTCACGTGCTAGTCACTTGAACCCCAGGACTGGACTCCTCAACTGAACGCTAACTACACCAGGAAACAGACTATCGTATGCGTGTGGAACCTGAGGACGCCGACTCTGCGAGTGGCAATCATACCTGGTGAGGCATACAGTCGTACTAAATACCCGAAGTCTCGGCTGAATTGCTTATTTGCACTCCAGCACTCGCGACCCCGACCCAAGAGGTTCCTTGCGTGCAGCTTGACGGGATCGTTTGGACTCGAAGCCGTCGAAGGGAATTTGATCACTTCGCTATCGCTTCCCCACCATTTGTGGCACCGCAGATCGGGGTACAAAGTGATCCGCAGCTGGGTGCGCTACCTCGACGGGCCCATCAGCGCCGTCATACGTTAGCATCAGCAAGCCGTCGTGCATAGCAGGGTGCATAGTACCGCGTACTATCGCACGCGAGCAAATGAGTTTGCGACCATGGTCGGTTTGTATCTTATCGCACTGGCGAAGATGTAGCTCGGTGCGTATAGATCATGCAATGGATTCCTTGATCGAGGGGCGCTCAATCAAAGTCGCGGTCTGATCATCCAGGACACGGAATTTCGCAGGAGGACTCGCTCAAAGACGCCACAGCTTTCCAATCAAGACGGTACAAAAATGCTTTTATTGCCCTTTGCGCCCATGTTTCAACGTCTACAAGTACGGTAGCCGCCGGTGTCTCCCACTTTCGTGTCTCAAGGTAACAGCGACAATTGGTGCGGGAGGGTCAAAGGGCGAGGCGTTCAACATTTAGCACTTGCACTCGGTGGGCTTGCACTGGCAACTGTCAGGAAGTCAGCATACGTACACATTGCTATGCAAACGGGACTGTAACGTACGCGTCGCCGCAGCTGCAGCTGGTCAGGCCACAGTTGGCGTTGTTGACGGGGACGGCGGCGTTCTGCAGACAGCAAGGTAAGCATCCCATTCGAGGCGAGGGCTAGCAGTGGTGCTCACGGTGAACATTGTGAAGGTGGTGGTACTGCGAGGCGAGGGTGTGCTTGTGGGGTGCGTTGGGTAGTCTGGGACTGGAGAGACACGGCGAGCGAACGTCTCTCTTATACTCCTCTAGGTCGCCCGGACACGTGTCGCAGCATACTCTGGACGTCCAGATCGCCGGTTGTGGCCTCGCTTCGTGGACGCGGCCAAGGTGCTGCTTTCCGATTCATCTGAAACGAGATAGCCAGCCTGGTTGCTGTGGTTGCCCGTTTCCTGACGCATCGGCCCGAGTACAGACGTTGCTGCACCTGTGTACTACTTACTGACGCCGTTCTACATCCGCGCTGCCAATGAGAGATTTGTGCTGTGGGTACCACGATCGTAGGATTCTTCCCTCCAAATCACTCGAGGCGATTGGACTTGAAAATCTAGACGTCGTGCCATCGGCTGGTTGACTCGGACGCAGGCTTCAAGGCGCGCCTTGACGCGGACGCAAGATTATCGCCTGCGCAACGTACTCAGCTCGCGATCCTGCCAATGGACGTCCTGCTGCCTTACGCGATCCTGCATTTGGCGACGGTATCGTATGATAATTCATTCCACGCAGTGTTGCCTGAACCGCTACACTCCTCTAGGAACCGGTTTGGCATGGCTGTTCAGAAAACGCCTCAGTTGACGACAATCGGCACAAATGTCTCAAGACCCTGATCAGGGCATTGAGTGGGACGGATAGCGAAGTCTGACGATGGCAACGACAGTGAGGCATTTGCGCGGACGATCGGTATTCGAGGCATTTGCGCTGAGGATATTCAAACTGAGGCATTTCCTGAACAGCCATGCATGCCAGAGATCTCGAGAAGCTGAGAGGCAGATCCAGCGGCGCTGCCTCGACTGAATTGACTAGTGGCCATGCGCAACGCCCGCCAGGGCGTTGGGCATGGTCACATGACGCAACATTACCATAACGGGCAAACTATCGCGTCGCAGGATGGCAAAGCAGCTCACGACCGATACAGTGCATCGATGCTCAAGGAGAAACTTCTCCATGTATGATAATGCACCATGTGAGTAGTACACACAGGTTTGGCAGGAAAATAACATGTATTCGTTGCATGGCGAATGATCGACTATCGGCGTCTACCTAATGTCGAATGGCTTCTGCAAATACTGCTGCGATTTGACTCACCATCCAGTCAATTCCTACACAGACATGATCCAAGACCTCATTGTATCAGGAACAGAGTCTAAAATCGTAGAGAAGCCATATCAGGCCTGTGGTAAGGGCCGGCGGACTGGCATGAAATGTACCGAGTCGACCAACACCGTTTGGACTCCGAGTCGGTCGAGCGCAATGCAAAGGCCCGAGGAGCCTACATGACTCTGAGGGATAGAGTATGAAGATTTGCCGTGGTCGCTTGCCACAAACGTGACCAGGCGGGCGAGGTTTACTCAATGCTCATGCAATGAGACTTCCGGAGAAATGTAACAGCATTGTCAGCCATACTCTGCCGGGCATACTCGCGTGAATTGCAGCCCCTTGCCTTAAATTTTCATCACACCTCTCGGTCCTAATAATTTCGCACTTTGTAGGTCGACTGATCTCAACAGACGTGTCCAACGCTGTGTGCGGCACCGGCATGCTCGCACACTCCGAGTCCCAGTGTGCCCTGGGAGGGTTACCGAGGTTCGTACCATTCAGCGCTGCTCAAAATATCAGGAAAGGTCAAATATAACTCATCAGGTACTAAAACAGCCCGTCACCAATCAATCGCGGGAGGAGGAGGAATGTGGGCACAATAGAGAGAGTCTAAAGACGCGTCGCGGTCGCTCGCCACAGGCGCGTCCGGACGGGCGCTTGGCCGGAAAGCCGCGTCCTGCCTCGAATTCGCGGTACATGTTCCGGCTCATCATGAGCACTTCCTGTCCTGAAAATTAGATAGACAAGTTTCTTTCAACCATAGCTACAATTCTATGTTTGCAGAATGTGATATTTCGGCGTGCAAGTGTTACTTACATACCAGATCTACACAAAGGCAGTACAATTTTGAAAATCTTGAAACATAGCATTCTGAGCATTGAGTTTTTATTGCCTATTCCCGAATCCGATTTACAATGCAGGGAGCGTGCAAGCCGGAACATGTACCGCCATTTCTGCTATGGCTCCCAGGTAGGCGCCGGTACCACGGCTTTTGCCGGACTGGCAGGGCCCTGCGCATGGCCATGACTAGGGGCTATGATTATGATATGCTAGCGACGCGAAGGCGATAAGATAAGATCACCCTTCGACGCCGTCACCAGTCAACACTTCGGGATTACAGAGAAGATGGGGGATACCGTAAGATATCAATGACGTTGAGACGGGAGTACCGCAGACCGTGGCAGACGCAAGTAGACGTCTCCTGCGGAGAGTTGAAGGACGAGGATCAGAGACGTATACAATATTGGCCCACCCCTGTCCTCGTTCGCCCCGGGATTCTGAAATATAATGCATTAGCTTGGTAACGAGAGTGGCGCGCGTGTTCAAACTCAAGGACGACAAGAATGTGATGGTGGCGCCCCCAGCATAACTGCCTCACTAGAAGCCGCACAGAAGCCTGACGGTGGTAGAACGGCGTCAGTATGTGCTCTGTATGCGTGGAGCAGCATCCCTACACGTGGCCTGACAGTGCCAAGAAACGAGCAGTATCGCAGAAACCAGGCAGATTGTCCAATGCAGATGAATTGGGAAAGGATGCTGGAAGCAACACCTTGCTCGCTGTCAAGCAGCTAGACTGCAATGAGAGGCTACCACAGGTACCACACGTGTCCGAAGGTTCGCGAGACGTATAAAGGAGGCGTTCGCTCGCCATGTCTCTCCAGTCCCAGACTACCCAACGCACCTCGCAAGCACATCTTCGCCTCACAGCACCACCTTCACAATGCTCACCGTAAGCAATAACACTATCTCTCGACTTGAACTTCATATCTCATTTTGGCTTCTGCAGAACGTCGCCGTCCCCGTCAACAACGCCAACTGTGGCCTGACCAGCTGCGGCTGCGGCGAGGCGTACGTTACAGTCCCGCTTGCACAGCAATGTGTATGCTTACTTCCTGACAGCTGCCAGTGCAAGCCCACCGAGTGCAAGTGCTAAATGCCTCGCAATTCGACTCCACTGCGTCAATCCTATTCACCCGCTGAGACACGGAAGCGGGAGACATAGGCAGTTACCGTGCTGTGCATCTTGTAGACGTCGGAGATAGGCGCGAAGAGCAACAAAGCATTGTTATAACATTTTGACCGGAAGCGTCCGCGAGCGAGTTCTCCCGTGAAACTTCCAGTTCGAGTCCTAAATGAGCGGACGATAGCCCGCTTTAACTGAGCATGAACATGATCGACGAGATGTTCGATGTTATTCGACTAAGGAATATGTTCTATGACAAACACGCACCAAGCCTACGTGTTCTCCAAATTTGGGACCACACAGCCTGCTAGCTTCGACGCCACCGCCGGTCGGAAAGCGGCAGGTAGACACATGGCTGACTAGTCTGCCAAAGGCAGGCCCGAATCCCTCTTCTACCAGTGAGAAGGGAGGCCGAGGCCCCCGGGTCAGGCGTTCAGCGCTTCAGCCACGTAGTATCCATGGACCAGAAACCAAGGACAGGGCTAGGTCTGGATATGAGCTTGTTCGAGCACGGCTTCGGGCCCTACACTCTCAAAGGATCAGCGTGCACACAGAGCATCCGTTAATAATTGCGGTTCTCCGATATGGGCGAGAGAGTTGTGAGGACAATCCTCAGAAGAATCGCGTTACGTGCGCAGAGGAAAAGCAGCATGTCCGTGAAAGACGCGAGCTGACGGCGCCCGAGCTGACCACGCGACCCACTCGAAAAGATCATCACTCATGAGTATGCATCACTAGCCGTCCCAAGCATTGGTAGTCTGTTCGCGATGTCGTACGCGTCTTGCGGGCCGCGCAGACTTACGGCAGTCTGACACTGCTAGTGGGTTGACGGAGCTCAATCACGCGACACGGTCCGGAAGCATAAGGATAGGGCACTCAACTGCGGATCCCTTCGTACCCCGGTTATGATGTTTCGACAGAAGCAGTACGGCAGTGATAAGTTAAGTAGCTTGCTTCCAGTGTCTTCTCTTCGGCATCTTTGAGTTCTGCGCATTGAATTCATGCGCACAAGTGATCAATTTATGCTGGCCCGTGACAGATGCTGTAGTGCGAGATCAATACATTGGACGCCATGAGCAGATGGTACGAGTCCATGCCATCAGCAAAGAGACCGAAAGAACGCAGGATATTTGCGGCAGAAGAGAATACTCACCCAGCGACGTAGAATTGCTCTTGCGAGTGCACTGTGAAAGAGGCGCACCTAGAGGCACAGAAGACTCCGACCAACTGCGCTTCTCGTGATACCTACGTTGTTGAGCCCCTGATCGAGTCTGAGGCATTTGTGCTGACGATCGTCAACTGAGGTATTTTCTGAACGAACTATGCCCGACTCGGTTCCCCAAGAAGCCAGGCGGTCCAGGCGGAGGAGCGTCGACTGAATAACCGGGTTCAGTACCCCACCGACAGGACGATAAGATAAGATTGTCTGTTCGGCGGTATCAATCAACGCGTCCAAATCATACTATACAGTATGATAACGTAGCGGCTGAGTGCGGGATCCCATGGGTCATTGGGGCATGCGCTGGCATGCGTCTAGACGGGAGTGCCGTGGATGTAAGGCTATATCCTCCGGTGAAAATATGAAGGAAGACGTAGGATCATCTGTACAACTCACTAACAGGACATGATGATACAACGTTTGTACGCGGGACCAGTTCGCGTTGAGTATGTTGAAAATCAGGGTGTGGCGCCCACAGCACAAATGCCTCCTTATAATTAGAATCCGGGCATCGGACAGGAGCTGCGCGGCGGTAGAAGGGCGTCAGTACTAATGTACACGAGTGGAGCACCATCCATACACACCCTTGATGACCTTCTGAACGACCGAAAACAGTCAATCACAGCAACCAGCCTGACTGTTCCGATTGAGAAAAGATTCGTGCCTTGGCCGCCGTCAAGTGGCTACACCACAGCAACACCGCAGCGGGTCATTTGCACCATGGCTCATCTGGAGCGCGCTGCAACACGTGTCCGAGAATACAGAAGGATATAAGAGAGGCGGGCGTGAGCCGTGTCTCTCCAGTCCCCGACTACCCAACACACCAGAAACACATCTTCGCCTCAAAACACCACCGCCTTCACAATGTTCACCGTAAGTGGCACCGCTACTCTCTCTTGAGTAGATATGCTCACCTTGGATCAATGGATATCCGCAGAACGTCGCCGTCCCCGTCAACAACGCCAACTGCGGCGTCTCAAGCTGCAGCTGCGGCGAGGCGTACGTCGCTTTCTTCCTGACCAAAGCGTTGTATGCTGAATGGACTCACTTACAGTTGCCAGTGCAAGCCCACCGAGTGCAAGTGCTGAACGCCTTGCCGTTCGACTTCTTCGCGCCAGCAGTTCATGTATTGTTTTGCCTGACATACGGAACTACCAGCAGCTTCTGCATTGTACATCGTGTTACAGTCCGGTGATTGGTGCGAGGAGGAATGGGCATTTGTTTTGTGACATCATGAACTGAGAATCATTGCCTCCGTGAACCAGTGCATCTGCATTGCGTGATATACACCTTTCAGCAACGTGTGAGTACATGAGTTATAGCAAGAACTTGCCTTCAGACTAAAACACGCATGGTTGCTGGTTCATAACCGGAGTTGTCGCCGAGTTTCCGACAGTATTCAAAGAACAAATAACGACGAGAGCCCATACGACGCTAGGTAATGCATGTATTGGACGGAGGAGGTGATGGTACTAGTAGAGCGTTGTGTTCAGATCGCCTCTGGCCAATCGGGTGTCATAATTCATAAGTTCTCACGGTTCTTGCCTCTACCGAAGATCGGTGGCAACTGCTATCGGCCGGTGGCTAAATGGACCCCCCTCCTCCTCCTCCTCCTTAACTTAAGCGCTTCAAGTTAAGCTTTGGATTTGGACTCGCTCTGATGCATGCATGTGGGGGCTCTCGTCAACCTGCGTATTGGGAGTGTTGCTATGTTTGTTAAGTACGTGGTCATCTATCTGACATGCCCTTCAATTGAGAACGGTAGCTGTCATTCCGAGTCGTTGCAACTCTGACTCGTCAGGCTCCGGTATTGAACGCTTTCCCTGCTTGCGCAGTTGAAGATCGTAATTTGCCATGGCATATTTTCGTTGTATGCGAGGCGCCATTCAATTTGGATGACTTTGGATGACTTTGAATGACGGTATCATCTAACGGACCAAATCTTGGTCAATGTTCGACATTCGTCACGGTGTACATGGCACTCACGGCCCTATCGGCCACTGGACTTACAGAATCTTGTAAGGTTTGGTCAGCCGGCAGGATGAAGATTTACCTGCGGAAGGAATCGTCGGGTCTAGGCAACACCAAAGGTGACATCTTCACTTACCATTACCAGCTCACCCGATGTCGCAGCAGGGGTTTGCATAGGGGCATTCACAGTGGCACAATCGGCATGCTCTTGACCACCCCGGTCCTTGCACAAAGGAAGGATCCGACTGTCTCCAAGGCGAACCGAGGTTGGCTGTATGTGTGGCGAGTGTAACTAGGGTTACCACTGCCAGATCGGGACAGAAGGTGCACCTGCGCTTTGTGGCCACAGCGCACTCCGGTTTCGGTAAGTCATTATGCTGTGGCTACCGCAGCCACATATAAGACGTAGTCCGCTGATGGAATACCATCTCGAGCACACTCGCGAGAGCTTAGGGGTTTCGAGGGTCTACGTCTGGCCGACGTCGTCCTCGCTAAAATTCCTTACCATGCACGCTGCTCTTCAAACCGACGACATACTCGACGCGATCTTCGATTATTTGAAGCCTCCGTTCGGGCGGTTTGACCACCACTGTTCCTCATCCGACCCGATCCGCGTCTTCCAACGGACGCTCTGCGCCGCCGCTCTCACATGCAGAGCCTTCAGCCAGCCCGCGCTAAAGTCGCTCTGGTTCCATGTCAACTCTGTGGACGCGCTGTTCTACATCTTGTCCTCGTGTATGAAGATAGTGTGCGATGTTCCGTTATCACTGGACATAGACGACTCGCCTCGGCACCAAGAGACCGTTTGGGTGCGTGTCCATCGCATTCGATAATCCAAGTTTTATGCTTACGCGAAGGTAGATAATGGACCGCCCAGTCAGCGAGAAGGAGCGCGAACGCTTCCTCTGGTACACGCAATGCATCCATATAATTAACCTCCAAGCGTCGCGTCGCGTCGACCCCTGGGTTTTCTTCCGCCTTTCTCAAGAGAACCTTGGTACGCCCCTCACACCACGGCTTCATACCATGATCTGCAACCAGGACTGGCCCTATATCGACATGGTCGTGTCACTGCTGAGTGGCCCCTCGCTCCGCACACTCGCCCTCAAGTTCAATGGCCCGGAATGGACGATCGACGACGACCGGAAGCTGCCTCTGAACCGCCACAACTACGCAGCGTACCCGCTCCTCCGGAACGTTTGTGCGTCCGCGCCAGACCTCGAGAAGCTCACAGTGTACATGTGCGCGTATCCGGGGCTGCTGCACCCGATCGGCGGGATGAAGCGCCTGCGCGTGTTGGACCTCTCCTTGGTGTGGACGCCGATCAACATGGAGCTCGTGCGGCAGCTCGCACAGCTCGAGCAGCTCGAGGAGCTGGCGCTCCACAACTCGTTTGACGGGCGCAACCTAGGGCCATGTGAAGGCTTCAAGAGCGTGACAAAGTTGATCATCCGCGGTGGCATCCGCACGATCCCGCCGCTGCTGCAAGCACTTCCCGACCTCCACCTCAGAGAGCTCCATTTGAACTCCCCGGTCATCGAGGAACCCAGACCCCTCCAGAAGCTCGTGTCAGCCCTGTCACTCGCATCGCGCGAGTCGATCGAGAGCGTGCGCATCGACAGCCTCACTGCGGGACGCTCCCTCACGAGCGCGCCTGTGTCCACGCTCATCGCGCCGTTTTTCGCGTTGCCGAACATCCGCTCTTTCTATTTGCGCGCGGACGATCCTCTGTGCATCGCGGACGACGACCTGCGCGTCATTGGCGGCAAGTGGGCGAAGCTGGACAGGGATGTCATTTAAGAAGGGTTAATTATAGTTCATTAGTGAACCTAATCAGGATTAAAATGAGTTCCTTAAGAACTATGATTAGGTATTCATTCTGTTAATCATGGGCTTAGGGTGGTATGATTACCTCCATTAATCCATGTTGGCATGAAACCATATTATGATCCCAAATGAAGGCACTAGCCCTGACACAAAGGGCTAATTCTCTGCAAATCCCAGTCAATTTACACTGAATCATGGCATAATCCCAGTCATGATCATGCTTAACCAATTCATGACTCTTAATCCTAAGATAATCCCATTATTTGGATATCATAATCATGGCATAACCTCAGTGTTGATCCTGCTGAAATGGGCATAATCATGACATATGTACAATCCTAAACATTCATTATCAAGCCCTAACCTCAGAGCTAATCTATGGCAGGCATCATGAATGTAATCATTAATTCAATGCTAATCCTGGCTGCTGATCCTGATATATTGATGTCAGATTAGTGCTGATTAGCCAGATAATCTGCAGAACAAATCACAGTGATCAGATCAATTGAAAAAAATGTTGTGCAGAAGCGAGGACTGAACCAGCGACTTTTTGAAGCATTACATAATCACCTTATTGGGCAAAGAAGCATACACTATAACCACTGCACCATACTGTCTTGTTATGTCTGAGATGTTATTGATCTATGTCATGTTCTTCGATTGCTGGACTTAGACACATTTCTAGTGCCCTCCCATGATGCAGTCTAATCCTGATCAACCTGAGATTAGCGACCAGTCAATCCTCACTAACCCATGAGGATTTGCAGAGATTAATCCTGAGGTAATGCTTCTTTGCCACATAAGACTGTGAACAGATCAAGTCCAGATTAGAGGTGGGATTAGATAGTCTTCAATCTGATTAACTTACTGCTAATCTGCAGTGTACAAACAGGATTAGGGTTCCACATTACTGAATCATGATTAAAAGTACCAAGTACATCACATTGAAATCATCATTGAAACAGCAGATTATATTGGAAATAAATCTTTGCAAATCCTCATGGGTTAGTGAGGATTGACTGGTCGCTAATCTCAGGTTGATCAGGATTAGACTGCATCATGGGAGGGCACTAGAAATGTGTCTAAGTCCAGCAATCGAAGAACATGACATAGATCAATAACATCTCAGACATAACAAGACAGTATGGTGCAGTGGTTATAGTGTATGCTTCTTTGCCCAATAAGGTGATTATGTAATGCTTCAAAAAGTCGCTGGTTCAGTCCTCGCTTCTGCACAACATTTTTTTCAATTGATCTGATCACTGTGATTTGTTCTGCAGATTATCTGGCTAATCAGCACTAATCTGACATCAATATATCAGGATCAGCAGCCAGGATTAGCATTGAATTAATGATTACATTCATGATGCCTGCCATAGATTAGCTCTGAGGTTAGGGCTTGATAATGAATGTTTAGGATTGTACATATGTCATGATTATGCCCATTTCAGCAGGATCAACACTGAGGTTATGCCATGATTATGATATCCAAATAATGGGATTATCTTAGGATTAAGAGTCATGAATTGGTTAAGCATGATCATGACTGGGATTATGCCATGATTCAGTGTAAATTGACTGGGATTTGCAGAGAATTAGCCCTTTGTGTCAGGGCTAGTGCCTTCATTTGGGATCATAATATGGTTTCATGCCAACATGGATTAATGGAGGTAATCATACCACCCTAAGCCCATGATTAACAGAATGAATACCTAATCATAGTTCTTAAGGAACTCATTTTAATCCTGATTAGGTTCACTAATGAACTATAATTAACCCTTCTTAAATGACGAAGACGAGCTGGAAGACTTGCGGCTCGTGTGTAATGCGTCGTCGACGCACGCGACGGCCGTCGCGCCGACCATGCAAGGAATCATCGAACTTGCCAACCTCTGCACGCAGCTTGACCACGTCCGCTTCTCCTCGGTCACACCATCAGAGTCCCTCGGTTTCATCAACCCTCATTGGATTGAAGGCGTGCGGGAGCTCCCGCTTGATATTCAGGTCCCGGACTGTGATATCCACGACGTGCATCAAGTCGCGCGTGTACTGTGGTGGATCTTCCGCGGGCTGCACGTTCCAAACCTGGACAGGTTGGCCTTAAGAAGTGGGCTGCTGTCCTAGATGGAATCGCGCGTCTGGAAACGGAACGGAGGGATCGCGGCGCGACGCAAAGATGGTCGATGTGAGAGGTGACGTCCGTTTGCTTTTTATTAAATATTATCTACATTGTATATTATTCTTGACAGTGTGGCTCACATGTTAGTCTTTCATTACCGATCTCTAGTACGATCGCAGCGACGAGTGGAAGGACGAACGTTGAACGTTGAACGTGGAGGCCTTGAGGCCGCACGAGCGCGCCTGACGTGAATGTAGAACCCACACACAAGTGCCGGCGAACACACATATGTAGTCATCTGTGCGCTGTACTTGCGCTGTACACAGTTGCACTGGCGGACGCACAGGCGCATATTTGCTTGCGGATTGCCTTGCAGCATGCAAGGGCCGCGCAACAGTACCCCTATACGAGCCACAGGCCATACTGTTCAAAGCTCTACGCGTTCCTCCACACATCGAACACATGTACACAGTGCTTCGGCGGAACTTGCCGCCGAGGTGACCGGGTGTCAGCGAGTGGCGGTATATCAAGTTCGTAGCACACACATTCGGGCGCCCGGCGCTGAACATAAACCTCCTGCTCCAGCATCAAATTGGCGCATACCCCTTCTCCAAAACCGTCAAGAGCACTCATGAGTTCCTTGCTAGCGTTCATCCGGCGCCTCAGCACGGTACGTCCTGTCCTCTATCGCCGCCGCTGCCCTTCAATACAAAGCTCGACAGTGCAACAATCCCCCGGAAATGGAGAAGGCGCCGGGGCCTCTGCGTTTCGGCGTGCTGGGAGCGGCGCGCATCGCGCCAGACGCTATTGTGAAGCCCGCGAGGAACCACGAGGACGTGGTTGTCACAGCGATAGCGGCGCGCAGCCAAGACCGCGCGGATGCATTCGCGAGGCAATGGGGGATCCCGAAGGCGCACGGAGGCTCTGGGGCTTACCAAGGTGCTCGTGCTCGTGGCGTGTTCCTCGCTGCACACGGGTGTTGACGGCGTTGCTCGCAGACCTCGTTGACGATGAGGACGTTGATGCCGTTTACATCGGGGTGAGTCCTGTGGCGTTCACATGCCTGGCCTGATGGATGGGATGCTGATGCTGATGAGCGCAGCTTCCGAACAGCTTGCATTGCGAGTGGACGATGAAGGCTCTCGCGGCAGGCAAGCACGTCCTGTGCGAGAAGCCGATCGCGGACAACGAGGAGGACACGCGCAAGATGTTCGCGTTCGCAGCGGAGAAGAACCTAGTGCTGCTCGAGGCCTGGCAGGTCCAGTATGTCGAGTCAATGGATGCGCGGGACGCACGGGCGCGCGCTGACTGCTGTGCATGCGCAGCTTCCATCCTTCCCTGCAGAGAGTCAAGGAGCTGGCAGACGACCTGGGCCCGATCGTCAACATGTCGACGTACCTCGGCGTCTGGAACAGCGTCTTCTTCCTGAAGGACGACATCCGCTTCAACTACGACCTGGGAGGCGGGGCACTCATGGACATGGGCCGTACGTCTCAGCCACTCCACCTATAGAGACTCGATTCACTCGCTCACCGCCGAACGTGGATCGCACCACATCCAGCGTACCCGATCAACTGCATGCGCTTCCTCACCGCGCACGAGCCCTCCGTCCACTCCGCCTCAGCGACCCTGCGCACAGAGAAGATCGACGAGAAGATCGAGACGCACCTCTCCTTCGGGCCGGACGCCATCCCCGCGACGATAACCACGGATTCGCACCTCGCCGGCTGGGGCCCGCTCGGGCTGCTCCCGCGCTGGATCCAGATGGTGCTCCGGGTCGAGTGCAAGGAGGGCGTGGTGGAGTGGTCGAACTACGTGCTGCCGCACTTGTACCACTCGATCACGGTGTATCCGAAGGAGGGTGGGCAGTGGACTGAGGCGGCGTACAAGCGGAGGGACGGGGAGGGAGAGGAGTGGTGGTCTGCGTGAGGCCCGGGTCTTCCGTGCGAAGGGCAGTGCACTGACCCCCCGCTGAGTAGCTATAGGTATCAGCTGGAAGCCTTCGTGGACAAGGTCAGAGGACGACAACCGAGCGTGTGGCGGACTGCAGAGGACTCGATCGAGTCGATGAAGGCCATTGACGCCATATACACCAAGGTCAGGAGGTCGATTGCCGAAGGTGGGCAGATGCTGATGTTTCACTTCAGTGCGGGTTGCCACTGCGACCTACCTCCCAATTCATCTTGTAAGTTAGAAGGAACCCCGGTATCGTTGTCAGACCCCGTGACTCTCAGATGTTATCATTTCTTTCCCTTCAGTCCATCACAGCCATGTAAGACCAAAGACGACGAAGGTTCTGAGGGCGGACACAGTACCGTCAATGTTCGAGATTGAGCATACGAGCTTCGAGTTCACCCACCATCTGCTATGCTAGGACCTCGTCCAGAACCTTGATGATCTTCTCAACCTCCTCCACTGTGTTATAGTGCACGAAAGAGATGCGCACAACGGCATCGTCGACGTTGAGCTTCGGCTGCAGCGTGTCGACGAGCGTATACGCGTAGAAGTGCCCATACCGGATACCGATCTACACGCCCACAGCGCAAATCAGCAGTTGCCTCCGAACTTCAGAGAGAAACCCACATCGCCCCTGTCGTCGAACGCCTTGACGACGTCCTTGCTCCGTATCGGTCTCTCCCCGGCAACCACAAAGCTGACAGTAGGCACGCGGCTCGGCCCCTCATACTCATCACCTACAACCCGCACGCCCCTGTCCGTCTTGCCCCGGAGATACGCCAGGAGCGGCGTCAGCAGCGTCTGCTCGTGTTCCGCGATCAGGTCATACGCGTCTGCGAGCGCGCCTGAGGGCGCGAGCGACTTGAGGTAGGGAGGCACGGCGGTGCAGCCGTAGACGATCTCGTAGCCGGGGCCGCCGGGCTGGACCTTGTAGGGCTTGGTGTCGACTGAGAGGAAGTGATGTGCGAGTGAGGAGAGGGAGTGGGTTAGGGCGGGAGCGCGGATGTAGAGGACGGATGCGTGTGGGCCATACACCTGTGTGTGCAGCATGAGTCGTTTGAATTCCCCAGGGGCGTACGCGAGTCCAGTTTCCCGCGCACCTTGTATACTGAGAAGACACAATATTCGATGTCCCAGTCCTTGACGTCGATCCGGCGGTGCGGCGCGTACGCCACGCAGTCCACGCAGACCTCGAGCTTCGGCACTCCGAGCTCGCGCGCCTTCTCCCGTACAGCACGTACGATCTGCTTCACGGGGACGACGGAGCCGAGGATGTTCGAGCACGCCGTGAACGCGAGCAAGCGCGTCTTGGCAGTGACGAGGGGCAGCAGGGCTTCCAGCTGCAGGGATACTGCGTAGGGGTTGTTCGGAGACGCTGCGATCTGCGATGGGCGCCAAAGCTTGATGATCGCCCCGCGACGGGCGGCGAGCCGCTTCCACGGGCCGGCATTTGCTGGGCGATAGACGAGGACTGACATGAAAGCGAATGCAGAATTTAAATTTGAGCGACTTACCCTCATGCTCTCCGGTGACGATGATCTCGTCGCCTTCGTTCACGTCCTTCTCTATCGCGCGGGTCAGGTTCTCGACCAGCATCGTCGCGCTGCTCCCGAACGCGACTTCATCGACGCTATCAGCGTTGAACAGCTCCTTTGCTGCGTCGGCGCCCGATGCGACCCGGGACGTGCTCTTCTGCGAGACAGCGTAGTCGGCACCGAGCTGGACGTTGGTGTTGAGGAGGTAATCGGAGATGTGGGCGACCGCGTCGGCGAGGCACTGCGACCCGCCTGCATTGTCGGCGTACAGGAACCCCGACGAGAGAGCGGGGAACGCGCTGCGGACGGTGGCGATGTCGAGGGAGGGCATGCTGGAGGGTGTCGGGAGGTGGGAGGTGTCGCAGTGACTCAGACCAGTTGGCTGTGGGAGGAGGAGGAGATGGGTCCTGGGAGTCACTTGGTATCAGAGGCAGTCGGGCCTGGAAGAACACCGATGCCTCGGGACAGATAAGCTCAGGGGACACCTGGATCGAGGTTAGGGTTGGCTCGGACGCAGCGGGACCGTCTCACGCCAGAAGCGTCACAGTACTTGGCCATGTGAAGGAAGGAACCGCGATGCGCAGGGTTCGGACACTTCCGTGCGCGCTGTAGACATCGAGCTAATGCACACAGACCGATTAGACATAACGCGCGTATTAGATAGCTGGACATACCTTGCGATGACGACCCATATTGGCGAACAACTCAGCTAACACCACACGTGCGTTCTGCGGATTGCAAGAGCAGGAGCGTGCTCTCTCCCCGCGAGTGCAGACAGTGCGCATATAGGGCCCAGTCCTTGGAGGCTACGAGTCATCGATCGGTGCGTAGGTGAGTACTAGGAAGTCCGAAGCCATCAGAATGTCGAGCATGCAAGGTGCCCATAAACGCTGACGTACCGCCTGACCATCGACCCAACTTCGCAGCAATATGGCTCTACAAGTGATTGTGCCCATGATCAACGCAACGGATTCCATAAAGTCCACCGGCCCTGCGCTAGCGATCTCGATGAAAGGACGACCAGACTTAATAGCTAGTACCGTTAGGCCTTTGGGTCTAGCACAACGGAGACTATCCGTACCAAGCGGAGCGTCGCGCTCGAAGGCGTTGATCCCCAGCAGATCATATTGTAGAAGACGTGCACGATCTGAGTATCAGGGATGTTGGCAGGCATCGATATTGAGAGAGGCAGAGGTGCTGAACTCAAGGCGGCGCAGGTGCAGGAAGGTATTGTCTCCCGTAGGCAGACCCTAAAGAAGACCTCTTTGAGTGAGGGAGAGGACGGTCTTCTAAGGAGGAAGGTACAAGTCCGACGAGTCACGACGTCAACGACTGCGAAAACCTACAAGCGCTCGTCTATAAGCAGTACAGTCGTCGAGCGCAAGCGAGTATTACTAAGCGCCATCGCTGTGAGTACCATTCGCAGTGACACTCATACGCGCGAGTTCTGTGCCCAAATGTTCAGCAAGCGTTGAAGAGACGATGCTCCCTTTCGATCGGGATACTGATCGTGAATACGATGATTGGGCGGCACCTGGAAGTACAACCATCGTCCCGAAACTTTACTAATTTCGACCCACTGACAATAAATACCAATATCCCTAGGGTCTTTTCTAAGGAATTCATACACGGCTACAGATACAATGAGTCCGCATCCAAATTCAGTTGCTCTCTGCCGTTCATCGGTCCGTCCCTCGACGAATTACTCCGGCGTCGCAGTCGTGTAGAACGTCGTCGTGGTCGTGGTGACGGTTGGGACTGTGACTGTGTCGTCATATGTAGTGAATGTAGACGTCACAGTGGCCGGGTCAGTGAACGTCGACGTGGTTTGCGCGATGCGCGTGCGAGTGATTGTGGACGTCGTCGTCGTTCGGACTACCACTGTGCGAACGTAAGAAGACGCAGCCGTGATTGGACGAATGACACATACCAGCATTGGCGACGGGCGCCGCGATAAGAACAAGCGCGATGAGAGCGGTGCGGATCGAAGTGAACATTGTGGTGAAGTGCGGGTGACGTGTGGATGTGTATTGGCACAGTAACGCACTCGAATATATACTCAGCGCGCAGGTACGTACAGCCCGGAATTCCGACCCACGCGGAGTCCAGAGTTCGACCACGGTGGCATTCGCAACGGGGCTATGACGCTGCATCCGCGCGGAAGGCGGGCGAGGAGCGGAAGCTTTTCTGCCCACAGTCTGCTTCCGTCGCATTCGGGATGGCGTAGCAATACATCCGAGTCGTTACGGCGGCCTATTCAGGGGTCGGTCTGGACTTCAATCCCTGCGTCGATAGACGGAGACCCGAGGGCACACCGTGCGTGGCCGGATGAGGTTGGGGATGGCGAACATGCCTGCCGGGCTGAGCGAGTGTCGAGTCTTTTCGAGTACGAATATGAACTTGGCCCGGGCCCGGGACGGACGAGGCGCGCCACCACGATCTGAGATTAGGTGATGGCGCTTGTGGGTGACCGTGGCCACACGCGTCCGACTCGGAGTCGCCTCCCACACCACTGGTGGATTTCGACACGAACGGTACAATTATTGTTTGCGCATGGCTTCGGTTCAACAACTGTTTGGCATGTTCTTCTGTCTCTTCCGACAAACCATGATGGGCGCGGAAACCATGCCCCATTGCACCTATTTGTCGCCGAGGTCGCGTACCGCGTCTCGGAGTGCAGTGCATCCGAGTCTGGTTCAGTCGCGGGGCCTCTGAGCATGTCGCTTCGTTTTTCTGGGGTAAGATCTCGCTTGTTGGTACTTTCATGCACAAGTCGAGCTGAGAAATCCATGCCAACAGAATGAGACCACTATCCGCAGATGGGATGCAGCCGTCGCTCTTCGTATTCGTCGTGATGCATCTGAGCGATTCGCACCGAAGGGTCTACATGTTCGCATGCCACAGTATGCACCTTATTTACGTGAGTATATGCGTCATAACGTGAGTGAGGTCGCTTAGCAGAGCACATACAGCCCGAGCACTGGTGAATGTCAGCCGCCAACGCAATATCGTGTTAGCCTCCTGCCAGTGCGTACGCTATGTTCAACCGCACCTTTTTGCTCTTTCTCTCTTCCTACTTCCTTCCTCCTCAACTGGTGTACCCTCCCGTACTTGCCGCTGGCCATGTACAATACCGGGCTGACGGTAGAGCGAGTGCCCGTGGCGCACAGCAATGAGGACTCGCAGAGCATGGCGGTCTCGGATGCGACCACATGCACAGAGCCTGGGGACACTGACAAGACAGACAAAGCTCATGGTTCTGCTACAGCATCCGATTCCGCGCAGCCAAATGAGAAGTCCACTACCGGTCCTGGCCGAACATCCGAGAAGAGGGTGGTATCGCCCGACGGAAGGATCGTCCTCACGGAACCGGAGGCCTACGGTAGCCTTGGCTTCAGCTTCCCGACGTGGAAGAAGTGGTGGATTCTCTCTGTCATCTTCGCAATCCAGTGCTCCATGAACCTCAACACGTCACTATATGCGAACGTTGTTCCGCTGCTGAGCGAGCAGTTTCGCATCAGCGAACAGGTATGTGCGCCCGCGAGCGTTTCGCTTGGCACTCTAAATGACAACTATCTCCAAGGCAGCTCGGGTTGGTCAAATGATATTCCTGGTCGCGTATGCTTTGGGTAACGAGCTATGGGCACCTTGGTCCGAAGAGTTAGGTCGCTGGCCGATTCTCCAGCTGAGCTTGTTTCTGGTCAATAGTATGCCCGGTCGCTTTGCACGTATCAACCTTACTGAGCTGACTGGACGAAGTTTGGCAGCTCCCTTGTGCATTGGCTCCCAACTATGGGACGATCGTTGTGGCAAGATTCCTCGGTGGTATCTCTTCGGCTGGAGGCTCCGTGACTCTCGGCATGGGTACGCAAATACTCCCTTCCGCGTGTACACAGTGCACACGCTGACGGGACGACTCATCACAGTGGCCGATATGTGGACGGCAGAAGAGCAACAGTTCGCAGTCGCGTTCATCGTCTTCTCCTCAGTCGGCGGCTCCGTTATAGGCCCCATCTTCGGAGGTCTCATCGAGGCCAATCTTTCATGGTCCGTACCATCGTACATCCTTCCCTTCTGGCACCCATAGACGTCCAACAGGCATTGGAACGTCCGTGTCACAGCTACCCGTTAAACCCTTGGTAGTACTGACCTCGAGCTCATCTTGTTTTGCTTTCGCAGTTCTGGATCCAGCTCATCGTCGGCGGCGTCGTCCAGGCCGTACACTTCTTCTTCGTCCCGGAGACGTGCGCCAAGGTCTTGCTCGACCGCGAAGCCAAGCGTCGCCGAGACGCCGGCGAAGAGATCGTGTACGGTCCGTCCGAAGTCGAAGAGAACCGATTCGCGCCGCGGAAGATACTCATGATCTGGATACGCCCGGTACGCCCGCATATCCCACTCTCTCCGGATCCGCTCGCGTGACTCAGCTTGCGGTTGTATGCTTCAGTTCCACATGTTCCTGTGCGAGCCGATCGTCCTGTTTCTGTCGCTCCTGAGTGGCTTCAGCGACGCGCTCATCTTCACGTTCCTCGAGTCGTTCGGCCCGGTCTTCAAGCAGTGGGGCTTTACCACCGAGACGATGGGCGCAGCCTTCGTATCGTAAGTTCTGTTTGATTGCTCCATGCAACAACTCGTCTGACAGATGTTCCTCGCAGTATCGCGGTTGGATATGTGATCGCATACATCTCATTTATCCCGTGGATATGGAAGCAACGTAAACAGCTCAGGAAGGACCCGCACTCTTTGCAGCCTGAGGCCCGTCTTTGGTGGCTCCTCTTCAGTGAGCAAACCATGCGCCATGTCTTGTGGAGCTCGAACTTACCCTTTGAAAGCTGTACCTCTGGAGCCACTTGGGCTATTCGGGTTCGCGTGGACGAGTCTCGGCCCGCCACACACACCCTGGATCGCGCCGATGATCTTCGCAGCGATGATTGCTATTGCGAACGTACGTGCCGCTCACTCCGTCCGTGCGTCTCGTAACCACTGAACACTCGCGATGGTAGTTTTCGATCTACATGGCTACTATCGACTACATGATCCAGGTTCGTGCTCCCCGATAATCACGCGAAGTATGGGATACTCGGGGTACTCTCGGGGTACTCACCGGTGTGGCTACGTCCAGGCTTATGGCCCATACGCCGCATCGGCGACAGGCGGGAACGGCTTCGCGCGGGACTTCCTCGCCGGGATCGCAGCCCTCTATGCCACCCCTCGTGAGTGCTCTATCTACCTCATCTACGCCCTATTTCGAACCGTCCCGACGACAATCCTGACCCGTACGGGCGTGCCATGCAGTGTACACCAACCTTGGTTCTCACTCCCTCGAGTGGGCATCGACGCTCCTCGGCTTCCTCGCGATCCTCGTCGCCATCCCGGTGTACATATTCTACTGGAAGGGCCCGCAAATCAGGGCGCGCTCCCGGTTCGCGCAGGAGCTCGTGCATAGGGCAGAGCGGGTGGGGCAGGAGGAACATAACATGGGTGTAAGAGCTGGGAACGCTTGATATGTTCGACATCTGGCCGTTGACATTCAGACTTACATCTATCGCGCGTACTAGTCTTGCGAACGATTTCCTCAGCAATATTTAGTTGAATACCATTGACTTATTCTTTACCTCACAAATACAGCGTCGGCTCGACGAGACATTCAAGCGTAGCGAGCAGAGCGGAGGGGTCCGCTGTGCACGCCTCCAAAGCCGTCAGTCCAGAAATTTGCTTCCGCCCGCGCTCCTTACTCGCTGCCCAAGCCCCATTTGCATCCGCGCCCCGGGCCCACCGCAGGAGGCATAGCCACATCTCCAACGGTAGCAAACACATCCCCGCCCACCCGAGCGGGACTGACGTCCATTCTCCAACGTCCCGCGCGTCCAGGCCAAACTAACATTGACGTGACGATGCAGCATTTGCATCCGTTCTGTGCGGGGCGGCCAGAGGCGAGTATATATGATGAGTAGCGTCGTGGACGAAAGCATCACCCCTCGCTCTAGTATCGCACAAATGTTCGCAAAGACGACCGCATACGCTCTTGGCCTGTTGGCCCTCGCGTCTGTCGCGCAGGGAGGTAAGTGCCCCTTCCCATCCCCGGTCCGGATGGCAGCTGACTTGAGCTCGCGCACGCAGTGCTGACCGTCACCGTCACCGTCACCGAGCGCGCGCAAGTCTTCACAACCAGCACCTCGACCATTCCCGTCGTCGTGACCCCGACCGTGACGACCACAACCACCGTCGACGGCGGCGAGCTCGATGTCACTTCCACGTCGGTCTCGACGACCACGACGACGGTCTTTGGCACAGCGCCCACCACGACCACGACGACCTCGAGCACGTACACATCGTCAAACACGCCTAACGAGACGGGGGCGCCGGGAAATAGCGGCAGCAGCCAGCCGTACCCGGGATACCCGGCGGGCTACCCTGGGTACTCTGGGTACCCGAGGTTCGCGAAGGATGAATGAAGTCTTTTGAAGCTCGAACGATCCGTTGGATGATGTTTGGTAGTTCGAAAATGGATCGTTGTATGGACATTCCCAAGACCGAAGCTCGTCTTCTGATGTAATAGCATCTGTCAAGCCTAGCTCACCAGCGCAACCGCAAATGCATTCCTATTACTTCCGGCAATTTACGCCATGCATGACCATGCGATGTAAGTGAATTCTTGAGCGGCCATCTATGAAGAGACAGCGGTACACTGGCAAGATATAATTACCCACCACCTCAGCCCTGAAACACCGTTGGCACGCGAAACGATAAAATGGGCTTTTGTTTCGCGAGCGATATAGGCGACACATAAACGTAATCAGGCCTTAATCAGAACGCACTGCGGATATTGCATGGTGCGTCAGTTCACCATAACAGTAGCCTCGCACCGATCCTCCATGAGCCCAATCAGCCGATATCATGTGCTCCTTGAGCCACTGCTTGTCTTCCGGACTCGGGGCCAGCTCGCAACAATCATTTGTATGGAGTGCTCTCGCCTCGTCCGCGAACTTCGTGCCCTGAACCGCGCCTCGAGCATCGCCTGCAAGTCTCCGCTGCCAGTGCGGAAGCGCTTGTACCCACTGACGTGGAGCGTGAAGAGGTCAGGACCGCCCGGGGATCCGCGAGCTGCTCGAGCTTGATCGTGTACGCCGTACCCAGCGGGCGGAGAGAGGATCACCATCGGAGATAGAACAGCGTGTGTGGGTCACAAAACTGACTTCACGGATATGCCTGGCGAGGTCATCCGCCTGCTGTCCTGTCCCGAAGTGCGCATCGGCTCTTGATTATTGCAATGGGGGGCTCGGAGTAGGAGAAATGAGGCTGGAGGTTGTTGAGGTGCAGCGCGAGCAGCTGCTCGGCCGCGACGAGAGCCTTCGTTACTAGGCTCTCCGAATAGGCTCTCGCAAACTTGCGTGCGAGCCGCAGTGCTGGCAGGCGAGGTCTTGTTGGCTATTGTGTTTGTGGTCTGTGAAAACGGCTAAGTGGTGGAGATGGCATCGCGCCAGTGACAAAGAGACACATGCACAACTTACTACTTACCACCGAGACCGCTCAGGCTGGGTACAAAGGCTACACAAGTACTTGGCCATCGACTTGGGACAGGATGTCGTCTGGTAAGCAGAAGGAGGATAAAGCGGAAAAGGGAACACTGCAGACCTGGGATGGGAGTCGCGTGCGGCGGGAAATTGGCTGGAGCGTGGGACAAGTCGCCACAGACGCGTCACCCACGTGACCGAGTAGCTCGCTGAACGCCTTCAACATATATGTAGCACCCATCATGCCAAATTGCATGGCGCACAACGTACGGACAGCTCGTGCGTCCTCCAGTTCTTGTTTCATGAGAATAGGGACTTCCGGCGGCGACGGGACGACACGAAGTCTGCGAGCGAGCGGCTGAGCCACGACGCAGGAGGCCCTAGGAGGCCCGGGCTTTGAAGCTTTGAAGAACAGCTGTGTATTCGAGAATCGACACAGCTCGAACGATCAATCGATCACATCTCACATTGCGAGACTGGGCAATGTGTGGGCGCGATCAAGTCACACACTCAGAACTGCATGCTCAGGCGCCGACTCTAGGTTCAGGATCTGTCGAAGTGGTGAGCTGAACTGTTCACGGTCTCGCGCGCGTCGCATCAGAGCGCCGTTGTGTACGTAGCAAGGGGTCTGGCAGGTGACGGTTTCCTAGAGAGCGTCGGATTGCCCCCATGAAAGCTATCCATCGACCGAGACGCAGACACAATGCAGACACCATCCATCACGCCCATCACGACTTCAAACGGCATTTCAGACCGCACCAATATACATTGTCACAGCATGTACAACACCTTTTATCACACACCAGCCCGCATAACCGCACTTTTCGCGCCAAATATACATTGTTCACAACACCATGCCCGCGCCGGCGGCGACACCAACCAACGTGACCATCACACCAATCAGTCCGCCCTTCGCGAAGTCGACTCTGGTGCCTGCGCTGGAGGTGTTCGAGGCTGACCCAGACGTTCCGGAGGCTGAGCCGGAGGTCGACGCGTGCGTGCTGGACGAGCCAGAACCGGACGCGGAGCTGGGGCGAGAGGCCGCGGAGGAGACGGACGAGACGGCGGAGGAGACGCTGGAGAGCACGGAAGATGCACTCGAGAGGGCGGAAGAGGCCGCGGACCCGGTAGCAGAGGAGGCGGACGAGCTCGCACTCACTATCAGGGGTGACGGTGTGTCAGTGGGGTGCGGGATAGGAAAAGGGGGTTAGGGGACGAGAAACGTACCTGCGGCGCACTCTGCGGACTGAAGGGCCTGGGCTGCGGCGAGGTCGGTGGCGGGACAGTTTGCGGTGAGGCACGCGAGTGCGCTCGTCTGGAAGGCGGAGGACGAGCAGATACAGGTGAGGTCCGTGCTAGATGCGTGTTCAGTCGCATGTCCAAGCGGAAGGGGCGCATTAGGGTACTCACAAGCTGGAGCAGCCAGCAGAGCTCGCGGCGCTCTGGACGCAGGAAAGAATGCACGGGTCTATGCCGGCGGTGCTGGTCGGCACGGCGGCGGACGAGCTCTGGGCGGCGGCGGCGCCGACGAGGGCGAAGAGCGCGAGAACGGCCTTCATTGTAGCGAGATTACGTGTCGTTTTCGGTCGGTAGGAGGGGGCGTGCGTGTCTGGCGAAGGAGAAGGCAAGCTACGGAGGGAAGAGGGCTTTTGGCGGCATCATATATATAGGGACGGGAAATGACAAGCAGGGAGAGTCAGAGGTTCCAGTGCTGTGGATCGTGGATCGAACGCGAGGCGCCCATGGTGCGCGACGCGCCGACGCCCTCGACGCGTCACGCGTCACGCGCAGGTCATGCGTCTGACGGCCTTCCCTCTTTGGCAAGTGTCTTCATTTGCGGCTTGGACGTGTTCCTCGACTGGCTTCCACAGATACAGAGGACGGTGTTCTCGGGGATTCATCGCCGTGGCACGATGTCGACCGGAGATCTAGTTGTACAGCTCCTCGTCCTGTCTGCTAGATGCCTCCAAACCGCCTTTCCCGCAGCAGCCTCCTGACGCGCTCCATGCCCCGCGTGCTCGCGCTACCAAACACCTGCGCTCCATGTGGGTGGCGGGGCCTACTTCGGCGGTACACCAACGCCTGTCACGCTGGTGGCCAGCTGTGGCAGTTAGAACGCGCTTCATACGTACATTCGGAGTCATGACAAGGTGTGTGGTTGTCAATGTATGCTAAGCTCCATTTCATTGTGATGTTCGAACGGTGATAAATCCCTTCCTCCGTCCAAACTCTGTGCCCCAGCCCTGCCCCCAACACACCCGTGTCATACTATGATGCAAGCTGTACGTAGGGAAGCGTCCAGACTGTGTCATGAGACGGGCTTTAGTCCCATATTGGTCCCTCACGCATGTGCCTCCGCTTCTGTGATCGCCGCCACATTCCATGCGTTGGTCGCGAGGCCTCACGGTGACGAACGTGGCGTGAGCGTAAGTACTACTGTGCCTCAACGCCTTGAAAACATGCGTTTTACAGGCGGCGATCCCTCTTTACTGAACCGGTCTGGGTACTGAGTACTGAGTACTGAGTACTGAGCGCTGAAGCGCTGAGCAAGTGGCTCGCAGTGTTGCAGACTTGTGCGTGTGCAGCTGGGTCGCCCTGATGAATGCCACTAACCTATCGTTACAAAGGCTGCATTTGTGATCTAGGTTCCGCGGACCTCTTGTACCTTCGTCACAGCCAGGACAAACGCTCCCAGCGCGAATCAAACACAAAGATGAGTTTTGCGAGAAACATTCAAGCTACATGCGCCATTTGCAGGTATAATCCGACCTTCAGTATACAAAAGTAGGCACACAGCGAGGTTGTCGCTCCGTGAGAAGAACTAAATGATTGTTTCCTCCTGCATATATTCCATGCACTGGTGCGCCGATTGCTGTGCAGCTGCAACCGGCCTGTTTTCCTGAATGACGCGAGGGTCCTCAGCGCCCAACATCCGCTAGCTAGACTTGTGGTAGGTATCTGATGCTGCTACTTAGTGGACTTTGAAGTCTGTCCGCCGGGCTATTGATGCTTTCTCAGGACTCAAGGTTCTCTGTCAGATCGTGGACGTCAACTTTCAAACATGACCGCTGGTCCTGGTGCGTGTATCATGTGAACGTTTAAAACATATAGACCGTCTCAGGATGGTTCGCTTCTCTATATCGACCCACGTGCCCACTCGACTTGGGCCGCGGTCGTGCGCAAGCGGGGACGCGAGCAACTTCTATGACCAGGGATCGCTGGTTGAGGCTGTCGCAAATCTGGCGAAAATGCGACCTCATATTGTGACTACCGCGACCGGATTTGCAGCGGCCACGAATGATACTGTTCACGGGACTTTGGATTGAAGATTTGGGGGTTTTCAACTGCCACAGATGTTGGCTCAGTGGTCACGATTTGGAGCCGGGTTTGCGACGGCCTCCGATGTAGGTAGTCGCATGCAATGACGATACCGAGTGCTCCAGTTGAGTGCTCACATGTATGATCACTTCAGTCAGCCTGACTAAAGTGGAACAGTAGAAATCGCAACTTGTTGGATCCAAGTTGAATGAAAAGTCCTTACCGCGGAACGTGGGTCCCGAATCCCGATTGAAGAGCCAGACTGGTGAAGATGTGGCGTGAGAATCACGTGAAATCGCGCCTGTGGCTGCGCCGCGGTTTACCGAGCTATGTTCGAGTTGCCACTCTCCACGAATTATCGTTCTCAGGCTACGTCTCCCCCCGAGCGATTCCGTTGGACAAGTACCGTCGACAAGCGCGAAGCCACTAGTACAACAGCGACATCTGGCGGCAAAGACACACGGTAACGTTTGAGCGGTGCGCGGCCACGGTGAGCAAGACCGCACAGCATCTGTTAGAGTAAATTGACCAACTAGTTGGTTTTCACTCACGGGACGCCAGAACATGGGCAACGACGTCACTTACAACCACGGCTATCGCTACGCTGCCTTTAAAGCTCGCACCACAGTCAACGACCTCCCGCAGGATGTGCTTCTCATCATTCTCCACTACGTTTTCAGCGAGGAGCGCCCGTACGTAGAGCGAAGAAGTACAGGCGTAACAAAAGTGCAGCACGTGCCCCTCTCTCCTCTTAGTCGGTCTGTATCCGACTATTCGAAGTGCGATGCCGAATACCTTGCTTCCGTCTGCCCGCTCTGGCGCCTCTCCATGTCATGCAGCTCTATCTTCTGGCAACAGATGGTCATCTGGATTGGCAGGGACCCTACCCCGCTTTCTCGGGTCAGCGAGTACCTCCGATGGTCCCGAGCGAAGCCTCTCCAAATCTACGTCCTCCGGAGGTTCGACCCGTCGATGGAGGACAAGGCAGAGAAGGCTCACGTCGCAGCCGTCATCAAGCTGCTCTTGCCGCACGTGAAGCGGTGGGCGGGACTCAGTATGCAAGTCCTTCACTCCAGCTCACTCCCGCGCCCTCATTTTGACCTTGTCGGTCACGCGGAGGAGCTCACCAACCTCAAACTCGACTTTGTCGTCGATGATGCGGCTGCCCTTCCAGCGGGAACCTCATCTCCTGCGGGCGAGTTCGACGTGCCGCGGCTCGAGACGCTCTCCATGGGCGGCGTTCATTTCCGAGAGTCATATGTGATACCGTTCTCCCAGCTGCTGATGCCGCCTCGGCTCCGTTCTGTCACCCTCAGGGGTTACACCTCGCCCCAAGTACCGTTCGCCCTCGCCGACCTGCTGAATGCGCTCCAGGCCTGCAAAAGTCTGCGTCATGTCTACCTCCATAACCTCCAGCTCGATATTTCCGTCCCGCAATTTTTCTACCCGTGCTGGCCGAAGTGGGACGCCGACCCGTACTTCAGCGAGATGTCCGGCGATGTCATCGAGGAGTATTACCGCATCCTTCAATACCCTGCTTCAGAGCAAGCCCACTTCCGTGGCTGCTCAGGACCCGTACGTGAACACCCTGCAGCTGTGTTGACGGAGCGCGGTGCCTACGATGTCTCCTTCATTGATTTCGCGAGCCCCACGGTGCTTCTACACTACCTCACGTACAGGGGAACCTCTGCTCGCGTGCTCGCGATCTTAGAGGGTTCAGGTCTCGACGCGGACGTGCTGCGTGCGCTCGCGAAGCCAACCTCCTCGGGCGGCGAGGACCCCAAGTGGTTGTGCCCTCACCTCGAAGTGTTTCATATCACTGGGTGCAAACACTTCCGAAGCGCGGACTTGCGCGCGGTCCTCGAGGCGCGTCTTGAGGCTCATAAGGCGACGGGCTTCGCGACTGAGGACTCCCCGGGCTTTGTGCTGAGGTCGGTGGAGGAGCTCTACGTGTACGACTGTGGCGAGCTAGCCCCGGAGGATAAGGAGTGGTTCGACAAGAATGTGGGGCATGTTCGTTGGGATCAGTGGAGGGGAGGCTCGTGGTGACTAGAGGTCATTCAGTGATGTTGAGCTGCTGTGGGCTGCTGCTTGGTGTTTTGTGGCGTGCCGCTTCATTCAGGACGATCATACCGGAAAATGTACTATAGTGTAGAGGCTCGAATACTCAGAGGAAATTACTGCACCGTTCTGGATCAGCTCCTCAGAGGTGACCATACATACTTGGTATTGTGATGCATGTGTGCCCTTCGGGTCGCGGTCTCGCGTACGACTGTCATTTATCTTTGCAAACAATGTTTCAAAGGACCTGCGCAGATCCTTTGAACAAACCAAGGTCGCGGCGTGTACGCGTCCGCCGGCCTCTCTGTCACGTGCGTGACGCGCCAGTGGCGGTCGCGACTGGCCGGTCCAGGGCCGGCCTCGCCCTCGATGATTGCGACTTTCAATTTGTGCGACTTCCTCCTCCTCCTCCTCCTTCCGTAGGGTGCTGACGACAAACCCAAACTGCTTCTAGCTGGTAATGTTTGTGCAAGCTCTGCGACGATAATATATACACAATAACGCTCCAGCGGTGCAACATCAAGCGGTAAGCAAGGCTACCCGCAGTGACGCGCTTCGATGATCCATCCGCTCACTTGGACTGTAAAACATCGAATAGGGTGCCATGATTGAGCAAGCTTCGCTCATGGGAGAACGAAACAGAGATGACTACGCCGCTGCCAGCGATGACACTGCCTGCAAGCCTCGTACCACGGTTAACGACCTTCCGCCCGACGTACTCGTCATCATCCTCCACCACGTTTTCAGCGAAGAGATACGCCTGCACATGGGGCGAAGAAGGACCAGCGCAAGGGAAAACCAGCGTGTACCCCTGTCCCCGCATGATCGCTCCGTCTCTGACTACAGTATTCGAGGTGCGATGCCGAATACCTCGCGTCCGTCTGCCCACTCTGGCGCCTCTCCATGGCGTGCAGTTCGAGCTTCTGGGCACAGATGGTCATATGGACTGGCAGGGACCCTACTCCGCTTTCTCGAATCCGCGAGTATGTCAAATGGTCGCGAGAGAGGCTCCTCCATATCTACGTTATCCGGTGGTTCGACCCGTCAACGGAGGACCGTATGGAGAAGGCCCAAGTCAAAGTCATCACCGAGCTGCTCCTCCCGCATATGAACCGATGGGCGGTCCTCAGCATGAAACTCCTTCATGCCAGTTCGCTCCCATGCCCCCGTTTCGACCTTGTAGGCCACGCAGAGAACCTCGTTCAGCTTGACCTCGACTTCATCGTTGACGATGTGGTCTCCCGTCCTACAACAGCCTTATCTCCGTCGGGTGAGTTCGACACGCCCAAGCTCGAAAAGCTCTCGATGGGTGGCGTGCATTTTCGAGAATCATACGTGGTACCTTTCCCCCAGCTGCCGACGCCGCCTCAGCTTCATTCTGTCGCTCTCACGGGATACGCCTCACCCAGAGTGCCTTTTGCCCCTGTCGACCTAATGAAGGCACTTCTACCCTGCCATAAACTGAGATCGGTCCACCTCGAGAACCTGCAGCTCGACATCGGCGAATCTGATCAATCTTCGCTGCTTTGGCTAAACGAGTTCATCGACACACACTTCGGTGACATGTCCGGCGATGTCGTTGAGGAATGTGAGCGCCTCCTCTGTTATCCTTCCTCCGAACAAGCCTCGTACATACACTGCTCAATGCCCACGCGCGCCCCCCCTGCGGTAGAGTTCGAGCACGGCGCCTCCTATGTCGACTTCATCGATATTGCAAGCCCGACGACGCTCGTGCACTACCTTACTCACAAGGGCACCTCTGCTCATGTGGTCACAATCAAGCATTGCTCGGGTCTCCAAGCAGAGGTGCTCCATGCGCTTGCGAAACCAACTACCATGGACTTGCAAGGCGAGGAGCTTGGGTGGTCTTCGCTACTATGCCCTCATCTCACAGTGCTCCGTATCATTGGGTGCGAACAGTTCCGCAGCGCCGACTTGCGGGCGGTCCTCGAGGCGCGTCTCAACATTTGGGAGGCAACGGACCTCACAACTGAAGATTTCGTGGACTTCGTGTCGAGGCCGGTGGAGAAACTTTGCGTGCGCGATTGTGGCGAGTTGGCATTGGATGACAAGGAGTGGTTCGACATGAACCTAGAGCATGTTTCGTGGGATGCTTGGGAAGGAGGGTCAGTTCAGTAGAATGGCATCTAATAGGCACCGCGCTATTGTCCCTTGCTCCTTGACACTGCACGGCCGTGGACGCCAGGGTGAACGTCATTAAGTACGGTAAGACGAGACGAGGTTAGGATCATCACGGCGTAGCGGCTTCAGTATGTGAAGATATGTATAAAGTGCCCTCACAAGTAGTATGCGCGGGGTCATGCACATGGGTCAGCTCAAAACGCTACAGTCTTTGCATTATGATAGAAATTCGACGCGACAGGACTTTGTGACGCGTAGGCCAAATCCTCTGTCACGTGGGCGACGCGTCTGTGGCGACTGCTCGGCCCGGACCGATGCTCTCCGCCAGGTCAACTGAGGTCATCGCCAGGCACCGCGGGCAAACCAGGTTTTTCGGGCTCCGAAAATGCTAATAACATCGGTCCTCTATGGGAACCTTTTCGGAGAGCTTGACTGACTCCGAAAATGCTCCTACATTTCTCATGTTCGTAGCATGTTCGCCGAAAACACGCATGTTCGGCCTCCGAACATGCTGAAATCGGCTGAAACGCATCATGTTCGCAGCATGTTCTGACAATATTCGGAGTCTGTAAAGGTTCCCAGGCGGGACCGATGTTCGTAGGGGTTTTCGGAGTTCGAACAACCTGGTTTGCCCGCGGTGAGGTCGTCGCGAGTCGCGACTCGCTCAGCGCTCAGGTGTGCACCGCCCTCGACTTGCTCTCGTCCGTGCGCGACTCCCACTCTAGATCCGCAGTACTCATTGGTATAAATCATCAGTCAAAAGACTGCGTAGCCCTGACGACGCTGCGCACTTGAAGACACGACGACCTTGTCAGTGGTACTCATTGTCACTGTGAGGTTCGGGTAGTGGTGAGCGAGTTTCTTTGTGTATGAATGTCCTCTCTCACACATATATTGCGCGTATTGTAGTCAATTTTACTGGGCATGGCGATGACAAGGAGCGGAGATTCGCCCACCAGCATTGCCCGCGTGCTCCGCGAGTACTGCGTCGTCCGCCAGCTCAATCGGAGACCCACGGGCATCAACGACCTTCCACACGACGTACTCGTCCTCATTCTCCGCGATGCCTTCAGCAAAACGCGTCGCTTTTTCTCCAGAACCCGAATCTATGGGCAGGAAAATACTACCGAATGGGCATCCCGACCTCCGTACGACGATCGAAACCCAGAGCACGCCTCTGCTGAGTGTCTCGCATCCGTATGTCCGCTGTGGCGGGAGGCCATGTCAGGCCTGTCCGTCTTCTGGACGCAGCTCATCATATGGGTCGGCACTGACCCCACGCCGCTTTCGAGGATCCGTCAATATCTTTCCTGGTCACGAGATCATCTCCTCGAGGTCTACGTTCTACGGAGGTTCGATCCTTTTATGGAGGATCGTGCGGAGAAGGGTCAGATCAAGGCCATTTTTGAGCTCCTCTTGCCTCACGTTGCTCGTTGGAAGATTTTATGCATGGCCCTTCTCCATGCTAGCTCGCTCCCAATTCCCTGCATTGACCTAGTGGGGCGTGCAGACAACCTCGCCGAGTTGCGCCTTGACTTCCTGGTTGACGATGCAGTCGAAAGCATCGATAACCTCTCGCCTCCGACCAGCAACTTCGATACTGCTGAGCTGGAGACGCTCTCCATGAGCGCTGTTCACTTCCGCGAGTGGCACGTGAGGTCATTCCCTCAGCGGTCGCTCCCGCCGAGACTCTGGTGGCTCAGCCTCACTGGCTACGCCTCGAACCAAGCACCTTGGTCGGTCGCGGAACTCTTGAATACGCTCCTGACAGCCAAGCAGCTCTGCGTCTTATACCTCAACAACGTCCAGCTCGATTGCTCGCACCCTGACCCGCCCCTCGCGCGACCCAAGAGATATGGATGGCAGGTCGACGTCACCTTCACGGACATGTCTGCCGAAGTCATCGCGGAATACAATCGCCTCCTCTCTGATCCCTACGTCGAAGCGGTATCATATATACGCTGCTCGATCCCAAACGGTGATTCTCTATCGCTTAGACCCGTCAACTCGTCGTACAATGTCACTCTGGATCAAATCGCTGATCCCCTAGCAACGTTGTACTTCCTCACTGTCGTCGCGGGCCCCTTCTCCTACGCTATCGCGCATATCTACGACTGCGACGGACTTTGTCCAGAGACCCTTTCCGCACTGGCGACGACAACGCGCACGGACGACGGAGAAGTATTTTCGTGCTTTGATCTCAGGGAGCTTCACATCGGTGGGTGCAAGCGCTTCCAAAGTAGCGACTTGCGGGCGATGCTCGAGGCGCGTTACAAGGCACACGAAGCGACTGGTTTCGCGACGGAGGACGACGAAGGTTATGTGGTGACGTCGGTGAGGGAACTCCATGTGCACGACTGCTGCGAGTTGGATCCGAAAGACAAGGAATGGCTCAACAAGCATTTGGAGTCCGTTTACTGGGACGACTGGAAGGGAGGTACGGGGCCGCTGCCATTCTAATACTGAACGTGTACCGTCTATTGTACAATGCGGATGGGCTGTAGTACTCGACTGAGTACACGAACCACTCTAACCGCGTGAGCTGATGCCGAGGGAGTACGAGAGTAGCATAGTTGAATTCCAGTTGACGGCACCAGGCGAGTCGGCGACGCATATGCATGAGTTGTTCGTCTGCCAGTGTGGCGATCGTTCTCACGATTCGACGCCTCTCCCGCAAGCCTACCGTCCCAGACTGTCAGTGTCCCGTGCCTGGTTGGGATGGTTGGAGCGGAGGGATATGCAGGCAGGATGCAGGCAGGAAGGGTGATCGACGTCGCTGATTGCTGACCGGACCATCTGTACATTTCTGTCACCCCTTCTTCACGCGTTCGTATATGGCGTCTCTCTCCGGATCATCGCTGCCAGGCAGGTACTTTACGTGCACTTACTAGTACGATCCTGTGAGGATGGACGCGTCGACGTACGCCATAGGTGCGGCTAGCTTGCCAACTCAGGTTCGGAGCGAGTCACACTAGACTTAGTACGTGACTCATCTCATTTGCGCGAAGTTGAGGTCATGTCAGTCGTCAATCTCATTCTTGGTATCTATCGCTACATGACTGCTCCTTGCGATTCCCTTTCTGTGATATATAGTACAGTATGGTATGGTATGATATGTCATGACATGGTCCGATACAGTGTCGCATAAGTTAGAAATAATGACTGTACTCGTCGCCGCAATCCTGATCCAACATGTCATGGTGTTTGCGAGATGGTGGTTGTTCTCTGCGCAGAAGACGCCGCAGCGACTTGCTCTGCTGAAGCTCGCGTTCGAGCTCGGCGATGCAGCGATCCGCGTCGGATAAGTCGAGATCGTCATCGTCGCCTGTTAAACGCATGTCGGAGTCAACATTCGGTTCACTAACGAGACCAGGTACAGACACTGACCTTCATCGACATGGTGGCGAGACCGGGGGCGTTCGTCACGGCCCCTCGACTCGGAGCGCCTGCGTGGCTTCGGAGTGCACACGGACTCCTCGTCGAAATCACGGCCAGCGTAGTGGCGAGGAGCCTCGCGGGCATTACGGTGAGGGTGCTCACGGCGAGGTTCCTCGTCAAGGTAATAGCCAAGGAAAGACCCCGACTGACCACCACCCTGACCGTCATCAGAACTGTTGAGGAACGTGCTCGTGGTGTCGCTCGACGACGTTGACGAGCCCTCGCCATCGTCGCCCGCCCCTTCCTGGTAGGGCTGGTGCGGCGACACAGCGTATTTACGCCGGCGTGCCTCCTCCGCGCGGAGATGCGCAGGGTCCGGCTCGTGCGTGACGAAGCGGCGCGTGCCGGGCGGGGCAACGTCCAGCAGGCCCTTCGACAGCCGCTCCCAGCGATCGAGCATCCACACCATGAGCGATCGCCCAGCGGCGTAGCTCGCCCCGCCCAGGAGGTAGTGCCCGAACTTCTCCCCCAGGAACTCCGCGTCGATGCCGTTGCCCGGGTACGCAATGACCTGCTTGAAGAAGTCGAAGAGGTACACAAGGAGCGAGAGGTGCTCCACCGGGAGGAGGCGGAGCGCATAACGGGCGAGCTCAACCATGGGCGCGTCGAACGCCTCGCGGACGGCGCGGCGCTCCTCGGGGGTGAGGTTCGGGTCCTCGATGATCTTGTGCTCCATCTCGGGGATGGTCCCGCGGAGCGTCTTTCGCCGCCGCTTAATGACCGGCGGGAAGAGGATGTCCCACTCGCGTTCGAGCACGGGCTTCACGCACCACGCCCACATTCCGTAGTTGAGGTCGCGTGGGATCAGCGGCTCTGGCAGGTGCTCGAGGATCGTCTCGAACAGTCCGCAGATGTCGCAGGTGCGGTACTTGGCGAGGGGCCCGATGCGTATCCCTGGCGAACGCTTGTAGCCCCGGTCGAATATGCGTCGCATCTTATCGATGTTGTGCTTGGATGGGTGCCCGCGAAAGAGGTCGCTCTCGTAGATGCCTGTGCGCCAAGTGAGACACGGAAGATTGTCTAAATGTGACCGACTGACCTGTTCGGTAGAGCTCCTCCACAATTTCGTACATGGCTGTGGGGAGATCGTGCTGATAGCCGTTCATGACAATTGTTGTGGACGAGACCTCCATCATTCCAATGATGGACATATAGTAGATCCCTGAATAACACCATCCAGCGTTAGAGTGAACCTGAGCCTATTCAGCGGGAGAAACGCACTAGGAGGTTTGGTATCAGAGTTCTCCTCCTTCTCTGGAGGATCATCCTTGTGTTTCAGATAGTGCTCCCGCTCATCGCGCTGAGATTGCTTCTGCTCCGTGAACACCTGCAGGTCGATGTGGTCCGCCAGCCTCTCGCGGCGCTCATGCAGCAGCTGGGCCAGGTCGTGCAATACGTCCTTGTAGTACGCGATCTGAAAGGGCAGACGGGGGACGGAGTTACCCCTCTTGCCTTGCAACTGGATCGGGTCGTTTGCATTCCGCGTCTCCGGCGAAGGGGACTTAGACTGCGAGGAGCGAGAAGACTTGTGGGGTGATGCGGACGTAGCGCGGCCTCGCGGACGACGGATCTGCGTTCCATCCGTATCGGAGTCCCTTGAAGCTTGTCCCACGAGGCCACTGCCAGGCGTAGAATGAAGAGTGCTGGCCCGGTCGCGATGTCGGTGTTGTTCGGGGAAGGGGGGCAGATGGCCGCACGCGCGAGCAACGTAGTCTTCCTCCGCGTTGGCGAGCGATGTACTGCGTTGCCTGAGCAGGGGATTCGGGGCGCGCGAGTGGGGCGCGGGATCTGATGCGGAATGAGGCCGCGACCGCTCTTTGGAGGAACGTTGCGGTATCGGTGTGTCATCTCCCTGCTTGATCTCCTTCCCGCGCGAAGGTGGAGCGGTAGAATATGCCTGGGGTTGCAAAGACGGTTTCTTCAGGATACCTCGAACCGGTGCGGCGGCATGCCGGTGGGAGTTCGGGGTAGAGCCTCGGAGGATCCCGCGTAGCGGGGGCGGCGCGGCGCGTTCATCAGGGCGCACAGGCGCAGGGGACAACGAAGATGAGCGGGGCTTGCCAGAGGCGGCTCGGGAGGCCTCGCCCGAGGCGGGAGAAAGAGAGCGCGAGCGCGGCGTTGGCATGTTGCGATGTGTGCAGAGAACGCCGTGGAGAACAAGTCAAGAATGGATGGACCTAACAGGCCCATGCGGTCGGCCTTATATCCTGCAGAATATTCGGCAGCGGATATGGATGCTCGGACGGCCAGCATCCGCGCATAGACATCCGCTGCCAGAGACATCCGCTCAGTTGGGATGAGAATGGCACTTCACTTCAAGCGCCCTCCCGCCCTTTTGCCATCTTTGGACGAGACGTGGCTCGGCGGCAATTGATCCGCTCACGGGCGTTCCGACCTGCCGCCGGCCCTGCGGCGGCCCGCTGTGTGGGTTCACTCTCTTCCCTTGATTGAAATCAGATTGAAATTATGTTTTTTGCCCCGAATCATTGCTAAGCGGCCATGAAATTTTAATTCACAGCCTCTCCTGTCGTTCAAGATGTCCGTCTGCAAATGTCTCACACCCCCAGTCGACATTCAAGTCGAAGGAGGACACGGAAGGAGGACACGGAAGTAGGGAAGTGTAGTTCCGCGCCGGCCCTGGGAGCGCGGTCATGTGACCGTGCTACCATTACGGCGAGCAGCCCGGCGCTTAGCTACGCCAGCGCGTTCCGCATCGTCGGCACGCCCAAAATCCGGAACGTCTCATCCGAGTCCGCAATTTCGCAGTGGGGCTAGAAATCATGCAGCACATTGCACGCACTCATATCGATTGCAGAAGTACGCGGAAGACGGTCGAGGGGATGCCTTTTGAGGACTTCAGGGTGCATTTTCCAGTGATCTTGGAGCGTGCCGGGCGCCGCGTGTAAACGCTGCTGGAGTGGCCTTACGTCCGACTGTGTCCTCCAACAGCAATCACAGTCGCTGGTGGAGTAGATGACTCACTTCTGGCTGGTGTTGTATGAGATGAATGCTCGTCCCCAGGTCATCCGGGAGGCCAGATAGGGAGCAATACCGGTACAAGAGGTGCGATGACCATGGTTCGACTTCTTGCGGGAGGACCTTCACTCGCCCAGATAGGTGTCGTAGCGGGCGGTGCGTGGTAACGCGCCGACCTTGTCCGTCAGACGCTTCCGAAGCGTCCAGCATGGAGCCCCCAAAGAGCCCCCGATTCTGCCGATGAACCGACCGCAGTATGTCATCGGACACTGCAAATTGGATAAAAAGTCCCCATTCGCATCCACATTAACACCCTCACATAATCCGGGGCCCTGCTTCTTATACCCCACCAGCTTCCCTGCTGAACCCCGCAACCAACCCCCTTCGTTCCCCGCATTGCAGTGTCGACCATGTTCAAGCTTCCAGCCACCCCCCGGACGAACTCGTCCCACAGCAGTAGCGAGAACACTGCTGTACCGGAGCCATTGCCTGCTAGAAATACCGACGGCGCAGGTGGAAGACCGCGGAGTCGAACCGTGGGCCACGAAGCTGCCCAGCTTCAGGCAGCGGTCCAGAACGCGAAGGAGAAGCAAGACATTGCTGGCGAGGGTTTGGAGAACAGGAACGTTCTGCCGGACGGCAGAGTCGTCTTGACAGAAGAAGAGGCGTACTCGAAACTTGGCTTCAGCTTTCCGACGTGGAAGAAGTGGACGATCCTCTCGGTTATCTTTGCTATCCAATGCTCCATGAACCTGAACTCGTCCCTCTACGCCAATGCCGTCGGCCAACTCGCCACACACTTCAGTATCAGTGAGCAGGTATGTTCTATAGTTGACCACCCAATAGTCGACCGCGGCTGACTCAGACGATGCGTAGGCTGTCCGAGTCGGCCAGATGGACTTCTTGATCGCCTATGCCTTCGGTAACGAGTTGTGGGCACCGTGGTCCGAAGAGCTCGGTCGGTGGCCCATTCTCCAGCTCAGTCTATTCCTTGTCAACAGTAAGTACCCTCGTTTTACTTCCGTGGCGCCCCGCTAACACGGTGTTCAGTCTGGCAGATACCCTGTGCGCTCGCGCCTAACTTTGGCACCATGGTCGTCTGCAGGCTGCTTGGCGGTCTTTCCTCCGCGGGTGGGTCTGTCACTCTCGGCATGATCGCCGACATGTGGTCACCCGAAGAGCAACAGTTCGCGGTAGCGTTCATCGTCTTCTCGTCAGTCGGCGGCTCCGTGCTCGGTCCCATCTTCGGAGGTATCATCGAGACGCACCTTGACTGGCACTGGAACTTCTGGATCCAGCTTATCGTTGGCGTCACCGTCCAGGCGGTGCACTTCTTCTTTGTGCCGGAGACATGCGCGAGGGTGTTGCTTGACCGCGAGGCCAAGCGGTTGAGGGAGTCAGGCGAGGACAACGTCTGGGGCCCCTCGGAGATTGAGAAGAATCGGTTCGCGCCGAGGAAGATTCTTACCATTTGGCTGCGTCCGGTGAGTGGTTGCGACGACTTGCATGCACGAGCATTGCTGACCACGTGATTCGCAGTTCTCCATGCTCCTCTTTGAGCCCATCGTCCTCTTCCTGTCGCTCCTGAGTGGCTTCAGCGATGCCCTCATCTTCACCTTCCTCCAGTCCTTCTCGCCTGTGTTCGAGCAGTGGAACTTCAGCGTCGAGATGCAAGGCGTTGCTTTCGTGACGTGAGTCATCTTCACCTCGATTGCAACCTGGCCCTGTACTTACCGCCTACACGTTCTTCCACAGGATTGCTATTGGCTATTGCATCGCCTATATCTCGTTCATTCCATTCATCTGGAAACAACGCAACCAGCTCCGCAAGGACCCGCACTCGCTCCAGCCCGAAGCCCGCCTCTATTGGCTGCTGTACAGTAAGTAGCTATGCTCCCGGCAGTCGATCGTATGCTGAGTCTTTGCTTGCGCAGCTGCTCCTCTCGAGCCAATTGGTCTCTTCGGCTTCGCTTGGACGAGCTTGGGCCCGGCCCACCACGTGCACTGGATAGCGCCAATGATCTTCGCTGCAATGATCGCCATTGCTAACGTGCGTTCATTCTTGTTTAATTGTACGGCATCATCTAACGTACTGGGCTGCGGGTTAAGTATGCCATCTATATGGCTACCATCGACTACATGATCCAGGCGTACGGTCCATACTCCGCATCTGCTACCGGTGGGAACGGTTTCGCACGAGATTTCCTCGCTGGTATCGCCGCGATGTACTCGGTTCCTCGTAAGTCACCCGTCGTTGCCCACCTGGAGTCTAGCCCTGACATGGACGCGCTTGCCTCGCAGTGTACACGAACCTGGGGCCGTACTCGCTCGAGTGGGCGTCGACGCTTCTTGGTTGCATCTCCGTCCTCGTCACGATACCCATCTTTGTCTTCTACTTCCACGGGCCCGCGATCCGTGCGCGCTCCAAATTCGCGCAGGAGATCGGGCAGAAGCACGAGCACCTAGTCGCGGAGACCAAGCTGCCTACGGGGCAGGCATAGTCGTCGTTGGTCGACACACACTGGCATGGAGTCTTACGATTTGATGTGCTTACGACGCTCATGATGACTTGTGATACGACCGTGTTACTGTAGTTGTTTGTTGTACGCGTTGTAGAGTAATGTCCATCTTTATCGCGATGTTGTAACCACAATGTTGTCAATGCAATATTTATTCAGTGCAGAATCGACTAGAATGCGGGGATACTAGAACTCTATACGTTGACCGACGCGATCTTTTAGCCGAGCTACCCATGTACCTCCAGTCCAGGGATTCCAGGCTACCCCACCAAACCGACTCCATGTGCGTGTCAAACCACTGTTTGTCTTCCGGAGCCAGCGCTATGCAATCGTCCACCACGAGATGCTTCACGGACAGCACTTCAAATTCTAGATCATTCTCATCCACAAAGCCCGTCGCTTCATGTGCTTTATAGCGCGCCTCAAGCACCGCCCGTATGTCCCTGCTGCGAATGTACCTGCATTCATACATGGCAATATGATCGACCCTCGGGCACAACCATGTCTCTTCGCCATCTTTGAGCACCGGCGTCCCCAGTGCGATATTGAGCACCTCCGGCTGGAGGCCGTCGCAGTCGTGAAACGACGCTTCGTGGCAAGAGAGCTCGGTACATGCGACGTTTGTGAGGTAGTACGTGACCGCCCGTGGATCCGCGATCTGCTCGAGATGAACCATGTAAGACGTCCCCAATGGAGGGAGCGCGAAAGGGTCGCAATCGGGGATCGTACAACGCCTGTATGTCGTCGTTTCGGGGTGGGGGTAGTCGAGCAGGCGGTTATATTCTGCGATGACTTCACCAGTCATGCTCGTGAAAGTGACATTGGGCTCCCAGGAATCGTCAATGGAGAGCAGTATTGGCGGGCCAGAATAAGAGCAGTCGAACTGCATGTTGTTGAGATAGAGCGCGGTAACGCTGCTGTGCGCGAGAACTCTGAGGAGGTCGACAAGGGGGAAAGGCGTGTGGTGTAAAGCATAGTCGGTAAGGTGGAGCGACTTTACGTTAGGAAACATCTGCGTCTGAGGAGTGGGATTCATGTAGCATCCGTAATAGTGGACGCCGCCCATAGAGAGCATGTCTACCATGGGGGCTTCAAAGCCGCCGCTTCGAGCCAGGACTCCCTCGCTGTTGGCGACTGCATCGTCAACAAGAGAACCGAGGTACAATTGGAGGAGGTTAACCGCGCGTCCCACGAGATCGACACGAGGGATCGGGAGTGAATCCGCGTGAAGAAGTGCAAAATATAGCATTCTCCACCGTGCGATATGAGGCAACAGGAGATCGACGATGGCTTTGACGTGAGTCTTCTCCGCTCTGTCTTCGATCGCGGGGCTGAACCTCCGCAGGACGTAGATGTCGAGCTGTTGATCACGCGACCAAGCCAGATACTGGCGAATCCTCCAGAGCGGTGTCGGCTCGTGGCCAAGCCAAACTATGAGGAGCGACCAGAAGATGGACAGGCCTGACATGGCTTCTCGCCATTGAGTGCAGACGGAGGCGAGATATTCTGCAGAGGCGTGCTTAGGATTTCGATCGTCATATGGAGACCCCAATCCCGGGCGTTGACAGAAATCTTCCCATTTCCGTGGAAAGTTAAAGGCCTGACAGTCAGGGAAGTAACGGGCTGTTTCGCGATCGACGAACGCGGAGCGAAGGATGTCCACAAGTACGTCGTTGGGGAGACTGTTTATGTGCGTACGGAGCCTAGGAGGCTGGCCGGGGCCACCCCTCTGTCCGATCGGCGATGTAATGCGATTCGATGGGTCATCCCTGTCCATTTCTACAGCTCCACGCGCAATGATCTGAACGGTCACGGTAAGGGCGTCAGCTCGCCCACCGATGTCCATGACGCTCAGCAGGACCGCTCACCACGACAACTCGCAGGGCACTAGTCGTGCCTCGTCAGGGCACCCAGCGCGTGCTGACTCTATCCAAAGTGAGCAAGCTTGAAACAGCACCACTAGGACCACGAACCTTACGTTGGCGATTGTTCTGGGCAAGACTCAACGACTAGCTGAGGGCGTGGGCAAGGACACTTCAAGTTGGAACGAACGTGAGAGATCGATGACCTATCGTGCGATTCGCATCCGTCCTCCCGTAGTACATGAGTTGTTCCCGTGACTTGTACGAGAGCTTTTCGGCCCAAGAGGTTATGCATGCCTCAGCTGAGGACACAGAAGGTACTCAGCTTCAAACGAGTGATATCTAGTAGCAGTAGCAACGCATACCTTACTATGGATTCCCAGACCGGTAGACCGGGATTTGGAACTCGAACCCAAGTCTAACGGGACCCCATCAGATTATATTAGATCGGGTACTATGAAAAGGGAAAAGGTCACCAGTCGCTGGCAATCGTCGGCCTGCAGCCTGCAGTTTACGGAACAAATTGAATTGGGGGATGTACGTAGGCATGCTCCGCGAAAGCAATACTGCACGATTGTTAAACAAACGCACTGCAGGCTCTCAGGAGACCATTGGCCTCCACGACCCTCCCTCCCAGTCATCCCAGCGAACATGCTCTACGTTCTTGTCGAACCATTCCTTGTCATCCGGTGCCAGCTCGCCACAATCATGCACATAGAGCGCCTCCACCGACCTCAACACGAAGTCCGGATCGTCCGGAATCGCAAAATCTGTCGCTTCATGTGCTATGAGACGCGCTTCGAGGGCAGCCCGCAAATCGGCGCTGCGGAACTGCCGGCACCCGGTGATATGGAGCTCGACGAGGTTGGGGCACAGCCAGTATGGGTCGTCGCCTTCCGGAGACGTTGGCTTCGCGAGCGCACGAAGCACTTCCGGCTGAAGGCCCGCAGAATCCTTGATCGTCATCTCGAGGACATCGTGACCAACGAGAGTGACATAATACAGGAGCGCTCCCGGGCTCGCGATCTCCGCTAAGCCAGCGGCGAAGCTACCGCGATCGGTCGGCTCAGAGGGCTCTCGCGTGGGCATCGAGCAGCGCGTGTATGAAGCCAGCTGAGACATAGGATACCGGAGAAGGCGGTGGAACTCTTCAATGACATCGCCGGATATGTCAATGAAATCGATGATCTCGACATGCCATTTCCAAGCCGACGAATGTGGGAAGGGTGTGTTAGCGACGGAGACGTCGAGTTGGATGTTTTCGAGGTACAGAGCACAAAGGTCCTTGCAGGTTAGAAGAGCCGTCAGCAGGTCGACGAGAGGAAAACGAACTTGTGGTGACATATAACCCGTGAGGGCGAGGCGACGAAGTTGGAGTGGTATCGACGACCGCGGGAACGCCTCCATGTACGCTTCGCGGAAATGCACGCCGCCTATAGAGAGCTCTTCAAGCAGGGGCGTCTCGAACTCGCCCACAGGAGACGGGGCTTCCGCAGAGCGGGAGACTACGTCGTCGACGATGAAGTCCAGGTTGAGTTGAATGAGGTTCTCTGCGAGACCAACTAGGTCGAAACGGGGGCACGGGAGCGAACTGGAGTGAAGGAGTTTAATGCTCAAAACCTTCCACCGCTTTACATGCGGCAAGAGCAGCTCGACGATGGCTTTCACGTGAGCCTTCTCCGCATGGTCCACGGTCGACGGGTCGAACCTCCGGAGGACGTAGATGTGAAGGGGCCTCTCTCGCGACCACTCAAGGTATTCGCGGATCAGAGAGAGCGGGGTAGCGTCTCTACCAGTCCATACGACGAGCTGAGCCCAGAAGATAGAACGGCTTGACATCGAGAAACGCCACAGAGGGCATACGGAGGCGAGGTATTCGGCAGAGCACCTCGAACGATCCGAGACATGCTTATCATGCGGAGACACGGGTACGAGGTCATCGCCATGTTGACCGGTCCGATAGTATCGCAGCCGTTCTTGAAATACCTCGTAGAGGATGAGGAGGAGGACATCCGGTGGGAGGTCGTTAATTGTGGTACGGCGGTTGGGCATAGCGCGGAAGTACGCATTTTCTATCTCCATGGTTGCGCTTCTCGGGCGTGGTGCCTATACTGCATGCCAACTCAGTGAGCCAATGAAAGCGCATATATACACGTTGCACCCACCGACCGTGGCGCCTGTAGAAAAATATTATCGCGGTGTACTAGAGGCTTGTTTGGTAGGGTGTCTAACGGGATGGTTGGACGAAAAGGAGCAGGAAGGAAGCGTTGAATGAGACAGTAACTACCCGGTAAGCGCTGCTGCGGCGCGGCCGTTGCCACAGACGCGTGTCCCACGTGACTATCTATGTACGCTCGTTCTTCGTTCAGAATCGTTGCGACTCGCAAAGTTGCAAACTTACTGTGTTCTGAATCCTGAATCTTCAGACTCGCAACGGATGTACCACTGACCAGCCAATACAAGCACAGCACGGCGCACATTTGCGAGCTACCCACGCAAGAGGCTGGCGTTGACAGTCCCAGTCACTGCGTATCATATCGACTGTCGTCTCGCCATAGCCTCATGATTATCCCACGTACGTCCTCCAGTACATACCCCCGGCGAGGTCGCATCAACGAGCAATTCCCTTGAACGCACAGGGGGAAACCTGGGGAAACTGACTCTCATTGTACAGTGCGGTACTTCCGTGAGGCATTGCCTGGCGAAGAAGGGTACATACTCACTGTGGTTAAGTGGGTGTACTGACGATTGCTACTGCACCACTCGGTCATTCGGTGAAGAGTACGTGATAGACCGCACCAACGTGCGCATATTCAAGCTCAAGTCCGGCCAATCGATGTACAGTTTCATAACCACCTTGCGACTTCATCATGATTCTAAAAACGCGTTTCGCAGGTCGAGGCTTGCTCAGATGATAACGGAGACGCGAGCCTCCCACATGGGCGGCCTTGGCAGCCTGACATTCGTTTCGAACGGGCTTTCGTGCTATTCACTTCGCCAGCATATGATCCTCAACGGAAAGTAGGTTTCGGTCATGTTTACCGCGAGTGGGAGAAACAGATTGACCGTGGCACGTTCGACCTGACTCGACGGCCCCGAGGTTGACCCCTTCGTAGAACAACGCGATCACGTGTCGATGAACATGTACCGTGTACGTACGTCGTCCACTGTGAAGTCACCTCGACAACTATTCTATATCTGTTCAACAGTACAGTGCCACGGCTTACTGCACAACCCCTGTGTGCACTGTATCAGAAGGTCACACAGGACAGCGCGGTCCGTGGCAACTCGGGACAAAACGACGGATGTCGAGTCATTCACTCTGCACTCGGACTCCGCTGCCAGTGGGCGGCCTTCTGGACATGGCAGATCATCAGCTTAGATCTATTGTCAGGACAAGTGGTGGTAGCCTCGTGCAGCAATGCGTGCCTGTACGACTTGTTCCCCTCCCACGGACTGTCACCATCGGAAGGCGGCTGAACCGCAGGCGGGAAAGATGAATACGGTTGTATAGCTCAGTGGGCGCTTGCGAAGGCAGTATAATACCGAGTTTTGTGCTTCTCGCTCTTCGCCCTTGCCCCCCTCGCACTGTCGAAGTCAGTCATGCGCGTTTCTGTGATTTCCCTTCTCATCGTCGCCTCTGCTGCCTACCATGCGGTCGCTCAGAGCGCCTCGGGCCTTCCGGCAGACACTTGCATTGTGCAGTGCTTAAGCCAGTCTGCCTCATCTGTGGGTTGCGATACCTAGTGAGCCCATCGCACTGCCTCATCGCTACGCGCGTGTGTGACTGAGCCGTTACACAATCTAGTGCAGACTTGGTCTGTATATGCCAGGCCTCGTCATACCAGAAAACAGTGACGTCGTGCCTGCAAAGCAAATGCACTTCTGGAGAGACCAACTTGGCCCAAGCCTGGTACCAAGACTCATGCGCGGCTGGTCAGTACTCTCAATACGTGCTACGCACTGATCATGAGACTCACTCGACATTGCAATCGCAGTGTCGGCCGCGCTAAGCCTTTCCTCTGATGTCTCGACGTTCACCAAGGCCACCGCGACTTTGTCCATTACGGATGCAGCGCAAGCCTCGTCCCTCGAATCCAAATATTCGTCATTCACCGCATTCCTATCGGCGGAATACTCGAGTATCAGTGCTTCGTATTCGCGAGACTACGACGTCCTCTCTTCGTCCCTGTCCGTGCTGGACGCCTCCGCGACCGCGACGAGTGCCAGCGCTGGGACAAGTGCTCGGTTGGATGCCTCGGTGGTGAAGACTGGCTTGGTTTCCTGCGTCGTTGCAATGCTCGGTGTGGCGTTCGGGGTGGTCTTGGTCTTCTAATAGCGGTCTTATGGCAAGTGGTTCTATTCTAGGCGTGTTTTTGTGAAACAAAGTACTGTCAAGTGCTTTCATTGGGTTCTGTATCTCTCCGGGGCATATATTCGGCTGCTTGTTACAGTCATAGTTGTTGGATGCGACGCTATGTCGACTGGTATGATGTACATAGAGGGGTCGTGATAGTCGTGATTCTTCAACTTGAAGCCTGTCATTACTGCTCGGTACTAAGCTAAGGGCAACGTTTAGTAGGAAATCATACCACACGCCGCAGCGCTTTTCTAGAATGAGGTAGCCAGAGCACCGCGTTTCGGTCGCAGATTGTAACGACGATGTTCGTAAATGATGAGAGTAGCGGCGCGGGGATGAGCACATACAGTAGCCTATCATCCGAGTGCGACATGCCAGTGCTCCGAGTCACTAGTTCCTTTCGACTGACCAATTTCGTGACATTTGCTGCAGGGACATAATCCTCAATGCTAAAGAGGATGTTCGTAGTGCGAGCTGGTGCGACCGGCGTGTCCCGGCGAGGTTCCCCGGACCTCCCCGCTTAGAACGCGAGCCGTCACAGTCACGTGCGCAACGTCACCCCTACTCTGTGTCAATACTGCTGACAAGGTCAAGTATGGCCGCCTTGTACCATCACCCTGAGTGTGACACTCAAACCATATCACCAGTAGGTAGTTCTCTCATATCCTCATAACTCTACTAACTGAGAGTCTATGTCTACATCAAGTCGGCCGGTCCGGCGCACAGCGCGTTGACTCATCCGTCCTCCGAGAGTCGTCGAGGTCCCTCGAGGAGCCTTCGAGCCCATCACCGCTCAAACTTTGGACACAATGTCATATTATCAGTACGTCGATGTCATCTTCCTCCCTTATTAATCTCGGTAGTGAGGCTGTCGACATGATTTGAATAGAGTCGTGCGAAGAGCGCTTCGTCAAATGGTGAAGATGCACGCAGATCACTCGTATTCGTCTGGCATCGTAACTGAAGCCTCACTACATACAGCTCTAGGCTACAACGAGGCTGGCTTCTCACGAGGGTTGTCGTACGACTCGCCGCACATAAAGGCGTCTATACTGCGGGCATGTCTAGTGAACGCGGCCCTCTAGCCCCGCAGACGCTTGAGAATGCCATTTAACACCGTGCTGGGGCCTCATTGGCACCGCCGACGGAAAGTATGCATGGCTCGATGATTATCCTGCTGGCGATTGCCTCGGCCGCTCTCCGCGCTGTTGCCCAGAGCAGTGTGCCGGCAGCTACGAGCTATCCGACGGACTCGTGCATCTTCGGTTGCGTGACCGAGGCGGCTTCAACCGCGGGCTGCCTGATATAGTGAGTGTATTCGTGACCCAGTCATCGCTCAGAATCGAATATTGATCCTCTGGCGTTTCAGTACGAATCTGCCTTGTGTCTGTGCGTCTGAAACGTACCAGAACGCAGCCACCTCATGCCTGCAGAGTAAATGCACTCCAGCACAGGCCGCGTTGGCGCAGACGATACAACAGGACCAGTGTGCTTACGGTGGGTCAGACACACTCTATGTTCTTCTAAAGAGGCTTACATTACATCTGGATCACAGTGTCAGCTATATCGAGTCTTTCCTCGGAAGCCTCGACTTTCACGGCCGCAGCCTCGTCCGTGTACATCTCTGACTCGTCGGCGGCGTCATCCATCTCCTCCGCTTACTCGTCCTACGGGTCGTACCTCTCATCGAAATACTCGGCGTATGGCGCCTCGCTGTCGTCCGATTACTCGTCACTCGGGTCGTCTCTATCAGTCCTGTTTGACGGCGCATCCCCAACGACGGGAAGCGGTGCTGCCTCAACTACGTCGACAAGCTCAAGCACGACTGCCAATGCGGGGAGCAGCCTTTGGGTGGACGCTACTCTGCGAAGTGCCGTGGTAGCGTGCATCATCACGATGCTTGGTATCGTTCTCGGGATGTCCATGGTATTGTAAGACGCGGATACGTGTGACGAAGAGTGTACAATATAGATGTCGATTCTCGATGGATAGCGACGAGTAAACGAATTATCTTCCACTTCATAGTACCTTTCAGTACGCAGTATGACATGGGCGTTGCCAGAGGACTCACGATTAACGCGCGGACCCATGAAACACACACCGCGCGTCCACGTCGCACGCACGCATGCATGTATACGCTGAGATCGCACATCTCGAGGCAATGCCGGGACATCGACCTCAGAGTCAGACTCGGTGGCGATGCGCATGATCACATGAGGGAGATCGAGATACGGAATGTACCAACCTCTCAAGGCTCAGTGCCGCACTGCATGTAGCATGCAAGTCTCATGTTGTCAATGACTTGCCGCTTTGTGGACGTCCTGTTTTGACCGATATGATGGTGGCCGCAATCAGGCCCAGGGTGTCCGTTGGGTCCTTTATATCGATTTTGCATCATGATATGGCCTGAAATCAATCACGTATGTACCGCTCGGCGGCACGTAGTCTCGTCTGCTCAGCGCCGTCGTGCTTTCCCGAGCCCGAGCGGCTTGAAGCAGCGTCATTGTGTAGTAGACCTCAGGCCTCAATGTCACTGTCGTCATCACTGTAATGATTGATACCGTCGTAGTACAGCAGTTGGGGTACACGCTTCACGTAACTGATCATTGTAGCGGTTCAACAACAGACGAAGAATCATGCATATATGTCTATGGTAGTATTACACCCTCCCATGCGCACTCGCTCGGAGGTAAGTTTGGGAAGATACAGGATCACCGTCCTACATAAGAGTGAAGAGTCCCAACAACCCGACCGCCAAACACACGATGGAGAGAAAAACAACAGTATAACGGGGGATAGCCACAGCCGCGTTGACACGGAGGCCCCGGTCCCAACGCAGTCGCCAATGTCGCTCAGTCGCGGAGGCGACTGCGCGACGCCGGGACCAACGCGGAGAGCACAGGAACGTGACTTATAGTGAACACAGTGATCGTTATGAAGCCAAGTGAAGTCAGGTCAACGGGTAACGGTGCAAGGTAACCAGGGACGTCGCACTTCGCAATGATGATAAAGTGATGATGCAGGTAGACTATGCACATGGAACGACATGAAGGATGACAGGATGACGGAAGGTGGCCCTCGAACAGTGGCAGGCCGCTCAGATCTGGCTGTCTGGCCACATACGGAGACGGACGGTATGGGAGTGATACTTGTCGTGACGATGACGGAGCAATCCAGGTAGTCGGACAGACGGGAACCGGCAAGGAAATGTCTTTGTCAAGTCGCGGCGCTGGGATGACTGCGCCGCTGACGAGGAAGCGGATTGCGCATCTCGACCCGGACCACCATCGAGATCGCCACCACCGGACGATCACACTCACGCACTTGCCGGCGGAATGCACACTTGCACAGGAACAGCCGCGAGCCGCGCCACGGCCGTCCTCGACGGAGCTTCCCACCACCCGATCCGACGCGCACGCACCGTCGTCCCGCCTGGCTTGATCCGGCAATAACGGAAAGCCCGCACGCGTAACGCACATCGCCCACGATCTGCACGTAGTATAACTGTTTTGCATCCAAGCACGACCAAGACCGAGGGGTGCCCGCGACACTATCGGGCTGGTAAGCAAGCTGATGGGTCCGGGGGGAGGGGCGCAGAGCGCATAGGAGGAAGCGCTTGTGGCGTCGGGCGGGCGGTCTCCATCAATTACAGCGGGTCTCGCTGTCGCGTGCATCTCCGCCGACGTCAAGGCGTCCGAGGGATGGAGGGAGGGCGGACTCGGCAGCAGAGTGCGCAGCGAGGAACCAAGGGCCGGAAACTAGTCGGGATGTCATAAGATGTGTAGTCGGAAAGGCGTGGGCGTGGACGGGATGATACGACAGGTCGGGCGGGGCGGCGAGTATGATAGCGATTGTTTGATTTACCATGGAAAACAGAAGCGGAGACGGGGATGAGGTATGCTGTCCAGGAGGGACAGGAGTACGGTGGGAATAAGTAAGGCTAGGTGTGGACCGGCCACGACGTCGAGTGCGGAGCGAGACCATGAGGACGAGCAGAGGGGAATGAGGGTGGGCGAGGCCAGGCGAGGACAATGCAGAGAGGCCATCTTAGTCGTAAGGGTGGTGGTGGCACAGAGAGGCACAGATGCGGCAGGGCGGCAGGCGACGTAGAGGTAGAGACAGACACAGGTGGAGATGATGAATTACGAGATGCGTGAGATGTCCGGATGGCGTGCATGCATACATGAGATAGATGACGATGGAGATGGTGACTGCAGATAGGACCCTGAGGACCGAGGCAGGTCAATAACACGGATGGGAACGAACTCAATGTCAAACGGAGAACACGTACGCACCGAGAAATATAACCAAAAATAACTGTACAGTACTTTCATTCCGTCATAGGATTCCCGAATCCTTGAGGGCATTCTGCAGGATTGTCTCCTTCACTGCTGCAAACACAAGTCTGATATTACTCGTATCCGTCGCCTGCGTCAAACTGGAGCCTCTCATCAGCAATAGGAAAAACCCTCCGGAAAAGACTACGCACTGTGGATACACGCTTAACCGGGCACGGTTCGCCTGCATGAATCGCCACAGGATGTACTTCGCCGCCTTGTTGATATCTGGCCCACCAGTGTATTCGGGGAAGTACTTCTCCAGTGGGACCTTCGGGAGCTTGCTCTTGAAGACATCGATCTTGTTCAAGAACAGGATGATGGATGTCCGGAGGAACCACCGTGAGTTGATCACCGAATCAAACAACACCAGCGACTCCGCCATCCGGTTCTGCCTACCTGTCAGCGTCCGCCAGGCAGTGACACATAACGAAGACATACCTGATTCCGCTCCTCGAGCAGCACCTGATCGTACTCGCTGAGAGCGGTGCAAAAGATGATGCTCGTCACGCTCTCGAAGCAATGTATCCACTTCTTCCGTTCCGACCGCTGACCGCCCACGTCAAACATGTGTATTCCGTTGTCACGCATCAGTCACCCCGCACGCGCAGTGGGCTCAATGCACTCACGATAGCGGGCCGAGCGTGAAGCGCGTCTCTGTGATGCCTGTGCTCTTCTGTCGCGCACGCAGCACGTCTGTTTCTGTCGGGACATAGTCGCGCGTCCCTATCCGTAGCGCCTCCGTGAAGAAGCTGTCGCGCGGTCGGAATTCAGAGCGCATCACGGCGACGGACGGGGAGGGCACTCACTAGCTCGCGCTGTCCATGAGGTAGAACTCGCTACTGTGATCCATGATGGCGGGAATAATGGGGTCCTGCCAAAGCTCATATATCGCGCGCGCCATCTCCTCGTCAAAGTTGAACGCCGAGTCCGCGACTACTGCGTAGTCGAGTATACGCTCTGTCCGGGCGCGGTTGTCTGGATGGACACAATCGACGCCAATCTTGCGCATGGCGAGGATGATGTTATGAGCTGACTCGAGTAGATTGCGATAGATGGTCGTGCGGTATGTCATGAGCTCGGCCTTGGTGTAGCCGTTCTGGTGGATAATCTTCATCTGTTTCACTATTGTCGACTTGCCCGACTCGCCCGAGCCTGTGCGAGCGTTCAGCACAGCGTAAGATAATGGCAAAGTGACACGCAGCGACGTAGTGCAGAATGAGTGGATGTAGAAGACCACAATCCCGAACTTGGACAGCGCGTTCGGCTAGCAGTAAACCAAACCTGGCATTGCATACACATCGGTAGTCACAGCCCCTCCTTGTCGGAAGGGACCCGCAGTGGAAAGGTTCTCTCTCATCTGGACGACGGCGTCCGGCCGGTGGTGTCCATGCCGAACGTCAAGCGCGTAGCTGCGACTCCATTCCAGGGCGTCACTGCAAGCCTGCGACGACTAGGGTACCATCATCCGCATCCGTGATCATACCCTCGACCAGCCCCAAGCGAGATCCTCACCACCTCGCTCATCTCTCCTCGAACGTGCTTGGAATTGCGCGTCTGCACTCGCGCATGCGCCCCATGGACCGCGAAGAGATCACGCACCGAGCAAGAGGATCTTGCACTCCTTCTTAAACTTCCGAGAGTCCTCCTCAATCTGTTTGTCGATCTCCTGGGAGCGCTGAAGCGCCTCCCGGTCTTGGGCCGAGACGCAGTTGCCCATGGCGGAAGTGGGTGGATGGAGGTCTCAATGTGGCGGCGGGATGAGTGTGACGGGGCGACCTTTCCGGCGCGGGTGGTCGGGTGTGTGGCGGTGACCGAGAGTGGCAGCGTATGGTGGGCAGCAGGACAGTTCGTAGGATGGTGGAGAAGGTGTGCGCGTCGGCGGGGACGGCGGGGAGGGAGGGCGCGAGGACGGGGAGGAGGAGGAGGAGATGAGGGAGAGGCAGCCAGGGCGGGACCAGTGGGAGGAGCGTCGGTTGCTTGCTCAGCCGCCCTTGTTCTTAGTCGCCATCACGCCCCGTCACACGTCAGCCTCCGTGACCATCTGTCACCCTCTCCTCCTCCGTCGGGTTCGACGGTTCACCGAGTATATCAGACACATCGACATTCAGAAGCTAGTGTGTCTGCGCTGTATGCGGCTCGACGCCCTCGTTGACCTCAAAGGCGTGTTTCTTCACGAACGAGAGTGGAAGAAGCCGACGTCACCGTCACATCTTGCAGCCACAGTCACAGAACGGTCACAACGTGCAACCCGCCCTCGCGTCGGCGGAGGTATTAAATTTCCATTTCGGGACGGCAGAAATGAGCGGCTAGGCCGAATCGGGGCCCCTGCCGCGGCCGGCGGCGGTCCATTAATCAAGGTATCTAGATTAATCGGGTTACATTGCGCCTCGCCTCTCGGACCACGCCTCTGCGAAGGTCGAGTTTGCCTTCTACGGCCGATACGCGGCCCACAGTGCGGCGCGCACACGTAGAATGTACCAAAGTAGGCGGTCAGCAGGCGCGTTCATACAGTAGGCACGCGCAGAGTGTGCAGGCAGTGTCGTAGAGCAGTGAGCAAGGTCCTACCAGCCACCAAGGTCCGTTCGACAGGTATCATACACCTAGGTACACGTTCATCCTACACCCACACGCTGACGTCCCCGGGACAGCACCGCGCAATAAATACTTCCCGCAATCCATCCACTCGCCATTCCCGTCAGCGGGCCCACACGCCTGCGATTCCCGCTGTCAATCCGCCGCGCTCACCCAGACACCGCGCGTCCTCCGCGAATCCGAGCGGCGGTCCTGGCACCCAGGCGTTCACCAAGCGCACACCAGCGTAAGCAGTGCCGCCACCGCCGTCATGAGTGCCCCCGCAGTCTCGACGCGCGTCCCCGCGCCGGTCGAGTTCGTCGGCGTCACGGTCGGCGGGGCGGACACGAGCTTCGTCGACGTCGGCCGCACGGAGGTCGAATGCACGATGTCCGTGGTGGACACCACGGACACGCTGACGCCAGACGTGTCAGTCGACGGGGACACAATGGTCGTCTCCGAGGCAGAGGATACTGACGAGGATGACGCCTCGGTGGACGAGGCGGAAGCCGAGTCCGTCGAGGACGCGTCGGTCGCAGACGAGGACGAGGACGAGTCGGTGGAGGATGCGGCGTCGGTGCTCGAGGAGTCGGTCGAGCTCTCGGAGGCGCTGCTAGACGCGGCTGAGCTGCTGTCCGTGGTGGAGACACTTGTAGACGCTACATGTCAAACAATCAGTGACACTAATTTGTCGGCTAGATGTGACGTGCGTACCAGAGCTTGAGTCCGACGTCGTGGAGGAGCTGCTGACCGTGGATCCGGATGAGACCGACGAAGATGCTGAGGAAGACGCCGATGTGGTCGTCGACGCTGCTCGAATCATGATCTGATTAGCAACTGCAAATAATTGAACGGTCAGCCACTACGCAGTTCTCTCAGAAGGTCGCACAAGTGCGACAGGCTCAGCGCCCCGCTAATGTACAAACGCGATGCCCGACCCATTCCTACGGCAGTAGAAGAGAATATCGGTAGAGCGAGTCTCGTGCATACGCAGACGCAGACTACCGATAAACCGATTCCAGTAATTGCGAACTTGCAGGCCGCGAGTGCCGTCGCGCAATCGAAAGCGAGACGTGCGGCGGGATATTTGGGATGCCTCCGAAAAGGCCGCACACGCTTGATCGCGCTGCCACCTAGCACGCAACATTGAATGAACAGGGGCAGCGGATATCACTAACGGATTGGCGCGTCTTCCCCTTCTACGGTCCGTCGTCCCGTCATTCGCCGCATCTATGCGCGTCCACGCACGAAAAGGAACAGCAAGCAACATGGACTGAGACTCACATGTACCGCCGCATACGTTCTGCAGGATCTGCATGCCCTGCTGGGCGTCCGACGAGCCGCAATCCGAGGCCATGCACGACTGTGCCGAGGACAAGAACGACGAGGACGCGCAGGAGCAGGCCATGTCGCTGTTCTACGCGTCAGCCGCGACTTCGCGCTCGCCCAGAGAGAAACTCACAGTGGCTCACATCCCGCCTGGGACGACGCGCTGCTCGCGCACGACGTCGCGCAGCTGCTGAGGCCGTTGATCTGCGCCTCGACGCCGAGTCCGAAGAGACTCCCGCGGGAATCGGGCCGGCCGCCCTTGGTCCAGGTCCAGAGGACGAGGAAGAGCGAGAGGAGCAGCCAGCGTGGCGAGTGGAGTGCGAGCATAGCTAGTGGAGAGCAAGTAGGGAGTGTTGAAGTTCGTGAGCGGCGGGAGGGAGTGGTTGGATGGTCGTGGTCGATGGTCAGGTTGAAGAGGGCGGCGGAAAACTTCCGAGCTCGACGCGTGCTCCGAGCGAGGCTGGACTGTTTCACGAGGCTGGACGGGGACAGGAAGCCGTCATTGAGCCTGGCAGCGATCAAGCGTGATGATTCACTCACAACCGAGGTTGAACACGTTACACAGCCGCGCGCAGAGGTCGCCGAGTCCGAGCAGGTCGTCGCGGCCGTCGAGAGGGTGCGAACACGAGCACGCCCCGTCGCGAGGGCTTCTTATAGGGCAACGGAAGCACATGTTTGAGCCCGCTTCGCGAAGGGAGCTTGAAGCAGATGGACGCGAAGCCCGCGAGCGTGGACGACCGCGCCCAACGTGTCACGACGAGGATCACTTGACTGCGCGCACTGATGAACACGAGTCCTCTTTTTCCTAACTTACCCTCGTGATGCTCTCTCTGCCGAATGAATGCTCGACGATGCCTGCCTACGTCCGGAGAGCGCAAGACCCGTCCTCCTCTTCGCTTCCAGTCGACGGGAAAGGCTCCCTAGGGCAGTGGTCCTGTCGTTCTCTTACGCTGCATGGAACTCGTGCCAGCGGTCAACTGACCTTGATTCATTGCAGTGAAAGGCTCTACAGGAGTTGAGACTGCGCGAGGGACAAGGGACGTGTGTTTCAATCGAGGTGTCCAGTCGAGGCGAACGAGCGATGAGGCCCATATGCGGAAGGAGACCCACCCGTGAGTGTACCGCATCTTCATCGACATCCCACACACCTCATACATGCGCTCGAAGAGAATTCTACGTATCACCGGTGCAGTAGATGACTTCCCTCTGCGTTCATTTAGTGCGGCGCATCAGTCACTACGGGTTCTTGGAGTGGCTCGACACGCACTAGAACCCGCATCCAGCAGCGCTCGCCCGGTTTCATCATGTTCCGAGTCGAAAAACGCCCTCAATCAAGACGTAGCCTAAAGAGGACCTGTTCAATGACTCTGTGTTTGGTATGCATGTACCGGCGGGAGTGCAAAACACCTTGTTTGGTACGCGCTGTGATTTTGAAGGGATCACTCTATATTCAGTTGCTTCTCACCATTTCGAAGGTTGCATACAGGGCGGCGCCTGCAGGATCACCATCTCCTTTCGCTCTTAAAAAGCCGACGGTAAGTGCCTCCAGTTCTCGTATTCAAAGTCAACACTGAAGACTACCGTGTAATGCAAGAATATTACCATGGAGGTCGTTCGGTTGAGTGCCCTAAGCCTCAAGGCCTCATGGGTCGCACACAGTCACGTTTGCAGAGATGACATGCGGCTCTGCGCGATAGTCTGTTTTGCTCGACGCATATATGCGAGTTCTAGGCACTGTCCTTGCACTATAAGAGCGAACATGGGATTGAACATTGCAATCTTCGCCCTGATGTCACTAGGCTCGCATTCGTAGAAATCACAGGTGCGTCACGCATTGACTCAGTACTTGAGCAATTCACCATACAATGGACCGATTGACTAGGTATGAAGTGGCCGGGAATTGACGACCGCCGTGTCACCCCTCGCAATCGCACGAGACGGCATCCTCGCAGAGATATGCCGTCATGTTGACCCTTGCATTGAACCCACTCACCTAGAAGAGCAGGGAACCCTCGGCGGGTACCAAAGCAGGTGCATCCGGACCGTGTCATGCTGGCCTCCCTCGCACGGATTTGTCGTGTTTTCTCCAACGTCGCGCTGGATGCCCTCTGGAGACAACTGGACTCGCCGGAGCCACCACTCCGTTTGATTCTGCGGGGTCTGAGACGCGCGCCCGCGGAGACCCTGAACCTCGCCGAAGCTGGCTTCGATGGCAATGTCTTGGTAGATGCCCCGTTTCTATCACTCCGACTCTCCATGACCGATCAGTGCCTTTTACAGACCTTCCTCGTTGCACGACGTCCGATACAGCGCGCACGTTTCGCGCGGCACGCGAGACGCATCAATTTGAAGTCTCTATGCATGCTCGAAGAGGGTGCCATTCACCCCTCCGTGTACTTCCATGCTGTCATTGTCCGTGAGCGCGACCCCAACACCGGCCTAGAGCGCCCGCTGCTCCCTTCGCTCGAAGAGCTCTACTGCGAGCCCTCCCCGGGGATGGGCGAGGCGATCTTGTTCTTCGTAGGCGCTAGCGTAGCGCGTGTCACTCTGAGCCTCTCGTCTTCGCGGAGCAAGCCGAAGCAGGAGACGACGCACGAAGACGACGCACTGCTCAGCGTCATCTGCAGCCTCGCTCGCTCGCTCGCCGCCGTGTGGAGGACTTTTCTGCGACATGCATTCCGTTCCCGCAGATGCTGCTGGGCCTCGACAGGCTGAAGAGCATACAGGTGCTCGACATCCAGCAGACAGTGCACTAGCGACTTGCTAGCAACTCAAGCCGTCCTACCTCGGGCGCCTCAACAGACTCACGCTCACTACGTCCTCGGGGAGCGATCCGCTTTCCTTGAAGGCATCCTGCCAGCAGAAGCACGTTCCGTTCGTCAAGGGCACCTTGATCTTCCGCGTATTGCGCTCGTTAGGTGTCTGTCAGTTGATCAGCCTCGACATCGACGGCGCGACTGACTAGTCCGTTCGCTTCCTGAAAGACCTTAGCACCACCGCATTAGCGCCATGCCTGCGATCAAGGTGCACACCTCCTATCCATGCACGCGGTGATCGTAGACAGCTCGGGAGTCCAACTGCAGAAGAGCACAACCGACTCGGACCTGCCGTGGGTCCCACTCCATGAGTTCCTCCCGCCATTCTTCATCTGACATCAGATGACGACGTTCGCTCTAGCGGCCCCGCCGCTCGTCGCGATAACCAAGGACGACCTCACTCTCATCGGCGCTCGCTGGGCGCACCTCACAACCCTCGACCTCGACCTCCTCGGACCAGTGAAGCCCATCGATTCCTTCGATCACGGCGAACCACTCCCGACTTTGGACGGAATCGTCCAGCTCGTCAAGGACTGCCCGCGCCCGAGGAAGATGGGGCGCCGTCTTCGCGTATTGGAGGACATGTTGTCTATCGCCATGGAGGACGCTGTTTTACGTTAAGCCCCATTGTTGTATGATATAATTACGTCTCGCAGGATATTCACAGTTGTAATACATTCCGAGAGCGACGCCGTTGAACATCGGCTTAACGGCGTAGAGAGTGACCCGACGAATGGCCCCTCGGTATTCACAAACCACTGGGCTCCACAAAATCCGCAGTCAGAGACAAGCAGAGGAGTGCGATTGCATATAGCGATCCTGAATACGAGACGATGCAAAAAAGGCTTCGGATACGGGGAATTGAACCCCGGGCTATCGCGGTCATTTAATGAGAGGCGATAATGTTAGCCACTACACCATATCCGATACAAAAGTAGGCGGCCGCCGTGGTGGCTCATAGAGAGCCAATCATGAAGAACTTGTGTACCGTACATATCGCAGCATCGCTGAACGACGTCGGGATTGCCGAGCGAGTCAGCATGCTCTGTGAAAGCCTGTTTGAACCTAAAAGTCACAAGACGATTCGGATGAGTCCAGTTGTAAGCGCCGGGAGGTTGATACGTTCTGTATCTCGATCTCATCGCGCTCAATGATGGCTGTATCACCAGTCCGCCTCCTCCCGAGCGATCTGGAGAAACCGTATGTGTCTTAAACCAAGACGCACCTGCCCGACAAGTCACGCCTCAAATGCCTGATGTTCCCTCGCAACTAAATGACTACTACTGGGGAGACGTATTCGGCTTTCAAGGGGGAAGACGAAGGGAGGTCCTACGCCCCTTGTCACGCGATATCTCAACTCGCATTCCCCAGGAAGTCGTCGATCACATCATTGACCAACTCGCGGGCTGTTCGGCGCATCTGTACAACTGTGCACTGGTCTGCCGCAGTTGGAACTACAGGAGCACCGAGATCCTCTTCACCAGGATCATCATTCGCAGTCCGCGTCACTTCGACAATCTAGCTCATGCGGCGCTGCAGGAAGAGCGCGTCCGTCAACACCTGGCAGGGACACAGCACTTCTCCATCGAGGATCGAAGCGGCGACTCGCGGTCGCACCTTGTGGTGTACCTGTACGCGTTGACGATGCGTAGCTTGAGGACCCTCGCTTTCTCACAGTGTACCTGGACTCCGATCCACCCGAGCTTCACCCTCCTTCTGTCGCAATTCGCAACCGTTACCCACGTCAGCCTCGATAAAGTTCATGTGCAGAACTTCACCGACCTCCGACGCATTATATGCGCTTTCCCTCGTCTCGAACATTTGGTTATGAAACGATGCAGTCTCAAGCATCACACCCCCGTTCATGCCAGCCACGGCGTCACTTCCAAATCCCTCCTGCCTCACCTCAATTATCTCGAGCTCGGGGAGAACGACGTACAGCTTTTGACGTCTCTAGCCCAGTGGCTTCGCATACCCAGCAGGGCGCCTTCGCTGCGCGAGCTGAGTCTCTCCGAGCACCTGCAAAGCACGGGCTTCGATCTAGACGCACTCGAGCATATCCTGCGATTCGTGGGTTACAAATTGAGTTCCTTGGCCGTTGAATATCCATATATCAACGGTATGTCGTACAGAAGTTGCTCCGATAGCAGGCGATCAACTGAAAGTGATTACGTTCTACAGGCATGCATCGGCATCTGTGCTACGTCCCAGCATTGCATACTCTCAGTTTTCCGCTATCAACCTTGTCTACGCGATATCCCTCCAGAAATCTGGCGACTGAGCTCGAGTCAATCCTCTTGTCGGTTTCATCGGCGGATCTGGAGTCTCTGACTCTCGTAGAGGCTTATACAAGAAGTAGTCATCGAGAGATGGCCACAGCAAGGGTCAGCTCTCGCGAAGAAGTCGTCGAAGACGTGCAACCCCTGGATCATGTAACAAAAGACGCCAGATTTGTTCGGCTGAAGAAAGCTAAGATCGTGTTACGGGCGTTGAACCACGACACCGAGGAAGAGGTGGAGTCGATTGTACGAAGTCTGCGGCATCTACTCTCGTATTGGGACGAGCGTAATATCCTGTTGATTGAGTGATGCTGTGTCACAGGTGAGTCACCAGTATCATTCCCTGGTGGATGCGAGTAGCTCACCTCTTTGGCGTAAAGGTTTTCCGGTCATGCTGCACCGAAGCGACGTAATGTAAAAGTAGGTTGTGTCTGTACCCATTGTATTTGACACACTCGTAGCAAATGGAGTTGGGAATGCTGCGTCGCGCGGACAAGGAGTGGGTTTCAGCTCTGCCTCCCCTACGCAACATGATTGCGGCTAAAGAGCCGTGTCATATCTCGAGTACTACTAGAACATTTGGGCAGCTCTACGCCAGTAAGGGCGGTCAAGTTCATACGAGTGTGTTGGCTGGGCATGATCACGTTAGTCCGATTTTCAGTTTATGTTCCGGTCAGATGGAAGAGTGGGGCACAGATATTGCAGAGTGGATATGGAATGCGACACCCTAAGATATGTTCCGAGATAATCCATACTTTCGTCTTGTGTAATAATAATGCTGCGACGGAATTGAGTCGCCTTCTCACCATTTCGCCGCGAGAAGCACGGTGGACGACCGAAGGAGCTCGTTACCTCAGATACTCATTGTTTCCTGTGTTCGTGTGCACAACCGACACGACGCACACATCGGTCTCGAGCCTGTGGAAGCCATCGACGGTGCTCACGACCACCCAGACACTCTGGCCAAGCTCCTGTCAGAGCATCGTCGCCTGGGGCAGATACAACATTAACATAGTGGCGAGTTCGAGGGCGCAGAGTGGCATGACGGTTTCCTCGCTGCCGTCGCACAATGCCGCGTGTGCAGAGGAAAAGACTGTTCTTTCGATGTGTATGTAATTACATGCCAGGAGGGTCCATGGTCCGAGTCTGTGTGTGTTCTCCGAGTCTCAACAGTCCGGGAACGGCCTTCGGCTACAACGGATCACGCCCATGAGTCCAAGACGTGCTCCGGGTCGTGTGCGATGGTCGGAATGCAGGCAGTGCACGCAGAAGGATTCAAGTGCGGATGGTTTCCCGGTGTCTTCGCTTATCGACTTTTGAGGTCAGATCCTTTCTGAGTTGGCAGCTAGTCACTGTATGCACGCGGCTGATCATGTCCTTGGATCCTACCAAAACATCGGCAGTCAGTCACGTACCTTGCGAATGGCGACAGCGTTGGGCAGATGGTTAAGTGTGCAGGTTCCACTAGGGCAGTCCTGTATTCCTGATCTTGTCGTAGTTTGAATGATGTGTTCTCACTGTTCTAACTTAAGGAACTGCAGATTTCCGTGCGTCGTCAATGCGTCCACAGAGCTACTCCACTGGCGTTTATTCCACGACGAGCGCCATCACAGCATTGCACGCTCTAAGACGCTCAAGTCAATGCGGTTGTACTACGGCGTAGATGCTCCACATACCTGCGTCCGGATTTGTCTCTCTGCACTTCAAAAGCCACCTATGGGATTGAAGACCCCCAATCTGTATTTCCAGCGTCAACGATGCATACCTGCGGAATGGCCAGTGTCATAGAACCACTGGGGCCCGGCGTCGACCAGCGTAAGAGGCGCGCCCGTCAACCAACCTTCCCTTGACGCGGGTTCTACACCGGATCTCGCCGGAAGGGGTGGCCAGCAAAGAAGGGATTATTGCTCTGGCCTTCGACATCGGATCGACTCCCGTTTGGATGTTTCCCCGATCGACAGCCTTTGCGCTCTGATGCTACTAGCCTGGCAGGCGAAATGGGGTTCGGAAACTTGTGCCATGCCGTTTGTTCTGAGTGCCGACCAAAGATACGCGACTGAACACTAAGTCCCGTGCGATTCTTGCCCCTGAGACACTATCGGTATACTGTAGTCCACCCGTAGGCATCTAGTACACCGAACGTCCAATGACGCTCTGGTGCTTCAAAACCTTGGTCAATTTGTGTACACATTCAAATTCAATGTGATTTGATTACCCGAGGAACTCAAATGCAACGATCCTTCTACCGCGGACCATTGGCAATCTTGTCTTGAGCGCCGGCCATTCGCCGACGACGGACCAGTGGCCAAGTACAAAACTTGCAGGGTGATGTCTCCTCTGGTGTGGAGTCTCGGTTCGACCTGAGACGGCGTGTAGAGCTCTGCAACGAAATCTGAAGACGAACAGTGGCTACGTGCAAGTCCAGAGTAGATTGACATTCACCTGTTCCTGTGACGTTCGAAGGAGTGTTTTGTCATATGTCCCGGGACAGCTCGACAGACCGGCGGTCTTCACTGTTAAATCTGTGGCCACCATATGAGTGTATAGTCAAGTGTCGAGCGAGTCTCGCCTCCGATTGAGCGATCAGTAATCCTCGCGTGGGGCCCATTGAGAGAGTGGCCTGCGTACTCATCATGTCACTTGTTCTGCCTGTGGGTTAGGCTCTCTCAATCTCGATGGACGCCAGGCGCTGGTGACACGCAAACCTTCATTATTTCCTAATCAACAACTTGGTAACAGATGCTCACCATAGAACTGCGGTCTGTCGCTCCGAAGAATGTTTCCGGTGCCACACGGGCTGCTCGCATTCTGCTCCCTGTAGCCCGCGGCACCTAGGCTGAAAAGAAGTTGGAAGATGCGGACATTGCGCCTACGGTTCGTTCCGACCATCGTACTGCCAGCGTGCCACATTCTTGCCTATTCCAATGATCAGCGATCAGATACTCGGAACCGACTAACCCCTACCTAGAGGTGCAACCCCCTCGCGGCAAATGGAATACATGTGGCGAGCCTCGTAGGCCACGGGCATTGGGGGTTGCTGTGTGACTGCGCATCCGCTTGGCCGAAGGTAGTTAGAAAGTCGACAGCTGCATAGCCGAGCTCACCATCCAAGCCAATGGTGTCCAGACAAACAGCCGAATCCCGACCGGTCATGGTGCCAGTACGCGGACTGCTGACCTTCGCCGGTTGCGAGTGGGCATGCACTGCTGTGGATTCTATGTGATTAATGACGAATCAACCTGGCGGAAACTTTAGCAATGAGGTGGAAGGCAAACAAGCGCTGTCAGAGCGGTATCGATTCAGCGGTTTAGTAGGGTGCTTTCTGGTACACACAGTGTTTTAAGTAGTTGGACTATACGACAACACGGTCCAGCGACTCGGTGTGTGGCTGACGAACACGTATGCAGAGCGCTTCGCACGCGAGACGCTCAGCCACCGTCTCACCGGACGCGGTCACGGCTACTCGTAGCACTTAGGTCTGGTCTACTCTTTCTACTGCGTGACGACTCATGAAGCTTATCCTGGGCATCTCATTCGAGTGTAGCATAAAGACTTGAACTTGTTTCTGCCTCGAGGCTCAGTGAGTGTTGACGTTCATACCGAGTCACACCATCCCCACAGTCCGCCGTTCCCTGAGTTGGCTACCGCCTGAACACGGCTCGTTCACAACAAGTCTGGTGAGCGTAACTCTGCCGGTATAACTGTTTCTGCCAGTATCAACACAGCTTCTGTGGAGATGTCACGCAGCGACAAGCGTAGATGGCTTCGTACCGGAAAGTCGTGAACTCTCTGTCTGGATCGCCGACCGTTCCCTCTTGTCCCGTGCGTCAGACTTATTCTCAATTCTGCGATGAGACGTCATACACACAATGCCCTCGCATAGGTGCGTGGCTTCACTACGAAGAAGTGTCTAGCTCACTCGACGGCCCAAAATGATAAGCCGCGGACAGCCTGAGGAAGTATGCTGAGCCAGAATTCATACGAGACGGTCCGTAGGCTCTTATTTCAAGATCAGATTATTGCTTGCGGATGAGAGTATATGTTGCAGCGGTGTGTACTTCCGGCTGAGTACTAATGTGGCGACTCACTGACATGTTGCTTTGAGACTCAGACACTCTGTGATCGATAGATCCCATAGTCTCTCCCGGTGGGGCCAGTGCATCCATAGACCCTCGCCGGTCCTCAGTATCGGGCTCACAGAGCCCGCGGTGAAGGGTTTATATTCAGTGGTTTCCGCCACTGTGGTCTTTATAGTAAGGTACGCCCTCCCCCGGCTTGAAATTTGAGTATACGCCTCACAATCTGTCAGCGTAGCAACTACCAGCATGTCGCCAGCGCGCCTTCCGCGAAGCATCAGTCACCGATGGGCCGCTGACTGTCAAAGACATAATCCCTGATGCTCTTCCTTGATTTGCGGGCCGACCGGCGTGAAACGAAAGTCAAAGTCGACAAATGTGCCCTAGGTATGCGTAACATCGCGCTGGAGGTTCCGTAGCAATTAGCTAACCTGTTGCTGACACTGCTCTCACTTGGAGGCTGGCGGACGAGCCTATGTGGCCGAGCACGATCACATATCGCACCATACGTATGCCCGCCGGCCTTCCATTGAAGCCAAACGGCGCCCCGGGTTTCCAGCTTCTCTATGATTCATATCAAGGGGCCTTCGTCTCAAGATCCAATCATGCCGTAAGTGTAAGGGCCGTCTACTGGCTGCAGGGAAAGCACCTTATACCCTCCCGGGACCGCACCGTGAAGTACTGCCCTAGTGCTACTACCAGCTCGTCAACGAGCATGTCTTGAACGCCTGTTTGCAATACTAGACCCTCGAGCGCTCGCATCCGGGAAGGCAGTCCACCCGGCCCTGAAAGGAACGCGTCTCAGTTCGCCGATCAACCCACAGCCTGGAGGGCCCATCGACGAACAAGCCCACAGGCTCGGACCTGCCTGTATCAACAGCAGGTAAGACGTAAGGTTCGGGACGACAGCGGCACGTTTGTATTGTCCGGACTGCCTGCCTTGTGCTTGCACTGGTCGGAGCACGGAAACGCGAGCGTACGGCCATTCTTTCACGGCGCCGAGTGGTGGCTGCTCTGGGGATCAGGTTGTCAGACGGCGCGGAGCAGGCTGTACCCCACTTCGGAACCCTTCTTGCCCAAACCTCGTAGCCATCTGGAGTACATACATAGCTCTGTCCAAGGCGTGCCGACGCCACAGGTTCTCTTACAAGCGCGAAGTTCAGGATCTGACCAATGGTCGTGCCAGCAGGTCTGCCTGCTGATTAGCGCGATGACAACCCTCAAGCGCTGCGAACAGGAGGTTCTGGCTCGCACACGGTTGTTCGACAAGGGTTTTAGATCTCGGGCGTAGTCAATGCAGGTACTTCATCTATATATTATGCATAACGAGGCATGCATGTTGAGTGCATAACGTATCTCTATACTATGCAGTAGCCTATATATGCGTATGAATGTGGATGCCATAGTCCGGAAGAGGCTCATACTCTGGTACACTAACATTACAGAATACAATCGCAAGCAATAGCGCAACCACCAATCACGACTGCCACAGAGTATGAAGCTGCGGTGAATGGGGCGTTGGGTACGTCTCTGGTCTCGGCGTGTCATCTGCTCCCTGAACCTGACCCTGCCCCAGCATCGATGACAGGCTGTGTGACAACGAGTGCACCGTCGAGATGACGTCCTGCTGGTCGCAGATAGCCACCGCGACGGCGACGCGGCGGTCGGAGGGGTCTACGGCTTGTTGCGCGAGCTGGACGCTCGCCTTATCCGGGAACGCTGGCAGAGAACCGATAGTCACCTGAGCGTCCAACGCGAGGCTCGAAAGCTCTGGAATGGACTGCGTCAGGTAGGGCGACTGCCGCGAGACGTTCGAAGGTGGGTAGAGGGCAAGGTAGTCGGCCATCGCTAGAACACCGTCCCCTGCAGGGTTTTGGACGTCGCACGAACTGCCAGTGGAAGTGAGGGGCTGTGAGTGGTAAAAGTTCGATGCATGGTGCTGAGATACACCGAGCGCTAGGTCCATAAATGGCGCGTCGATGGGGGTCGCCGGGCCTGAGATGCAAGGCGACCACATGGAGAAAGGATCCATTTGTGCATCTCCAAGGTCTCCGAGAAGCGGTGGGGTCTCCGAGAGGTAGGCCGCGGATGGGGATGGCGGGTTGTAGAGGAGGGATGCGGAGGAGGACGCCTCCGCTACTGCGGAGTCACCAAACATATGCGGTGAGAAGAAATCCATAAACTGCCTCTCGATGCCGGATGCTGGCGTCAAAGGCGACGGGAGCCGGACGGAAAGGCGTGATAGCATTTCGGCATCCGTGAATTCAGCCGCGTTAGTTGCGGTGTAAAGGTGAACTTCGTCCCCTTCCGGAAGCGAGCGCGGCGACGGCGGGGTTGTTCCGGACTCTGAGCTGTCGGATCCAGACTGGCTGCCAGCCCACCGCGAGGACGTCCCGTGGAACATGGTCGCGGATGCCTCAGAGATACCGCGCGTCCTGCGCTTCTCAGTGGTCATGGGCGAGGTCCGACTCCTTCGCCTCCCAGCTTGCCGGCATGCGCCTCTCATGAGATGGTTGTATCTGTCAGAAGCAATGAGCTTTAGGCGCTACGAGAACTGACGCTAGAGCAGCTGACCTGTTCTTTGCGGCAAGTCCCGTACGACCAGGAAGCGACGTCCGTGCGATGTTGGCCCAGGAGTGGCCTTGCTGCTCAACTGCTCTGAGCAGCTGTTCATCCTGAAACTCATGTCAGTAGACAGCAACTCCGGCTTCGGAGGACACAAACCTCTTCACGCGTCCAGCCGCTGCGGTCGATAGTGGGGTTCAATGCGTCGTTCCATCGCTTCGCACATTCTATGGGAGAATTAGACGGCGCTATCGACTGTCAAGCCATGCGCACGTACGACCGCTGTTTCGTGTCCGCACTCGGTTCGCGACGAGCGCCCACCTGAGAGAGGTGTTGTTAGTACCGCGGAGGATTCCGAAGCGGACATTGACACCTACTTGGGACCCAACTCCTCCACTGCTCTGCAGAGGCGCTGCGGAGGAAGAGAGGAAGCGTGAGCAATCTGAGCGTATCTCCGAAACGTTGCGGAGCTACCTCGTCTTCGTCGCTTGTCCAGCTGCCCTTCGAAACAATAGTGGCCATCTGAGCCCACCATCGTTTCCGACAGTCTTTGTTGGTTCGGTTGGGTATGTGCTGCGAGATGGCATGCCACCGAGTGGGTGGGTTGCACTCGGTATCCTCTGTACAGCGAACAAGGCATCAGTTTCACTGTACAGCTACCACATAGATGAGCAGCAGACCTTCTTCGATGGCCATGCGAAGCATCTCGTCCTCTTCTTCCGTCCAGGGACGGCGGTCTCGGGGTTGGAAGACTTCGTCTTGGGTCTGCATAGTGGATCCGTTCACAAGTCAGGAGAGGGGGAAGGTCTACGGTCAAACCGGAAACATGTGTGCGTTCAAATATGCCCTGCGCTATCAGTGTCACCTCTGGCCCTCCACATTTCCAAGCGTACGGCGCCAGTTCTACAAGCGCCAGAAGATAGATCGCGCAAGCCAGATCAGGCATTCCATTGGATGTTAGGGTCCTCCTGCTGGAATTACGTCCCGTCAGAGTATTTCGCACACGTACGTCACCTGTTCATAGAGGCGATCGTTCCGTCTATGGCTGCATAGCGCGTGCATCCCAGCCGTCAGCGTTTCGCGGTGAAGTATTTCATATGTGTCTGATGTACTCGGACAGCGGCGGGACTGGTCGCAAAATCGCAGCGTCTGCGATGCCCGCGCGGGAGGCGCGGGAGGCCTCGTAGGCAAAGCTAGTTGGGAGACCACAATCTCTCTTCATTCGACCAATAGCGGCGACCTACGGGTTCACGGGTCCCAATCGAGGCTTGCCGGCGGTATGGCTCGTATGGCTGCATGTGACGAAAGGTATCCGAAGGCGCCACAGAGAAGGTAAGTTGGTTGAGCGCCTACAGGTTTGTGGGCGCTCGGAAGGTAGCGGCGAGGAGGCGGCGGGCGGAACTGTCATCGGGGCAAGGCCTTCGTCGCTGAATGCCTCGTGTGTATCCTCTCCTATCCTCGACCCTGGATGAGCTGCAGAGCGCCCAGCGTCTCCCACAGACGCCTACGCCTCCCTTGTAGGCATTCTCCGGCTAGACGCTGCCATCCTTCAGCATCTCACGAACCTTCAAGTTGGGCTTCCCATACTCACCTTCTATTGCGCGCCGTCACCCAGGGGATCGACGCATCTATATTGGGTCATGTCTCTGCTAAAGACCCAACATCCTATGAGACTTCATTGAAGGGAATGCAAGTGTAGACTCCCGTACTTACCCTGCGTCTCTGCGTGAGTACGGTTCTGCACCCAGGACCTCTATTGCCTTTCAGATAGACACTACATATTCCGGTCCGAGCTGCGCGATCCTTTGATGCACTGATGTCGTCCAGCGCTATGAAAAACAATTTCAGACATGGCAACCGCACCGGGACCTTGCGGCTCGCAATATGCCAGACAGTGGGCTTTGATACAGTTGTTGACATGTCGCAGCCGCGCGCGTATCTCGAGTATTGCAACTTCTACGGGCCGATGTTCCTGGAGGTTTGATCGGCAGGGAATACATCGCGCTGCGGTCCACTTTTGAAGGTAGCTGCGAGCATTGGGCCCGCTGTAGAGCATACTTTGATAAATATGATGGCAAAAAGACAGAGAGAACTACTATGGTGCTCACCTGCAACTCCTTTACCTTTTCCGGACACCGCGGAGCCGGAGGGTACAGTGAATTGAGAGTAACATCCTGTCTGTGGCTGAGATGGACAGTGCCGCAGGAGCGGCGCTAGTCATCTCAACCTACAATATTACATCTTGTGGTGTGGACCCCGAAGAAAATTCCGCGTTCGGATGTGAATATGACGTGTGCTGGAAGGGACTGATTGTCCCAGACGACAGCGGTCAACCCCTCTCCTGCCAGTGAGTCGCGCAGCGCGTTGTGCGGCGATGACCATGAAGCAAGCAACAGGAGGCGCGGGAACGCCACCCGCTCCGTGAGAGGCGTTGATTTCGATACTTTCGGGAGATAGCGCGACAGGGCTGCGGCCCACGCCGCGACAACAGCGCACGGCAAAGACCCTGAAGTGTGTTGAACGAATGAGTGAACAAACCCGGACAGCGGAGGGCGTTTGCGCGCTTGCACAAAATTAAATCGCGAACCTCGAGCATCCGGAGTTCGTGCCGAGGTTTCCGTCACCCTCACCGGCACTTCCACCCCAAAATGATGCGTCAAATGTTTGACGCTCCTCGAAGGCAGCTCGCGGGCGCTGAGTGAAGCGCTGTTAGGTGGTCTCTTGAAGGACTACAACGTTCCAATTGGCAGGGCAGTCGCCGTGAGATGGCGTCCGATTGCATGGCACATCGCAGTCGGGAGTACGGTGGCAATAACTCGAATAACACCCTAAACTTTCAGCAGACACGGCGACTTGGATGCGACAAAACAGACAAACTGTCGTGAGCCTGTCTATCGAGGACTCGGGGACGCGCACGACCGGCAGGATTGCACCGGAGCTCCGAAGTGAAATTGGAAGCCTGCGACTGTGGACGATACACCGCCCGAGCCTGTGCATGATTGCCCCCTCGTAACGTCAACCTGGCTAGAAGTGATGCGCTGGGATGGGGACTAACCGCTGGAGATTGCCTTTGTCAAGCCACGGGGACTTGTATCTCGGTACTTTTCTGAGGTGTCACTTCAAGTAGATACCAAGGTAATGACATGAGTGCACGATGCTTCAGAACCAGAACCAGAACAGTCTCCTTGAACTCACCGACGCTTCGACCTCGAAATATTTGCCACGCGTGCACTTTGCAACCGGTGGATGCCCTTGCTATTTTCATTGATATTCAAGTCGTGATCAGTCTCCATGCGACAGCCATACCCACGCCTGATGACGAGGATGATAGCCTTGGTGAGATTCATATCTCAGTGACGATAGAAGAGCAAGGAGATATCCGGTTTCGGACCGACTACCAGCGGGGGCGCTTCAGACAATGTTTCCTCCGTGCGCTCCGGAGGTGGGCCATTGCCGCATGCTATGTTTAGAAGCGGTGGCGAGAGCGGCCCACCCCATCGAGCCATAACGGGCAGAACCGTCAACGAGAACCGTCACGACGGCGGCGGCGCAGAGTTTGGCGCTCGCATTCGACAGGGATTCTCTCAGGACCACCGCGCCGAAGTGAAGACAGTAGGCGCTCCGTCCCGAGTGCTCCTGAAGAATTCCCATGAGACGGTCCGAGGACCGGTACGTTGTCGTTGAGGATGTCGAAGAAATTCGAACGGTTTCCTGTGCGCTGGTGGGCGTTGTACACAAAGACCTCAGGGACGCCCCTCCTCATAGCTCTTGTTCGCATTATACGACGAACAGCAGCAGCACAGAGGTCTTCAAAATCGGCCTGCGACATATGATTGTGCTTCAGCACACTTGGTCTGCGAATGCACGAGCACGGCTTCTGTAGAACATCTCACCTGAGTGAGGACTGCGAAGCACGCGGATGCGCGTAACACGATCGACGATCGCGATCCGTGCGTCATAGGTCGGAAGCTCGCAGCGAGATCGCGACCGAAAGTGCGTACGGCAGTCACCGAGTCCGACGATGGCGGGGCACCCAACGATCGAGAGCGTAGGCCAAGGCAGCACTCGGGTTCCGTGTGGGCGAGACTCGTGGTCGAATGCGCAGTGTAGGACCTGCGCAACGCCCCGCGTATATTATCCACCGCAGCGCGTAGCGACAGCTGCTGTAGGCAGTGGAGCCAGGCGGCGTTCCAGTGTTGGGAGATGTGTTTCGACGTTAGGACGGGTACGAGACCGGAGCAGACGGGCCAGGAGCCGGGGCCTTCGAGGTGGAAGTTGAGACACACCGTCCACGCGGCGATGCGGCGGTCGCCGCGCATTGTCCTCGACGTCATGCGATGCGCTATAATCGGGTATTGTTAATGAATTTGGCGGCGCTGCGTGGTGGCCGCTGGCGTCTCAGGTACGCTCGGTTCCGGAGTCGGGCATTTTTTACGTATCCACGGATAATCCGGGCGTGACGTCTGCCCATCGCAGATACACTGGGACACATCGTCGCTCAGTATACGTGGAAGTTGCGAGCGGGTGAGTGTCGAGTGCTGGAGATGTCCTTGGGGGAGGAGGTACGGGCTGGAATCGCGTGGTCCCGCGCGTTCGGATTCGACTGCCTTCTGAAGTTCTTCGAAACATGCACCGGGGCTTCGGGCAGATGGCTGAGGATCTCGAGAACACTGATTGGGTGTGAGCTATGATCTCACCGTCAACAACGACAGGACGGACAGCCACCCGGTAACTCGCGGCCAGCGTCCGTAGGTCGAGGCCCGGGAAGCCGCGTGGGAGTAGCAAAAGGGAAGACGAGAAAATGATATGATAACTGCAGGGGATGGCCGGTAGGTCCAGAAGGATGCGAGAGCGTTCGCGGGACTGGGGCCTCGGCGCACGTGCTGAACAAGCTGTGAGGCCGCTAGTGCCGGGGTTAGGCGAGCCATGGCCCATCTCCTCGATACCGACTCGGCGAAGGCCGCTCAAGTCACATCATTTGCCTTCGCTACTTCAGCTGCTGGTTCTGCGCTGTGTATTTCTGTTGGCTGAAGAAGGACCAGAGCAGTGTGCTGTCATGGGACGTGGTTTTTCAATGCGCAATTGCCTTTGCGGATGTATGGCCAGGCACAGGTGTCCAGCAGACCGCGAGAAAGAACTGAGCTTCGCGGGAGTCAATTGCATGATGAAAGACATAGAAGAGAGGGTACAGGGCAAATTGTCCTCGCGGTACCGATGATCGCAGCCTAAAAGTGGTACTACGGCCTAGCAATCAGCGTGGAAGATTGACAGAGAACTGCACCTACACATCGCGGCCTCAGCACAGCAATATGCCAAGATTGCCTCTTTTCCTGCGGAGATGGCCAGCGATGCACCGGATGGAGAAGGCCTGACTCACGCACCATGACCGAGAAGCAAGGCCACTGCGTGACCTGCTCAAATGTATGCGCCGAAAGCTTGCGAGCCGTGCCGCTCAGCGCCGAGCTCGCATTCTCTTGGTTCCAGGGGTGGCCTCGGAATTAGAAACGGTATAACACCGCTGGTATAGTACCAATTAGAATCCAGTGTCCGCGAAGACTTCCCCGGTAAGAGCCTCGGCAGTTGACGAGTAGGCCCTTCCGGATCGTGTATAAGAGTCCCGTTGCGACTCACGCTTCATGAAGCAACAGAATGAGTGCGTTTCACGCTTCTAGTGGCTAGAACTGTCAATCATCTGTAAACACCGGGCCTCATGTCGTCTTCCATGACTTTCCGTCGCCCACGGACGTTCGGAAAAATATGAACTTACCTTAGTCGTTTATGCTTCGGGCAGAAGGACAGACACATCGAAGTACAGGAGGGGCCGTGGCGGCGACGCAGCGGCAAGTTCGACGGAAGGAGGGTTTAGCGTGATGCGCCCCCGCGCCCGGCGGGGAAACTGAACAGGCGATGGTCACGTGATCACACTCCCCCCGAGCCCAAGCTGAATTCATCTTGTTCTAAGTTACTAATTTCTCGTTCATGCTCGTCATTCAAGTCTTCTGTCCATGCGTTGTCACGAACTCTAGAGGCCACTGCTTTGAATGTCATGGGCTCAGTAATGTCCCGATCTCACACTGGTTGCGTTCTGCGTGTGCACTCCGGCACTGCAGCAAAATCCAGTGACGCGATATCAACACCAATTGGCCAAGGTACTACGATTACTGACCCTATAGCTTCTTGCTACGACCTCCAATCTTATGTCTGAAGGAGCTTTACGTTACACGTACAAGCCGTCGCGTCGGAAATCGGACGACCTCCTTCGTTCGATTCGTTGTTCGAATGAATGCGACGGAGTCCATATACGTCAACATCCCGCAAGACCACACAATCTGCTTTGACGCCACTTTGCTAGCATCCAGCACGTCTATATCTCTTCTTGAGCTTTAGGATCTCTCACCGGAAGCATGCCTTCTATTTATGGATTGTGCAACAAGGTCGTCCTAATCATTCTACGAAAGTCGCCACGAATGCTACCCGGCTGTCAATGTCCTTCAAGTCCGCGCCTATAGTCATGTATGGTATGTTGAGCTCCTCCAATGTCGCGAATAGTTCCTTATTGTAGTTCCATGGATCCTCTAGCGAACGAACGCCGTCGTCCCGCATCCATTCCTTCACTGGTTGAAGGACGACTTAACCATCAATATAAACATGAGTATGTATTCATTGCATGCGTATTAACCCACTTACTGAATAGTGATATACGATATAGCGGGAGTATGGCCTGAAAATCTCTGTTATGCAATAGTCTGCGCCGCATGTCTTCCGCGGCGGGACTCTTGCTAGTCGAAGCGTATACAATCGGGTCGATAGCTGATCGGTCGCTCAGCAAGGCCATACTTGCATCGTCTCCGGTGCCCATGCTCCGTGCGAGAACCTTCTCCTCGGCCTGCAGTTGCGCCACCATAATTGCATACTGCATCTCGTACGTGTTCACGTCCTTCCGTGAGAACCCCCGCTCACGCATGACCGTCCGGGCGACCTCCGTCACGTAGCGCGTACGGTCCAGGTTGAGATAACGGGCGAGCGCGTCGCAGAGCGTCGTCTTTCCGCTCGAGGAAGGGCCGAGCACGAAGACCGCTCTGCTAGAGCGACTTTGCCGCTCGATGTGTTTGGTAGAGGAGCTCCTGTGGCGCAGCATGGGCTTCACTGGCGGAATCCGGCTCTGCGTTCCGTCATGCGAGGGTGGCGCATCTCCGGCTCTGAACACGCTGAAGAAGGCGCCCATCCTGAAGAGACGAACGAACACAGTTAGTGTGGTCGAATACAGAACATCGACGTTGGCAGTCACCTGAAATGCGGCCTGTACGTTACTTCGCGGATATGGGGCAGGGGCTGTCTGCTGGGTGAGTGCGTGCGATTGTAATAACCGACCCGGGCTCCCAGGCCTGTTTGCTGACACTATCTAAAGTTTCGGACAGAAGCCTAGTAGGCGCCCTGTATTTGGCACCGGAACTCCCTGCTGGCATATTCAGGCCGCATGTGGTCCTCGCGCTACTGCGCCTTGCCGGTCTGGCCCTTCATGTCCGCTTCCTGTCCCACATATACATCGATGCCTCGTTGCAGGACGGTGTCGCAGGGTGTACCCGTATAACCCCAACCACCATGAGCCCGGTCATCCTGCAAGCAAATCCGACGCCTGAAGATGAGTCATGGAGATTCACGGCCAATATCCCACCGGCACGTCGTCCGGGATATGGCAAGCACCTGTCTTTCACACCGGACGCGATCAAACTGGATATGATCTTGTTTCCCGCAAATCGAATCCTCAACGCAGACGATCCGTCCAAATTCATTCTTGCCTCGTTCGAGGGCTTGAGGTTCCCGGACACTCCAGCTTCGACTACGAGGGAGTATATGATGCGCTTATTCAAAGCAGGGCTCTTTCTGAATGGGGCTCAATATCGGTTCCATGGACACAGCAACTCTCAGCTGGTCGGTATCTGGCGCACATTGGGCCTCTCGTTCCGCTGACCTTATTGCGCGTAGAGATCTCGTAGCTGCTTCTTGCGACAGGCAGACACCGATGGCGAGCTCGACGCTCGTATATACAGTTTCGGAGAATTCGAAAGAATTATGAACGCAGCCAAACGTGAGGTTTCTTCTTTCATCTTATTTGTTCGACATCACACCCTGTCATTGACTATAATATAGGTGCAAAACGGATCGGACTGTTGTTCTCGAAGGCTGATCTGGATTGGGTCCTCGATCCTGTCTGGACGAAAGACATCGACGATATAATAGTCAACGGAGAAACCTTCTCGGACGGCTGTGGATTGATGTCAAAGCGGTTTGCAGTGCAGCTGAGTCGTCGCAAACGGATCATATTCCATGGTCGCCCGTACACGCCCTGCGTATTCCAGATCAGGTGAGCTCTGAGCCTCGTGTTGCGAAACATGTTTGACACAGCATAAGGTACCGCGGATACAAGGTAGATCTCCTTTTCCGATGTGTCTCAGCGGAGATGCTAAATTTGTGTCGTCAGGGTGTTCTCATGTTACATCCTGAGATGCCCGCTGAGCATCACGCACAATTTCGGGCGAGTCAGAAGAAGTTCACTGCAACGCAGGACAATACTTTCTCTATGGTCGACCATTCGGTACCATACGCCTTCGGACGTCTCAATAACGACATCATTGTCCTCTTGGCAAGTCTAGGTATCACGTCGGAGACGCTCCTCGCGAAACAAGAAGCTTACCACAAGTGGCTCACGGCTGCCTCCACCGACTGGGAAGTCGCATTCAACTTCCTCTGCTCTCTCGGGCGCTACGAGCTCGCAGAACAGCTCTTGCTGCAGGGCGTGGACGACAACAAGGTGCAGAAACAGATCCGGTCCTGCCAGATGTCCGAGCTCGCCGCGTTCAAGAAGAACGAGAAATTCCGATCGCGGATGGTCGTGCTCAAGTCGCGTCTCCTATTTGGTGTCTGCGACCCTTACGGTGTCTTGCGCGAGGGCGAGGTCTTCGTCCGCGTGTCAGTGCCTCGCAAGGGCGCATCAACACTAACGAACACAGACGTCCTGGTCGTCCGGAACCCTTGTCTCCATCCTGGCGATTGCTTGAAACTTCGCGCCGTCGATAACCCTCGCCTGTCTCACCTCGTCGACTGTGTTGTGTTTGCCTCCAGAGGGAAGCGGGCAGCTCCTTCTATGAGCTCCGGCGGTGACCTTGGTACAGATATTAATTGGATGTATCATCGTCAGAGCTTACTCATGCTTTTGGTTGTAGATGGCGACAGATTCTTGGTAATGTGGGATCCAGATTTGGTTCCGAGGAAGGTTGCAGAGGTAGGTCTTCGGTCGCAACTAGCAATACTACCAGTTGACCGCCGAGCCAGTCGTACACCTATCCTGCTCCCAAGGAGCGTATCACAAACACGATCACAAGAGAAGACCTAGCTAGGCATTTTGCCTCATATAACACGTATGTTCCTCTCCACCGCTCTCACTACTTCGTTCATTCAACGTTGCTTCAGCATGACACTGGCCAGAATTACTGCACTTCATGCGAAGTGGGTTCGCTGCAGCCCCAAAGGCGCCATGAGCGATGAGTGTCAGGATCTCAACGCCCTGCATTCATTTGCAGTGGATGGCGCACCAGTCAAAATCCCCGACCGTCTTAAGACTCCGCCCGAGCCAAAGGAACCATACATCATCGACCTTCTCCAAGCGGCAGCGAGGCAATTCTTCGACGACTTCACGCAGCGGCATCCGGAAGCACTTGAGATGTCATCGCTGTCCCCTGATGATGCGAACGAAGTGCTCGCGAAGTTCCTGTCCACCGAGAAGGCAGCCATGTCTGAATATGAGGTAGTCACGATGGCTGCTGCGTTTGCACGGAGAAACGCTGTAGAGATGCGGCCTCACTTATCTCACATTGATTTCGGGGCACTTACGTCTGCAGAGAAGCATGCAATCAGCGTACAACTCAACCTCACACCGGATCGGGATCCGTACATCTGGAACAGGTTCGTCCATTTGGATCTTCAACTTCAGTTGTCGCTGATGTCCATATCCCCTGAGTCTTATCCGCTCAGAGATACTTAGACCGCGGGACATCGCGAACCGGAACCTTGGTGGTCCTCTGCGCTTGCAGAGGCTGTATGTGTCAACGGAGCAAGGCCGGGCAGCGTTCTTCGAGTACCTCCGGGAAGCCACACAACAGTACAAACGCCGCCTTCTCATACTGAAGGTAATGTCATCTTCCGCCAGTCGGGCGTCGTACTGAGCGGAATAATGCCAGACCGACGACAGGTTCTCCATGGGAATTTTTCTGCGTGGCGAGATTCCATGGGACGAAGAGGTGAGCTTCTATGCTAAACGCGATCTCCAGCCGATCCATGACAGCATGCCCGTGCAGCCGGAGATCAACGACAATGTACTTGTCTGTCCATTCATGCCCGTGACATCGGAGATGACCTCAACCTACTGGCGCGGAACTAAAGGCTACAAACTGCATTGCAGCGAAAGCATGCTCCAACTCTATGACAATAACAGAGCCAATACCTTCATATTCGTCACTCGACCTCCAGAGAAGTCCGGCTCGGACATCGTAACGAGCGTGGCACTGCAGAAGATCTCAGGCCGCGTCCAAAAGGTATGTAGATCGCCACGACCCGACTCCCTCCGCAGTATCTGAGTACTACGTGCCATAGCAATATGGACGAATGTATAGGACACCAGTAGTCACCATCGAAATCCACGTCGTGTCCAACCGCGATCGAGTAGCACACCAAGCCTTCGATCTTCACTTTGAACAGTGAGTTTGCAGGCATACGAGTCTTCGAGCGAACTGACCACTCGCAGAGTGCCTACGGAGGAATTTCTGAAGAGATTCGATAACATTCCCACTGCGTTCACCCCGAACACAATCCACGACATCCAGTGGGAAGATGACACATTGGGTGCAACCATATTCTCTGCGACGAAAGAACATGCATCGACGCTCTTGGCGGGACTGGAGGTCGACCTGCTCTGCAAGTACCTCCGTATCGCGATCGAGCACCGAGTAGAAGCCCAGATCTTCTACGTATTTGAGGCATTGCTCGACAAGGAGGAGCTCCCATTCGCGGAGATAGGCGAATGCATGGAGCAATACCCGTCCCTCGCTTATTGCATCTTGAAGCGTCATCTCTCAAACGGGCCTGCATTGCTTCCGGAAGCCATTGCGGAACTCGGACCCTCGTTGATTCGTGGTATCGTGCGCTCTGCGAATCAGCTTGGTATTGCTTCATTGGCAGCACTGGAACGACTAGCACCCGACATCGGGCTCCTCGACCTCGCCACATACCTTGATACGCTCTGGTGGATCGCCTTGAGTGTCCGCGCTCCTACGGTTATGCAGGAGCTCCTATTGATTATGCACGAGAGTCGGACCTCCGTACGGTCTCGGAGCCCGGACATGGAGTATGCCCACAAGTTCGCCCTTGGCGTCGCTTTTGACAGGGCAGAAGAAGCTGCTGACGCATGCCCGTGCGACGATACAGGAAGGCCGAAGCGACAGCGTACCGCTCCCATACGCGCGACACTGGTTCCCCCCAAACCTCCTCAGAGTCAGAATGAAGACGACACTGTCGTGGTTGTCGACAATGCACTAGACTTGAAGCACGTCGTCGCCCATGTGCGCGTCGACGCACAAACTCCCATCCGCATCCACTCGCACGTCCGCCTCAGGTTAGCGTCGCCAGTGGAGGGGCCGCGAGTCGAGGCCGGCGGTGTTATGCTTGACGCGACTGTCACGCGCGCTACGAGAGGAGAGCTCTATCTGGAGCTCAAGCACCCCCTGCCGCCGGAGTATGCACGAGTGGATTGGTACATCTACAACGCGGGGAGCATCGCCACGTCCAAGGCCATGATGGACGCAGTCTCCAAGCTCGCACTCGATGGAGGCCAAGCATGCATGTTCGCCGACATCATTACTGGTTCAGCAAGAGAAATACAGTCCGAAGATGAGGATGAAGGACGCGAGGCGACTGTCGTGCAGAATATCTCTGCGTCCTTGAATGCGAGTCAACGTGCGGCGCTCCTCGCTGCGGGCCCAGACAAACTTGCGTTGATTTGGGGCCCTCCTGGTAAGTAATGCTTCAGTGATGGGCACAATGCGTGATTGACGGACGTGGTACAGGAACCGGGAAGACCACAGTCGTCGTTCAAATATTGGCTAGATTCATTCGCGAGGACCCTGAGGCCAAGATACTGATGACAGCTTCCACCCACAACGGTATGCGTTTGATTCACGAACGAGCGTTCTGGCTCATCTACTTGTAGCTGTTGATAATGTCCTGGAACGTTTCATCGCCGACAACGAGGTCTCTCGGCTTCTTCCACAAGAGCGAATTCTACGTGTTGCGACCGAGAGCTCGAAGGTCAACAAGTCATTGCAGAAGTACACCCTGGACGCCCGCATCGGTGGGAGCATCAACGACGATCACAATCTCGTTAAGAAAGCAGAGAAACGCGTGCGGGAGGCACGCATCGTCTTCACGACCTGCAGCGGCGCGGGTTTAGGAGTCTTGCGAAGCATTGACTTCGACACGGTGCTCATCGATGAAGCGAGCCAGATTTCGGAACCAGTCGCGCTTATTCCGCTCGTAAAGGGATGTAGAAGGGCGGTGCTCGTAGGCGACCAGTACGTTTGCTAGATTCACAGTGCTTGTTATGATGCTCATGAAATTGTATCAGCGTACAGCTGCGACCAACTGTGCGGCCAATGGGCAAGGCACTGGAGTTCGACAAGTCCCTCTTCGAAAGGCTGTACACCGGTCCGCTCTACTCCCGCATGACTCGCACCATGCTAGACGTATGCTTCTACTTCCAAATCTCAACACGTCATAGAAGCTAACTCGATTTTCACAAAACCAGGTTCAATACCGGTTCTCGGAAGACATGGCGCGTTTCCCGTCAAATGAATTCTACGAGGGACGCCTTCAGACAGGCACGCAGCGCACAGACGAGATCTCGAGCAGACTCGGTGCCTCGACCTTCCCATGGCCACAACACGACCGTGACGGGCGGCTCTTCCCCGTCGTCTTCGTCCCCTGTGCATCCGAGGAGGACTTCGGGCGCGCCTCAAAGGGAAACACGGGTCAGGCGCAGCTCGTCAAGCACATCCTCGCTCTCCTTCGTGCGCCGCGCGACGATAGCGAGCGGTCCGCGGCGCTCGTCCGAGACGTCTCTATCGCTGTGCTGACGCCATATTCGCGCCAGGCGACGCTGCTGAAGCAGGAACTGCCCCAGAGCGTGGGGGCGGTCGTGAGCACCATTGATGGCTTCCAAGGACGCGAGGCCGACGTGTGCGTTCTGTCGACTGTGCGCGCGAATATGGAAGGCGATATCGGGTTCGTGGAGGACGCACGGAGGCTGAATGTCGCGTGGACGAGGCCGAAGTTGGGTCTGATCGTGATCGGGAGCCGCACGACGTTGGAGGCTAACAGTGCGCTGTGGAAGAGGGCGTTGACGGCGTGCAAGGAGGTGGTTATAGCACTACCAGAGGTCGAATGAGAAAAGTGCAAAGATCATGTATTGAATGCTCCGAGAGAATATTAGGCTGGGAAGTCATGGCTCCGTGATATGTGGTCGACTCAAATCTGTCAATGCTACGTCAGCGAGAAACTCGTTCATTCTGAGTGCCAGTCAGACATAGATGGCGGGCTGACTCACTCACTGCGTGTTGCACGCCGGCTCAAAGTCATCTGTTGCAGACTGTTCCTTCAGCGCGTGGAAGATTGAGCGGATAGTGACTACATATACTGTATTGGACCTTGACGGAGACCTCGCATTGGATCCATACATCTAGCTCCAGCAGACCGTGCGGAGGCTTGAATCCAGTGATATCCGTGAATACTTACAAGATCTGGGCAGTTCCGTGCGACGTGGTCGAGCGAATTGTAACGAGGGACGGTCGATCTCCGGAGGGATTCCTAGAAGAGCCAACTTGGGCACGGTACGTGTAGAGCTAATAGCGGTAAGGGAAGTAGTAGAATAGACATCGGCACAACAAGAGCGAGCACTAAAATCATTCGTGCTGATACAAATCGCTCCAACTACTAACTAACGGTATCCCCAACGGCTGGTATGCCTACGACAGAGAGCCGTGTCACGCCTGAGACAATAACCTAGGTACTCTTCTTCGCGGCTTTCAATCTCCGAGTCACCATAAATTTGACGTCCGGAAACAACGCATAGATGAAGCTCTTGATTTCCTTCGGCGGTAGCCTGGTCGCCCAGCCGTCGGAATGCACCCTCCGGAGGCCGTGCCCCGCTACAGCAACTGCATCGCTGGCCGGAATTTCGCCGTCATGGCAGAGGGGCGACAACGCAAGCTCAGTGAGGTCAGGGCAATTCTGCGCGACGTACATGAGCGCGTGCAGTGAAGGCCGGATGGACGACGGGTGGTGCGACAGTTTGAGCACCTGGAGTTTCGGCCAGCTCCGTGTGATCTCGCGGACGTCGTCGTCCGACGTGTCCAGGACACACAAGCCGAACTCGAACTCGACCTTGCGCATATTCGCGAGGGAGAGCAGGGGCCGGAGGACGTCGGCGACGGAGCAGTTCATGGGCTGGGGAGATGATGGATCCGACTTCGAACTGGAGCCGGTGTTCAGCACGTACAGTTCGCGCAACTGTGGGAGTGACCCGGCCACTGTAAGTGGCAAGGTTTGCCACAGTGCGTCAGGGATATGCGTCCCGGGAGTGTACAAGCTGAGCGATTGGAGTCGGGGAACACAGCGGATGTAAGGAAGGACACTGAGGGGCCCCCATAGTCACTAACCACTCTACACGATGTCCAGGCTCTTCAAATCATTGAACGTCGGCCGCTCCTCCGACGTTGTCAGCTCCTCGTTCATCAGTACAGACACGGAAGTGAGATAAGGGACACCAGCCAATTTGTTGACCAGTTGCATGCTGAGTGATCCAAATTTCATGACATCCAACGAACGTTGGACTGGCGATGGTGAGTCGTGCCATGAGATCTCAGGAAAGACGTCTGTAGAGTACCAGAACCCCGCTAGACAGAGGCGCCCCAAGCGAGGGCACACAATGAAGACACAATTCAGAAACATCTGCTGGGCATGGATGGACCGATCGAAAGACTCGGATCGTCGTGCATAGGGGTCGTCGCGCATGTAGATGGTGAGCCGGCGAAGAGACGGCGTGAGCAGGAAGAACAGCGATGTGCCGACGGGTTGGTCCTGCGACCACTCGAGCTCCTAAGGTTCGGAAGCAGAGGCTGCCCAGAGTTCTGAATGGAGAGTTGTTGACAGAGCATAGTGTTTACAGGGTTCTGGGACTTATCGCTGCGTTCTCGGGTCGGGAAGCGACAGCACCGGACGAAACGTGCATGGTATTGGAAGCGCGTCCATTCTTCTGCTCGCATGCTGCGGACTAAGACCTGGACATCCAGTTCATGACGTAGTAGTTCAGTTGAAGAGACGGTACTTACCCAGACAGGGGCCCCCTCCGCGGAGGGGCGCACGAGCTCGACCAACACCTCGATGCTCGGTATGTCTCTCCACAGTACACGCAGTGCGGGCTCGCGAAAGCCTTCGCAGACACGTGCGGAGCAGGCGAGGGCGGCGGCACGGCTCTCCGGATGTCCACGTTCCCGCTCCTCCCAGAACTCGGTGTCAGGCTGCAGCTGTTCAGAGACGTGCAGGAGGATCTCCGGGATAGACAGGGCGTGTCTGGCAGGCATCGTCAGGGAGGAAATGCGGGGACAGACGACCTCGGTTCCGCCTGTTTATATGCGACCAACGGCGGAGTTCCGCCGTACTTACGTCAACCACATCTGGCGGCGATGACAACTGAGTACTGAGCGCTGAGCGGCCAAGCCCTGGGATCTACAGCGTACGGACGCCAGTCTACTGAATACGTGAGCCGTGAGTATACGTTCAGATGACTCCAGTCAATATGAAGTGAACTGACTTTCCGAAGGCCTGATCAACAAGCTACCTTGCAAGATTTCTGCGCGAGCAGAATTCGGGCGTGAAAATTTCCGGGTTTGTTTGTTCCCCTTCCAAAAACGTCTACAGTGGTCCTCGGCTCTCAGAGTTTCGCGGCCACTTTGGCGGAAGTTTCGCAGCCGCACCGACCAGCCGTTGGTTTGCGGAAGACTCCGCTCCTCGCCGCATAAGCAGGAACACTGAGATTGTAAGCTTGAAATCTCTCGAGACTTCAAGACTCTCTAAAAGCCGTCGAGATTACATACTTTCAACACTTGGGTACTGTATGAGAGTGTATGAGCCCGAGTGGTAGTTCGCGGAACCATTCTCAATGCGTACCTGACAGCTGGGCGCCTGCCCGATCCAGAGCGAGTCTGAGATCTGAGATCTCGATTCGCAGTCTCCGCGACGTCGACGCCAACCATCCTGGAGGCTTCATTGACTCATTGATTCTCGAGTTGGCCGGTGCTCGCCTCGGCCGCTGCGCACTGTGAGACCACTCGGCGATGCTGTAAGCCTGTGCGCGCTCGTCTGCAATTGAAAGTGAGTGCGCTTCCTCATCCAGCAGTGGCTCTGACGATTAGGGCGTGGGCGGTGAATCGCAGTTCTGTCAACGTCAACGCCGCGCATTAGTAGGCCCACTTATGATGCACGTGCAGCAAGCATGGACGACGTTCTGCGCAGTGCGCTTGCCAGGAACCAGGCATCGGAGGGCGGGAAGAGACGGGTCACCGTGGAACCCGCGCTTTCCGCGCGCCCGTTCTGGAAGTATGGACGCACAGTCACCTTCGAGGCCGAGGCACACACATTCCCGAACAGCGCACCGCGAGTGAGAGACTTACGTTGCACGCTGCGTTGTAAGTCGCGTCGATGCCCTATCGGTCCCGCAGCTGCCTCACCTCGAGCCTCGGCCGACGGAGCGTGCAGGCGTTGTCATCTCTTACAGAGGCACAGTGCGCCGACGAGGAGGACGTGGGAAGCGAGGGGCGGTTGCGCGTAAGCGTGCAGAGGCTGCTGAGAGGCAGGGTGTCAGAGACAGAGTCAGCAACGCACGGGCAACCTACTCGCGGCCGCCGGCGCCTGCGAACCCTGCGCGCCCCAGCCAATCCCGGGTGCGCGTGCGATCATCCGCCGCTCTGCCCTCGTCCTGCACGCTCCCCGTTCGTCTCCTCCCTCGCCGCGGGCGTGCGTGCGCTGGCAGAGCGTGTGCGCGGCGAGGGCAGAACGATCCTCCCGTGTGAACCCACCCAGCAGCACCGGCGGCTGCTTACGGGTTATCACCCCGCGCTGGACCCATTCTCTGTCAAACCCAAAGTCACCCCAGCCACCCACCGCTCGCCCTGCAAACGGAGATGTGGTCCGCCGCCGTTGACGCCATCGCAGGCGCGTACCGGTACATAAGCTCGCGCCTCGCCACCTGCGCAGCACGCCCGACCCGCCATCCCCGCAACATGTCCACTGCTGCCCACCAGAACGGCGACCTCGCCCCGTACGACCACGCCGCCGAGGGCCGCTTCACCGTCGCGCCCAACCCCGGATGGACGTTCGGCCAGCCCGTCACCGCGACCCCCAAGGGCAAGGCCTGGATGGAGGGCGCGAAGGAGGGCTTCAAGGTCTTCGAGACTGACAAGGAAGATCCCGGGTACGTGCACCCCTCCGAACGCGATGGCCCATGGCTCACCGTCCGGCCGCACAGCTTCATGTACAAGCTGATGATCAGCGGTGTCGTCCCGCGCCCCGTCGCGTTCGTGTCCAGCGTATCCGCAGACGGCGTCGAGAACCTGGCACCGTTCAGGTACGCGATCGCTCGAAACACACCCTGCAGACTCACCGACCGGGCGGATCCGCAGCTGGTTCAACATGGTCACCGGCGACCCGCCCCTCGTGGCCGTCGGCGTCCTCCACCACCCCGACGAGTCCCGCAAGCTGAAGGACACCGCCGCGAACATCCTCGCGACCAAGGGCTTCGTCGTCAACCTCATCAGCGAGCCCTTCGTGCACAACGCGAACGCCTGCAGCTTCGACGCGCCCCCCGACGTCAGCGAGTGGGACCTCAGCGGCCTCACCCGCGCCCCATCCGTGAGTCGCCCCGCCCCCGCCCCCGCGCACCCCGCGGCCTAACCCCATCCCATGCACCCAGCTCCACGTCCCCGCCCCGCGCGTGCTCGAGTCCGCCTTCGCCCTCGAGTGCACGCTCTACTCCACCCAGGACATCACGAACCCGCAGACGAACACCGTCACGACCACGCTCATGCTCGGGCTCGTCAAGGCCGTCCACCTCCGCCGCGACATGCTCACCTCCCGCGGCCTCGCCGACGCCGCCAAGCTCCAGATGGTCGGCAAGATGGGCGACATCACCTACGCCCGCCAGACCCAGCTCTACCGCATACCCCGCCCCGACTGGTCCGTCGAGACCGTCCGCGAGGCCGCCCTCCACCCCCAGCTCAACGTGAAGACGGAGCACGGGGCGGGCGAGGCGACGAAGGCGTGAGCGACCGGCGTGTGCGAGCTTCATAGACGCGGTGTAGGAGGACTTGGTGATACCCCACACGACCCTTGTGTATGCGCTGCTAGACCGAGTGTAGAATTCCAATACTGTATTCCGATTTGATGTGCTCACTGGGTCCAGTTGTAGTAGGCGGAAGATGCGTATACGCGTGCGGCCACCCAGATGAGGGAGGGAGGGAGGGCGTGCAGTTCGACTGGGACACTTGGCTGCGCCGACATGTCTTGGTGATTGATCATTGAGGGATCCTCGGCGTCGGGTTCTCCGCGCGTAGCTCCCTCGCCGCTCGTCCACGTCGAGTCGAGGTCTCGTGCTGCCCAGATGCTGGGGGACACGTCTGAGTGGCAGGCCCGCCTTACAAGAGAGTGCGGCGAGAAGGAGAGCGCGTCCGGAAACATACCATATTTTCAGAAACGATGCGCGACCAAAGCCAGATGAACTCAAGCCGAATGAGGCAAGCATGTAGCCATAGAAGGAAAGTTGGTCTCCGTTGTCGACCATCTCGGAACGACAAGCGCTTTATGTAAGGAAAGTATGCCCAGTCAGAGTCGCCCGATGTGGATTCGCCGCCGCTGTCGCTTATAAGCAGGCGGAACCTCCTCCTCCGTCGCTCTCCCAGTTCGTCTCTTGCCATGTTTGCCAGACACGCCCTGTCTATCCCGGAGATCCTCCTGCACGTCTTTGGACATCTGCAGCCCGACACCGAGAACTGGGAGAAGCGGGAACGTGGCAATCCCGAGAGCCGTGCCGCCGCCCTCGCTCGCTCCGCACGTGTCTGCAAAGACTTTCGCGAGCCTGCACTGCGTGTGCTGTGGAGAGACATACCGAGCATTGATGTGTTGGTCAAGCTCTTGTCGCCCTCCGCGAAGGAAGTCCCTGTCTGGGTACGTGATGTCTATTCAATGGAACGGTCACATCATGAAATGGATGTCCAGGTCCTAGTCCGCAGCATACGCGCAGAAGAGTGGACGCGCTTCCAATACCATGCCCGCTTCGTCCGGTGCTGTCGCATGCCAGCGCATGAGTTCAGCGGCGTCTACAGGCACCCTGTGGGCACCACTGTCCATCACCATCTCTCCATCGAGAACACCGGAAAGCCTCTGCTTCCCAACCTTGAGGAGCTCGAGTGGTCCCAGGACCAGCCCCTCGTCACGTCGCTGTTCTTCCTGCTCACGCCTTCCCTCCGCCGACTCACTATCTACATGCGCGAAGACCCCTATGCCCGACGATACGAGCAGTCTTTCGATCAGGCCATCCACGCGGAACAGATGCTTCTCAATCGTGTATTCACACTGTCTCCTCGCTTGGGGTACCTCTGTCTACAAGGGACCTGGAATCGCACAGACGTCTTTCCTGAGATCCCACGGATCGACTCTCCATCGCCAGCCTACCGTTCGCTGGACTTTTCGCATTTTGGATCGCTCGGCATGATGGTCAACAAGTTGGCTGATGTCCCTTATCTCACTTTCTTGTCTGTAACGGCCGTGAAGTTGCCACCGCTGGAAGAGCGACCGACGTTCAAACATTTGAGACAATTGGTCGTGAAGGAAGAGAGTCCGGGCAGCTCAGCGACCTTCCTTGCGTCCGCTGCTTTCCCCAAACTCAGATCACTCCGCTTGCACATGCCCGACGCGCGTATCCCCGACGCGCTGTGGCAAGCCACCGCCATCGCACTTCCGCACCTACGTAAACTGTACGTGCGGAGAGCCCGCTCCCGACACTCTCCCCAGCCCATGGACTGCTCCGTCGCCGACGCCCTCCGCCCCCTGCTCGCCCTCGTGGATCTGCGCAGGGTCGAGATCGACTTCGGCGCGTGGGCCCTGGACGCGTCGGACGACGACGTCCGCGAGATCACACGGAGCTGGCCGAAGCTCCAGGTGCTCAAGCTGTCGCACCACGCGTCGTCCGTGCGGCTCTCGCTGCATGCGCTCGCGTGCGTCGAACGCAATTGCCCCGACCTCACCGCGCCAGCCCTCTCCGGCATATTCATACATAATATACTGGTACGTGGCGTGCACACGCAATACATAGATCGCGCTAAGTGATCGCTGCGGTAATTATACGTCCGCGTTGTATGAGCCCAATGTATTCCATAATACAATGCGCGTCGAACCAGAATGTATCACCAAAATACATTACATCCCGCCGCGCCCGCGCCCACCGATGCCACCCGGACATGCGTCACTGCCAGGTCGACGCCCTCGTTGGGATCCCGCCCCGCACTGCTCGCCCACGTGGTCCGTCAATGCGAGCCTATTCTGGACAGGCCGCCAGTGCCAGTGCCCACGCTGGGCTACACCGCCTTGATACATCCTGCCGCGCCCGCGCCCACCTGCCACCCGGACATGCGTCGCTGCCAGGTCGACGCCCTCGTTGGGATCCCACCCCGCACTGCTTGCCCACGTGGCCCGTCAATACGAGCCTATTCTGGACAGGCCGCCAGTGCCCACGCTGGGCTCCCGCCCCGCCGCTCTCGCTCGCCGCCTACGTGAGCGTCCTGCCCCATGGTCGTCCTGCCTCGCGCTACTCAGGTACGTGGCCCTGCGTATGTATGTGTTCACACTCACGTCCTCGTCCGCCACCGTCGCCGGCCTGCACGCTCGTCAAAATCCCGCCCTGCTCGTGCACGTGGCGCCTTCGTGCCAGACAAAACCCGCTCCGCGCCAGGCCCTCACCCGCTGCCCTTACTAGCTTCACACCCTGCGCTGCCCGTGGACGTGGCTCCTCGACGCGTAAATGATACTCATGCCGCGGCCGCGCCCAGACCCACCTGCCGGTGCTCCCTGTGTGGTCTGGTACCCGCCGCCTGTCGGGGTCATGTCCTCGGCGCATGCCTAGTTTAGGGCATGCGCTTGCCTGCTCCCGCCTGCACACTCCTTAGGATCCCGCCTCGTTCCGCCCCTCGCTACTATTGGTGCGTGCGAATCCTCAACACCGTGCATACTAATGACTCTCCCGCACGCGCGGCGCCCCTCTTGTCGGGATCCCGCCCTCGTGTCACTCAACAATGGGATTGTGTGATGTACGTTACTCCTTCTATCCGGGCCACGTTACTAACCGACCTTCTCGTCTGAGGTTTTGACACGATACGCGAAGCCTTCACACGTTAAGTATATGATGAACACGAAACAGATATGGCAGACTTCAATACTTTGTCATCGCAGGGATCGTCTTGTGCGAGCCTCGAAGCTTGAGCTTCACTGTCGATCATGTTACATCGTATACCATGGTAATAGTCGCAATATATCTCGGGTTCGGTCGTAGGCGTCGTGCGGTGTATTCAGGTGTATTAGCGCAAGCGATGCATCACTGGTATAGACTTGGGTAATATCTCACCGTCACAGTATATTGCGGGTTCGGCCATGGGCGTCGTGCGATGTATCATCGCGAATGATGTATCATTGCCAGCGTGAACTTAGGCACTCTCACCATCGCAGTATATCGCGGGTTCGGTCGTGCGCGTCGTGCAATGTATTACCACGAATGATGTATCACTACCAGCGTAGACTTGGGCAATCTCTCACCGTCGCAGTATATCGCGGGTTCGGTCATGCGCGTCGCGCAATGTATGATCGCGAACGGGGGAGTGACTATTATGACAGGTATAAAGCAGCCCTTGCGCACTTGTCGGCTTCGTTGAATCTCACTGCTGGACCTACCGCGTCTGCTACACCAGCCACGACTTCCACTCCTCTGCACCACCCCTTGCCCCCTGAACCTACGAATCCAAGACTACAGGCTAAAGCAGCCCAGGCATTAGCTGGCTTGAATCCTGATGAGTCGTCGTGAATAGACATGCCATTGGTATGCATGTGGTCAACATGACTGAGATGCTGAAGGCTGAGCTCGCCACCCTACAGGCATTGAACCGAAGTCGACGAAATCCCCTCTTGCTGTCATGAAACCTGACTCTATGACAGAAATTGACTTCATTGCACAGAGAGTAATACACAGGTTCGACGGTATTGACACGGGAGGTCGAGCAGATCGTACAGTAAATTTGCTCGTCAAGATGTGGAACATTACGTATTCTGGAACGTTGAGAGACAGCGCGACGGATAGCTACACATTCGCCAAGATATACCTACGCCTTAGTACGTACCTTCTTCTTACGAGGTGCAGCCGTGCTTGCACCTGTATCGCCCACGGCCTTCCTTTTCTTCGGCCCCGCTGCATTGCCCTTCGTCGGCAGGTTCTCCTTGCTAACTGCCACATTATCCTTCTTGTGCACAGGGACAGGACCATCACCGTCACGGAAACGATCAGGGAGGCGGTGGGCACGTTGAGGACGCGCGCCAGGAGCGCCGGTCCCATCGTCGACGATAGCGGTGTCGACGGACGCAGGCGGCACAACGGGGGCATGGCTTTCACATATTTCTGGGGTTGCTGAGGTAGCCGAATGAGACGAGGCGCCGTTGACGGTAGATAGCGTAGTGTTCTGCAGTACCTGCTTCTCCAAGTCGCCAACAGACGACGCAGGGATGACGGCGGTGACAGAGGCCGGCGGCACAGAGACGGCGGCAGGAGCGGGCGCAGGCGAGACAGCTGAGGCAGAAGGATTGAAGGACGCCGATGGCAGCGACGGTGTGGTGCACGCAGAGATAGGGAAGGAAGCAGGTGGCATGCGCGGGACGTTATTAAACCAGAGCGACTGCTGCTGGGCATGGAGGAGCATCGCGGCGGGGTCCAGCACGTTGCCCGGATGGTATGATGCAGGGATCATGGAAGGATTGTACAGGTTCCCAGCGAACGAGAGTGGGTTGAATCCACCTTGCATCGCTCCAGCCCTGCCTAGATTAGGCATGAGACCCATCCCGGCATAGTCGTACGTCGCGTCAGGCTGGACAGCGTCCGCAAGGGCCGCGGAAAAGGACTGAGGCCCACCGGGCGCAGCAAACGAGGCGGTATCAAAGTCGACGGGCAACGCCTCCATCGGGGGTCCAAAAGACGGTCCCATCTGGTTTGAGAAGTTAGGCGTACCGTGTAACGACGCATAATAATTGCTGTCGAACTGAGGCGGGAGTGGTGCGTCCAACGGGCCAGCAGCCGCATCCGACGGCCAAGAGAACGTCGGGGCGGACATGAAGTCGCCGGTAGCCGAAGGGCCAACCTCAAACGTAGAGGCAGTGTCGATGGGCGAAGGAGGCGTGGGCATAGACATGGGTAACGTTGGCGTCAGTGTCGACACTGGCGCAGCAGGCGAGGTGGTCGCTGTGCTCGTCGCGGATACGTCCACGGCTTCTGCCGTTCCGAGGTCTGTGGCGGGAGCGAATGAGGCTAGGTCTCCACTACGAGCTGGCAGAACGTGAAAGTAGTGAGTGTTAGAGCGTGCACGGTTGACTGACAGTGAACCGTGTTACGTACCAGACGCCTGCTGTCCGTCGCTGCCCTCGTCTTCGACGCGTGAAACCACTTCCCTATCGTCTTCAGTATTGCCCTCATCTTCGGCGTCCTCGTCCTCGTCTTCATCCCCGTCCTCGTCTTCATCCCCAGCCTCCTCTCCATCGTCGTCCTCGCTTTTGTCCTCGCCTTCAACCTCCTCTTCCTCAGCATCCTGCTCCACTTCTCCCTCGTCTTTCTCGGCGTGGTCGTCCTGGTCTTCCTTCAAGCTTGCATAGACCTCCGGAGCTGAGCAAAATGAGTACGGCACGGCCAGAGTGGAATTTGATGACGTACGCATAGCCAGCTTCACCCACTCCAGAAATGCCTTAGCCACAACGTTTACGGCCTCTGGATGCGCCCTGCTGAACGGGACGTTCCCCGCGGCCATTCCGGAGTTGTGCCTGGCAGGAATGCTGTTAGTGCACCTCCTCAGCTCCTCTTGTAGACCATACGTACGTGTAGAGCTCGACCTTGTTGCCTCCATCCGGGTTGATGCCGGCCGCGAGCGTGAAGTAGAACCAGCTGTCGCACGTCTTGCTGCGCAGGCTGTCGAAGAATTGCGTGAAGATGGCTCCCGTGTCGTCTACGACGCTATCGTGGCAGAATCGTGAGTCAGCATTGATTTGTCAGCAGCTTTTGGTCACTTACGCCTGCACGCGATGGACGTCAAATTTGTTGTCCTTGGGATCGGGCGATCCCAATGCGTTCCTGGCAGCCTTCAGTGCTGCCGCCTCCTCCTTGATCTTCTCCTGCACTTCAACGGGTTCCTGCGCGAAGAGCGTCTTCGCGGTCTCGACCGCATACTTCAAGCGTTCGTTCGCCTGGATCTCGCCGGAGTCGATGCGTGGCTGCACGAGGGGTTTGATCTTCTCGTCGTAGTACTTCTGGCTGTAGAGTTCGTGCGGGGCAAGAGAACGCTTCTTCGATGGCTTGAAAATGTTGAGGTCGACCTTTGGTTTGGCCCTGGCTCTGCGCGCCTTCTGTCCCGACCGATTCTGATACCAACTCTTCAGCTGCTGTCAACGCCGGGCCGCATCATAGTCAGCAAAGCCAATCACATGGAATCCCAGTGAGTGGTACGTACCTTCTTCCGATCTGTGATCGCTTTCCCTAACGCCTTGTTTTGCTCCTCAGATAGGGGTTGGTCGATGGACACATCAGGGAACCGTGCCTGCCGTTCGGGGAATTCGGCGAACCAAGCAGTAAAGAGCTTGGGCCAGAAGTAAGTGAGCTTGTGTTCGCGCTGGCGGTCCTGATGCTCGGAGATGAACGAGCTCAACAGAGCCGCCTGACGATCAGTGGCCCACAACCGAGGAGCCATGGGGGACGGATGTATGACGAAGGTGGGTACTCCAGACGGTCATACATTGCGCAGGCTCACGATATATCAGCTGGGCTGGAGAGCGAGTGCTCGCGTCGAGCGCCGAATGCTGATCATTACGGCCGCGCGAGGATCGCCGGCTGACAACTACTGCCCAAGTACGCTGGTTTCCCGATCCAGTCGCGGTTTTTGAATCCACTACACAGTCTTGACAGCTATCAAACGACACGCCACTGCGACATACGCTCAAATGGCAATGAGGACTGACTCCAGTGCGTGTCTCACTTCGCTGCCAGGCGGAAGAGACACACAGAAGGTGAGCCGTCACATGGGCTTGACAGCTTCGGACAGGAATGTAGCTACAGTCCAACCTTTTGGGCCATCGCACACGTCGTTGCAATGCGGGAACGGACAGAAGGAATGCTTGACTGCCAGGAACTCTCGGAGGCAATGCTCACTCAAGTACTCATATGGCAGGGGAACCGACAGGCGGTTGGTTCCCCGAGAAACGTGAGCCTTCTTTCCCCGTCGTGGTATCATGCCGTTGCCGCCTCTGACATGTTTAATTGCAGGCCTTTTCTGCTGTCACTCGTCCCATATGGATGGGCTTCGAGAAGCTCGCGAGAACAGGGAATCAATCCCGGTTTGTCTATATGCAGGCTTACCGGGAAGCACGAGGTGCGTACACGGTGCATACACAGACATAAGTGCCGGTGGAGCGTCCACAATGGGTTGACGCAGGGCAGCACGGCAGGTTGTCATAAGAGCCGCCTTTCACGGCACCGCTCTCGATGTGTCCAAGCATGAAGACCCACCAGAACCCAGAGTGCTCCCCCCCCAACACTTTCTCCCTCGAGCAGCTGGCCGCGGCACTGCGGTTGGTGACGGAGCTGGGAGCCGGTATGCGCTCGATATGTCATTGGTACCCGTGCTAACGATCATAACTTCATCAGTTGATTCCACGACTGTCCCTCCTGTGCCCCCCGCGTCCCCTGCGCCCGCCGCCGTCCCTGCGCCTGCCGCCGTCCCTGCACCTCCCGCCGCCCCTGCGCCTGCCGCTGCTTCTGCGCCTGCCGCCGCTTCTGCGCCCGCCGCCGCCCCTGCGCGCACTGCGGGCCCTGTACCCGCCGTCGCCGCTGCACCTACGCGCACTGCGGTCCCTGTACCCGCCGTCGCCGCCGCGCCTCCTGCCCTCGCGCATCGCAGGGTTCTTGTCGTGGTCCCCGATGATGACGAGGACGACGAGGACTACGAATACGATGTTGATGAACGAGGTGTCGGCACGGAGCCCGGCCCCTGCGGCCAGCCTCTTGCTGCCACTCCGGTTGTTACTCGGTCGGGCTGTAGAGAAGTTGCACCTCGCCTGCCGTTCCCAATGGCAGCGCCCCGTGCGGTGGTAGTGGACCACTTCAACCCCACTCCTTGCCGTTACTATGCGGTCACGCGTGGTCTGGCGGTAGGCGTGTTCAACAACTGGTAGGTGCTTTCGATGACGCTGCAATGCCCCTCTAACATATCTTGGTCAGGCCCGCGGTCGCTCCGCTGGTCATAGGTACGCCGAACTCAGTCTACCAGCGCTATGCGACGTTCGCCCTCGCAATGGCCGCTTTCCAGAGCGCCGCCGCCAGTGGCACCGTCGCTATCATCGCGCCGTAAGCGTCAAGTTCGCGTCGAGCTTTGAAGGAGGGAGGATATAATGGTGCTTGGTCGTCTTTTTGTGCTTTGTAATCATGTTCTTGCGCTTGGTCTCCGATAGCGTGCTCGTTGCCGATCTTGTCTGTACTATGTGTAGTGTATGATGCCTTGTACCGCACCGTGGCTCGCCCCTAAATCGTAGTGTTGTCTAGCAATGAATTAGTAATCCTCCCTGTTATATCAGTTGGCTGCAACGTTAGGTCTACACAGTCTGGCTCCATTGGGAAGCCTAAGTACCATACATTGTACATGGTACTTACATGGCGAGAATCATGCGCTGTCACGCGAAGCACATGTGTGAAGTCAGGCATTCTGCGCTAGCGCTGTCACACTACGGTTACACTTTCCTACCATGGGACGGAGGGCGAAGTATCACACAGCCGACGAAAAGAATGCGGCTAAGCGGGAGCGGCAGAAGAGATATATCCAGTCAGATGGGTGAGCCAATGCTTCCATGGACTCGGAATGCTGAATATTGTGCTCAATATGGCACAAGCGGCCGACTACGCAAGGGAGTTCAGAATCGGCGGGCCTACGCAGTTCGTTCTGGACATATTACGAGTCCATTCGGCACCCTATCCAACATACCTTCCGACCTCCTGCGGCTTGCCCGTAAGCCGTGCCAGCTATCTGTGCAACGAGACCTCGATGTGACAGAGGATCTTGGCCTTTGGACGACACCGTACGTCGTCGAGATTCCAGAGCATTATGACGATGCGGAATGGGGGAAAATGGATGATATATTCCAAGGTGTACCAGACGAACTACAAGACAAGGTCGCCTTCGAGCGATCGCTCCACGGACATCAACTGGCGTGCCTCAAAGAGGCAGGTGTGGCGCGCTTGCAGTGGTGGTCGGACTGCGAGAACAAGGAGGCTCTTGTGGCATACTGGACCGACGAGCTACAAGGGAGGTTGCGTGGATGGGAGGAGATGAGGTCGAAGGGGACACTGAAAGGAGAGATCAGGCAATTGGTGACGGCCGTCGGGCGCGAATGGGCTGCTAAGATCATTTGTACTCTGACGGTAGAGCTCGAGTTGATGGCTACAAACCAGTACGACACCAGGTACAAGGACGGACTCTTGCCATGGCAGTGTATGAATGTAGAGACACAGACATAGGAATTGAACACACCTTACTAGGCGACAATTTGACGACGGAGGCCAGCATCCATAGTGATCGAGTCGAGTGTACATCGTAAGGTCGAGCGCACCCAAGAACGCGACAACTGCTTGGCCTGCCATATTCCACACTGTCATTAAGGTGTCGTCGAGGGTGCATAATACCACCTTCTTCACGTATTTGATAACGTTGGGTGAGGAGCGCAAGATGAGTCGCGCATTGTTCTTGAGCAGATATCCAGTAATGGTTCGACGTACTAGTACTATTGGACTCAGTCCGGCATGCAACCTTGAAGGCTACAGTACTCAGCACGTTATCCCGCCACACAGGGATTGCTGTCTTTGTGAGTCTCAATCTAAAAGGACTGTAATGCATGAGATCAAGCCGCTGCAGACATTGTGTAGCCTCCAAAAACAATCAAATATCGTCTGGACGGCCGACTGTGTTATTCAGTATGGTCGATATATGGCTCGCCATTGGCTCGCCCTTACTCCGGAGACGGCCCGCATCTAATCTACAATCACACAGCCACCGCGACGTCGTCAGGCTTGCCGGGTTCCTTTCGACGATCTTACTGTTTCGCCTCAATCCACCACGCTCTCGACGCATTAGGCCGCCTGCCTTCCTTCCTCATGCGACACATCTCTCCACTCGGATGCGGCCTTCTACCTCAATTAAAGGACTCCATCTTCGCCCAAGCGGCCGGTTCTCAGCTGCCGGTTCGACGCGTGGCGAATGAGGTTCGCGTTGCGGAGTGTCTCCCCAACGATGTGCGGAAGATATGTGGTTTCCTCTGCGTTTACGATCAAACAGTCTAACACTTGTATCAGAGCTACAGTGCCCTTTCCGTATCTGTGCCGTGGATGTACAACACATCTCTGGACCGTCGGGGTTCCCCCCAATACTCAACTTGGCTGCCGGAAAAGATCACATAGTGGACATCCGCGTGCGTCCATATATTATTCAATCTATCGGACCTCGGGGTTAGCATTGTGGCAGGTCGACATCTGTCAACTCAACGTCCAACGAGTTCGGCTCGAACATCATCGAAGAGTAAGCACGGTCTAGGGGAGACGAAATTGGGGAGTTCCTTGCTAACCTCATCTTGAGTAGCACGGTGGTGCTGTGACTTGATTGATGCCTGCGAAAGGTAATGACCTTTCTGATCAATCGCGTATTTGGAAGTGGATGAGATCCACTCCCTACCTGGGATATTGTGAGCCCATTCATCGTTTCCATCCGTTTCACCCTTTTTTTGACTTTCTACCCAGTTTTCGCCACCAGGCTCTACCACGCATATCGCGAGAGCGCAACCTATCGCCCTTCATCCTTACAGACAGTGAGTATGTCTAAGCAAAGCTGATGTGAATACACTTAACCATTTAACAGACTCATGGGGAAACGTCGGCGCGGGCGAGACGGCCTTGACGTGCTTGTTTTCGATGAAGACAACGGCGCACAGCCAGCTGCAAGACGTCGACCGCCACCTGCCCTCTCACTTCCTCGTCCAGATGAAGAGTTACACCGTCGGGTGGATTACTCCTCTTCGGCCGATCATCTGTCAGCAACCACGACATATATCTCAGTCACATCGTCTGCCGAAGGCAATGCCGCGGACGACCGACCTGCTCCTGATGTGTCCGCCCCTCCGGCGCCGGACCTCTATTCTGTGTTCGGTGACATGGACCTCAACGACGCGCCGGATGAGCCATTTGAGACAATGGAGATGGAGTTCTTCCACGACCTTGCAGATTACGTCGACGCACATAAGAAACGCAAACGAACGGCAGGCGTGAGTGTTACCTTAATGTCGTGGTGGTACGACATGTGAAACAATGACATTTACAGGACAATCCCCTTCGAGAATGGACACCTCACACCGACGACTGGCTCGCAGAACTGCTGCGGCTGGAAGGTCGATGCGGATACTCGGAGACCGACTGCGCAGGCTGTGGCTCCGAGCAATCGCCATTCCGCTGCCGGGATTGCTTTGACGTCCGCATGTGGTGCGAAACATGTGTGCTCGAACGACATCAAGACCTTCCCTTCCATCGACTAGAGGTGAGTGAGGGGCCTGGAGCCTCAATGCCCTACTAATGCGTTCCGCAGACATGGCAAGACAGCCTGTACTTCGTGAAGGTCGACCTAAAGAGTCTTGGCCTGCGGATCCAGCTCGGACATCCGTCAGGCGAGAGATGCACCAACCCCGAAAGGGCATTTGGGGACGACTTCGTAGTCCTCGATCTCTCGGGTATCCACCAAGTCGCACTCGACTTCTGCGGATGCACACAAGCCCTATCGCGCCCGACGCAGCTTCTGCGCGCAAGGCTCTTTCCGGCGACCCCGACAAATCCCAAAACCGCAGCCACGTTTACGCTCCTCCGGCACTTCCACCTTCTCTCCAATCAAGCAAACGTGTCCGGCTTCGAGTTCCACACCACGCTCGCGCGCCTGACCGACAATACAGGCCTAGATCCTCCACCAGTACGTCTCTATCTACTCCCAGACTAATCTTCGATCCATAAACACTTGCCGCATCAGGATCGCTACCCGTCCTTGATGCGAATGATGCGCATGTGGAGGAACCTACGGATGTTCAAGCGCGCCGGTCGTGGACACGATGCCGCCGGAGTCAAAGCCACAGCGCCTGGGGAGTGTGCCGTCATCTGTCCGGTATGTCCACATCCCGGCAAGAACCTTCCTGAGGACTGGAAGAGTGCGCCTCCAGAGCGGCAGTACGTATATCAACGTCTTCGTACCCCGTAATTAACGCACTGATGAACTTGCCTAAGGTGGCTCTACAGGCTCTTCATAGGAATTGATGCGAACTTCCGTCTCAAACGTCGTGCGGTCTCGTCTAATGATCGCGACCCGGGACTTAACCACGGCTACGCTTACTTCGTGGAGGAGACAGGCTACAAGGACCATCTCCGGAAATACAGTGACCTCGTACAGGAGACAACCAGCACCTGCAGCAACCACGACGCCGTGAGACTCGTGAACTCAAAGGGCCGTGAGACGACAGACGCCACCGGTATTGTCACCATTGAATGTACGCGCCACGATATGAAGAGACCCTGTGCTGTCGGCGACCTCCAGAAGGGGGAAAGGTCAGTGAATGCTTGTCCCATGACCGTACATTCGTCCATTGAACTTCGTACAGATATGTCAACACTGATTACATCTTTCAGTCAAGCCTTAAAGGGAGCGATCATGTCGTTCTTGTCGTCTCGTATGATATCGCTTGCCAATGGTCCGTGCACTTCTGGGAGCGCATGAATAAGTATGACCCGCAGTGGGATGCGGCTGGTCGCCGATTCATTTTTCTCATACCTAAATTCCATCTCCCTGCTCATCAAGCCAGCTGTCGTGAGGACTACTCGTTCAATTACACTAAGTATGTAGGTCGCACCGATGGTGAAGCCGTGGAACGCGGATGGTCCGCCGTGAACGGCTTCTCGGGAAGCACCAGGGATATGGGTCCAGGGGCTCGCCGAGACATGTTGGATGACGTATTCGCCGATTACAACTGGCGGAAGATCACTCGGCTACGTGGGTTTGTTCTACACACTGCTATGAACGCATCTGACCCACCTTGGCAGCCAATTCCATTCTCACAAAGGTGAAGAACATCGTCGAACTTCGCAGTAATCAAGTGCTTGCGTTTCAGGCGTACGACGAGAAGGTCGACCCCGCACTGAAGGCGGCGTGGACCACGCAAGTGGAGGCCTGGGAGGCGTCTGATGGCGCGAGCCCGAATCCATTTGCCGTAACGCGTCGGCGTAAGTTTGTTCTACGAACTGTGCATGTCATTAACCCTGACACGACGACCTTGTAGCCATAACCATGGCGGCTGTTCGCTTGAAGCTGGCAGAGCTAGAAGCTGATGAGCTCAAGGCACGAACACAACGTAGAGACCAGAATGCGGCACCACACGCGACGCTCGACGACCTCATCTCTCCGTATGCGTTGATATCGCAAGGCCTGGAACACGAGGAGGAGCAGTAAGTCCCCCTTTTCTTCACACACAGTAGCATAGTCACGAACTCACGGAATCGAAGGCGCAGGCTCAAGGAAAAGAAGGCCGACCTCGGCTCGCGCGCCACAGACTTGCAGAAGGGCAATGTAGTTGTTGCCCGGAACGCTTTGCATCGCACGATTGAGGCTTGGCAGGCCGTCCAGCATCTGTACATGCCAACTGTGGCTGCACATCGCTCTCGGGACGCCAGCAGGTCCACTGCCTCCTCGCTGGCAGAGGACCTGCCCCTTTATCTTCCCTCGAATGTCATCGAACTACTGATGCCTGTCGATCGGAAGCTGCAGGACATCGAGTGGGAGCTTCGAGTGGGGCTCGCACACGACGCTCTTGAAGACATCCGTCGTCTCATCTGCGTTAAACGGAAACTACTCGAAGTCAAGGGTCGCTTCATCAGCGGCCAGCATCACAACACACGTGCGCGCGGTGTGATTACCCGGTGCGACAAGAAGATTACCCAGGCGCGAGCGAAGTACCATGCTTGCTACGAAGCCCTCGTGAGGCTTGCACCTGCACTGGACAAAACGCACTGGAGGAGAGACACCGGCTTACAGAAGTTGGACGACAACGACGTGCGGCATATGTCCGAGCCGGACCCGACAAAGGAAGATGAACAGACCGAGGGTACGCGGACGATCTCGTGGATATGGACAACGAAGGGTGCGCGGAGTGGCGATGACGACGAAGATGAACAGGAGAGTAAGTGTGCAACCGTTGAGAGCACTGCTGCCGATCCTACTAACTGCTTTGCAGTGCTACGAATCGAATGGTGCCAGGCCCGTGCACGCGCGCATAGGTTTACAGAAGAAGGCCAGCTCCTCGAGGAGGAGATGCGACGTGTAGTACAGTTTTACGAGTGGCAAGCGAGCTGGTGGAGGGCGCGGATGGATTCTTGGGAAGGCCGGTCAGCAGAACACCGAGAAGGGCTGGTTGCATACGCTCGCCGACAGGCTGACTTACGAGTGTCGATGAAAGCGTTATGTCAAAAGGCGTGGGCCAGTGGGCCTTTTTGGCTAAGTCAAGGCGCGAGATTATGATACTATGTCGACTTCGTTTATCAATTCAATGTGTTGGAGAACTACTGCTAAGGAGCTTGTAATTTCGGACATTGAGCGTTTTGCCCGAACGTGCACCCTCACCTTCGCCTTTGCCCTCGCACTTGTGCTTCTCACCTTCGCACCCACGCTCGCCCACCCACCTTTGCACTCTCGTCCTGGCGTTTATAAATTCAATGGGTTGGAAAACCACTGCTGAGGAGCTAGTAATTTCGGACATTGAGCGTTTCACCCTCACGTGCACCCTCACCTTTGCCCTTGCCCTCGCACTTGTGCTTCTCGCCCCGCGCTCGCCCACCCAACTTTGCACTCTCGTCCTGGCACTCTTCCACTTGGTCTCGCCCTCACGCCCTCGCCTTCGCCTGCTCACCATTGCCCTCGCCCTCGCACCCAACTGACTGGTCGTGCACCCGCTCCCAGACAAACATCTTCCTCTGAGACTTATACCGTGGCGGTCATCAATGGCGGCCCTGGCGACCCCTGCTTCTCCATCGTCCTCGCCCTCCTCGGCATTCCGCACGTTCTGTGGAAGCCATGGCGAGATGAATCCGTGACACTTTACAGCTCTCCAACTTGACCGTCATGGAGCTTGGTCGTCTGGCTGGTCCTGTGGGATTGGACCGACCTTCTTATTATTAATGTTGTCGTCAAAGGCAGTCGGTATCGATCTCGGTGCCACATACTCGTAAGTAGCATCTGCCTTCCGACATCGCTTCGATCTTCGCTCACTACTATCCTACGCCGTCCTCGAAGGCAGTCGGTATCGATCTTGGTACCTTATACTCGTAAGTAGCATCCGCCTTCCGACATCGCTTCGATCTTCGCTCACTACTATCCTATACCGTCCTCGAAGGCAGTCGGTATCGATCTCGGTACCACATACGCGTAAGTAGCAAACGCCTTCCGACATCGCTCCGACGTTCGCTCACTGCTGACTTACAAGATTTGCTCGAGTCGTCTTACATCATGCCATGATCGGTCAGTTCTGGATCCCTGTATGTTGCCGACTCACTACCCGCGTGCAGGATCGGCAATGGTGCACCTGGGTCAACAGGATATCGGGGTCAACACTGATGGGTGCACGATGGAGTGATATGGTCTTCACGCGGAGAACTCACCATCTGGTACGCGGTCTCAACTTTGCATACTCGGCGTCTGCTGATTAGCTATCGGAGTGACCAAGTAACCGTGTGGTGAGCGACCGAGTGACTGCGCGAGTGCAGCATGACCTACACTTGGTGTGCCGAGAGGCGAGGGGACGAGAGGCGGGCAGACAAGAGGCGGCAGACGAGAAGCGAGCGAAAGAAGCGGGGAGTCAAGACGCTGCGAGGTAGGAAGGTGGTGAGAGGGTGAAGTAGAGAAGAGAGAAATGAAGGCGCAATGACTGACTCACGGTAGGTCACCACTCGACATGCGGGGCATTGGAGGGCGGAACCTCGAGAAGGGAGGCAGGTATCAGAGGCGGGTACAGAGGCTGCGAGGCTGCGTTGCAACAGGGCTGTAAGGTGGGAGGCTGGGAGGACTTACGAGGCAGAACTAGGAGTGGTAAGGCGAGATGCTGACGTGGGGAGCGGCAGAGAGCAGGGCGAGAGAGTGGTATCGCGGGTACTTATATATTTGCAGGCGGGATCACAATGCATACCGGCCCAGGGAGCATATATGGTGTATGGGACGGCAATGTACAAGGGAGCGCGGGGCAATGTACAAGGGAGCGCGGGGCGATGTACATCGGAGCGCGAGGCGATGTACAAGGGGCGCGGGGCGATGTACAAGGGCTCGTGGGGTGATGTACAAGGGAGCACGGGGCGATGTACAAGGGAGCGCGGGGCGATGTAATTGGAGCGCGAGGCGATGTACAAGGGCCCGTGGGGTGATGTACCAGGGGCGCGGGGCGATGTACAAGGGGCTCGCGGCGCGGTGTACAAGGGGTGCGGGGCGGGAGCGCGGGGCGATGTACAAGAGAGCGTGAGGCGATCTACAAGGGAGCGTGAGGCCATGTACAAGGGGCGCGGGGCGATGTACAAGGGGCTCGCGGCGCGGTGTACAAGGGGTGCGGGGCGGGAGTGCGGGGCGATGTACAAGAGAGCGTGAGGCCATGTACAAGGGAGCGTGAGGCCATGTACAAGGGGCGCGGGGCGATGTACAAGGGGCTCGCGGCGCGGTGTACAAGGGGTGCGGGGCGGGAGCGCGGGGCGATGTACAAGAGAGCGTGAGGCGATCTACAAGGGAGCGTGAGGCCATGTACAAGGGGCGCGGGGCGATGTACAAGGGGCTCGCGGCGCGGTGTACAAGGGGCGTGCGGCGGGAGCGCGGGGCAATCATGTACAAGGGAGCGTGAGGCCATGTACAAGGGGTGCGGGGCGATGTAAAGGGGCGCGGGGCGATGTACAAGGGGCTCGCGGCGTTGTGTACAAGGGGCGCGCGGCAGGAGCGCGGGGCGATGTCCAAGAGAGTGTGAGTCGATGTACAAGGCGCGCGGGGCGATGTAAAGGGGCGCGGGGCGGGGGCGCGGGGCGAGCATGTACAAGGGAGCGTGAGGCCATGTACAAGGAGGGCGGGGCGATGTACAAGGGGCGTGCTGCGGGGGCGCGGGGCGATGTACAAGGGAGCGCGGGGCGATGTACAAGGGGCTCGCGGCGCGGTGTACAAGGGGCGCGGGGCGATTAGGGGGCACGGGGCGATGTACAAGGGGTGCGGTGCGATGTATACTAGTAAGGGGCGCGGCGCAATGGGCAATGGTGTCCTGCGGTCGTACATGGCGGGCAGTCCATCACGTATCAAGGCGGTGTATCAAGGCGGCGCCGTATATTTCTGGCCGTACTTCATACATCGTGCAATGTAATAAGACCAGCTTGATGCACAGCGGTAGCTGTTCGTGAAAGGAGGGTAATGTATTGCAGGGCGCAGACGGCTAATGTATGAGGACACATGGCTAGTAAGCGGCATCTATGTATCGCATTTGCACTCTACTTAGCAGTATATTATGTATGGGTCTGCCAGCTACAGGTGACCGCGCTCGCGCTGCCGAACCTGTGCCACGACAATGACGTCCCGGTCAGCGACGCGGCCGCTGAGCCGCCGCATGGTCTCGCGAGCTGCGCACCGACGGCTGGGAGACCAATTTGCAGTCGGAGGATCTCAAGAACTTTGTCTGTACGTTGTTTCCGCGCGTCAAAATGGTGACGTCGGATGTTGCGAAACAGAGCAGCACCTAAGTTAGATCATCATCTCGGGCGTGACACGGTTCTTGTAGGCAGATCAGCTATTGGGGACATTATAAGTTAGTAATTGAAGTAATTGGTCTTGGAACCGTCTTGGTAGTTGTTCATGTTGCAACCATGTGAGGCTGAGTAAGATGCATGTCAGTAAGTACGTACTTGCTGAGTGGAGAGGAGACGCGTCTGTTTTCGCGTCGGTCCTCGCGTCCGTCACGATTCACGTGCCCATGTCACACAACGCACGGCATGGAATCCGAGCCGCTTCAATGAGTTGCCTTTGTCTCTGCTTTCCGCGTTCATGTCCCATATTGATTACCAGAGATGCCCATCTGATCTGCAACCCAGATTGTCGTCCTTGCACCTCCGCGGGGCAACTGACACTTTATAAATGTCCGAGAAACGAGTAGCCTGGAACTTTGATTCACCGACCTCAAGTAGTACTGCAGAGTACTGCCGGCCTTGCGCTCTATCCGTACGTCCGCGGACACTTTAGAACTACGATTATGTGCATGCTGAAGGATTGTCCCACAGTTTTGCTTCATTTGCTCTCTCGACAAACGGATGGCCGTTTATAAGGCGAACATAACTCTTCGATCGTGATGTACCGACCGAAAGTTGCGTACCTACTGAGGCGAACTCACACTGTGCTCTCACATCTAGTGCCATGTAACCCAGCGGGACTCGTTTCAGGACCGCGCCAGTCTTGTTCGGAGAGACGTCATGTATCATCAGTCGGTGAGCGCCGTCTGCCGTTGTGCTCAAGTGAGTACTACTACTAGGGTGCTGTGCGTTTGTTATGTTCACTACAGGCCGACTCGGAGGGGCAAGCGATGTTTTGAGGTGCACTTGCTGGATGTCTCGAGCACCTCACCGCACCAACGGCTTATATCCTGAAACACCCTCGGACTACCAGTGTACCACGCTGAAACCACCAGTGATCACTCCAAGATCACTCGCAGCCCGCCCGCAAGCGCCCACACCGTCTTCTAGTCTCGCGTCTCCAGGTCACCCTGTTCACGCTCACCTTCTGTCTCCACGGAGAGACTCCCGTCATCCCCTCACTAGCCTCTCCCAGCCCATTCCTACATCAAACACTGATCGCGACTCGCCGAGCGAGCCCAGAATTGGTTTTGGCCCCGCCCCGCGAGCGCCGACACGACCCGCTTGAGTTTGATGGAGGTGCGACCGCGCGACGGTCGCGTTGAACGAGTGATCGGTGGGCGGGATGGTGTACTTATAGGTGAGTGGTTGCTGCGCTCGCGTTCCATCCTCTCTTCTCTTTCATCGTTCTGAAGGTATGTTTGGCCCACGTTCTGCTGTTGTTTGCGCGCTGACTGTGCCGCCCATCCTGTTGCAGCCCTATCGTTTGACCAAGCTCCATTTCCGTTTCTCGACTCTTTCCAACTGAGCCTGCCTCCTGAACCCTCACACTCCTTACACTCTCCCTCATCCCGCAATGCACGCCAGGACCATCCTTTCTGTCATCTCCGCCGCGATCGCCGCGATGCCCGCATTCTCGGCCCCGCTCGGCGTGTAGGTGCCTCAGCGTATCCAAAATCCTATGGTCTAGCTGACGATCATTATGTGTTGGCAGAAATGTTGACGGGTTGTTCAACCGCTCCTTCGTTGAGGCTGAGCGCCGCGAACACCGCAAGCGGCAGTACTGAACAGTCCCTGGCTCGAATACCTTGCAATGCGTGTGGCGTGCTCTACCATGCCAGCAAGATCCGCCTCCAACTCGCAGCCGCGAGCCGCCTGGCTCCGAGGGAGAGTTTACCTCTCCGTACTTATCTATCATCGCCGCGCTTTCGGCGTAACGTGCCTTGAATTCGGGCACTTTCGGGTACTTTCGTCTGCTTAACCAATTCTGTCTCGCCCTAACTTATTCTCGCCGTAGTCGAGAACGTACCACACTCTCTATATACAGAACCAGCTGTAACGTACCATATCGTATCGTCCTCGGGGCTGCGCCACCCGAGGAGCTGTCTATCGTCGGAATGGGACCTAATCCGTCTTCGACCTGCGATGTTCACTAAGGTGCGGAGTGGCTGAGGCTGTCCCCAGGAGTACACATCTGCTACGAGCATATGCCGTTCCTCTGCATTTATGTCACGGTCTCCGGACCCTGAGAAGGACCGTTGACTTGCCTCGTTGGCTTCGAGTACTACTTCATAGGACAAAGGTGGAAGCTCACTCGCTCATGACCCGTCGTCGTAGTCGCACCTCATCGACACTTTCCCCTCTCGCGCTTCTTGACGTAGCCCCGGGCTCTGGGTCTCCCGAGTCGTCGCAGCAAAAAAGAAGCCCTCCTGCTGGCCACTCAACTTCGGTCGACGAACCTGGGACTCGAACCCAGAATCTTTAGCTCCGGAAACTAACGCGTTGCCATTACGCCAGCCCGCCACGTTTTACACTCGTCGCCGATGCACCTAGAGCTGGGGAAGATGAATTTTGCTGAGGCCCGGAACCGGGGAAAATGGTGTGGCGGGGAGCGCCTGTGGTCGGTACGATCGCTATCTCGATGCTCACGTGACGTATCATCGGCCTTCGTTTCTCGCGCCTGCGCCGCCGCCGGGTCCTGCGGGCAGCGGCGCAACTGCCAACTTGTCGTACTCACATCACCCCCGATACTACTCAGTTCAACGCTTCAAGCGGACCTATTGTGACTTTTTGCTCATCGTATCGCGGCGGAATCTCTCAGTATAAAGTTTAAACCGCGAGGCTGGAAGACTCGGACCGCCACTGGCATTTGGTCGCCCCCGCCGAGCTGGCCTGAGTACGACGTGGTATGTGCAATATTGTATGCCTCATGATAATAGTCACTATTGTCTGAGCCCCATATACTGCAGCACACGCGTGATAGAAATGACGGCCATGAGCGTCGAGTGCAAATATAATACTACGGCTCGACGTCCTCGCACGACCATCAACGACCTTCCACATGACGTCCTCATCCTCATCTTCCGTGATGTACGCCAAGCTGCAAGTCTCCCGTATGCATTTCGAGGAGGAGACAGACTGTATCTGGATCCCTGGGCGCCGTACTATGAATCAGTGTCGGAGCATCCTTTCCCAGAGTGCCTCGCATCCGTCTGTTCGGTCTGGCGGGCTGCCATGTCGAACGTCTCCATATTCTGGACACGCCTCGTCATTTGGACCGGCCGTGATCCTACTCCTCTTTCTAGGATACGCGAGTACCTCAGTTGGTCGCGAGAATCCCTTCTCGATATCTACATCCTACGGAGGTTCAGTCCAGCCATCGAGGACACCGCGGAGAAGGCTCAGATGAACATGATCCTCAATCTGCTCTCTCCGAGTATGAATCGCTGGCAGCTCCTCTACATGAGGCCTCTATACTCCAGTTCGCTTCCGTGTCCCGGTCTAGACTTGGTCGGACGCGCGGACAACTTGATCGAGCTCATTCTTCACTTTGTAAACGATGACCTGGTGACAAGTTCCAATGTCTCCTCACCTCCGGCGAACCTGTTCGACGCTCCAAAGCTGGAGCAACTCTCTATGGGCGGTGTTCACTTCCGCGAGGCTTACGTGAAGCGCGCCACGCACATGCCGTTGCCACCCAAGCTCACCTGGCTCGGGGTCACCGGCTACAACTCATGCAATGCGCCCTTTCCGGTCCACGAGCTGTTGGCGTGCATCACGACCCGTATGGATCGCCTGTGGAGGGTCCATCTCGACGGGCTACAGCTCGATTGCTCCACACATCCACCTGCTCCCTTTGATTCCCGCCGCTGGGAGGCCAACACACGTTTCATCGATATCCCTGGCGATGTGATTGCGGAGTACCACCGACTCCTCCAATACACGCTCACCGACGTAGCGCACTATACCAGATGCTCACTGCCCGATTCTCCGTTTGTGGTATCCACGCCGTTGGCGGATGCATGTCAGACTTATGTCTACGGCATCGCCGATCCGGACGCACTCATGTACTACCTCTCAGCCGGGATGAAGCTCGACAATGCCTGTTATAGCTTGGCAATCGTCAACTGTGATGGCCTCTGTGCGGATGTTCTCCACAAGCTCGCGAAACCGGTCAGCGAAGATGCGTGGCTGTGCCGAGATGTTCAACAACTGAAAATTGCGGGATGCACGGAATTCAGCAGCACGGACCTGCGGGCAATTTTGGAGGCACGCCAGAAGGCAAACGCGGCCTATGCCGCCGCGGTGATGACGATCACGGAGATATATGTGCTCAACTGTGGAGAGCTTGTGCCCGAAGATAGGGAATGGTTCAATGAGAATGTGTCTATCGTCCACTGGGATGACTGGGAAGGGGGATTTGACTATACTCCGGATCTGGATGGGCAATATGATGACCCGTGGGACAATATTGACTACTAATAATAATGTTTGGCTGTTGCGAGTTGCGTGCGCTGAATACGTCTCGTTCAACTCGCGGTCAATAACTCTGATGTAGATTACAATGACCAAATCGTGGCATACAATTATCAGGTACTGTTAACTGCGTGCCTCCGTGCCAATCATCCCATTCCACAGTCTCCATATTCCGGTCAAACCACTCTCTATCCTCTGGGCTATGCGTCTGTTCTCAAGTCCGGTCGTCTTAGCTGAACGGCAAAATGGAGCTACAAGATATACCCAGCAACAGTCACCACGGACTTCCCGAGGATCGCTATATCCTCTTCAGACCTCAGGCCTCATGTCACAATCAGCGACCTGCCTGCTGATGTTCTGACCATGATCCTAGTGCCACACGAGAGGCGGCTTGCCCGGATCCCATACAACTAAATTCCTGGCCTAAGACGGTGTCCCAGACAATCCTTTCGCAGAGGCTGGGTCCGGAGTCACACATGTACAGTTGCCAAGATACGCGCGGGGCTCTCTAACCCGTGGCCACTGCAAGTGGGATCCCGAGAGGAGTGCGGAGCCCAGCCGGTAGAATACATGAGATTGCTGAACAGCGACGTCGACGAGAGTGAAGAGACGGACTTAGCGCGGCACGGCAAGTCGAGTATCGACTACGGTGATAAGAATGTCATGCAAACAGATTATTACAGGGTAACGTTCACGGCCCTGTGCCCCCGTGCCAGTCGTCCCATTGCACGTCTTCCATATTCTTGTCGAACCACTGCCTGTCCTCCGCAGCCAACTCGCCGCAACGTCGGACGTAGAGGTGCGTCACCGAGAGCAAAACGTACCCCATCTCATCCAGCCACGCAAAGCCCGTCGCTTCGTGCCTTCTGCGGCGCGCCTCGAGAGCAGCCCTCAACTCTGAGCTGTGCAACCGTTTGCACCCGGAGATGCTTAGCATTTCGAGATTCGGGCACAGCCATGATTCGTCGCCGCCGTAGGTCCCTGGGGAGAACGGCTTTGCAAGCGCATGGAGAAATTCCGAATTAAAGCCGTCGCAGTCGTGAATCGATACTTGGCTGCCGGCGATGTAGTATCCCAGCGTAGCCGAGTCTGGGATGCCCTCAAGCGTGAGATAGTACGATTCGCAGACAGAAGGGGAGTCATAGGTAGGGAGTGTGCAGCGCGTGTAGGACAGTGTCTCAACGAAAGGGTGGTGGAGGAGGGAGCTGTAATGTGCGATGACATCGCCAGACATGTCTGTGAAGTACCAGTCGGTGCCCCGGTCATTCAGGCGAGGAGGATCCGCGTCAGGGTAGATGTCGAGCTGGAGGTTGGTAAGGTTTACTCTCCGGTTGTATAGTCGCTGACAGTCATCCGGGTCCGTGAGAGTCTCTAGGAGATCAACGACGGGAAAGGGAACTTGGTCGGAGGCATAGTCTGTGATGGTAATGTACCGAAGCTCGGGGGGCAACAGCGGCCGGGGTACTGGCGCCACGTACGCTTCGCGGAAGTGCACGCCGCCCATGGAGAGCTCTACGAGCGCGGGCGTGTCGAACGTGCGTTCGGACGGCGGAAGTGGTGCGGGACATGCAACCGCGTCGTCAAAGATGAACTCGAGTTTGAGTTGTTCCAGGTTTTCCGCGCGCCCGACAAGGTCCGTGTGCGGAAGCGGGAGGGAGCTCGAATGGAGGAGATACATGCATAGGAGCTTCAATCGCTTCATGTGCGGAACGAGCAGCTCGACAATCGCCTTCGCATGTGCCTTCTCCGTGCGGTCTTCCACGCAAGGGTCGTACCTCCGCCGGACGTCAATCGAGACGGGCTTGTCTTGCGACCACGCGAGGTACCTGCGGACCATCGAGAGCGGTGTGGCATCGCGTCCAGTCCAGATGACGAGCTGCGTCCAGAACTCGGAGCTGTTCGACATCGCTTCGAGCCAGTGGGGAGAGACGGACGCGATGTGCTCGACAGAGTGTTGCGATAGTGGGGATAATCGAGAGTGGTACGGAGCTAGGTGATCGAGTTCTGGGTCGGTTAAGCCGTGCATGTCGGCACTGTCGAAGGGACGTAGTGTAGCCCTCCAGACGTCGCTGAGGATGATCAGGAGAACATCGTGCGGGAGGTCGTTGACCGTCGTTCGAGGCCTCCGGGTAGCGATACGGTTATGCTTGCCTGGCAGAGAGTAGATTGCGTTGCTTCTTGTGGCTTCTCCGTCCACAGCTAGCTCTGCAATATGTACATTCAGACATCACAAGGAGCGAAGATCAGTGACTGATACTAGGCTCAGACACTCACGCTTCACGCTGGGTCCGTCCATGGTCCGTCACACAGGGCAGTGGGGCTGTCCGACCTCTGCCCGCTTCAACCAGGATCCCCAGAAGAGTCGGCGGCCTTGGGGGTGAGACCGTTCAGAAGAGAGCGACTCGCGGCAACGTCTCGCCACAGACGCGTCGAACACGTGACCTCCACAGTCGTCTCCTCCTGGTCAGCTTCCCTTTCCTCTTGACTCTCCTCTGTCGCTACGGACAAAACTGGAGCAACGCCCCTCGAGCTACTATCTCGTACCGCCCTGACTCCCGCCCTATCTAGCTTGTCGGCGAGTCATACCACACCCGCATCACCGGGATCGCCTGTCCATGGACGCTATTGTACTACCTCACCTACGTTGGTGAAGCTGGGTATGGCGAAGTAACGATAGAGAACTGCGACGGCTTCTGTGCTGGAGTTCTTCGGCAGCTCGCTCGGCCTGTGCGACGGAGCGGTGTGGTCACTGGCTGTGCTCCGCCCTCACGAACTTCACCATCATTGCGTGCAACAACTTCAGCAGCGGTGACCTGAGGGCAGCGTTCGAGCTGCGGAGAGTGACACGTGAAGCGGCAGATTCTCCTGAGGAGCTCGACCCGGGGCATGTGGTCTCGTTGCTGTCTCGCCTCCACGTGCGTGGGTGCTGCGAGCTCGCACCGGAAGATAAAGAATGGTTTGAAGACCACGTATGGGATGTCCGATGGGACGACTGGACAGGGCAAGGAGCGCATTATCCTCAACCAGCGGCCGAGCATTCTTGTGCATTGGTACGTCTCTTCAACGAGATTGGAGCTCGACCCTAATGCTAGATTGCGGTTAGCCCCCTTTTCGGTGCTTTGGTACGGACATTAGCCACCAAACGGCGCTGTATAATAGGACTACCTGTGGCAATTGAGCGGATCGCCCTGCCACAACAGTCACTTCACCGCGTTCTACGCTACCACAGGCTACTCTGCTAAACTGAAATTGACATGTGTATACTAGCTAGTCTATGACACAAAGTGTGACGTTCACATACATATATCAGCCAGCTTCGTCGCAACGTCGGTCGTAGGCCCATACCATCGGATCGCCCACCAGAGACTTCGTCCTCAGCCTAGTAGTGCTTCCCATTCCCGACGTCGTCAATAACGAGTGCCATCACGCCGATTCGACGCTCAAGGGCGGAATCTCTACAGCGCGCCCCTAAAGCTGGGTCACGGCTCTTTGCTGAGTTGTGAGGCGATCGCAAGGGCCCACGCAGTCTTTTCGCTGCCTTGGTCAGTCCATGACAGCTTGCATGTGTTTACACCCGATTCTGCTGCCGTTACTCCGCTGTGCCCGCCGCTCTGGCCTTCATCCTGTCCAGCTCACGATAGTACGCCATGACCGACCCGTACTGGCGGGCCTCCCTCGCATGAAGATCAAATGTAGCCTGGGCAGCAGCGCTTTCTGATGCGACGTCGTCAGAAAGTTGAGCATCACTAGACCTATACGACAACGATTCAGCATTAGGTCAGGCGCATGATACTGAAAACGACAGACGTGTCGGGGATGGGGGGAGCTACGATGGCGGACGGAGCGGCGGCGGCCACGAGGATGAGCGACAGGAAGGTTGAGAAACGCATGCTGGATATATAGTCGGTGATGACTTGATTGGCTATTAGCGGAGTGCCAGTGGCGACTTCCGGAGTCGTTGTAGGATGCGTGGACGTGTCGTGAAGGCAAAGAAAGAGAATGTGTGTCGTCAATAATCGAGCGAGGCTGGCAAGTCACTGTCAATATGCGTCCGTGCACAGTATACCCAGCCTGAGGTACACTTACCTACCAGTGCACTCGTTCTCGATTGGCTCCGAAAGGGAAGGTCAAAGAAAGGGGAGCTGAGGACAAATGGAGGAACAGTAGACTTCATGTAGTACCAGTCTGCGACCACGACGGTGAGGCGCTGCATCTGTCTATCAACTGGGGTTGATGTTACTGAGCTCGTCTCAGACCATTTCATGCGAGACAAATGTGTCGCCGGAGACTGAGTCAGTCAAGATTAGTATGACGCCTGTACTTCTCGCCAGAAATACCATAAAGGCTTGCTATTATCGAGAACGGAAAGGGGCGCCGTACATCGACTGCTGTCAAAGCTCGATAGCGGCTGCAAGACAGTCTACAATGAGGCAAGTCAGCGAGATCACCGAAATTGTGAAACAAAGGGACTGTACCAGAGACTCAAGTTTGAAGCTACCGGACGCGGTGTCGGATGGTGCGACGACCGTGTGACGTCTTTATATTCATCTGTACTGCTCAACTCACTGCGATAAGGAACTGACATGTGCGTCAAGCATAACTTTGTCGCGGATATGCCATCCGAATCATGGACATGGCTCTGGTGCATAGCCCCAACGCCTCAGAGGGTAAGAAACGCATACCCGTGACTAGGCCCATGACTGACGATGCTACGATCTTTATCGCCACCAGCAGCAAGAAGGCAGCGCACCAAAACGTGCAAAGTAGTCGTTATTCCGATTTGACCTCCAACGGTACACATCATACATTATAATTTCTATGGCGTGACACAGATTCAGCAACATATAAACGACAGCAACAAGATAGCAATACACCCCTACACGTCTCGGCTAGCTTCATCCCTCCGTCCACTCCTCGTCTTCGCCGTCGCCCTGCGCAAGATGTAGGCCGAGGTCCCGCACGCTCGAGATCGCCACAAGCAACGGATGGTTCGGGTCGAACGCCACGAGCAGCTTATGCATGTCCTCGAGCGCGAACTCCTCCATCTCCTCGATCAGCGTCAGGTCCTCACGCTCCTCCTCAATCTGGTTCGCCGGCCGCGCGGCGCGCGCCTTGCGCTTATCGGCGAGGCTCTGCAGCTGCCGCTTCGTCGCCTCCATTACACCGTCACTTAGCTCAGACGGGAGCGCGGACGGTCCGCCGAGCAAGCGCATGGAATCGGAGAAGGCGCGGTAGAGGGAGGCGAGGAATGACGCGTCGGGCTCGTTCGCGATGCAGGTGATCAGTTGAGACAACGTTGCGGAGACGATCTGGCTCGTCAGCGCGCCGCTGTTCTTTCCGCATGAAAAGAGTACCGGAACGAGCCTATCGAGAGCATCATTGGTAGGACATCAGTTGAGCCCTGTCACAAACGGTGAACGAGGGACTACTTACAGCGCACATGCCTCCCTGACGCCTTCATGGAAGAAGAACCTCAGGTTCGGAAGGACGAGTTCAAGCGTCGGCGTTAGGTAGCTCACGAACCGCGGCCCCAGAGTGGAGGAATATATCAAGAGCGTCTCGAACGCCTGACATTTCTCCTCCAGCGCACTAGTGCGGATGCCGATGTGCTGGCCATCCATGTTCATCACCTCCCATCCCTCCCTGTCCTCGGGTTCATCGCCAGCATCCTCTGTCGATGGGTCAGCTACCTACCCAATAGTGCCTCCGGAAAAGATGCCTGAACTCACCATACACGGAGACCTCCGTCTTCGTACCCGCGGCAGCAAGGAGAGGCGACATGACGACGGGAAGATAGGGCTCGAACTCTTCGCCCATGGCCTGGCAGACCTTTGCCCATGTCGCGATGAGGTAGTGCGTGAGCATCGTGTCCTGCAGGTCCGGAGGGCTATCTGCGGAGCACGAACCAACTCTTGGTCAATGCGATAGACGGAAAGTAGGATGAGTCGACGTACTTTGGATTCGCATGAGCAACTCGACAAACGTGTTCGCGTCCGGCCTGAAGACATCTCGTCCCACGGCGATAGCTACGCACAATGACCATCCGTCAACGCTGATGTCAACAACAGTGTGGACGGAGATCCTCACCGATGAGACCCGCGCATTCCATCGCCTTGGCTCTCAGTTTTCTGTAATCCGGACCGTTCGCGTTCTGGAGGATATTCAACAGCAGCGGCATAATCGAAGAGTAGTGCTACAACCCCACATCGTCAGCCACTTCGCTCTTGGCCCACAACATGAGTAACTATCACCCACCTTCGCAAATGTTGCCTCACTCGCGTCCGCGACCATGGCGAGCGTCGTGATGACCTGCTCCTGTACATACCGCTTCGGGCTGCCTGATGCAGGGTTGAGGAGCTTGAGGAGCCGTTCGACGATCGGGTCGAGGTAGGGGATGAGCGTGTCGCGCTCGACACCCTCGCAGAAGTTGATCAGGGCGGCTGCCGCATGCGCATGGACACTACGTGATGAGGGAAGCAGATCAGTCGCAGGCCATGTTGACGAAAAGGTTACACGGACCGAGCCTCGGGCGCCTCGAGTGTGGGTATCAGAGCATTGAAGATCTGTTGGTGATATTGCTCCTGGATGACTTCCTGTACGCGTCAAGTTAGCTAGGGTGATAAGTAACATATAGTAGCCCCTCACCTCGAGATCAGTGCACAATTGACCACTAATGACAAGTCAGCTGTCACGGCACGGTCTAAAGAAGAATAAACTGCTTACATGCATTGACAGGCCGCATACCTAACTCTCGGGTGCAGGTCCGTGAACCCCGGTAAGATGAGCCTTCCAAGGCGCACCTCAGCAACGCAGGCCGCACAAACAGACAACGACTCACTCGACGACCTTGCCAAGCTCCTCCTGCATGACCTTGCTCGTGCCCTCCGCAATCGCCGCGATGGCCATCAAGCCCGCATGCCTCAGCCTCCAGTCATGGCTCGCCAGCATCGCCGGTATGTACTGGAACGCAGACGGGAGCACCGCCTTCCCGCCCAGCGCACACGCGAGGCGGTCGACCGACTGCTCGTACACGTGCGGGTACGTATCGTCCGTCGGATCCTCGCCGGGCTGCCCAAATCCGCATGAGCCTCAGCCACCCACGCAGGCCACAACAGCATGCACGAAGCCACTCACGTCCGCTTCCAGCCACACCTCCGTCTCGTCCTCCGGGATCTCGCCCATGCCCTCCAGGCACCCCCTCACGACGACCGCCGTCCACCCGTCCACGCGCCTGACCATCCCCGGCCTCGCCTCGCTCAAGCTAATCATGAACTCCAGCGCCGCCTTCCGCACCTCCTCCGCTTCCTCGTCGACGTCCCGTTCCTCCGGGGCCTTACCCTTCCCACTCGCCCCAGCGCCAGATCCGTTCTGGCCATTCTGCACGGGCGGCGGGAACACGAAGCTGCCACCCGCGCCTGGGTTCGGCCGCGCGACGGTCGGCGTCGGGCCCGCGTCGACGGCGGGCACGATGAGCGGCGGGAGGAACGCGAGGAGGTCGCGGAGGTGCTGTTCGAAGAGCGCGGGGTCGCTCGACGCCAGCGGCGTGAGCGTCGTGAGGAACGCGGGCAGGTGCTTGTGCGGGAGCGCGGGCAGCGTGCTGAGCATCGGGTAGAGCAGCGCGAGCGCCTGCGCCTGCTGCGCCTTGTCGGACGCGGCGAGGAACGCGACGGATGCGCGCAGGGCGGCGAGGCGGACCTATGTGCTCGTGCGCGGTGTGAGCGTCATCGAGGAAGGCGGTGGGCGTTCGTGACGCACCTCGATACTCTCCGGGTCCTGCAGACCTTTCTGCAGCATGCCCACGATTGCCTCCGTCTGGAGGTCGATGATCAAGTTTACGCTCCCCGCGAATACCCGGAACGCCGCCTCGCGCGTGACGACGTCGCCGGCCTCCACCATGCGGAAGGCCTGCGTCTGGAGGGCGTGCCACGGGCGGCCACGGGCCATCGCCTGGTTGGCGAGGTCGGCGACGGTGTCGACGGCCTTGTGGCGGACAACGGAGGCGGGCTCGTGAAGCAGGGAGTAGAGGAGGATGCGCTCAAGGGTGGCGACGGACTGCGAGGAGAGGTGATCGTAGAGGGGGAGGCGCGACTGCGAGGTCGCACGGAAGAGCAGGCGGCGGAGGAGGACAAGCGAGAAGGAGCGCATCTGAAGAGCATCATCGGCGTGTCAGCGGGCTTTCGGTGCTTTCCTACACGGTGTATGTCTCGGTAATAGCATTGACAAGAAATGCCCGTCCATTGACGCAAGACATATGCAGGGAGCGGGCCATGCTACCAAGGAACACGCAAGAAAGCACCGGGAGTCGCGTGCGGCGAGACGCGTCTCGGGCGCGCCCGCGCTGCAGCGCTCCCCGGTACCTCCTAGGCAATGTTCCTAGCGCAGGAGATACACGGCCAGAATGATGTAGACTCACCACTTCCGTGTCCGCCTGCGTGGAGAACTGGGCAAGCGCCAGTATGTACAGCTCCGGGGTCTGGGAGAGTCGGTCGTCGACGATCTTTTCTGCACTGCAAGCATGGAAAGGCGTTCATGTCGTTTGGGCAGAGAATGAAGGAGCAGTGGATACGCACTTTGAGCGAATCTGGTTGTCGCCGAGGACGAGATTGGAGAGGATCTGGGTGAGCTCGGCGGTGACCTCGGGCGGGACGATCGCCTCCATGTTGCTGCTCACTGCGCGCGCGTGCTGTCGTGTGTTCTGATATGCGTTCCTTCGAGCACGTCGGCTGTTCCATACTCACTGAGGCACGGCTGGACGCCACGATCAAACGGGGACTCACCAGTCGCGCACGCGATGTTTCAGAGGAGGCCGCTCCGGTACGGCTCAGGCGCTGTGTTTTCGGAGGGCGCGTGCGATCTGCGTGCGCCTGTGATGTTCGCGGGTAGGCGTGGGCTGGGGAGTGGAGGAGGAGGAAGAGGTTGCGATGCAGCTGTCCGCACTGCTTCGCCCCGGCGCCTGCAAAATCGGAATCTGGGCGCTTCTTATTGTGCATGTAAGTACTAGTGGTACATGTGTGTACAGGTCTGGGTCTACGTCTGTCTACGCTCGTCGCTCGCCGTCTGCTACTTAGTCCCAACGAACGTTGTCCCCCGCCGCGAGCTCGCAGCAATCGCGCACGCGGAGCTGCCACACCGACGACACCACATGCCCTGCGTCGAACTCCTCCGGGAACCCCCTCGACGTTGGCGAGGTAGTGCATCAGCGTCAGCGGGCATGCTATTCCGGCGATGCGGGTGTTGAACGACTCGCCGACGGGATGGGTGCGCGCGGGGTATAATCGGTTAGGGAGCGTGCAGCGCGTGTATGCAGTATGGTCCACGTAGCTGTCCCGGAGAAGTCTGCGATGACGTCGCCGCACATGTCCACAAAATTGACATTGACGTCCCAGCGATGCTGGGTGGGCGTGAGCCGGCCGGGCCAGACGTAACACACGCAATCGAGTTCGAGGTTCTCGAGGTGAAGCAAGCGGAGATCTGGGCGAGCCACGAGGCTTTCAACGAGGCTAAGCAGGGAGAAGAATTCGACAGTCCGGGAGTTGTTCCGGGGAGCTCGTGCATAGTTGGTCAAGGCAAGGCGGGCAAGCTTAGGAGGTACAACATAGCTGGGATATGGCCCCATGTAGGACTCCAAGAAGTGGCGGCCGTGCATCGAGAGTTCGTGGACCATCGGTGTCTTGAATACGCCAGGCACGGGCGCGGTTGTCATAGTACTCCCGACAGTGTCGTCGATGATGAAGTCAAGGTTCAGCCGTACCAAATGATCGGCACATCCCAGAAGTTCGAAACGCGGACGAGGAAGCGAGCTTGCATACAGGAGCTTCAAGCATAGCACTTTCCACCGCTGCACGTGTGGCAGGAGCAGCTCGAGGATAGCGGCCACTCGTTCCTTCTCTGTCTGATCTGCTATCGCGGGGTCGTACCGGCGCAAGACGTAGATCTCTAGGGGCTGCTTTCGCGACCAGAAGAGATATTGACGGATTCTTGAGATCGGCGTAGAGTCCCTGCCTAGCCAGATGATAAGAGGAGACCAGAACGTCGATACACTTGACATGACTTCTCGCCAGATAGAAGAGACGCTGGCCAAAGACTCTGCGAAAGGATTCTCCGGTATACAGTCTTCGAAGCTAGGCCAAGAATTCAACTCAATGGGGTCCGGGCGACCTGCTTCGCGCTTGGTGTAAAGCTCTCGCACAGCGCAGAAGGCTTCTTCGAGGATGATGACTAGAACGTCGGCAGGTAGGTCGTTGGTTGTGATGCGGGGCCTGTAGAAGATGCGGCCGTTTTCGGAAATGCTGCGGTCACTGTCGCTGGATGGAGCCTGATATTCCATCTTGCCATTCAAATAAGGCTACCTGACTTGTGCTACGTGTAGTAGAGGTGAGAGGAAACTGAGAACAGACGCATATATGCGGACTATGAATCGCTCACCGCACTACTCAAAGCCTCCGTGTCAGAAAGAGACTTGAACTGTGACCGCGTCCCTGGGAGGGGAGGCTTGTGGGCACGGCCTTTCGTGCGATACGCGTCCTGAATGAAAGATATCAGGTGGGACAATTATTCGGAAACAAATATCCTCACAACTTCACTGACGTTGCTGGAACTCGTCAGTGCCGGTTCCAAGCTTATGAGCATGCAACGAGGGCGTGGCAGGGCTGTAAGAGATTGTAGCTCGAGGGGTGTTGCTCAGGTTTTGTCCGTAGCGACAGCGTGGAGGAGAGTCAAGACGAAAGGGAAGCTGACCACGTGGAGGTCACGTGTTTGACGCGTCTGTGGCGAGACGTTGCCGCGTCGCGCGAGTCGCTCTCTTCTGAACGGGTCTCATAAAGGCTGTCATCTCACCCGCAAGGTCGCCGACTCTGAGGATCCTGGTTGAAGCGGGCACAGGTGTGACGGACCATGGATAGACCCAGCCTGAAGCGTGAGTGTCTGAGCCTATCAGTCGTGACTGATCTTCGCTCTTTGTGATGTCTGAATGAACATATCGCAGAGCTTGCTTTGGACGGAGAAGCTGCAGGCGGGAACATCATCTACTCCCTACCAGACAAGCATAACCGCATCGCTATCCGGAGGCCTCGCGCTCGGACGACGGTCAACGACCTTCCGCACGACGTTCTCCTGAGCATCCTCCGCGACGTCCATAGGGCTACACTACGTCCCTTCAATCACATGGCCGACATGGGATTCGAACGCGAGAGCAACTACCAACCAGAACTCGATCCCCCAGCTCCGTACCACTCTCGATTATCCCCATGTTCGCAACACTCCGTCGAGCACATCGCATCCGTCTCTCCCCACTGGCTCGAAGCAATGTCGAACAGCTCCGAGTTCTGGACGCAGCTCGTCATCTGGACTGGACGCGATGCCACACCGCTTTCGATGGTCCGCAAGTACCTCGCGGGGTCGCGAGACAAGCCCCTCTCGATCCACGTCTGGCGGAGGTACGACCCTTGCGTGGAAGACCGAACGGAAAAGGCACATGTGAAGGCGATTGTCGAGCTGCTCGTACCACACATGAAGCGAACAAAGCTCCTATGCATGCATCTCCTCCACTCGAGCTCCCTCCCACTACCACACACGGACCTTGTCGGGCGCGCGGAGAACCTGGTCCAACTCAAACTCGAGTTCATCTTTGACGACGCGGTCGCACGTCCCGCACCGCTTCCGCCGTCCGAACGCACGTTCGATACGCCCGCGCTCCTACAGCTCTCCATTGGCGGCGTGCACTTCCGCGAAGCGTACGTGGCACCGGTACCCCGGCCGCTGTTTCCCCCCAAGCTTCGGTGGATTACCATCACAGATTATACCTCGGACCAAGTGCCATTTCCCGCCGTTGCTCTCCTAGAGACTCTCACGGTCCCGGATGGCTGTCCGCGACGATACACTGGCAACCTGAGAGCAAACCTCACCAACCTCCAGCTCGACAGCTACTCTGACGCGGATCCTCCTCGCCTGAATGGCCAGAACATCGACTGGTACTTCACAGACATGTCTGGCGATGTCATCGCACATCTCAGCTCCCACCTCGACTACCCTTCCGTTGAGACGCTGTCCTACACGCGCTGCACAACCTCTACCTATAACCATCCTACCCTCTGCAACTCGTACTATCTCACGCTTGAGGGCATCCCAGACTCGGCTACGCTGAGATACTACATGTTCGGCAACTTTATATCGATTCGTGACTGCGACGGCTTCAATTCTGAAGTGCTCCGTGCGCTTGCAAGGCCAGTCTCAGGGCCCTACTCCAACGCGGAATCATGGGTGTGCCCGGAAATGGATGCGCTAAGCATCTCCGGGTGCAAGCGGTTTCACAGCTCAGAGCTGAGGGCTGCCCTCGAGGCGCGCCGCAGAAGGCATGAGGAGACAGGCTTTGCGGAGGTGGAAGACTTTTACAGGGGGTACATGTTGCTCTCGGTGACGCACCTCTATGTCCGGGATTGCGGCGAGTTGGCTGCGGAGGACAGGGAGTGGTTCGACAATAATGTGGAAGAAGTGCATTGGGATGACTGGTACGGGGGCACAGGTGATGATGATGCTGATGATGATGATGATGAAGAAGAATTCTGAATATAAGTATAAGCCGCAACAAGCAAACACAAACGGTGCTAAGACGCGGCGGGCCCTGGTCCGCGAGGTGCGGGTACCGGTGCCCCTGTCGGGGATGTGTCTACGGGGTAGAGTAGTATGTAGATGAAGTAATGTACGGGATTCGTGCACGGTAATATGCACGGGGGCACAGGGCCGTGAACATTACCCGGTAACAATCTGTTTGTATGTCATCCTAATCGCTGTAGTCTAGTTACCGCGCCGCGTCAAGTCCGTCTCCCCACTCTCGTCGACGTTGCTGTTCAGCAATTTTATGTATTCACACCGGAATTCTACCTGCTGGGCTCCGCACTCCTCTCGGGATCCCACTTGAAGTGGACACGGGTCAGATAGCCCCGACCCAGCCTCATATTGTTACGCTTTCCACCGATAGACACTTGCCTCACTGTTCGTACTCCTCACTGAATGTATGGCAGTCCGAGCTGATAGTATGGATGAAGAGTCCGCACGTAGCTATCCCGTTCAGGCGCTGTCGCTACACTTCTTCCTTGCCTCCCATCTAGTGCTTGTGTCTGTCCCCGGAGACACGCACGTCCGCCGCGCGCACCGCGTCAGCTCACACCTCCGCGACCTGCACACAGACCTTCCCGACGTGCTGCTGGCTCTCGAGGTACTCATACGCCGCGCGGAGGTCCTCGAACGCGAAAACCTTGTCGACGACTGGCTTCAGGCCCGTCGCGTTGATCAGCCGCACGAGGTCTTCGAACCTGCAGGTAGCATGCATGTCAGCGGGGGAAGAGCCGAGACGAGGGCCGAAGAGGGAGACGCGGGGAAGAGGGCAACAGAAGAAGGGACGTACTGCTTGCGCGAACCGGTGAGGATGCCCCGGACGACCGCGCCCCTGCTGAGGATCTGGCCGGGGAGGTTGGACGTGTCGCCGGCCTGCGCACGCGGACGTCAGACTCAGCGTGCCCGAGCGCAAGCGCGCAGTGTGCATACGTACCCTGGCGAGGAGGAGGAGGAAGGGGGATGCGACGAACCCAATCACGTTGACCGACCCCCCATACCGCGTGCTCGCAATCGACTTGCCGATCGTGCCCGGCCCCCCAACCTCGATGACATGGTCCACACCCCGTCCGCCCGTCTACCCGCCACCCAGTCAGCCTCACTCGGAGCCCTACACACTCACACCCGAGTGGTACCCGGGACACTCACGATGCGAAGCACCTCCTTCTCCCAGTCCGGCGTCTTCTTGTAGTTGATACCATGCTTCGCGCCGAGCTTCTTCGCGACCTCAAGCTTGCTGTCGGAGGAGGACGTCGCGATCACGGTCGCCCCGCTGGCGACGGCAATCTGCAGCCCAAAGACGGACACCCCGCCTGTGCCGAGGACGAGCACGGTGTCGCCAGCCTTGAGCGAGTTTAACCCGAAGAGCGCGTTGTACGCGGTTACTGCGGCGCACCTGCAGTTGGCAGCAGGATAGGCCACTGTGGTGCGGTGGTATTGTGAGGTGGGACTTACGGGAGAGTGGACGCTTCGATATACGTCCAGCCGTCCGGGATCTTGACCAGACACTAGAGACAGAGACAGATGCGTGAACCCGCGCGCGCAGCGACGAGCAGAGCACGTACATGCGCGGGGAAGATCCTGTACTCGGTCAAGACCCCATCAATCGGTGCGCCGAGCCCGGTCAACCTCATCGCGTCCGTGACCTCGCCAACGACGTGGTCGACGCAGAGGTTGGCGCAGACCCTGTCGCCGACGGCCCACTCCTTGACGTCAGCGCCGACGGCGAGGATCTCCCCGGCCATGTCGGAGCCAGGGACCAGGTCGTCCTTCTGGCCCGCCGGCGGGTACTGGCCCTTTGCGACGACGATGTCGCGGAACTGCAGTCATCGAGCGCAGCGTTGAGCTTCGAGTTAGTGGGTGGCGTCGGAGGCGGGGAACGGGGACGGACCTGGAGAGAGACGGCATGGACCTTGACGAGGACTTCGGTCGACCTCGGCGTGCGGACGGAGGCCTCCTTGAGCGTCAGATTGTGGAAGCCATCCGGCTACGTGCCCGTCAGCGTCGAGCGGTGTGTGCGGCAGTGCGCGAAGGACAGACCTTGAGAAGACGGTACTCGCGGGTGGTCGTTGGGATCGGCATTGCTCGCGGGCTGCGGACACGCGAATGAGGATTGCAGTGGTCCGGGTCGTCTTGCAAGATGGTAACGCGAGGGTTACGCTTTAGGATGGACGGCGAGGGCTGTCTGTAGTAGAGTGGATTTAAGACGTGCACTTTAGGGTTTGTATCACCGGAGTGCTCCGCCCGCTGAGCATGGTATCAGTGAACCGCCGAATACACTAATGAAAAAGTAGGTGAACTGTTCGAGCGATGTTGTGTCGGCGACGACATACCCGCGCCGGCCAGACACAGCCAGATGTCCGCCACAGCACCTGTAGCCTTCCCAGCCAAAGTCCGACTCGCAGTGTCCCACTCGTGCGCGTCTACAGGCGTAGCAAATGCAGCAGCAGTGCCTGGACAACACGAGGCAGTCATGGGGGCCGTCGAGGAAGGAAATACTGACGGGAGCAGTGAGGAAAGCGGAAAGCTAGAGGCAGCGTGTGGCCCGGGGAAATCTCTCGAAACGACTGTCAGACCGACAATAGCAACGGGATCGCCAACGCTCACCTCGCCCCTTCCTATCGCTGCAAACCCATCGCCTTCGCCAGACGTCGCCGCGAACGTCTGGGTCGCACTGGGCAACAGGCCCATCGCCGATTGCTGAGATGGCAGCTATAAGAGAATAACATCAGCCACGCCTATCCTGCCCGCCCCAGGGACGGCCGCTCGTGCATACACCCGGCTCCGAGACGCTCTGAGGCGGCGACGATTAACGGCTGCAGACGACCGCGAGCAACAGCGGTCCGTCAGCTCACAGAGGATGTGCACAACACAACAAAGGGCGCGCTACCCGCGCGGTGCGGTCGCGCACACACGCGGACTGGGCAAACCAGTGGATACCGCAGTAAGTGAAACAACGTACACGTATCAATACACTTCTACCACACCTGCCACTTCCTTCGTTCGTTCTTTCGTTCGCCCTCTCGTCCCCCGGCTCACGCCTTGGCAACCTGCACCACCACCTTCCCGACATGCTGCTGGCTCTCGAGGTACTCGTACGCCGCGCGCAGGTCCTCGAACGCAAACACCTTGTCGACGACGGGCTTCAGGCCCGTCGTGTTGACCAGCCGCACGAGGTCCTCGAACCTGCCCATGAAGCGTGGGTCAGCGAGGGCTCAGAGGCAGCAGGGACTCCAGGACACGTACTGCGTGCGGGAGCCGATGAGGATGCCGCGGACGAGCACGGCCTTGCCGAGGATGAGCCCGGGGAGGCTGGACAGGTCGCCCGCCTGCGCGCGACGGACGTCAGTAAGACGACGGCCGGACGGATGGTATGCACGTACCCCCGCGACGAAGCCGATGACGTTGACCGCGCCCGCGTAGCGCGTGCTCACAATCGACTTGCTGATCGTGCCCGGACCGCCGACCTCGATGACGTGGTCCACGCCGCGTCCGCCCGTCTGCGAGCGCGAGGAGTCAGTGGACCTGCCCGCAGACAGTGAACCAGCGCGCACTCACGATGCGGAGGACCTCCTGCTCCCAGTCAGGCGTCTTCTTGTAGTTGATGACATGCTTTGCGCCGAGCTTCTTCGCGACCTCGAGCTTGTTGTCGGAGGACGACGTCGCGATGACGGTCGCCCCGCTGGCGACGGCAATTTGGAGGCCGAAGATGGAGACACCGCCGGTGCCGAGGACGAGGACGGTGTCGCCGCCCTTGAGCGGGTTGACACCGAGGAGGGCGTTGTACGCGGTCACTGCGGCACAGCTGCGGGCACGAATCAGGCCTTGGGTTGTCACTGCAGAAGGCGACACTCACGGGAGAGTGGATGCCTCGACGTAGGACCAGCCGTCCGGGATCTTGACGAGAGACTAGAGACGCGGATGAAGACGACGCGCGCAGCGACATAACGCGGTACGTACGTGGGCAGGGAGGATCTTGTACTCGGTGAGGACACCATCGATGGGCCCGCCGAGGCCGGTGTTCTTGATGGCGTCGGTGGTGTCGCCTTGGATGTGGTCGACGCAGAAGTTGGCGGAGACCTTGTCGCCGACGGCCCAGCCGGTGACGCTGTCGCCGACGGCGAGGATCTCTCCGGCGAGGTCGGAGCCGGGGACGACGTTGTCCTTCTGTCCGAGGGGATACTGGCCCTTTGCGATGACGAGGTCGCGGAACTGGAGGAAGAGGGATAGGGTTCAGGAAGGGTGGCGCTCGGAGGCGGAGGACGGACCTGGAGAGAGACGGCGTGAACCTTGACAAGCACTTCCGTCGACTTTGGCGTGCGGATGGAAGCCTCGGTGAGTGTCAGCTTGTCGAAGCCCTCTGGCTGGATGGGCGTCAGTACTGGGCGGTGTGTGCGAGGGGGGACAGACCTTGAGGAGACGGTACTCGCGGGTGGTCGTTGGGACGGGCATTGGGCAGGGGATGAGAAAGGGAAGATGGGCAGCAGGCTAAGCTGGCTCTGGCTATAAGCTGGGACGGTGCTTTGTCAGAGGGTCAACAGTGCGAGCGATGTTCCATCGATGACGACATACCGTCCGTCTCTCCCAGCTGCTTCTGGGCCACGCATCATCACATCGCCCGTACCGACACGCCGCGTCCAGAGTCGTGTCGACGGCCAGACTCGACTCGGGGCTAACACACTCGTCCATAAGTAAGTAGTACAACATCTCTGCGAACACATCAGCTGAGCGAATCTCGCGCCCATTTGCGTCTCGCTCTGCACCCCGTGTATATTCAATGTCACATCATTACGAATCATCAAAGGCTCCTACTCAAGCTGTAACTTATGGGACTGTGCCTATGCGTACAAGTCTGTCGGCAGACCGCGCCAGATTTCGAGTTGTCGAGGCACCGAGTGGCCTTCACGCCCGACAGGCGACAACCAGAGCGGCCGCCCCTTCGATTTCCCGGAAACGGTGTGCTGGTCGGCACTCCAACGAGCAGAAAGTAGACAAGACTGCTAGGCAAGCGTGCCAGGAGAAAGGCGGGTAAGTCACAACGGGGCAGCTCGCAGTGCCTCGCGCGGCCGAAGGCGGTAGCGACGAGGACGAACTCGACAGTCCGGGTCGCGCGGATATCCCTGGCACGTCAACACTCTGTCTCGAATACGAACTGAGACAGTGTTGCGCTACCCGCGTCCATCCAACACCGGATATGCGTGATCTCTTTGACGCACCCTTGCAGCGCCGTCTCACAGTACTTCAACGTACGGGTCGACCCCTCCTCTCTTTCCAGACCGGAACCCCCGATCACGTGTGCGCTGGCCGGTACGTCCTTTGTTCTTCTGCGCATACGAATCAGTGGTCAGTGATAGAGCATATGCTGACACCTACCGTACGCGACCAGCCTCGCTCGATTGCAAACGTACTCACTCAATGATCACGGCATCTCTACGACCTACGCTTCGACGTCTTCATCCACTGCACGTCATGCACTTCTTGGCCTTCCTCCCGCTGGCGCGCAAATCCGAGTAACTCATCTCACGCGCACGTCTCGTCTTGCCTAGCTCGCGCGACGCTCTGTCTCAGCTCTCACACGCCGTACCCTGAAGAATGTGTTAGACTCATCAGGAGATAGCTATCTCAAAAGTTTCCGCCCGGGATCCCAGGAGCGACAGAGACAGGCGGCGAAGGCAGAAAAGCAACGGATGCGCCAAAAGGCGAAGGAAGCACAGAAAGCGCAGAAAGCGGAGGGCGAGCAGGCGTCGTCACTTGTCAGGAAGGTCAAGAAGGTCTTCGGGAGCAGGCGCAAGCCGTCCGAGGAGGATCAGCCGTCGAATGGCGTTTATGGACAGGTTCCCTTGGGGATCGCTTGACGAGTGCGACAACCTGATTCTTGAGCGTGATGCGTTAATCATATACTGTATAAACTTGTCGTTTGATTACTTACTGTGTGGCAGTCACTACAGAGCATGGCAGCGAGGCATCCTCACTTGAGGGGGACGTTCGAACGCAGATCCACTGCAGTCCGGATCCTGGTCCCATCATTGGTCCCCGAAGTGGTGGAAGACATCGAGGGGTCTCACCGCGGCATAATGCGCACCGAGAGCAGTTATGTGTGGCCTGACTGGTAGATCACGGAGGGACAAAGCTTGCCACCGCGGAACCGTCGGATCGAGCACGAATCGAATGCTATACCTAGTGGTGACTCTGCCGTCAAGGCTAGCCCAGCATACTGCTACACATTCGGGGAGTAACGAGCGCACCTAGACTGCCGGAGGGATGTCGATTGCACATACCGATCCCCGAAGCGTAGATACTCGCGAGCAGGAAACTCAGAAAACGCGCATAGAATGTTTGATACGAGCCTCGCATCCTCGACCCATCTTCGTGGACGACGGCGACGCTCGTTGAGCACGGCGGGGATGGCGGCGAGGACGAGAGCGGCGGTCGGCGTCGGACCCCGTCGGGTGTGAGCGTGATGTGACGGGGCGTTACTGCGTGATTCTAGAGTGTTCCGTGACCAAATGGACAAAAAGTGGGCGTGCTCGTCGGCGTCCTTCACCGTCATCCCCCTGCTCGTCGTCGCCCCCGCACCCGCCGCCTCTCTGCTCATCGCCCCGCGTGTCGAACAAAATGCACCACCTCTCTCAGTCGTCCTCTGCTGCGCTCCGCCGCGCCGCCGCAAAAGCGGCCAAGCCTTCGCTGGCTCGCGGCGCGCACAAGGAAATCAAGTTCTCGAACGAGGGTCGCGCTAGCATTCTCAAGGGTGTCGACGTGCTCGCGGACGCCGTCAGCGTCACCCTCGGTCCCAAGGGTGCGTACGCTCTCCTCGCGCTCGCTGCTTTCCGCTCACCGTCTTCGCAGGTCGCAACGTCATCATCGAGCAGTCTTTCGGCGGCCCGAAGATCACGAAAGGTACGCAGATATCTTCCTCTTCACCACGTCGTGCTCACCCGCACGCAGATGGTGTTACGGTCGCCAAGTCAATACAGCTGAAAGACAAGTTCGAGAACCTCGGTGTTCGGTAAGCTTTCCCCTGTGTGCGGCATCCAGCTTTGCACTAATCCGCCGTGCAGCCTCGTCCAGGATGTCGCCTCCAAGACCAACGAGATTGCTGGTGACGGCACGACCACCGCAACCGTCCTCGCGCGCGCCATCTACGCGGAAGGTGTGAAGAACGTCGCCGCTGGCTGCAACCCCATGGACCTCCGCCGCGGTTCCCAGGCCGCCGTCGAGCGCGTCGTCGAGTTCCTCTCCTCGCACGCAAAGACTATCACCACCACCGCCGAGATCGCCCAGGTCGCTACCATCTCCGCAAACGGCGATGCCCACGTCGGGAACCTCATCGCTCAGGCCATGGAGAAGGTCGGCAAGGAGGGCGTCATCACCGTCAAGGAGGGCCGCACGATCGACGACGAGATCGAGATCACCGAGGGCATGCGCTTCGACCGCGGCTTCATCTCCCCCTACTTCGTCACCGACGTCAAGAGCCAGAAGGCCGAGTTCGAGAAGCCCCTCGTCCTCCTCAGCGAGTCGAAGATCAGCCGTCTTCAGGACATCCTCCCCGCTCTCGAGGCCGCCGTCCAGGCCCGTCGCCCGCTTCTTATCATCGCAGAGGACGTCGACGGTGAGGCCCTCGCCGCATGTCTCGTCAACAAGCTCCGCGGTCAGGTCCAGGTCTGCGCAGTCAAGGCCCCGGGCTTCGGCGACAACCGCAAGTCCGTCCTCGGCGACCTCGCCATCCTCACCGGCGGACAGGTCGTCACCAACGAGCTCGACATGAAGCTCGAGCAGCTCACCCCCGACATGCTCGGTTCCTCTGGGTCCATCACCATCACGAAGGAGGACACCATCGTCCTCAACGGCGAGGGCTCCAAGGATGCCATCCAGCAGCGCTGCGAACAGATTCGCTCCCTCATCGCGGACCCCACGACGAGTGAGTACGACCGTACTAAGCTCCAGGAGCGCCTCGCGAAGCTTTCGGGCGGTGTCGCGGTCATCAAGGTCGGCGGTTCTTCCGAGGTCGAGGTCGGCGAGAAGAAGGACCGTTACGACGACGCGCTCAACGCCACGCGTGCGGCCGTCGAGGAGGGTATCCTCCCCGGCGGTGGTGTCGCGCTGCTCAAGGCGTCCCTCGCCCTCACCAGCAAGGCTCCTGGCTCGCAGGTGACGGCCTCGCCCGACGTCAAGCCCATCCCGACCGCCAACTTCGACCAGGACCTCGGCGTGTCCATCATCAAGCGCGCACTCTCGTACCCCGCACGGACCATCCTCAAGAACGCGGGCGAGGAAAGCTCTGTCCTCGTCGGCACCATGATCCAGCAGTACGGCGCGGAGGACAAGTTCGCGTGGGGCTACGACGCGAGCAAGGGTGAGTGGGTGGACATGATCAAGGCCGGTATCGTCGATCCCCTCAAGGTCGTTCGTACCGCGCTTGTCGACGCGGCCGGCGTCGCGAGCTTACTCACCACGAGCGAGGCGTGCGTCGTCGAGGCTCCGGAAGAGAAGGCTCCTGCGGCACCGGGCGGTGGTATGGGTGGCATGGGTGGTATGGGCGGCATGGGCTTCTGAGCGGGGCGTCGTCGTTGAGTTGTGGGCGTGGACGAGAAAAAGTATCATGGTCAGCTTGTCTAATGTTGAGTCTCAGCATCATCACCACATCCACGTCATGTTCAGTTGCACATCTAGCTATCATCGCCATTGTCTCATGTTGTGTAGTATGTTCATATAATCTGCTCTCGGTCTTGCATGCTTAGAAATGATACTCCCCACTCTTGTGTTATCTTCTGATTGGAAGGAACTCTGATGAGGCCTGTGCCTTGGTTAGTGGCGGGTGAGATACAGATGCCTTGACACTGAAGTGTTCTATGAAGTATGTTAGACCAGGGTGTGTACCAGATCTGTTGGGATACTGTTGCAGTCATTAACCCACTGGTGGGTCAGTATTGTCTGATGGGCCACCTTCCCAATCCAGCAACTTTTGGGGCTATATTGGACAACTGCAAACATTTGCTCCACTTCTAAGCATGCTCTTGCCCGGATTCTTACCCAATAGGGAAGGTGGCCCATCAGACGATACTGACCTGCTGGTGGGGTAATGACTGTGGTGATTGTGGTTCAGCAGTGTTCACTTGCAGTGGTGAGTTCAAGAATCAAGGGGCTGATATGATACCATCAAAGCAAAAACCCTACCCCATACAACTACACAAAAGGGATGCCATACATTCAATAAATGTTCCTGAATATATTAAAAATTAGTGGAGTAGTAGCAAACAATATTATACAATCTCTACACCGCCAAAATGTGAGCTGAGCCTAAGGAACTGGATCAGCTGAGGTCACATCCCAATCAGGTCACCAAGGTGGTAAAATCAGCCACGATGGGATGTGAGATCAGACAGGTTTGATCTCAGCTGACAACCGGTGCTTGGGCAGGAGGGAAAGTGGCACAAACACAGAAGTGTGGTTAGAGCCTCAAACTGGCATTCACTGTAGCCTGGAGTCTCATCATATGCATGTTTCTGTAGTCTTGCGGCTGAGACAGGTAAAAAGTATGATACATTGGCAGCAGTTAATGATACAGGCAATTTACAGGAACAGCCAAGGTGTATATATTTGATTTCACACATGGGCTAACAGTGCTGTCATGGCAAGGTGGTAAAGGATGTGTTGAGTGTGTGGGTCAGCAAGGTGATAGGTTTGAAACAGGCAGATGTTGAAGGTCTTTTACTCATGCCCACTCATGTTTTGCACCACTTTTCTCTCTCTTCCAAGCACTGGTCATCAGCTGACGATCAGACCTGTCTGATCTTACATCCCAAAATAGTTGATTTTACCACCTCAGCAACCTGACTGGGATGTGACCTCAGCTGAGCTAGACCTTATGCTCAGCTAATGCAGGAACCTGAGGGCAGGGTCACCCATTTTTGACGGTGTAGGTGACTTGTGATGATCATCTTCCTAGATAATCATATCTGTTGCATCAGCAAGGATGGCTTTAAGCTTTGAGGCACAGTATTGTATCTACTATCTGGACTTTGAGTCACACTATTATTGAGTTACTATAGGTTTCATTGTCACTTGTTCTGACAAGACACCTTTGATATTGATGCAAGTGCTAATATGAGCTCAACAAGTAACAACTATTACCAATCACTTACTGAGATATAATCAGGCTGCATGGCACACATACAGCTATTAGGGATAGAGGCTTGGTAGCCTCAGAGTGCACAGAAACCCGTTAGAAGTTTTTACTTACTGAGTGGCTGCATCAGTGAAGGTTTGTTATGTGCTTATCGTACTCTCCTTATCTTTCCTTTATTCCACTGAATGCACATCAATGTAGTACTTTCATTGATTTATTACTGAGGTATTGATTACCGACATTTTGAAGCTTCAGAAGCACTTGTTACTGTATCTACTAAATGGACTATTGCTGAGTTTCTAGTGTGTTCTTACTCATGATGACCAGATGCTTTCAGTACTGATACAAGAGCTATTGTATGCTTGGTAAACGATGGTTATTACCAATCAATTACTGAGTTATAATGGTTTTGTATTGGTATACAAAGGAATGGCTGTGCTATCCTTAGGCTGTACACCAAAAATGTGGAATATTGCATGCCTCAGTGATGCCTCGGGAATCAGTCCTGAAACGATGACCTGGTAACATAGCTTGCCTTGTTGGAAACAATGAAGTGTAAGGCTATGATCCTATTGTTATCCTAGAATGGCCTCTAAGGTGGTGTGAATGAGTCAAGGACATGTACTATTCACTTCTACAACACACCTTGATTTTCTATATACTTCCATGTAGCTCCATTGGCTGTGTCCTTGGTAATGGCATAAAAGGCCATTCCCAAGCATGGTCAATTGACAATTGACAATCATGGTATAAGCCCATACTACGCTCTGGGCTTCTGCTAATCCTTGTCTCTTCCAGCCCAAGGCTCAAGATCCTCAATGTCTCTCTTGGTCAAGCTGTGGCCGACCTTCCACATCATTACATTGCATGTCCCCGCCCTTGCCCTTCAGTGACATAAGTCTGCCGCTCGAGCTTCTGCTATTGAGTTCTTATCCAGCCTCTAGATCCAAACCAGTTGTACAACAGGTATGGGAGGGAACAACTTGGTAATGTCTAGTATATTTCTGGGATTCTTGGCTGGCAGCTCCCCTCTTAAGGGCGCAAACCTTCCCTGAACATCCCAATCACCATGATGCCCCAAATCACTCTCATCCTGACAGGTCCCCGGGAGGACCTCCTTGCTGTTACCCAGGCCATGAACGCTGCAGTGTTTGGCAGACCCGTAGATATCAAGACCCAGATGGGACCTGCTGCTGCTCCTGTGCAAGTCCTGGCTCCACTGCAGTTGCTGCTCCCATCCTGGTCCCTGCTGTCCCCGTTCCCGCCATTCCTGCCATCCCCGCCGCCATCCCTGTCCCTGCTGTCTGGGCTCCTGCTCCTGCCACTTCTCCAGTCCAGCTCCCCACCATTCCCGCTCCCACTCCTGCTGTTCCCCCTGCTCCCTTCATGTGTGAACAAGACACTGTGGTTGTCCTCTACAGCAGTGCTCATCTAGTGAACATGATCAATGTTCAGCTGCATATACTTTAAGCTTTGTGAGTCCACAATTTCTATGGTGACTTTCCTACTCAATGCTTGTTTTGTTTCCAGGCCCACCTCCAAATAGACTGTGGCAGGCTGTACAATACCTTCCTGCTGCACTTGCAGGACATAGAGGCAAAGGGCAACAGTGCCCACAAGGTCATAGTATTCAATGCTGGGGAAGTAAGGCCACACATTCAGTAAAATTTCTCACTCCAAACCACAACCTGCTCATCATTAGCCCAGTCTTACTATTCTTGTATGGGTCCCTGCCTTGTGATGGTGTTTCTTGCGATAATGATGCAGACTGCGCTGCCAACTAGTTGTTGTGGTTCTCAATTATTCAGCAATTGTGCAAAACTCCCTCAAACTTACCACTTGTGCACGGAGCCATAGCTGCGTGTAGTCACTGATTATCCAGTCATCACAGTACTGGCCCTTGTGGCCCATGCTCTGGCAACCTAAGTGCAGGTGAATCAATAGCTTGACGTCAGCCAACTGATCAGATAAAGGGAAGTTGCAGACTTACATTGGCAACATGCATCTGCATCTTCTCCTGGTCCTGGTAGGACATACACTTTTTGGTCTCCAGGTGTGTCTTGGCACTCTGCTCAACAAGAAGCTATGGATGTTGCAATGGGGTTAGTCAGTCATTATGTGGTTCGTTGCAAGTCTGGTTACATACCTGAAAGGCAATGAACTCATTATTGGTCATCTGCGATGTTTCCAACAACGAATTTGGGCCCTTATAGAAGTTAGCCAGTAACTTGCGCGGCCTTGAAATCATGGCGATCTGCAGTACTAGTTACTGTGCTGGATTGATTGGCGCCGAATCCCGATCTCAGCTGCTGACACTGGTATTGAGTCGTCCTACCAAACAAGAAGCCATAGCGAGTGAGTTGTAGCATGTACACGGCCGTTGCCTTGCTCCATGGCACAATCATGTACGATTGACTGCACAATTGAGTATATGTGCAATGCGGAGGAGTGCTAGTCTACTTTTTGACGTGCTCCCTTGTTGAGAGGTCGGTATTTTCAATCGCAGTCTGAACTAAGGAAAGTAAGGGGAAAACAGACGTTGACGTAACAGCAATCTTGACTCCGGTATGGCTGCCACAGATACACTGGAACCCAATGATAGTGGACTTCAGAGTCCACACTGCATTGCACTCCCCAATCCAGTGGGCTGTCACCATGAGGTAGGCACAACAGCTCTTGGTGTCCCAGATCTTGGTGGTAAGAGAAACCTTTCCCACCATGTGCTACAGTCTCTGTGAGTAACACAGACCATGTGAGATAGAGCAATGAGCATACTGCTGATTTGTCAACCAGCCAAGCAAAATATGTCTTAAACTGGTCAAGTATGAGCTGACGAGCCTTGGTCCTGCCGGGAATATTGCTGTCCTCGATGTCCTCCCTGCACAGGAGGATGAGCTTGCAAAGCTCGGGGTTCTTGACCAACTTGATCAACTAATCTCAAGTTAGCATAATTCAAGATTAACCTGACGTCATGGCACCCGGTCATCCACAATGATAAAGTTAAGGAGATGCTTGTGAAGCTCCTGAATGGAGAATAGTGATGCTGCAGCTCATGAGCTGCCTTGAGCTGAACTGATTGATAAATCAGCTCAAGGCTCGGCTCAGGCCAGCTCAAGGCATGACATTTTGGCTCAGTCCTGGGCGTCAATTAGCTTTTCTGACTCAGCGTGAACCAGCTCTGCGGGCCTGAAGCGGTGGCTCAACCAATCTTTTGTACGGTAACATCAATATAAAATCACTGTTACCGTGATCAGTAACATCATTTACAAAAATGTTACCACTGTGATCACTAAATTGTTAATGTAAGTATCTCACACTCAAGGCCAAATGTTGCATTCACAGAGGTGATTTATTGCATTTCAGACGTGACATTCAATATACTTGTACAGAGACGTGGTATGCATGACAAGAGACACAATACGTGACATGGGATATGTGATACAGAAGACAACAAAGCCAGATGCGAAGCTATGAGATCAACAACACTGTTAAATGATTGAAAATATGTCATCAACAGCAAGATCAGTGTGGACACTCAAAACCGCCTCCTTCTCAGCCAGCAGATTGTTGACCAGGTTGCTCAGGCTCTGCAAGTGCCTCATGAAGGACAGCCGGTTCCTCTTGATGAGGTACTTCAAGACTTGCAGGGCCTCCATGAGCTGGGCACCGATGTGATTGCACTTCGGGGTGTCCGTGTCGGCACTTGAGGAGAAGAGGTGTTTGCACGGCACTAACGTTGCCTGGATCGGGAGGTAGTCCATGGTGATGCGCCACAGAATGGGCCACTGCTTCTTGACATTTGGGTTCTGTCTAATAGTTAGCTACCAGTGATAAAACAGAAGCGTCAACTTGGTACTTACCAACCAGTAGACCTTGGCCACCCACTCTGCATACTTGCGGTCCACGGAGTTGGCTTCTCGCTGCCCTGGTGCCGCTGCTGCACCCGCATGACGACCAGTGTTGTATACACGAAGCCCGCAAACCTTGTCATACACCCACTGCATGCTGGGGTGCTGTTGTCACTGAGGTTGGACAGGAGGAGCAGGGGCTTCAACATTGTCCAGGAAGTACTTCACCTTGTACTTCCTTATCTGACAGAAACTTTGTCAGTTATATGACCGGTTGTAAGAGAGATCACTTACCGTGCTCTTGATGAGCTCCTCGGAGTCCTGGATGAAGTCCTCGTCCCAGTGTTCCCTGATATGTTCCATGCAATACAGGGGGTGGATGACTGCAAAAGTGGAACACATCAAAGACAGTACCAATGATTACAGAAAGCACATACACATCACTAGGATGTACACATCTGTGTCGTCCATCTTCTTGTAGTGCTTTGCAGCCAACTTGAGGCTGCCCTTGATGGCTCGCCTGTATTGAGGCTTCACGCGGGCCTGTTGCTCCCAGTCCTGCATGAACAGCTCGAAGAGTGGGATGACCTCCGTGAGGAGCAGCATGCTGCTCCCCAACATCCTCAGCTGTTCGCAGCAGGGGGGGATAACAGTGACAGCAAAGCAGGCAGTGGCTCTGATGAAGCAAGTGACTACTCTGAAGAAGCGGACAGCCATTCTGAAGGCTCAAGGCCCCCATCCAAGGGCAGTGCTTCACCTGTGCCCCCTGCAATGGAAGCACCACCAGCTGCCTCTGATTTTGTCCCACATCGTACAGACAAGCTGGTGTACCAGGACAGCATCAATACCTACCACTACGACAGCAACCGTTGCTACCATTGGGAGCACACTCACCAGAACCACGGGCTTTTGGATGCATCCAAAGGCTGCACCAAGTGTACCTGCGCAGTTCTGGGCTACTTTGGCCTCGATATCCACTTTGAGGCTGGCATCACCATCTGCTGCGCCTGCAAGACAATCTTTCCACTTGATATGCTTCTTCAGCATCTGATGCGCCAGCACAAGAAGCGTGCAGGAAAGTCAGCTCTGGGCGACAACTTCATGCACATTGCAAAGAAGGCCCTTGACCATCTATTTGAACACTACTCCATGGCGAGGACCCTGCCCAGCATGGCAGGTCTGAAGGAGGTCTTGTACACCATCTCTTCTTTCCCACTTGCCGTGCTCAAGCTTCAATGCCCGTTCTGCTTGAACTGGTACAACAGGCAATATGACTGTGGAAGGTCTGTACCACTCCCCAGATGGAAAGAGGACCCCATGCAGTTTGGCAACATCACCGCCCATGTGTACCAAACATGCAAGGCTACCATTCCATTGCCAGTGCATGAGAACCGTATAAATGCCATCAAGCAGTTGAGCAGTACCCCTGCCTGCTGGGTGCTCAAACCTCGCAAACGCCTTGATGCCGCTGTGCTGGCGAACTGCTACCCACCTATTTCTGGAGACTTCCATGTTCTGCTTTGGTCCGCCGCAATTGGCGACAGCAGCGCAGCGCTGCTGCCCAAGCAGGCAGGCTCTAGCTCTAGCTCTGGCTCTGCTGCCACCTCTACCACTGCACCAGAAGTGCCGCTGCGCGCTCCAGCTGGCCACCCACCTCCCCCTCCGATCCCAGTGTTCTCAGCTTCCCACATAGCAGACGGACCACCTGCTTGCTACGCCACGCTGGGATGTCCTCTGTGGCTCAGCAAGCTGAAGATACTGCTTGGCGTTCTCCTTTCACTTGCTGCACCACCAGTCACCGCAATCGTGCCTGGTACTGATCAAGCACGCGCGGACTTAGAGAAAGGGCTTCTTTATGTTGCTGCATGGTGTTTTTGCTACTTGCCATTCTCAGGTGCGGAGAGCGCTAGTCCGCACGGTCAGATAAGCAGCACAGTCCAATTCTGTTTGTGCTGGCAGAGGTGTAATAATGCACATTTTAGCGGCAAAGCCAGATCAGCGTACCGGAATGTTGCCTGAGCTACCCTCCTCCACTACCGGGCCATGTTCTATAAGCTCTTTGCAGTTTTGCTCCACGCTCCGGAGCTTGCAAAGTGCGATCCACGGCTCAAAGCCCTTCTCAGTGTTCTCAACCTTGGAGAGCTGCGAGCAGCCCGTGATGCCCTGCTTGCGGCCGTGTCTCGCCTAGGTGAACTGGGGCCTGCAGCCACAGCAGAAGACCTCAAGTGCATGCACGCCTGCTTCCACAACTTGTCGAAGCAGGTTCTCAAGTCTGAGTTAAGTGCACAGCAGACAGTCTCTGGGCCTGTCGATGTCATCCTTGTACTGTCTGCCCTCAAGCTTGACGGGCGGTGGAATCCTGACCCTAACTCGGTGACCCATGCCTGTAGCGCATGGCAATACGTTCTCCACTCAATCTCCCTTCATGACGCTGTGGAGGAGAAATCCGGCCGGATGCTGGAGCGACGTGTTCTTATTTTTCTTCACTCTCTTAGCTGTGTTAGCTTATATTACTTTGCATACAGACATTACCCACAATACAAACCTCAATATACTATACCATTGACTCTACCGGTGCGCTCGCGAGGAACCGGAAGGCGGGGGCGGAGGACCGACCGTAGGGCGAAGGTGGGCAACGTTGAGCAGAGTGCCGCACCTGTCGGGGGCCAAGGTCGCAAACGTCAGTAGCACCGCTCCACTGCTGTCAGCCCCATGCTGAGACCATGGTCCGCCGTCCGAAGCCGGAAGGGGAACCAACGAACATTGTCACCTGGGCGGGTGTCTCATACAGTACTTTCCTCATTCGGTAATATTCCTTCCCGATCTGTCAACAATTGCTTGCCTGTCACTCATTGCCTTTCCTTTCAAACTTACCTCATCTCCCCTTCTGTCATCCTTTGCTCCATAGTTCCTTCTCGCTCTCGTTGCGCTGCATGTACTTATAGAGGGCCACATCACCCATTCTTGCCAGAAATCGTATCCCCCAGCTTCTCCCCTCTCGCTCACGCACCCTTCAAGGTTCGGCATGGACGAGCGACTCGGTGTTGCGCGTGCACCTCAAGTCGAGTCAGTCGAGTAGTCGAGAAGATTAGATAAGTATTTGTTTGTTTCCACACGGCCACACTACTTTCTACAGACCATCGCTCGCCATCCTGTCACTAGCCCGAACACCGTTCTCTGACTCTTCTGAACACCTGCACTTGGAGCTGTCAGTATGCATGTCGGCACCACGTGCACGCTTTCTCTCCCACAACACCCGGCTCTCAAACGACAAATTGACCAACTTCGAGTTATATATGGTGCCTACTGATGCTGGCGAGGAGCAGGCCACCCTCGAAGCTGATGAAGGTGGTGAAGGAGGAGGGGCTGATGTCGCTGACGTTGATGAGGACGAGGATGAGGAGGATGAAGTTGGCAGCAAGGGGGATGAAGAGGAAGGCGGCAAGGAGGATGAAGAGGAAGGCGGCAAGGAGGATGAAGAGGAAGGCGGCGAGGAAGATGAAGAGGAAGGCGGCGAGGAAGAGGCAGAAGGGAATATTCTGCCCCAAACAGACCAGCTGTTGTCGTAAGCCTGTTTTTGCTCTCTGTGATCTGCAGCTGATCGCCTTCAGTTATTTGAAGGCTAATATTCAGTGGACTTCACCTTTGCCCACTGACAGCCCGGGTGATGACAACTTGCCAAAATCGACTGTGGTCAATCGCATGAAGGCAACACACACCACAGTATACCTCCCTGCACTGAATTATCCTAGCCGGATGCAGCTTGCCCAGGCCGACAACAATGGACAGGTTGCAACCCTGCAATCTCACTCGCCTGGCTCCCAGACAGTCCCCATGCAGAGCTTGCAAGGCGCTGCAACATTTGCTGTGGCCAAGCTCGCTGCTTTGCTGAATAAGCTACTAGAACCCTGTGGGACGTCCTATGGCGGGCTCTGCATTCCCCGCGAGCTACTAGTTGACAACACCACTTCTGCCGACAGCTTCTTGGAGTTGCATGATATTGCCCAGCATCTCGATCCTCTTCATGACAGTGCTATGGAATTCATTTGGTCAAAAGTTTGCAAATGCCATGATTCCTTTGATGACACTGCTCTGGCCCTCTTCCTCGCCGATGATCTGGAATTCCAGCAGTTCCTTGCTGCCAGCCAGGCGTAAAGGTCATATTGATACATCAGGAGACTGTAATTACAGTACGGCCGTGATACATGTACGCCTGTAGCACAAACGAGGCCTGTCAATGTATCACAGAATACATTACAGATGTAGCTGTAATGTATCAAAGCACAGTGTGAGCATGTGCTTGCACCGCGTGGCTGACTCACCGCTTGTATGCCTATATCTGGCACAGATCTGGCGGGTATGATGCACCTGCCCCATTCCGCACGGCCAGTGGCACGGCGCACAGCGCACGGTTCTGACGCGGCTATATCCGGCTATGCACGTGGCTTGACCGCTTGAACTGGCAGCACGCGGTATGCGGCTATACGCGGCATTAATATTACATAAGCGTCCAGTGACGTCTTGCTTACAATAATGCTTGTATTTGCTAATATATAGGAATTCCGACCAGCTTAATAGAAACAAGGATGAGTATGGATTTACAGAGGCATTGGTCTAGAATGTGAGGAGCAAACGGAGGTGTAGTGGCGCGCAGCGCCGTTGACCGTTACCGTATTCGGTATCGCCGAGGCGGGTAGATCGAGGTAGATCGCGGTAGATCGCTTTAGATTGCGTTAGCGCCCATCGCTCGGGGCAGTAAAACATGACATGGAGGGTCGGGCAGGCTTTGTATTGAACAATACAGCCAGTCATAGCTTCGTTTTACCATACTGTATATATACTCTCCACATTGTGCCGACAGAATGAGGTGTTATGCTGTAGATCGCATCAGATCGTGGTAGATCGCGGTAGATCGCGTTAGCGCTCATCGCTCGGGCCACCCTCCCAATAGAAAACATGACATGTAGGATCGTGTGGGCTTTGTATCGACAGAATAGAGCCCGGTATAGCCTTGTCTTACATTACTGTGTCATATTTTCACAAAATCTCATCGGGAGATTGAGGTGTTGTCACGGCCACTTGACGGCGTAGTGATATGCACTTCCTATTGTACAATTGAGTGTGTTCGAGCATGAAACCTTGACTGTTGGTTGCCCATTGGTATTCTTCACTCAAATATCAGTCAAGTAAGGATATTATAGTGTATGTGACCCATCTCCATGACTAAACGAAGTGATTTAACCGCTATGAGTTCCAAATGAGTGTTGCAAAATTTGCGCTGACCGTTATTCGCTTCCTGATTGGCTGAGCGATCCCTCGTTCCGCTTCGGCCATACCTTGTGCGTACATTGCACATATTCCTGAGCGATGTTATCCTCATTTAAGTTTTTACAGCTATACAATCAGTTTCCTGTGTGTTAATGTCAGCTATTGCTATGTCCATGGCCAGAATACAATTGGTTTGTTGTTTCTGCAGGGCGCGCGCCACAATGCTGCCAAATCGGGTAGGTGCTCTGGCGGTGGCGCCCAGCGCCTAGCCGGCTTGTGCCGTGCAGCCCGTGCCCGAGCCTGCCACGTGGCCCAGACTGCCGGCTCGTGCTGTGCCTGACTGCGCCCGCCACGCGGCCCCGAGCGTGCCCACCACGCGGCCCCAAGCGCGCCTACCACGCGGCCCCGACCGCCCCAAATATCACGGAACCGCCAGCGCCTGGTTCTGTCATCGTGGCACGCGATCTATTGCGCGGGCACTGATGAGAGCGTGTCGACCCATTGAACGACTGCTGCCCTCTACATGCACGGTTGCGTGCCATTTCGACGTGCAGCAGGGTGCCCAATACAGCAAGAAGCAGAGCAATCTGATGATTAGTAATCCAAACATATGGTAAGTGCCACATTGGGCTTGGATCTGTGATGTATGAGAGATTCCAGCTGTGATACATCACGGGATTCCTAATTAGGTGTCATCTGTAGAGCACAGTCATGTATGTATCACGGCTGTACTCTAACTACAAGGGTTTATGTATCAGTATGCCAGCTCCAGGTGTGCCAGCATCCTATTGACATGCAGGAAACCCTCCGCGCGGATTCCAGCTCTCCAAGATGCACTATCTGAAACATGACGGCTGCCTCAGAAACCTCTATCTGATGGGTAAATGCGCAGTTCTCTGTGTTCCTAGAGCAAAGGGACACGCAGGTGCCACGCAGCCATCACTTTGGGCCTTGCCCCATGCCATATCCAATGCGCTGGTCACCTATCTTGGCTCTGTTCGTCCGATCATTGCAGCCCTTCTCATGGAAAGGAAGGGTTTTCTCACCCACATTCTTGACACACACGTCTTCATTACTGCCACAATATTGCACCCCGCATTTCTTTGCTCACCGTGGGAGTGCAGCAACATCAACAGAGCAATGGGCAAAACACTGTGCGAGTTTGGTGTGCCCTTCATGCTCACTGCAGTGCTTATGCGGCAGCTTGTGCCTTTCATTGTGGCAAAGCACCTACCGCGCCTTGCCAGGCTGGAAGCAGAGCACTCACAGGGCAGAGCGACAACAGCTTTCAACAGAATGGCTGGCCACACCAACCAAACCGCAGCAGTGAACTACGGCATCAATGCCGATGTGGTCCACGCTGCATACAACCTCCCCCCTGTCCTCGTTCAGCACTTCTTTATGATCTCGCGTGCCTGGCAAGACTTTCTGGGCATGGAGGAACTGCCTGCAGAGTGGCAGGACTTGCGCAGCTGCACGTCTTCTGCGCACCAGAGCCAGAGGCTGCGGATGGGGTTGGACCGGGCGCACATTCTCGTCATGACTAACTACCTGTTTTTGCTAGGCAGCAGTGCAGACAATGTCAAGCAGAAGGTTTCAGCAGTTAAGGCCAACCACCAGTATCTTCGTTCCGACAATCCAGTGAGTAGCATTGCACTCTTGCGCTGCACTGCTAACATCTCTCTCAGTCAGATCTGGGAGACGGCACCCTCAAAGAGGTAGCAGTCATAATGCTATGGGGAGAAGCTCAACCGCAACTGGATACTCCACTTCCAGTTAGGGGGTTTCCTGTTGACCCAATTGCTAGTGCTGTAATGCTTGTGCGTGTTTCCTCATTCCGTGCTTTGTGATATAGGCTTATGGCTGTGGCACAGTTGAACATTGCACTTAATGAGTGGTCAAGTGGCTCATATCAGGATGTTGGTTTTTGCAAGCTCAGGGAGGACCCTGACCTGCAGGGCTGGTGGCAGCACAGGCTGGAAAGCACAAAGGGCTATTTGGCGGGCATCAGGGAGAATGACGGGGCTAAGTGGATGCACTTCAGCCAACAGGTAAAAAATGCAGCAGTGCTGCCCGCTCCAAGTTGCGCAGTGGGCAGGCAAGCTTTTACTGCAGTAGCTTTTGAATAGACACCAACTGGCAGTGTTCTACCATTTACATATGGATGTCTACACCTCTGTTACCACATTGATCCTGGCTGGCCATGTCTCGGGTGCATGTGTCACTTAGCGGTCTCCCCTCTGCTTCCCCAGCAGTGCTCTGTAGGACCTGGGGCTCTTGAGTTCCCATGCTGGATGACGTCCACCGACATACCGATGACTTGCTGTCGGCGCCGTTTTGGTGCAGCAGGGCCTGCACTGTGTGCTTTTGAGTTTGGCTCCCTCCATACAGGGTATGGAGGAAGGGTAGATTCTTAGTCAATGAAGGGTAGTGGTATTAGGTGTATGCAACAAGAGTATCGTCTGGAAAGACAAGTCTATGTGAGAGCAAAATATGGAGAGTTCCTTCTGAGCCGTTTGCCCAAGTTCAGAGCCTCTGAGTCTGAATCCTAGTCTGTGTCCGAGAGTGGGTCCTACGTGTCCTCTCCCGCTCCCTCTCCCGCTCCCTCTCCCGCTCCCTCTCCCGCTCCCTCTGCCCTGCTACTTATTCCCCTTCAGCCAAGCTCACGTGCCCCTCCTCCTTCAGCCAAGCTCACGTTCCCCTCCTCCTTCCCTAGTTATATACTCCCTGTAGAAAGGGGGCAGACTACAGCAGCAGCAGCTGCTGCGGAGACCTGCAGCACCCAAAAGCACCTCGACATCACCATCACCCGGTCTTATTAGGCCCGCATGCCGGTATGGCTTGCCGGCCTAACAAGGCTGGAAGGGCCATTCCCCTCTATCTGCCAGTTTGCCCGCGGATTGCCTCCTTTTACGGTAGTACCCCCTCCCCCTATACAAGGTAGTCGTCACCACCCTCAGTTAAGCCACCGCCAGCGTGGCCCGGCGTTCTCCGCGGCTGAGCGCCCCGGCCCAGACTCCCGATCGCCATCACGCGCGTCGCCACCGTCCCGCCACGTGCCTCTCGCCACGCGCCCCCGCTGTCCCCAACAACGCCGACGACCTGTTGCCCGTCCGCGACAACATGTAGGTCTTTCTTGACCGGACTTTTTTGTAATAGTAGTACTATGCCCCCACATAATGAATCCATTATACCCCCTTCACCTAAGTCCAGGGGGGGTCAGCGTGCCCTCAGCTTGCCTTATATGGTAATTCCTTTTTGGGCCATTACCATATAAGGCAAGTGCTGACTTCGGGCCGCACCTACATGTCTCAGGGGATCTCGCGCGGGCGCGCGAGATCCCCTGCGCACCTCTCAACACCAGTTATGCGGACTGCGTCAAGACCAACATCCAGTACTGAATGTCAGGGGTCTGTGCACTGGCGCGACATCCCCTGGGACATATGCCAGTCCCATGTGCCATGCACGCACCACGCACCATGTGTTAGGGGATCCTGCGCACCCGCGCGAGATCCCCTAGAAAGGGTACGCGCGCACGACACATCCATGTACTCAAACATTGTACACATACAGTCTCCCAGGGGATACTGCGCACCCGCGCAAGATCCCCTAGAAAGGGTATGCACGTATGAAACCTTCATGTACTACTCACACCTCGTACGCACATGGGCTCCAAGGGGATCCTGCGCACCCGCGCAAGATCCCCTGGAAAGGGTATGCGCGCATGACACATCCATTTACTCAAACATAGTACACACAGTCCCCAGGGGTGCGCGAGATCCCCTACAAAGTATATGCATGTATGATACCTCCATGTACCCGCACAGCGTACGCACATGGGGTCTCAGGGGATCCTGCGCACCCGCGCGAGATCCCCTAGAAAGGGTACGCGCGCACGACGCGTCCGTGTACTCAAACGTAGTACACACAGTCTCCCAGGGGATCTCGCGCGCGTGCGCGAGATCCCCTCAAGCACATGTCAGCATCGCAAACCATGCCAATAGGTTCCTCAAAGTAACCTATTGTCTCCGGTACTGCGCGCACCATGTAACAGGGGATCCCACCCTCCCGCGCAAGATCCCCTTGGAGGAGTACTGCGTTTTGTAGCATGCGCACATACATTATTGGGATTCACGCGAGTGCGCAGCAACACCTCACTTCCCAATGCTCGAGAACATAATGCACGCACATGGTCTCAGTGTGCATGCACATTGCAGCCGCAGCATCTGAGACACGATAACAAGCTGTCAGATCAATCTGATCGATTGTGTGTGATGAAGTGATCGGTTCTGAGCGCTACAGATGTCCGTACATAGACACACACAAGGCTATCGCTAATCTGGGAATTGCCGATCACACCCCGATGTCCCATGTACAAACGACAGATCCGCTCAAAATTAGACAGAGATACAGATACTAAGATGCCTAGGACATGAAACGATTCCAGTCCGCGTTCAATTCAATCTCTAACATGTCCGCAAGGGCGATCGCTTCTGCCTCCCTTTTGTACAAGCCCATGTACTGGTCCATCACTGGCCATAACGTATCCATGAGGTTCTGCTCACATACGATCGCGTCGAAGCGGGCGCGCCGCTCATCCAAGTAACGCTCCAGAGCCTTAGGGTCCCAAACTTGATCCACGCGTATCACGAGTTGAGTGTCAGCCTCACAGGTATACGCCATGCGCTTGCCCATGAGCTCTAGTACCCTACCCGCGTACGGAGCCGCGAATTTGATGAATTTGGCCATGAACTCGGCCGACATGTACTCGTGCGGGTTATTGTCAAACGCGGCTCTCATCCTGTGCGGCCACGATGACTGCCGGTGCAGGCACAGTTAGTCTGAGGGTTACCCAGATACCGACATGATGGACACTCACCGCTACCGTGCACATTATTCCCAATCCGCGCGTCAAGCACTGCTCGCATGTCTCCGAGTTTGGACGTACGTCGCAATTGGCACTGCGGTGGAAGATGCACATTGCACACCGGTCGGCGCCATGCATCTGTAGGTAGCGAGTCAGCCCTGGACGCCACTGAGTACCTACAACTAGCAGGGGTCCATACTGATTTTGGCTGTTCACGGCGCGGGCACGCTAAGTATTCACCAGCTTGAGAATGGTCAGTCCGCTACTTGGAATATAAATGCTCGGTACTCACCGCTGGCTTCGCACGTCGTTCCACTACCACCGGCAGACACACTTTGGGGAGTGTTGGAGCTGGACATGGCAGCGACTTGAGAAGAGAAGACAGCACCTGACATACCGAGTGCTATGTTTTGCGTCATGTGAGTTGTGTGGCGGCGGGCGCTTCCTGCGGTACGAACCTCCGTTCGGCCACGGTGAGCAGTATTGCATTCACACGGTAATATCAGTGGTTGCACCCCGGTATCCGCATTGATGTCGCGACGTTGTATTGCGCATGCGCAGAGTCCTGCGCCAATGCGCCTATTTATACAAGTGGCAATATGCGCAGTAGTATGTACTATGCGGTGCGCATCCTTGGATTGTTGTTCCGAGCCTGAGGAACATTGATTGATATGGCAGATCCATGAATGCATGGACGCGCAAGCTCACCATGAACGAGCAGGGATCATCACCGGCATGATCAGTGCAACGTGCGCAGATCACCTCATGTGCGCGCACCGCGCAGTAGGTTGCGTTTGACGCCTGACATTGTATACATCGTTCGCTCGCACGACGCTATGCTAACCGTGAGTTTGGACGCGTCTGTCATGGGACATCACCACGCACCACGACCGTCACTTCCCGTCGCATGCGACTCTCTGCTGCGCATGTGGCGTGTCAATGCAACCGGTCAATATCATAGCTGACATCAAGTTACCGGTGTGTTGCGGCAGGTTTATCGCAGTCATCGGAGTCGAACAATGAGTACAAGTGCCGCCGGCCACTGCAGCATATCTGATAGATCAGATGCGGGAACGTGCGCGGGGCGCCACGCATATCCATACATAGACACACATGATCTTGATTTGGATTCCACAAGAAGAAGTATGTACTCTACTAGTAAGACCATACGCAAAGTCTCGAACGTGCCTCCTGACGTGCGCGCTGCTCTCTGAGCCGTTGTAACAAGCGCCTGTAACTTCCATCGTATGCGTATAGCATGAGCGTCATTGTTTTGACCGCTCTCCAACTATAGTAAATCTCAAGATACTCCGTCTTATCGCTCTCGTAGAGCGGCGAGAGCGGATTGGAAAGACGCGGGTATACTGTGTGGTGAAAGTGTTCATAAGCGTGCGCATGGCGCGCGCGCTGGGCTTCCCATGCGTGTAAAACCAATTGCAGATTGGCCATGAAGTGGTGGCTGAGGTAGTAGGCTGGTTCACTCTTGACGCGCTGCCACATGCGTGCCCTCGATGGTTGCTGCCCAAGCGCACCTGGTCGGTGCTATGTTCATTGAGAAATGCGATGCTCACCACGGTCACGGTACACAGTATCTGGACGCCCAAGTCAATGCATTGGGAGCAGCTCATAGAGCCCGGAAGCACATCGCAGCGAGCATGCTGAAGACATGCGCAAACTGAGCATTTCTCGTGAGCCGTAATGTACTGCCACGAAACATATGTCAGTAGGCACAGCGGCGGAAACAGTTATGTAGAGAGGACAAGTTCGCACGCTGGAAATCGACACCGGTTCCGGTGCCTGTTTTACATCTCCTTCTGAGCTTGGATGAGTGCGAGGCGCGGACGTTTGGGGAATGTCTTACCTCGGTTGCGTTGCAGTCCTGATTTGGCACTGCCCCACCCATATATGAACGGTGATGCATACATGGTGAAGTTGGTACAGTTGAAACCGACGATGACGCCCGGTATCATCTTGGAGCGCAAGGCAAACATGCGTAGCCCACACACGGTCATGTGAGACACGCACGCGAGCGCGACACTTGGGCGGCCCCTGGGGACGCGATCATATGATCTGTTGACGCGTACAGTGGTAGGCGCTTGTTGGTCCACTTTGCGCTTCATCGTTCCGTTGTCGCTTCTTTCGGCATCTTTGCCTGCTCTCGCCGCGTTCATCAATCTTGGCAACACCGCATCACGCGCTTGTCCACGCCCGCGGGCCCATCGCATCTCTACACGCAACACCTACCATGGTCGGCACATGGACGGAGAAGCATACGCAGAAGTACTTTCGGGCCGCGGTGAAGAAACGCGTGGATTTCATCGGCACGCGCAAACATTTAGAGTTCACGGACCAGGTGCCGCCCACGCACGAGTGGACGGCTGAGCTGCTTGAGCAGTTCAACCGCAACCTGCGTGGTGTGTACAATGGGCCTTTTGACTGGGAGACGACGGAGGTCCTGTTGATGAAGTACATCATGGTGTGTCGCGTGCTCACAGTGTCTCGGATGATCTGAGTCAAACGTGCGTCAGACGGACGACCTCTTGAACTCGCTCAAGAATCTATCAAAAGACGTCGCGCTGCCTCACCTTGTGCGGCTCGTCCTGGACTGGGCCTGCTGGGACCCGCCGGAGGAGGGAGCGTGGCCGCCGGGCTTGAGCATGCGCCGCTACTTCATGAAATGGCGCCACTGCGAGCCGCTGAACTTCAAGTCGGACACGTCGACCGACGTCGACATGGAGCAGGCGGCCAACGCTCTGCTGGATATGTGGATCGGTGAGTGCATCACCGTGTTCGTGTGTGCGTGCGCTCACTGTGTCCCGCTGGTCAGCCAATGACCGTCTGTATGGTACGTTTGTTCCTCTTTGGTCGGTTGTGTGAGTATGACGATTGGCGCGCATGTACAGCGGACACACCTGTGCAGTATCGCGAGGCGGAGGATGTCCCTGGGGTGACGCAGTACAAGTTGAGGATGCAAGATGTCACGGACGAACAGCGACGCGAGGCGGCGGAGGCGTTGGAGGCATACCTGAACCAGGAGTGGCGGTGCGGTGCGCCGTTGCAGATGAAGGCCTGGATCAAGGTCAGGTCGTACAAGAGGCCAGAGAACCTGCCTCCGGCTGAGAACGACACAGTGGTGAGTTTACAGGGTTGTGCTCTGCATTTGCTGTTGATGCGCTAGGTGACCAGATTCGCGGGCCATACATGTGCCTACAATGCGTCAAGGCTTGCATCCTCGAATGCCGTGTTCCAAACGATACCGAATTACCCAAGTGCGTGTCGTGCCGTGTGCGCAAGATCAAGTGCGCCTATCAGGTTCGTGCGCACAGGATATCTCTGGCACAACAGACTCACGGGACAGATAGACCGAGCTGGTTGATCCGCGCGCGGACCCAGCCTTCTTCAACCCGCCCCGCGCGCTATCCAAGGCATCGGTCTCTCAAGGTTCCAGTGCAGGTCCGTCGTCGTCTGCTGGCGCGTCCGGCAGCGCGAAGCGCACAGCAGACACGTTGTCTGAGGAGGAGAGGGAGGTGAAGCATACCCGGTCTTGAAGGGCGTTTGTGCGTGACACTACTGTAGTATCGTGGTAGCACTCCGTTTAATGCGAGGAATTAGCAATCTGTTTCTTGCAAATACCCGGACTATTACATTGACACGGCGCCGCTGCCTGATGCCATACGCGTGCATCCACACCTCCGGTCTCAACGTTTACCACGTCTTGAGTGCGCATCATCCGTACCAGGTGTGCCCACAGTGGCTTCGGAACACGGCCCGCGGAACACGGTCATATGACGTGGCCAGCCATCTGTGCGACGCGCTCAGCGTCTAATTCGGACGGCCGGTGTGGCGTGCGCGCTTGACCTGGCTAGCATCCCGTCGGTCAGATTCTACCTCGCTCTTGACTGTTTCTTGCCTACGCGGCCTCGCTTCGATCTCACTCTCTCGCATTCCTCGTCGCAGCCCTTGTACCTACACTCGACCTCAACATCTGCCACGTCGGACAAGCCGCCCACCGCCCAGCATGGTTGGCCCATGGACTTATGAAGACACGGGGAAGTACTATCGCGAGGCCGTCAAGCGTCGGCCCAGTTTTAGCGGTAGACGGGATATGTTACAGTTCACCGACCGGCTGCCGTCCACGGACGACTGGACATTACCGGTGCTCTTACAGTTGAACTGCACGTTGCGCGTGCTGTATAATGGGCCGTTCAACTGGGACGCTTTCAAGAAGATCGTCATGCAACATATCCTCGTACGTCTACATGACCTTTTGGCCAGAACGTGTGATCTGACTTGTTCAGACAGACGATGTTCTTGATGCGCTCAAAGCGCTGCCCGAGGACGAGCAGATTCCGCACCTCGTGCAGCTAGTCCTTGACTGGGCTTGCTGGGACGCACCAAAGGAGGGCGCCTGGCCGCGGGATCTCAGCATGCGGCGTTACTTTGTCAAATGGCGCAGGTGCGAGCCGTTCCACTTCGAGGCGGACACGCACACCGACGAGGACATGGAGCGGGCGGCGGACCTTTTCCTCGACATTTGGATGGGTCAGTCCCCGGGTTGTATACTAGTGTGCCCGCTAACCGTTCAGTGTACATTGTTGTTGCACAGCAAACGATCGACTGCACGGTACGTGCATGCTTGCGGTTTGTTTTGCCGCTTTGTGTTGACATACGGCGCACCCCTGCCTGAAGCGGCAACCCCGGTACAATTCGGCGAGGAGAAGGACTTCCCCGGCTTCACCGTGTACCGAGTGAGGGATGAGGCTGTCACTGACGCGGAGCGGCTTGCAGCAGCGCAATCGAAGGAGCTGTACCTGAACCTGCAAGCGCGAGGTTGGGCGCCTGAAAGGATGGATGAACCACTCCAAGTTGGAGCGTCGGTTGCGCGGCCTGCAAAACTGCCTCCGCCCGCGGGCGACATCGTGGTGAGTTTCTCTTGATCTGCTCCTTACAACGCTCATGTGCTGGACGGCCAGATTTGCGGTCCCGGCATGTGCGCGCAATGCATCAAAAAGCGTTACCTTGAGT